TACATTGCCATCTCAAGTGCGACAGTAATTCAAGCGAGTTTTTGGTTTTTTCAGTCCATTCCAATTGTTTGCATTGGGTAGTTGTATGGCTCTTGAAACCTTGTGCTTTCACTACAATCTCGCAAAAAAGTGGTTTGATAAAGCATAGATACAAGTATCAGTGTGATTGATCAGATTCCATCAGATAGTGCTTTCAATAGCATTCTGTTAGGTATTCTTTTAATTCCAATAACTTGCTTTTGAAAAGCATGCTGTCTACAAAATGGACAAGCATCTGATCGTAATTTAGCATAACAAAACAGGCAAAGTGCAGTCTACTATTGCATTGATAAAATAAAGAATACACCAATTCTAGGCACACTATGCACTTTAGACCCATCTGAATTGTGTGTTGGATGATTATTATTTCATCGATCCCACTCATTTATACATCTACCACATATTCTATTATTTGATAATTGCAGTAATTAAATAGAAACGTCACTGTTTTGGCACTCTAAAAATTAAAATACAAGAAACTTGGCAAAAAGAATTAAAATAATGTTTGAATTGCTTAACCTTGTAGGAATGGTTATTTTACACTCAACTTCAGCTCCATTTTGGGTATCTTTGAAATAATGAAAGTTAGATGGAGATTTGTTTGGTACATTTTGAGTTTCCCAATATGGAAGCAAAACTCCTTCCCAGGATAAAGACGACGTATAATCTAATGCAGGCGAACCTTTTCATCGCTATCCATCCATCTCCAGCGAGTACATTCATTACGATTCGTAGTTCAAGGCAAGATAGAATAAACACCGGATGGTCGTCGAGGAACTAATACTAGTTAATTTATAAATGTTACATTTCATGGCTTTACTTGAACGCTTGTAAAGCATAATTTCTGAATGATTTTTGAATTGGAAAGCAACCAAATCTTGTCCAATCAATTGTCTGATTTGTAAATACTTTGGCATTGGTCCATCTACGATTCTTGCTAGGTAGCTTCGACTTATAGATAGCAATTCGTCTGGTTAATACTTTGATTCTAGTATTGGCATCCATGAGAACTGACTGCATAAGGAGTAGAGATCAATAGTGTTTCTGGATTAATGGCGATAAGTGTAGACTCCAATAAAAAGCAGTGAACTGCCTGTCCTAGTAAATATATCAAGTAAACCCCTGTTGATCAATCTACGCCTTTTAAATATGTATAGTTAAGAGCAAAAACTCTTTTAATTTAGACTAAGCTGTGCAGACATTTGTAGTAAACTAGCATTACAATTGTCCTTTTAACTGGACTGTTTATCAAGTAAACATTAAATCAGCTTTTTCGACTAGACCAATACATTATTGAAAGTTTTACCTCTATTGATTGATAGATGCTGAAGACGCAGAAAATGCCAATGATTGATGTCAGATTTCTTTACATGGTAGACAAGACGGTAAATAAGGACACTCTTTAACATAGTTTTTAGCATTCAAGTAATACTTTTGTAAGCTAGACGGTGTTTCATTCTTATCAATGAAAACAAACTTCCAGAAGGAGCTCGTAGAATAAATGCCATAAACACGAGAATCTTTCATTCCAGCGTGCTTTTTGTGATGATGGATGGAAACACATTCCCCAATCATTGCAAGAGTTTCCCTGTTTGTGATTGCAGCCACGATGGCAACCAAGTGAAGAATGTCTATGAACACGATGGCAGATGGTTTAGTCGCAGTTTCCGTTCAATCTTTCTTTGTTTCATTCACCAGAGTCGTATGATATTCACAAGCAATGATAAAATCAGGCACTTGATAACTATTTCTATGAAAAATGTCAAATATCTGCTTGCTTTTGTATAAAATTCAAAGACATTAATTTTTGGAATAGCCAGGCTAAAAAGGGATATCAGTGAGTTTAAGATCTAGAAGAAGCGAGTCTCCACTACCAGTAGTGGAAAGAGAGTTGAAAACAAGCGCATAATTGCAAGAGTGCAAAGAACTTTTTGCAAACCACTTTAAAATCAACGTTCTTCAGTAGACACTTGAGTACAGTCGTTGATTCGGAACTTTACCTAAAGTTTTGTCATTTCGGGAAAAGCTTTTCTTGAATAATTTGGAAAATAGTCAAAATATGCTTCAAAATGCTAGTATTTGTTGAGGCTTGAACAATGATATCTCATCATTTATATAGGACAACGTCACTCACTTGGTGCGACGGCGGATGCTTACTGATCTTGGTGTTGGCTTTGTTTTGACGCGAGAGTTTTGGCGGTCCACCTATATAGTCTATACATTAACTTGATTGTGCAATTTTACAAACCAAAACTTGTTTTTAAAATGCTGCAACAGCAGTCTGCTTGATACTATCTGAATGGTTCCAAACATGATCAAAGTGGAGTTTTCTATATAACCAAAAATATACTTTTTCTCCTGTTTTCATCCCATTGTTGCTAGCTATAGGTTTTAAATATTCAATTTTTTGTTAAATTGTTTAAAATTATCATTTATGATTATCAAGATATTTCTTACAAAATTATTAAAAGTAGTTATTCCGTTGAATCAACATACCATTTCACAGTAGAAGCCATTTGATTGGCAAAATACAAGAAACTTTACATTGTATCTGTGCAAGGCAGGTTTGGTTTGGATGCCATTTTACTAACTCTGTAAATTTATTTTATAATGGTATAGCCAAATGTTAGTTATATCATCATTCACCCGTAGTCCAAGCATAAACTATCTCAATTGAAACTATTGTCAAAAATTCTGCTAATCAACACTTTACATGGAAAAATGAAACCCAAGAGCTCTGGTTAAACTAGCAAATACTTACATTAGAAATGAACAACCAATTGAACAAATCAATGGTAAATATTTAAACATTGCCAATTTGACACTAAACAGCAGACCCAACAACTCGATTACGTGAACAGTCGGTCTAAATACAATCAGATTAGGTATATGTTGGACAAAGAATGATTATCAAACCAAAAAGTATATGTATTGCGCTCAAGATGGGATCGTATATCCAATGATGATGTAGATGAGACTGAATTAAGGTTGATCAAAACATCAAAGATATTGAAACTCACCTTAGTTACCTGATCAATTGATACTTGGACAAAAGAAGCTAGTCAAAAGTATTAGATTACTGTTTCATGGTTCGTTAAAAGTGGTTCAATGATCTTTTTCAAGAAATCACATGCATTATCTATCGATATTGTTGACGATAGTATTTGATTGTCATTTTTAGTATTTCCAACTCAATTGATGATATTTTTTACCAGCTACTCCAATTCTTTGTCCTTGTTATCGCAATTATTGTTTCTGATAGAATGATACAACAGCTGTTACCCCAATTGTCAAAATTTACTACGAGAGTTATATTATAGCGACTAAATTCAATAAATATCAAGCTATCAAGAAAATCAGTGTATCAATGGTGTTTCTACGTATCCATTTTAAATCGCAGTTTTGTTTGTGATTCGCAAAAGTATCAATGATTGCTGATTTTGAATAAAATATACACTCGGCTGGAAAATACTTGCAAAATTCTAATGTAATCAAATATTACTGATATAGAAATGCATATTAATGTTTCATTTGTATCTGATATACTTTTTAGACTAGACTAGCTTTGGCTAGATTGCGATTCATCATTCTCAGTGCTCGAGTGTTCAACAATCTAACATTAAATCACGTGATAGTAATGAATATTCACTATTCAATGATGACCGATTTTACCAGACTTCCAAACCAAGCGTATTTCTAAAAGCTAATCAGATCCATGATTTCTGCATGAATACAAATAAACATAATATGAATTCTTTTGGTTTTGATAACCAAGATTGGACTGTGGCAAATGGCGCTCAAAAGCTTAAACATGCAACTCCTGATTCTGAATCTAAAAATATGTATGGTAGTAAGCTACTCTCTATTTCTGCAGCTACTATACAAAGAGCTTGGAAATCCTATGTTCAACGCAAAATATTTAAAGTCATGAAAAGTGATATTTATACTGCAGTATGTTTGTCTGTCAGTGTCTGTTTTGCATGAAATATGCTGTATTCTAATCTGTAAAAATTGAAATAGGAGCGCTCAATGTCTGTAGATATATTAAAAAGATTATCTCCGGCTGAAGGAAAGCTGCTAAACGACAGTGTTTTTCACCCAAGGGTTAGATTTCGGTATGTTGCCCAGGTGAATGAATCAATTTGTTTAGTTTCATACTCGATGTTTTCTTTTAATACATCGAGTTGTTTATCATATTTTCTGATATAATTAGATTTGGTGGAATCTCGTTTCCACCTAAAATCATGTACAAAATATTTACAAAGGGAATGGGAGTCCAGTATATGAGTGGATATAAATTAATATCCCCTGGTACTCAGGTAAATATTTAAAAATGAATCAAGTGTGTTTTTAGATCACTTATCAACATGCTTTGGTCGATTCAATCTACTAGGCAGCAACAGATGCGTGTGTAGTAATGGGTCAGCGCGCTTATCAAAAACGATTAATGATTGATGAACAGCTGGGCATCCACCCTATTGGACGCTATTACGAAGTCACTGATAGAATGGAGTTTGTTCAGGTTTGCTACAAACACCATTTGAAATCATTCCACCTTTGATTTGTTTATAAATGATGATTGGCTAAAAGTTGAATTGATGCTAATCTCAATATAAATCCGCAGCTTATGAACTCCTTTGATGACCACCTTCCGCATAACGGGGGTAGAAATAATGGATGGAGAGAGTTGATAGACACAAGTAAGATTTTCTAGTTATTATGGTTGAAATTGTTTGACAACAAATTGTAATTAAATATCTTGCAGATTTTGCACGACAGTCTTTGCATTATGATCGACGAATTCAAGCAAGACAAAGTATTACAGGTAAAAATGGTCTAAAATCAATATCAAGAGCAGCTATTGCAAGACCAGGTGCTGTAACGGGTAATTTAATCAACAACGTATCTGCAAGTATGGGACCTGCACAAAAGTCTATAGTAGCTGAAAAAGACAAAGATATCGAGGACGACTTTGGTGTATTATTTGAATGGGCAAATCATTTAAGTTCAGAAGACCTTCGAGATTACATGCTTGAATAATTCGCCTTCCAAAGATTGATTGTATTATCTTTGGAGCCTGTAGCAATACGATCGCCTTCGTAGCTAAACGCACTACTAAATATCTCATCGCTGTGATTTCCCAGCTTTTGTATGCATTCACCAGACGATGTATCCCAAAGTCTGGCAGTCCCGTCGCTACCAGATGTCATGAGAACAGACCCCATAGAATTAAATACAACCTAGGCGTATCGCTTTGATTAGTTACATATACTTTTCCATTGTTCAAAACTTGGCTGGAATTATCCATAAACTGTAATAAACATTAAAGATGTAACCTACTTTTGAAATTTCACCCGTGTGGCCTTTAAGTACTTTGCATTCCAAAATACAATTGCTATTGTATAGCCGTGAAGTTCCATCAGTTGATGCGGTTGCAATTTGACTCCCCGTAAGGTTGTATGCTACATCTAGAATTTCATCAGTGTGCCCACTTATAACAAAAACAATTGTTTATCAATACATGTACAGTGTTTAATTACAACATTAGCCCTAAAAAGTCAAGTACATTATCGTATGCAAGCATTTTCCAGAAGTTATATCCCAAATTCTCGCTGTGCTATCGATTGAGCCGCTTAATATGTTCGATCCAGCAAAGTTGAATTGCGCGTTGCAGATCTCTGCACGATGCCCAATAAGTGTCATTGCAGGGCTAAATTCCACAAGAGTATCAGTATACAAGACACGTAAAAGGAATCAGTAAGCCTTTTTTACAAAAACAATGAAATATATAGGTGTATTCAATAACATACGAATTGCTTCGCATATCCCATATGTTTAAAGTAGAATCAAAAGATCCTGTCAACGCCAAACTTCCTTCTTGATTAAATGAAATGCTTACTATCTCTCCTGAATGTCCCTTTTGAAGGTAATGTAATTAGAAATCATCAAGTGTGTAATAAAATGCAAGAGTTCATCAAACATATTTGTTTTGCAAACTCAACCTTGAATCGTCTGATTTCATTCCCCGATCGAACATCCCAAAGAATTCCAAGACTATCCATGCTACCAGTGGCCAGTAGCGTACTATTTGGATTAAAAGTCAAGCACACTACTTCTTCCGAATGCCCACCAAGAGTGTGCAGACATTTTCCTGAATATGAGTCCCAGATCTAATGAAGTTGATGGATGTGAAAAGTTATATCAATAAAATACTACTGCTTCAATATATACTAGAAATTACAATAGGATCTCCATTTCTGGAGAGTGATGGATATTAATAGGAGAGCTTCAATAGTTTGGTTGCAAGATTCTGAGCAATCTCAAAGGTGACTCGTTGCGCACCTTTGCCGTTTTATCAAATGAGCCAGTTGCAATTTTGTCACTGAATCGTGCAATTCGTTAGCAATACAAGGTATTCAAATGGTGGCCATGTGAATCAACAAGATCACCTACCTAAAAGGATGATTAAATGAAAGTGCGTACACCACATTCTTGTGGCCCTCTAAACTCTGCAACTCGAGGCCAGTTTCCGTGTCCCAAACTTTACACAACCTATCATAGCTTCCAGTGATAAATCGATCGCCTGATTTGGTGAATACGCAGTTTGTTAGAGGCATCAAATGCGTCCGTAAGGTTTTTACCAGTTCGTATTTAGGCAGACGAGCCACAGAATGCTTGTCACGCACTCCTGTACAAATCAGTTGCAGCAGGGTGTTGTGTATCTGTCAATAATTTGGCCGAATATCCCAATTGACAAAACTCGAGGAGCTTACTTGATAAAAGCTCATACACTTGGGCTGCTTTTGAAGACGGAATCATTTTTTCAGATGCAATAATATCCTGCGTTACTTTGTCAATGTCGCTTCTGTCAAGAAAATAGCAGTTTGGTTGACTTGTTAACTTATCTCCAATTCAACAGATTAAACTGTTACACCAATGACTGCTTACTGTGGATGAAAGTCGAGCAAATTAATAGCTCGAAGTTTAAGTACATCTGCCTGTTTATATTCAAGGAGAATACCTGGTGGATAATACCGTAAAAGTAGCCGCTTTAATTTTGTTGCTGCGGGCTCTGTTGTGAGTGCCGAGATTGTATCTGTCATATATACGAATCCCAAGTTTGGATTGATACACTTGTTATTCAGTTGAAGCGTGACTGAACAGAAATCAGCTAATAAATAATGCGTTTGTACTTTAAAGCCCAATGTCAAGTGTACGTGCACTTCCGCCATCTCTAATACCTCGCAAGAAAAGTGCACTCATCCAAATACCTGCGATTATATTTGGTGATTTTTGATTTGACTGGGTTTTGACTGAAAATACGAGACTCACTATATGAGCAGACTGTTCTAATACAAACGTGTCCTTGGGCTCTTGCACAAACCAGTCGCAGTCTTCATCAATGTCGAGTCCAATCTATCCACGTGATTGCTTGAGATGACATTCAAGTCCCGACTGAATATTGAATTCGAACCAAGAAAATTATAATCATGAAAATTCAAGAAGTGGTGAGCACTACCAAAGAACAGCGGTATGTAGCTGGCCAAGTTGTATGTCAACTCTCAAAATAGATTGCCGTATCCGCTGCTTTATCATGTGTATTCTATTCAGACTGTCGAGTCTGCTATATTATCGTAGCTTTTATGAAAAATATGGGCTATTATTAACAAACCTCCGCGCTTTTCATGATTCTAAACTTGATCTCATTGAATACACTCGTATAGTGTTGCTACCCATTCCCATATCAAGGGTCTTGGTCTGGTCGATGATGGTACAGCGCTTCATATTCATGGTGGATTTGTAGGTCAAGAAAATGCCAGAGAGGTGAGTGAATGGATGATTGTTTCGTACTACAGATAATGTGCCTGGCTTGAGTTGGTGCTTTATTGCAACTCTGGCCCAGCTCATTTAGCTTTTATTGTTCAAGGCATACACTTGATTTCTGATTCATATTGGCTGACTTGATACTTTGCCACTAATTTGACTTTAGGCGGCAGGTGTGATTGTGGATCTCATCCGAACAAAAAAGATGGCTGGTCGTGCAGTGCTTTTTGCCGGAGCTCCTGGTACCGGAAAGACAGCTCTCGCCCTTGCACTTTCTCATGAGCTAGGTGCCAAAGTTCCGTTTTGTCCCATGGTAGGAAGTGAGGTATATTCGAGCGAGATTAAAAAAACGGAGGTGCTAATGGAGAATTTCCGTAGAGCCATAGGTATGATGGACTAGAAATTATGTTTTATTATCTCGAGATAATTCTCGAGAATTATACTGCAATTTTATCATTCAGCTATGCTTACTTTGCCTGTTTTCTGTATTGGCTACGCTGATTCTCAGGTCTTCGGATCAAAGAAGTTAAAGAGGTTTATGAGGGCGAGGTAACCGAGCTTACTCCTGTCGAGACTGAAAATCCATTGGGTGGTTATGGAAAAACAGTAGCACATGTCGTCATTGGGTTGAAGACAGTCAAAGGCTCAAAACAGCTCAAGCTAGATCCAGTGATTTATGAGAGTATACAAAAGGAAAAGGTTGCGGTCGGAGACATCATTTTTATTGAAGCTAGCAATGGCGCTGTCAAGGTAGAACAAAATTGGTTTTTGGATCCAATCTTTTGTACATTTATTTTGACCATTGTGCTCAAATCTTGTGTTTAGCGTGTTGGCCGATCCGATGCATTTGCTACTGAATTTGACTTGGAAGCTGAAGCTTATGCCCCACTTCCAAAGGGTGACGTGCACAAGAAGAAGGAAATTATTCAGGATGTCACACTACATGATTTGGATGTAGCTAATGCCCGTCCACAGGTATATAAATCACCAGTATCTATACTTTTTTTCACAAGTATTTTAGTCGCTCCCAACATGTAAAATGCACAAACTAACAGGATTTCGTTGGTTGCTTTTGATCAATGTATTAGGGCGGACAAGACATTATGTCTGTGATGGGCCAGCTTTTGAAGCCCAAAAAAACTGAAATTACTGACAAACTTAGGAAAGAAATTAACAAAGTTGTCAATAAATACATTGAACAAGGCGTGGCAGAGCTGGTCCCTGGTGTACTTTTTATTGACGAGGTGAGTCAATTCACATCTTTTTTGCATAATGTTATGCATTTTACAACTATAGATGACAGTGTTTTCCTTTCTTGCATTGCTAACGGTGTATGATATCTAGGTCCATATGCTGGACATTGAGTGCTTTACGTATCTTAACCGTGCTCTTGAGTCCTCACTCTCTCCAATTGTGATTTTTGCTACTAACCGTGGTATCTGCACTATTCGGTACGTTTGTTTTGGTAAACAAAAGTTTGTAAAGGCTTGAAAGTATCTTGATTACATGCTGATATTTGCTTAATTGTTTTTCGGAAATACAGTGGATCAGACGGAATCGTTGCACCCCATGGCATTCCTGTCGATCTTCTCGACCGTCTACTGATTATTCGTACTTTGCCATACACACTTGAGGAGATAGCAGTGATTGTTAGTATTCGTGCAAAAACAGAGGGCATTGCTCTTTTGGATGAATCTGTTCAAGATCTTGCCAAAATAGGAGCAAAGTCATCGTTGAGGTAGGCTATAAGCGTTGAAATTAACCGACCATTTTACCACTTTCATATCGACATCTTTTTGATCAGTCAACTAATTATCTACTGATTTTTGTATTGGGCTTTACTTGATGCAATAAACATAGATATGCCATTCAACTATTGACGCCAGCCAGTATTCTTTCAAAGATTAACGGAAGGGAGCAAATCAATTCTAGTGATATTGACGAAGCCAACGCACTATTCTATGATGCCAAGACTTCTGCGCACATGCTTCAGGAGTCAAAGGACAAGTATATTGTTTGAAATGAGATTTGAATTTTGTGAAGCTTTTTTACAGCTGTATTCACGTAAAATGGAACACTTATATTTATCTTGCAACGATGATTTCTTCAAAATAAATAATGGTTGAATATTTGTTGCGTTTTTCTATTAGAGATTGGCTTGAGTAGATATTTTCAATTCCTCAATAGTACGTCCATCATGATACTCGTAACCACTAGTTTTGAAATGATCTCTTTTCTCTTGGTAGTCATGCGTTGTACAATTTCCAGGAGACCAGTCAATTAAAAAGTTTAGAGGGAATTGCTGTTCAATGAATTGAGGCTCATCATTTCATGAGATTGGCAGTTTATTATGTATTTTGGCACCTGTTTAGTACTTTACGTGGATATGGCTGTAAAAAATAAAATGGACAGTGACTGGCATAATCGATATATCTTATCATTTGCCTGCTATTTACGCTGAAGGGTCAATGCTCCATCTAGCACATATACGTATTTAGAGCTATCGTTGGGAGTATAGCAAACAGTCAGTCCACAGCCAGGACAATTTTGGCGTTGTTGTCGTTCAAAAGCAGTAGACCTAACGTTGGATAGACAATGATGATGCAGCAAGTCAGTTCCAGTATGAATGTAGTCTAGTTACAACGCACTTGGACATACCTCTGAATCAATATGGTGTTTCCTGGAACAGTGTGGAACCGCACAACCCGCTGATCCTCATCCAGAATATAGGCTTTATCTGTTTTCCTCTGTGGAACCTTTTCAATGAGAGTATCTAATATAAGAACGTACTCACCACAGAATGAGCAGTAATATACATTGAGACCGTCCTTGTCATTGTCAGGGTCATACTCGCTAACTACTCCACGACTAACGACTTTGGGCATAAGAAAAAACTATATTCAAGATAGTACTGTCAAGCTTTCTCAAAGCACTGCTGGCAGAGCTCTTGTATTGCACAAAAGAATAATCGGATCAATATCAATAGTATGAATATTTGAGGCCAAATTTTGAACAAGAAATTGTTCGCTTGAAATCTGCCAACCAATATTGCAGACTGATAATTAGTCCATTGGATTGCTCCTTCAGGATATATAGTGTCGATTATATTTCCTATGGACGGTTTTCAGTATAAATTTGTACAGTCTCCATCTGCATCGCTGCTCTGTCCAATGTATGTTTGAACTCGTATAAAGTGTGCACTGCCAATTAGTTCTAATTCATACAACTTGTCTTTGTGTTCTATCACTGGTCATGCTTGATCGTTTACAGCTGCCAAGATGTTTATTTGGATCCTGTGATTACCAATGGATGCCACCATTCTTTTTGCTTGAACTGTATCAATCAAAGTCTTGAGCTGGAGCAGCAATGCCCTCTCTGTCGCGGGCGTTTATCACAGCGAGGTTACCTACTTTTTGATTCATAACTAGTTGACCAAATTCGTTCCATTGATTTGCCAAGCTGGCAATGTGTTACAGTCAATCCAACTGACAATGCTTTAAAAATCATTTTGGCAGATCTTCATCCAAATCTTGCCCTTTCAGGTCTTGTTGGAGAGCTCTTGGTTTTTTGTGCATATTTCGACGATGGATGCATGGAACATCTGCGTATGGACTCTTATGCATCTCATTTAAAGCATTGCAACTATTCACCACAAAAATGCTCTAGTTACATACACGGATGCGAGTTTAAAGGTGTGTTACAATATATGGAGGGATGATTTGATTGGCAGTTGTTAAACCATTTCAATGCTATCTGGTAGGATCTGCAACAAGTGTTGATCTTCATCAGCAATCATGCCCTTACCAAAGATTGAACCCATTTATTCTTGCCGTCGAGAAACGTATATCGGATTTGGAATCTCTAGTGCATGCACAGTCTGCTCAAATCAATAGTCTTCTTTTAGCAAATCCATTAGCTCAAAGTGTCAAGACAAATTCTGTTACGATTGTAAGTGCTTTCTAGACATACTCTAGATTTGAGAGCTTGTTTTATGAATCGACACCTGCTTGATTGCTAACGATTTTAATAGAAGCCCAGTGAGAATACAAGAGTTCATCTTGACTATTTATCTGATAGGACACATGAAATGCCTGATATCATTGTACGTGATGATTTTATACTTGTTTATATCTGGTAATTCAAACCTAGTCTTTATTCCGATTTAACTGTTTTTATTAGGATCCATGGCCAAATGGCGATATTTTGTGTAAGAATACAATTTCTAGCGGTAGATCAGGCGTGACTTCTGTTGCATATGCTGGAGATAAACTGTATGTCGGGGCGTATGATGGGAAGATTAGGGTAGGCAGACTAATTGATATTTTCAGCTGTTGGATTTTCAGGTAATTTAGACTAATTATTTATTGTAGTCATATATAATGAAATCAGGAGAGCTTCTAGATTCGGTGGATGGACATAGTCTTTCAGTTTGGTCTTTGGCAGTGGATCCTTCAAGAAAACAAATATACAGTTCTGGTACTGATGGATTTATAAAGGTATTTGAGACTAGAATAATGTGATGACGAGTCGAATCTATTGGTAGAGTTCTACCACTTTTTTGACTCATCCCTACAACAAAATGGGCTGAAAATATATTATAGGCGTGGAATATTCAGGATAATGGCAAGCTAGTTTTGGCCGGTTTGATTCAGGCTGACCATGGAAAAGTATATTCCTTGGTTATGTACGGAGAGTTTTTGGTGTCTGCATCCTCGGACAAGACTATTCGACTATGGAATCGCCACACTCTAGAGTGCACAGGAACTCTTGTTGGCCATGAAGCAGGCGTGAATGCAATATGCTTGCTGCCTCATGACCAACTTGCTAGTGTTTCAAGCGATAAATCCATCAAGGTATCTTGACTGACAAAACAATATCCTCAAGTCAAAATTACCTTTGTAAAATATATGGTTTTATTTATTTGCTTTAGATCTGGGATTTGAACACTTGCCAAACCACAGGACATATTTCTCATCTACCAAGTGATGCATTGGACGTTACATTTGGTTCTGGTATGCTGTTTGCATCTACACTTGATGCAAATATCACTGCCTATGATTTGAATAGCTATTTGCGCGCAGGACAAATGACGGGTCATCGTTGGGAGGTGTGGCAGTTGAAATATACTTCAAACGTACTATTTAGCGGCAGTCACGATCACACCATCAAGCGTTGGGATATCCGATCATTTCGATCTACGGCGGATTTAACTGGCCACAAGGTATCATGTTGCATTTGCTTCCTATGAGATCTTGGGTTCTATCATATGCATTTTTATTTGTTCAATAACGCATTGGCAAAACTGATTTTTTGCATTGAAACTTTGTTTTCAGGGTTACATTCACTCTCTTGCTACTGGGGCAGGCTGTCTTATTTCTGGGTGTGGAGACAAGACAGTTAAAGTATGGGGAGCGTCCACAACGGAATAGGCACAATAAAAATAAGTCGACAGCCACATATTTATTGTATCTGATGGTCAGCCCGTCGCAATGACGCAGGCTTCATCGCAGCACGACACAAATATGAAAGTAGTCAAAGTTTAGCTAGAACGTTGCAGTATTAGAAACTACGCATCTGGTGCCACATACAGAGACTTGTCAATAACAGGTGGAATAGGTGTAATTTCGGTACCCAGCTCTTGCTCAATTTTGTACAAACTAAACCTGTCATCATAAGTAATCAAATTGATGGCAAGTCCGAGGTGACCAAACCGGCCAGAGCGGCCAATACGATGCAGATATGTTTCTGCATTCTTTGGAAAATCAAAGTTAATGACGACATTAACGGCCTGAATATCAATACCACGTGTCAACAGATCTATATACCACATGGTTAGAACGTGTACCGTGAGCTCCAAAAATGTTCATTATACTAAATACTGAGAAAGTACAAGGGAAAACTTGCCTGAACACACAAGATGGCGAGTCTTGCCGCTCCTAAAGTCGTGGAAAACACGGTTTCGATGACTCTGCATCATACGAGCATGAATATAAAAACAAGAGTATCCGAGCTCTGTGATTTTTCGTGCCAACAACTCTACCCGGCTGGTAGAATTACAAAAAATGATCGATTGATTAATTTGCAACTGCATCCAACCATCATGGTAAAAGATTGTGTCATGGTCACATGGGTATAGGTCAGTGATGCATTTTGAAACAAAGGCAAGCATCATAAAATACGCATAAGCAACAGTGTTTATATTGTACCTTGGAAAATAGGGTGTTGAGACAATGAACCTTTTGCCTTTCCTCCACATACGCATAGTATTGAGTAACACCATGAAGCGTCAACTCATCCATAAGATTGATTTCGTAAGGCTTTTGAAGAAACTTGTCCTTGAAGGTTTTCACCATCATAGGAAATGTGGCTGAGAATAAAAAGATTTGGCGCGACTTGTGACAGAAAGCAATAAGCTGCTCGATAATCGGAGCAAATTCAGGAGAAAGAAGTTTGTCTGCCTCGTCCATGACAAAGGTTTGGCATTGGGAAAGATTGGCAATACCTCGGCCTGCAAGATCCAGAACTCGGCCCGGTGTAGCTACAAGAATATGTACTATGATTGCCAAGGATTAATCAAGTGTAAATCTAGAGATGTCGCAAGAAATACAACAATAGCCTACCGGTTTGTCCTAGTCGCAAAATATCGTCTTTTAAAGTGGTACCGCCCGTTGAAACCATGACCTGAACATTCATATGCTTTCCTAAAAGTTTGCAGACCTGCGAGGTTTGCAATGCCAGCTCTCTTGTAGGAACCAAAAGTAGAGCTTAGCATGTAGAAAGTATAGATGGTTACACGTTTAGCCAACAATAAATTTAATATTCAATAGTTGTTTTTGAGCAAAAGTTGAAGCCCAAGTCAAACCAACAATGACTACCTTGAATATGGCTTTTTTGGATATTGATTTTTTCCAGCACAGGAATGACAAAAGCAGCAGTTTTTCCAGTTCCGTTTTTAGCACGAGCAAGAATATCTCGACCAGCGAGTGCAATTGGAATGGATTCTTCTTGAATCGGAGATGGTCGTTCAAACCCGGCTTCGAAAATTCCCATCAAGAGTTCACGCTTCAAAAAGTAGTCTTCAAATTCATTTCCTTTAGTTGCAGTGACATCTTGGGTTTGAGGACGAGTGTCTTTTTCAGGAAGTGCCAGTTGACGCTTCCATTCATCAGCATGGCCCCTGTAAAAGAAAATAATGATATGGATCAAACAAGGGATGAGATTAATAAGTGACATTGTGTCGCGGCAGATTGCCAAAAAGCAGTGAATTTTCAGTGTTTTAGAACCATAAGAGGTATCATCCAGAGCAAACAGTTATTTGATTTAACGATCACAGAACCAGCAGATAGGATCTGAGGCCTTTGACCCAAAAATCACCAAGCTTGGGGTAAAGTGCGAGCCATGAATACGCCAGCATTATACCCTCACCAGACTTGAAAAACTGCACATACAACAGGAGAAACTGAATGGATGATGCAAATAGTCAAAGATCCAAGGTTTGTTCAGTGAGATAAAGCCAAGGCAATGAATAGACGGTAGCCTTGGCTTTGGATTGCAAAGCCCTTTTCTCTTGTCATGCTCATTTGACTGAGGATTGGGGTTCATGATGCCTGTTGTACAGTTGGATAGAGTTGGCATGCAAGGGGTGTTGTAGGAAAGGAATTGGACAAGAGCTTCTTCAAGTGAATTCTGGAATATCAGGATAAGAGTAGTGATGACTACAAGGGATAGAGTGCTATAGACTTCAGATCTGTGGCAGGAGAGCAGGAAGCTGATAGAGTATATCAAGATTGGATAAGACCAATGACAGTAATGATCGGAGCAGATACGCTCGATGGCGGATAAGTCGCAGAGGGTTTGTCAGTCCAGAATGCATTCATCTTCAAGGTCAGATAGCCTGCTTTGGCCTATAAATCCAATCACAAGCACAAGGAAGACTAGACAGACAAGTGTCGTTTGTACCTGTTGGGACCATTCTGTAGGTGGTGAGCAGAGTGGCCGTTGTTTGCCATTTACAGAAAGAAGTCAAGTAGAAGAATAAAGCAAGGTCTACAGAGTACAATAAAAGATAGCTCGAGGCTAGTGTATAAACGTAAAGAACACTTGTGTCGAGTAGCAAAGTTGATCAAAGCGAGTTCAAGATCAAACTGTTCATTTCTATTGACAGCAATTGCAATCTTGGTGTTCAATCTGTTCTTGCATTTCTTCTTGCAATCACACTTGATGGATTTGAGTCTGTCTTTAATCTTTATGCCAACTCTTGTCGTTTCTATTCTATTCATTCGGCGCGTCCAATACAGATCTATGAAATCATCGAGTATTATCAATAAAGAATCCAGTCCATGTATTCTCCAACAATCATCAAAGTTCATTCCTATATTCTAGCATTCAATCTGTGTCATTGCTTAACATTCAGATCGCCATTGCGTTGCTTTTTAGAAAATAAAATCAAGATCAACAGAGTACAGGCATGCATATAGCATACATCAGATAGTCATGGCTGTATAGTTGTAGCTTGAATTACTGTCAATCCAGATTGCTCACAGTCCAACACGCTTCAGTTTTCTAAGTGGTGTTCCAGGCTCTCGTCTAGGTGTACGACTGCCTGGTGTCACAATCTGCGTGCGAGGTGTAGATTCCTCTGCAACCAACCGGCTCTCCTCTTGCTGACGTCTGACTATCGATATTCGCAGATTCTCCTCCATTTCCATAGTGTCTATTCGGTCTTGCTTTCTCTTATCCTAAAGATTATGTTGGATAAATATAAACTCGGATCTGACTCCATCAATAAATCACACCTGGCATTTGTACAACTTTTTCATCTTCACTTGGATCTATACACCAAGTAGACATCTGCAGTTGTATTGCCCAAAATACAGTAAAGATTTATAGCATACCTTTTGGCTATAGTTACAGTCTTTGATGCTAAAAAACATTGGACCAAGCTCTGCAAGCCACCTAAACAACGTTATCAAGCCAATCAATATCACTACAATCTGTTTTATATACTCGTACAAATAATACTTGCGTTCCATCAACAGCAGTCACTGTCTGCATGTATTCCTTTGAAGTCATAACTAGTTCGTGATAAATAATGTAGTCTGGAGTATATCCTCGTCCATATAATGCGCTAGTAGGATGCAAGTGACAAGGCATGCCAGATCTCATATTCACGTATTCGCCAATTCCTTTTAGGCGCGCAGACTGATGAAAATATGCTGCACATATACATTTTCTGTGATTTTCAAGTAATGTCAATTTGAAAAAATAAAAACATACATATTAGTCTATAAGGCACAACTCCAAATCATTGTAACCTAAACAACTCGATTTGATTACCTAACCGTGTCCCAGTCGCTTCCACAAGATTCAATGCGTATTTTCTGTTGTTTAGTAATATCTTCGAGCTGCTTTCGAACTTCCCTCCCCTTACGCATTCCTTTGGCGTGCAAAAAATGATCGGCACACCAAATCTCGCTATAGCTAAATTTTCAAATCATCAAGGAGCAAGCGTCAATATTTATAAATGTCACTCTGTATTCGAATGAGTCAACTTGAATCACAACATACTTGTTTGCCTTCCATTGGTTATATATATGCAGCAAGGTAAGATGATCAGATTCACCAACAAAAAACTTTTCTCGCATAGCGTCACTTTCCTCGGCGCGCTCCTTTGGACGATAAAAAATTGATGGAACAGACAGCATCGATACAATTGTCTAATGGAAAGTTTCAACAAAGCGTTGGTATGTAATTCAACTCAATATCAACACTAGGTCATTATACCAGCTACAAAAATGCAAAACACAAGTCATGCTACTCATACCAATATTTCCGACGTGCATCCAATACTCTCCGACATAATTATCATTTTGGCCAATGACGGGTCAACTGGAAATTCGGCCATCTTTTTACCAGTTTTTGTGAGCTCCCCAGTATTATCTAAAGCGCCAAGTACCCAGAGTTGGTACATTGAGTTCAGAATAGTTTCCTATACAATTTCCAGTTTGATTAAATACCAAAAATAGTCTTTGGCTGTCATAGTATAATGCATGTTTTATCATATTCGCATGCATACAAATATCTATACAATTAAACACAACATACCTGAGGAGGAAGATCGATAAAGTCGAATTTGAGCAAATCTTTCACCCCTAGCGTCTTTAGCAGTAGCACTACGTTGGCAAGGTTGGTGCGCTGAATTTCTGGTATATTATTTGGAAACATTTCGTGAATGTACGACGAATCCGTATAAAGACGAAAGCAAAATCTATAGCATACGACGTTCAGATATCTCATGTAAGTTTCAAATCAATATGGCCTATATTACTCATTGATGGCATCACCAATAATCAACTAACCCCGGACCCGTACGCCCTGCACGTCCTGCACGCTGATTGGCATTGGCCTGGCTAACAGGTGTAATTTGTAAAGAATCCATACCAATTTTGGGATTGTAAACCTTAAGCTTTGAAAACCCAGAATCCACTACATACATGATTCCATCCACTAAATTCAAGTATCAGAAAGTTAATAAATGAACAGCACAGCTAACCAAACAAAATAACACTCATTCAAACCTGTTAGCGACGTCTCTGCAATGTTGGTGGCAACAATAACTTTTCGTGAGTTGTTGGATGTTTTTTCAAAAATTTTAGCTTGTAAATCTGCAGGAAGTTGCGAGTAGATTGGCAAAATTGAAAGTGGAAGAGCATCATCAAGCTGTCCCAAGCGTTCTACAGTTAAATAATCCAAAGCGTAAGTCAAAGAATGGCAATAAAAAACAGACATGATCAATCCCTTCAGTAGACACCTTCTATAACAGCACATGTTACTTCAATATCTTCTTGGCCTGTCATAAACACAAGAATATCTCCAGGAGGATGAGATAAATGGATTGAAAGAACTTGCTTGACTGCAGCATCAACGTAATCTTCACACGGGTTTTTACTAAACATAATGTCTACAGGAAATGTTCGACCGGGAATTGTACATATTGGAGCACCGCCAAAAAATTGAGAAAACTAAAGGTTGATACAAATTCAACAATCTCAATAAATGCATACTTAATCAAATCAAGCAATGTTTTACTTTTATATTCTATACCTTTTCAGCATTCATGGTGGCAGATGTTACAATAAGTTTTAGATCTCGACGACGTGTCATTACTATTCAAATAACAAAATAATTATGCTTTGGTTAGCACGAGCTCTGAAATTCAAGAGGAATGACTTTCAATTAAATAGAATATAAAATAGGTAAAGTGCGTATACCGGTCTCGTTCAGAGGCACACACCTGTTTTTAAAAGCCCCATAAGCACATCAGTATTTAGAGCCCGTTCATGCGCCTCGTCCATAATAATGCAACTATATTGATCAATATCAGGCGATCTAAGTGATTCTCTTAGCAAAACACCATCAGTCATATCTAAGTAATATGTATGACACATTATAAACGATTAGCAGGTGATTCTATTGTAAAAGCAAACACTAATCAATAAAACGAATTGCTGGTACATTTTATAACGGTCGACGGGGTGGTACAATCTTCAAAACGAATTGCATATCCAACAAGTCCACCAAGTTCAGTCTAGAATTCAATGGTTTAAAGTGTAATAGAACTGTCAGCATCATTGTAAACAGAACCCCCATCATTAAACATAGTGCTGTGTACCTGCATCTCCTCGCTGACACGTTTCGCGACCGACATTGCAGCCACACGTCGAGGTTGAGTGCATCCCACTATACCATGCTTTGTAAACCCATCTTCGTACAAAAATTGTGCTAACTGGGTAGTTTTTCCAGATCCAGTCTCGCCAACAATGATAATAACTGATTTGAAAAATTAAAAATGAACAAGTTGCAGCCCTAAACTAAGAATGCTGGATACAGCCACCAACAACTATACCTACTTGGATTGTCACGAATCACTTGCATCAACAATTCACGGACAGAAAATGCAGGCAAATACTCGCGCTGTTCTCTGAGAGATTTAGAACGAGAAAATGCACTGGCTGAGTCGGTTTTTTTCTTCATATGATCTGAAAATTTTGCCTCGCCCTTGTAATCTTGATCAGGCGTAGGAGTAGCAGAGGCCTTTGAATCTATCTCAGTAATACGTTAAAAAATAGTACAGCCTGATATAGTTTCATAAAACAAGTAGATCACATACCTGATGAAGAGTCTTGCTGCTTAACCCCCAAAATATTCCCAAGAGAGGTCCCAGCAAGTTGAAATGTCTTTCCAGCAGCCTTTAATAAATCAACAATCAGAAAAATCATAGTTGTATAGCGTGCAACAAATCAAAAATTTAACCTACTTTAGCTCGTTCTTGTTGTTCTCGTTTTTCTCGCACAAGCCTGCTTCCTTTGCGAGAAATGACAGCTAGATTTGCAGTAGGATCTCGAAGTACTTGTACAGGTTCAAGCTGCTTTGTAAAAACAGTCTTGCCATCCAAAAATAAAGGTTTTAAATTCCTGACTAAAATATGTACACGTGCCTAAAATTGAACAGTTGGAGTCGATCAGTTATTGATCTTGATAAAAATCGTGTCAATCAGCAACTATATAAAACAACTTTATATACCTCATCGTCATCGTGTTCATCAGCATTGCTATTGGAGCGTTGAGCAACACCACTTGTAAGCATTCGGTTTGTTTCCCATAAATCATTGTCCCGATTATATTGTGCCTGGCGAGCAGACACCCGTTTCTAACAATGTATATAATAATCATTTAGTGTTTTATAGTTGAAGATTGACAATCTACTTATTTCTCACCATCTGTTGTTTTGCAAATTCTTCCTCTTTCTTCCTGTAATATCCATCATAGTCTGCAAATGGATTGTGCGACTCGTCCATGGTCTAAATAAAATGGGTTAGTTTGGTATCCCATATGTATATCATTGACAGGCCACAATTCAAAACACGACCATACCCCAGAATCTTCCATAGTGTACCAATCTCTGTCAACATTAACATCATCTTCTCCATATAGTCCTTCTAAATCTGCACTTGCTAAAGGTGTCGGAGGTTCTCCATAATGATCTAAAGCACCATTTATACAATATTTTAGTACCAAATTCAAAAACATAAGCATGGTAAAATATCGTATTGTTGTTATGGCTATATAATACTACATCACACGACCAGTTTAAAAAACCAGTATTTTAATATTAAACCTATGTTTAACTTACTTGTGCTTATCATTCGGCTACTGTTTGAAAGAATGCTAGATCGTGACGGTGTCTGACTCCACTCACTACTACGCGATGATTGACTGGATTCAGAATAAAGCGCTTTACCACTATTGGTGCGAGACGAGAGATGCAAGCCTCCATCTATTCATTCGTAGCCATTAGCATATTTTTAAAGAGAGACAGATACATGCCAGATTACAAGTTCAATTCGGTGTACCTCGATAACGATCTTTGTTTTTTCGATGCTCTTCGAGTCGCTTTTTAGCATCGCTGGATATTCCACCATGTCCAGATGGAGTATCCAATGGACGCTTCCGATATGCACGACCTATAATCAAAAATAGGCAATGCTTTTAAATAGTGATGCAATTATCTGGTTATGAGTCTATCAATCCTTACCCTGCTGAAAATCTTGGTTTTTTGATAAACTTTGAGATGTCGTATCCTGTTGGGCTGCTATTGACTCTTGTTGAATTATTCTTTCTTGCCTTTTCTGTTCAGCAAGTTTGTCTAGTCCCAAAGCCGATATTCGATTCGCTGGGGCCTTGAATACATGACGCTATTATCCAGTTATTCCAGTATGAATGAGTAAATGGTCATGAAGCCGGCTAGTTTGCACTAATGAAATATAACATGGTGCACTACCTTGACATCACTATGTTGTCCGGTTTCATTCAAAGAGCGAAACACAATTCCTCCTTTAAGAGGAACAGAGGCTTCCAGTGTATCCACATCTCCAGAAGAAACGAACCCTTCTGTTATTCCTGTTTGCTTGTTGGACATTTCCAGAACGAATAAAGTTGAAAGCAGAAGGAAATACAAATTGCATTGACAACCAATTTCAAGATGTGCTTTCCTTGATATGGGTGAACATCACATACACAGATAAGACTTGTGGTTTAGATCGAGAACATACAAAAGAGGTTTCGGCTTGAATGGGTGCAAGACCACTTATTCCAGTCCAGTGCAATAATACTAAAACGCGGAGTTGAATGTTGGAAACCGCTTGAACTGACGATACGCTCTCATAATTCAACCTTTTCCTATTACCAAAAACTTGACTATAGTATTGTTCTTTTGAGTTGGTTACTGGAAACTATACACTTGAACGTGGTCGTGAACAACTTGCAGGTATTTTACGTGTTGTTATTATAGTTGTCGGGATATCAGGTTTATTGTATTTGTCAAGATACTGCTATACTGTAGATATTGGCAATATCACATCTGTCAGATTCTTACTGATATATAAATCCACTTTTATAACGCTTTGCATACTTTAGAATTATTATTGTTTCATTAATTAGTTTACCAGTACTACCCTGTGCTGCATAGACTACAATGTTAGCACTTGACAATGTTGAAAATCAAATGTCTGGTGCAGATCTAGAACAACAGCCTTTAAACGAATCAAATACTGCTTTAAATGATAATATGGACTCCAACACTCCAAATGAAGTATCTCCAACTCTAGCAAAATCAGAGCAGGGTTCTGAGAAATACTTGGCTAAAAAGCTCACTGAAAGTAAGCAGGCTTCGACTGCATTATTGACTTTCGACGCAACTGAAAACTCGCGTCATTCATTGAACGTGTCTGAAGAAGCGCCCATCCAGGATGATGCACTGGTAGAAAACGAGTCAAGATTTTCCAAAACTAGTGCTATTTCTTATACGGATGCTTGCTTTCTTGATTGCTTGAAAAGGATAAAAAAGGTTATTACCTTGGAAAACTACGATGAAAAGATGTGGACGCCTGAGCATGAAAATACCCTTCGCGAGTTTATTTGCTCGCCCAGCTTATCCAAGGTTGTCATGTTTATGGACGAGGCTAACAACTCTCCACAGTTTATTGTACAAGCGGCACTTCCAACCACTTCCAATCACTTTAAGGAACTCATGTACTTTATTCGCGATTCTCTGATTGATGGTGAGATTCTAACCAAAACAAACTTTGAGCAAAAGGTGCAGTACGGCAGTGTATCCAAAAATGCAGCTGATGGTTTACTACGTTTAATGCAGGGTGTATATGTGCCTGTGTTTCTTGAAAATAAGCGATGGCCAGATAGCGTGCGCAAGGAGTTCAATAGTCAGCTACATAAATTCATGGCGTTTTTAACAGACACTACTTTTCAAATGAAAGGACACACAGTTCTCTACGTACCTAAAGAAGATTTATCAGTTTCTGAGACTACTCTAAAAAGTAATGATGTAGTACAACGTCTCGAGTCATTATTGATCCACTGGACTCGCCAAATCAAAGATGTTGTCAACAATCAACATACTCTGGAAACTACTGAAAATTCGGGTCCCTTGCAAGAGATTCAGTTTTGGAGCAGTCGGTGCGATGATCTCTCAGGAATCTCAAAACAGCTTGATCGTCCAGATGTGCAGCAGATAATCCGTGCCTTAGAAATGGCCAAGTCGTCCTATTTGGAACAGTTTCTGCGATTGTCTAATCTAATTCATGAGGGAACTATTCAAGCTCAAGACAATTTAAAGTTTTTGTCGACGCTTCAGGAACCTTGCCAACTGCTTGCAGAGGCCGAGCCTAAAAACATTCCCGAAATTCTCCCCAAGCTGCTTAACTGCATTCGTTTAATATGGGCAAACTCCAAATACTACAATACCAAAGAGCGCATGACTAGTCTAATGAGGAAAGTCAGCAATGAAATTATTCGAAGATGCTGCGTCAAAATTTCTCTCGAGGATATATTCCATGGAGATGTTCAAACAAGCATGTCGAGTCTTCAAGACAGCATAGTATGTGGCGAATCATGGAAGCAAATATATAAGCGCACCTGCAACCATATTGCCAAGTATTCCAAAGGCAGTTGGGATTTGGATCAAAGTAGCATTTTTGCTCAGATTGATGCATTTGTTCAGCGTTGTCGTGATTTATTAGAAGTATGTGAAGGCCAGATCCAGTTTGCAAGAAAGCTATCTGGAGGTGAAAAAGCACCCATTCCTTTTTTTGGAGGTTCTCATGGCTCCGAAATTGCCAAAAGGTCAGTAACCATTTTTTGCTTGGTTGGAACTGATATTCACAATTGCATGTCTTGCTCGTTCATGGATTTATGGTAGCTGGTTTGTATTAACTTTTTGCACGCATTTATAGTCTTGAGGATATTGAACTAGCTTTTGAAAAACTGCTTTCAAACCTTTGGGATATAAGATGGCATATTTTGAATGTAAAAGCAACTCGCTGGCACGATGACTACAACAGCTTTAAGCAAGGGGTAAAAGATTTAGAGGTAATGATGCAAAATGTCATTATATCAGCTTTTGAGAATGCCATGACAGTTGAAACTGGAGTAGAGCTTCTCGATATTTTCCACCATCTGGCCAAGAGAGAGGCTATAAAGAGAACCGTCGAAAAAAAGAATGCCGATGTGTATCAGATTCTTTTACAGGAATTGAATATTGTAAAGATCGAGTTTGAAACGCATCGAAAAACGCCAGATGTATTACGATCTCAACCAGACTATGCTGGCTCTGCCTATTGGGCACGTGCCCTACTTCGACGCATTCAAGTGTCTATGGGCTGTCTTTCAAATGCATATTATCTACCGTACACTATTTTATCTGAAGAGGCCAAGGCCCAGTTTGAGCCTCTTGCTGCGTCACTCGAAGAATATATTTCACGAACACACACCGAATGGGTTGCAAGTCTAGGCACCGCACTGGCTGAAAAGCTTGAAGGAGTGTTGATGACACACAAGCCGGGTGAACGACTTGAGATGAAGTTTGACAAGGATCTTTCAAGGCTTTTTTCTGAAATAACGTATTTCCAAAAACTCAAATGTGATATTCCATTCCACGTCCAAGAAATCTACAGTAAAAAAGAAGAGCTTCGCATTCTAAAAGAAAATGTGCTTCTTGTAATTCGCGACTACAATACCATTATGGAGACTATTACACCAGAGCAGCATTGGATCTTTAAAGAACGGATTAGATTTTTAGATCGCAAGATAAACCCCGGGGTGACAAGCCTTACCTGGTAAGTGCTGTTTATATTAACTACACTTGGAAAATTATGCGTGTTGTTAATTATTTTTTTGTAGGGCATCCAAGGGAATTTCCGAGTTTTTTGTAAAGGAATGCCGCCGTCATTCCCATGATGTTCAACGAACAGTATCTGATTTTCTGGAAGCCGACAAGCGTATTCATATGCACTGCCAGACAATTGCTCAAACTTCACTATGGCAAATAGAAAACAAGCGTATCTACGATCTCGAGACATTTAAACAGCTACAGCAGAATCATCAAGCTATAATGCAGGAGCGCTTGAGCAGTGCATGTCAGGAGATAAAAAGCACACTGGAGCAAGCTTATGAGGTATTTCGAAACGACGGAAAGGATGTTTATTCTCACTGGATTCGTTACATTGAAAGTATTGATACCAAGCTAGAAGATGCCTTACGATCCGCTGTACGCCGCTCTCTTTTAGAAATATCCAAAGCTATCAACGGAGAAGGCAAAAATCGAGATGGAGGATGTGAAGTTCACCCATTGTTTAAAGTCAATGTGATACTTGATACACAAAAAGTAGATTTTAGCCCAACTCTTCAACGACTTGAAGACACGGTCAATAGGTTTGCACAAGATATGATTTCCACCGTCAAAGTCATTCCTCGCTTGGCTGAATTGCTTATAACGGATGCTTTACACAGCAACAGGAGCAGTGCTTACAATGTTATTTCTAGTGAAGAAGACATTATCAAGATTCTTTCTGGTATTCAGGTGGGAATGTCAAGCAATGCCACCAAATGTCAGGCATACTTGCGAAACTGGGATTCATATCGTGAAATTTGGGAAATCAACAAAGATGCTTTTATTCGTCGATATGCAAAATTGAAACCGGCTCTTTCTACTTTTGATGCCGATATAAATCGATACAATGAGGTAGCCAATAACACACAAAAGGAGGAAACACTGACAAATGTCAATTTTATTCGATTAGATTGTTCGCTGCTGAAACATGAACTTGTTTCACACTGTAGTGCATGGCAAAACAAACTTACGGCTTTATTAAACGCGAATGCAGCAGCAGAACTTAACAATCTTTATGACATGTTTGTCAAGAAAACTGACAAGCTTTGTTCTCCGCCAAAAGATCTTGAACAGCTTAGCGAAAGCCTTTCACTTTTGGCACAGCTTCAACTGGACTCTCCTACAATCGAAGCGCAATTTGCACCTATACATGAAATGTATGACGTTTTGGAAAAATACGAAGTGCATATTAATGATGAGGAAAAAGCACGGCTAGAATCTCTTCCAGAAACTTGGGCCGCATTTTTGAAAACCATTTCTGAATCGGAGCATCGGCTTCATGAGTCAAAATCAAAGTTCAAAACGGAACTACTCAATGCAATTGATGAATTTTCAAAACAAACTGCAAGTATGCGAGACGATCTTGCAACAAAGGGGCCATTTTTGTCTAGTATTGGGGCTGACCGTGCCATTAGAGCAATTACAGACTACCGCTCTGCTTTAGCCTTGGCTGCAAATCAAGAAAGATCCCTCAAAAAAGGACTCGCAGTTTTTAAAATCGAGCACCCTCCCTCAAAGGACATGGAAAGCATAGCTGCTGATCTTGATTCACTGTTTCAAATATGGCAAACCACACAGGAGTGGAACCAGATCTATGATGGCTGGAGATGGAATCCTTTTCTCTCTCTTGATAGTAGCGAAATTGAGGATACCGTGCAAAAGTTTATTCGCAAGCTTGGCAAAATGGGCAAGGAAATGAAGGACTGGGATGTCTTTACTAGTTTGAAAGAAAGCATAAATCAAACAAAACGCACCATTCCACTGTTGTTGGATCTACGCAACCCTGCCATGCGAGATCGTCACTGGGGTCAAATTATGGACGAGATTGGAAAATCATTCAATTTTCAAAACAGTGATTTTACTCTTGATAAAATTCTTGAACTTGGTTTAGATCAACACACTGAAGCTATTTCCATTCTTTCAACTGCAGCAACAAAAGAGTTGTCAATTGAGCAGGCTTTGGCCACCATTAATGATTCCTGGCTTGTGATGGATCTTGATTTGGTTTTATACAAAGAAGATCGCGGATATTATAAAATTAAAAGTACTGAGACATTGTTTGAGTTATTAGAAGATAACCAGGTAACTCTTTCATCTATGAAAGCATCAAAGTTTTTCTCTTCATTCCAAGCCCAAGTCGATCACTGGGAACGCACACTTTCTCATGTGGTAGAAGTTGTAGAAATACTGCTTTTAGTTCAGCGTCAATGGATTTATCTAGAAAATATATTTGTAGGCACTGAAGATATTCGAAAACAGCTACCAAAGGAATCTGCAGTGTTTGACAGTGTCAATACCGCGTGGGCGGATATGTTACGGCAAATTCATCATGATAGAAACGCTTTACGAGCAACACATTCTCCGAAAATTCTTGAGTCGCTTATCGAAATGAATGCTCAGCTAGAGAAGATTCAAAAATCGCTTGATATGTATCTTGAAACAAAACGTCAGGCATTTCCGCGATTCTATTTTCTTTCAAACGATGACCTGCTGGAAATCCTTGGCCAAGCAAAAGATCCGAATGCGGTGCAGTCGCACTTGAAAAAGTGTTTTGATAATATTCATAAACTTGAACTCGTCATGGCAGGCGTAGATGGGCATCGACATAACGAAGCACTTGGAATGTATTCTGGAGACGGCGAATATGTTCAGTTTAGTTCTCCAGTTATAGTTGAAGGTAGAGTAGTAAATACATGGATTTAATTATGATATATTGGTTGTCTATAATGAATAGATAAAAACTAGAATGTTATTGGCAACTTTAGGTCCTATTGAAATGTGGCTTGTCGAGATTGAAAGCGCAATGCGAACAACTTTGCGTAAACTACTCCCACAATGTCTAAATAGTCTTAAAAAGGCAAAGCGTGACAAGTGGCTAAAGGATTGGGCAGGAATGCTCTTAATCACAGCTGGACTAATTTCGTGGACTTCTGACTGCACCAAGTCGCTGCAAGAAATTGAAAAAGGAGAAAAGTCTGCTTTAAAGAATCTGAAAAAAAAGCAAGCATCAAGCTTAAAGCGTTTGGCAGATCTAGTTCGCTGCCCACTTGGTCGCATTGACAGAAAAAAGTTGATTGCGCTCATTACAGTCGAGGTTCATTCGCGAGATGTTATTGACAAAATGGCTAAAACAGGATGTAGTAGCACTAATGCTTTTGAATGGCTAAGTCAACTTCGCTACTATTGGGAAAAGGAAGGAAAGGACGATGAAGATTGTTATATCCGTCAAATCAACACACACTTTCGCTTTGGTTACGAGTATTTAGGAAATAGTGGCCGCCTTGTTATCACACCACTTACTGATCGTTGCTACATGACCTTGACAACGGCTTTGCACCTTTTTCGTGGAGGAAGTCCTCAAGGGCCCGCTGGAACTGGCAAAACAGAGACAGTCAAAGATCTTGGAAAAGCACTTGGGAAATTTGTAATTGTCCAAAACTGTTCAAAGGCTTTGGATTACAAGTCGATTGGAAGAATGTTTAGTGGGTTAGCACAGACTGGTGCTTGGGGCTGCTTTGACGAATTCAATCGCATTGATATCGAAGTTTTAAGTGTTGTTGCTCTGCAAATCTCGTGCATACTAACAGCCATCTCTCGCAACAGCAAAATATTTGTATTTGAGGGTAAAGAAATTCGATTAGATACATCGTGTGGTATATTCATTACTATGAATCCAGTAGGTTAAATGCTTTTTTTAAAAGTACATATTCTCTAGTTGTTTCAGTTACTAACGTATCTGTTTATAATTCATTTAAAGGGGTATGCCGGTCGAGTAGAACTTCCAGACAATTTAAAATCACTTTTCCGCCCAGTTTCTATGATGGTTCCAGACTCTGCATTGATTGCTGAGATCATGTTGTTTGCAGAAGGGTTTTCAAACACTCGTGTTCTTTCCAAAAAAGTTGAAACGCTATATCGGCTAGCTATTCAGCAACTGTCAAAGCAAGATCATTATGATTTTGGTCTTCGCGCTTTAACATCTGCACTCAAAAGTGCCGGTACACGAAAAAGACTAGATTTAAACGCTCCTGACGATGCAGTCTTGTATTTAGCAATGCGTGACAGCAGTCTCCCAAAGCTTACTGCCGAAGATGTCCCGTTATTTTTGGGTATTCTTTCAGATCTATTCCCAGGTGTAGAGGCATCGCCTATAGACTCTACAGAGCTGAGAAATGCAATTTCTGAAGAGTTGAAAAGTTCAAATATGGTGCAAATTGATAGTATAATATCAAAAGTAATTCAATTGTTTGAAACCAAAGTCAGCAGACACGGAGTTATGATTGTCGGAAATACAGGCTCAGGAAAATCCACAGTTTGGAAAACACTGCAGGGCATGTTTGGACGACTGGAGAAAACCTTTCCAGAGCGCTATTCCACGGTAAAAACGTTTTTATTAAACCCAAAAGCGCTTTCCCTTGAAGAATTGTATGGCGAGTTTAACATTGCCACAAACGAATGGAGCGATGGTGTTCTATCCAATTTGATGCGCAGTGCATGCTCAGATGAGCGTAGAGATCAAAAATGGATTGTTTTAGATGGCCCAGTTGATACTCTTTGGATTGAATCAATGAATACTGTTCTTGACGACAACAAAGTTCTCACGTTGATCAATGGGGAACGAATTGCTTTGCCAGAGCAGGTATCATTGCTATTTGAAGTGGAGAATCTTTCAACCGCGTCTCCAGCTACTGTCAGCCGATGCGGAATGATTTATATGGATTATGAGGATCTTGGATGGAAACCTTTTATGGAATCATGGGTGTTTTCAAGGGGTGACGACCAGTCGGCTGAAATCCTTCGTAGGCTCATTGAAAAGTACATTGCTCAAACTTTGGAAATTCGTAAAACTTGCATGGAAATCGTTCCAGTACCTGAATCAAGCGCAATCAAGTCATTTTGCAAATTGTTTGACTGTGTAGCAACCATGGGTAATTTTTCAAACTTTTTATTGTAATGTATGATGATTTTTTAATTGTAAACATTGCTATTTTTGATAGAAAATGGAGTAAATCCAGAAGATCCAGACACTTACAATCGCATGCTAGAGCTTTGGTTTCTTTTCTCGGTAATTTGGTCTATTGGAGGCTCATTGACAGATGAAAGTAGAAAGAAATTTGATTCGTTTTTAAGAGAAATCGAAGGCCAGTTTTCTAGCAAAGATACTGTTTTTGAGTACTATGTTGATAAGCAGTCCAAAGGATGGGGCCATTGGGAAGACAAGCTTCAAAGTGGCTGGCGATACTCGAGTAGCCTTCCGTTTTATAAAATATTTGTGCCCTCGATTGATACCATACGTAACGAGTTTATTCTGAAATCGCTGGTCAATAAGCGTAGTCCCGTTCTTTTGGTTGGTGATGTCGGCACAGGCAAGACTTCACTTATTCAAAATTCTATTTTGACATCTGAGACCGGATATAGTCAGCTAGTAGTAAACATGTCGGCTCAAACCTCGTCTGATAGGTTACAAGGCTACATTGAAGGAAAGCTTGAAAAGCGAACCAAAAACATATTTGTTCCTATTGGCGGAAAAAGCTTGCTCATGTTTATTGACGACTTTAATATGCCAATGAAAGATGACTTTGGATCACAGCCACCATTGGAGTTTATTCGCCACTGGATGGACTATGGATTCTGCTATGATCGTCAAAAGCAAACGCTCAAGTATTTGAACGATATATTTGTGATTGCTGCCATGGGTCCACCTGGTGGTGGTCGTAATTCTCTAAGTCCACGAATTCAAGCTCGCTTCAATGTTCTCAATATGACTCTTCCTAGTGAAACTTCGGTTTTCCGAATTTTTTCCTCCATAGTTAATCAAAAGCTGCAAGATTTTGAAGAGGACGTTAAACCACTTGGAGATATAATTACTCATTCCACCATTGAAATCTATAATGCGGTTGTATCTCAGCTGCTTCCAACACCAGCCAAAATCCACTATTTATTTAATTTACGTGATATTTCCAAAGTATTTCAAGGCATACTCCGAGCCAATCGTGAATACTATGATTCCCGCGAAACAATGACAAAACTATGGGTACACGAAATAATGCGCGTGTTTAATGATCGTCTTGTAGACAAACCTGATCGGGACTATTTTTCAAAACTGCTTGATGACAAACTAAACTCTCATTTCAGCACTTCATTGCAGCAGCTTTGTGGTCCAAAGCGCAAATCTATTTTTGGAGATTTTCTTAATGTTTCTGCCGACAACTTTCTATACGAAGAAATCAGTGATCATGAAAAGCTAAAGCATTTCATGCAAGAAAAACTTTTAGAATACAACAGCGAGTCGGGCTTTGTGCAAGCCAATCTTGTATTGTTTTTTGACGCAATTGAGCATATTTGTAGAATCACAAGAGTTCTTCGACAGCCGTGTGGAAATGTGCTTTTAATTGGTGTTGGGGGTTCAGGGCGACAATCGCTTGCTCGTGTGGCATCTTATATTGTTGATACAGCAGTATTTCAGATTGAAATTTCAAAACACTACCGCCATGCTGACTTTCGCGAGGATTTGAAAAAGCTTTATCGCACAACAGGTTTGGATAACAAACCAACCACATTTTTATTTACAGATGCACATGTAATCAATTCTAGTTTTTTGGAGGACATGAGTAACATTTTAAGTAGTGGAGAGGTATGTATTATAATTGCCAAGTATGCACTCATACAAATGATCAAAGTATATCCAAACCATTTTTCTAACTTGTGACTATAGGTGCCAAATATGTTTTCTCCCGAGGAGCTTCTGGATATAAAGCAAAGTATACTACCCATGTGTAAAGCTGGCGACACGGGCGATGCACTGTATACCACTTTTATGGAGCGAGTAAGACGAAATTTACACGTAGTACTGTGCATGAGTCCTGTTGGAGATGCTTTTCGAAATAGACTTCGAATGTTTCCTTCACTCATAAATTGTACTACTATTGACTGGTTTTCAGAATGGCCAGAAGATGCTCTCCAAGATGTAGCACTCAGTTTTTTGGCGGATGTAAATCTTGGAACAGAACAAACCAAGCGTGCCATATCACAAATATTCGTGGCAATGCACACATCTGTTGTAGAAATGTCTGCAAAAATGGTAACTGAACTCAAACGCTACAACTTTGTCACACCAACAAACTATTTGGAACTAGTCACTGGCTATAAAGAACTTCTTTTGCAAAAACGTCGCGAGATTGGCAATTCAGCACAAAAACTACAAAGTGGTCTTAGTAAACTCGATGATACTCGCCAAAACGTAGAACAAATATCAGTAGAGCTTGAGGTGTCCAAAAAACAAGTATCCCAATATCAAAAACAATGCGAAGATTACTTGGTTGTTATTGTTCAACAGAAACGTGAGGCGGATGAACAAGCAAAAAGCGTTTCTGCCAAGGCCGAAAAATTGGGAGTTGAGGAGGAGGAAGTGCGTGCTGTAGCCGAAGCCGCACAAGCAGATCTCGATCAAGCAATACCTGCGTTGAATGCTGCAGTCAAGGCACTAGAGGCAATTAACAAAAAGGATTTGAACGAAATTAGATCCTATGGCAAACCGCCACCATTGGTCGAGAAGGTCATGGAGGGCGTAATGGTACTTAAAAAATGTGAACCGACATGGGAAGAGGCAAAAAGGCAGCTTGGAAATCCATATTTTATCAAGCAGCTGGTCAATTTTGACAAGGATAACATTTCTGACAAGATTCTCAAACGCATTTCTCAATACTGTGCAGATGAAAACTTTCAGCCTGATATTGTTGGCAGAGTTTCTGGTGCATCTAAATCATTGTGCATGTGGGTTCGAGCAATGGAAACATATGGTTTGTACATTCTAGTTATTGTTAATCCGATTAGCTTTTTTGTAGCTAAATATTACTTTTAATGATTGATAGGAACCATTTTTCGACAGGTTGCACCTAAAAAAGAAAAACTTCGCGTTGCACAGGAGACGCTGGAAAAAAAGCAAAAAACTTTGCGAGAAGCAAAGTTTAAGCTTCAAGAGATTCAAGATAAGCTAGTAGAGCTCAAGACTCAATATGACGAAAAGGTGACGTTGAAAGAAAAGTTGCGACAGGAATCTGAGCAAACAGAAGTGAAACTATCGAGAGCTGAAAAACTAGTTTCAGGTCTTTCTGGAGAGCGAGATCGTTGGGAAAAAAGCATTCAGCAGTATGAAGAAGCGCTTTGCTGTCTTCCGGGAGACTGCTTGCTTGCAGCAGCATTTTTATCATATGCTGGACCATTCAATAGTGTTTATCGTCAGTCCCTTTCTAATGGTATTTGGCTTGCACAGATTAAAGCGTTAGAAATTCCATTTACCGCTGAATTTTCCTTTGACAAGTTTATTGGAAAGGCTACGGATATTCGAGAGTGGAGCATCCAAGGATTGCCCAGCGATTCATTTTCAGCAGAAAATGGTATTATTGTAACTCGCGGTCGTCGCTGGCCACTTATGATTGATCCACAAGGCCAAGCAAACAGCTGGATTAAAAATATGGAGCAAAAGCGGGACCTTAAAGTGATCGATCTTAAGCAGCACGACTATCTTCGGACTCTTGAAAAAGCCATTCAATTTGGCACTCCAGTATTGCTCCAAGGCGTTTTGGATGTCCTTGATCCCAGTTTTGATTCAATTTTAAACAAATCCATTGTAAAGAAAGGTGGAATTCTGACCATTAAATTGGGGGACAAAGACGTCGAGTATCATCCCGATTTTAAATTCTACATCACAACCAAACTGGCAAATCCCAAATATTCGCCAGAGATATTTTCCAAAGTCACCATTGTAAACTTTGCTGTCAAGGAAAAAGGATTAGAAGATCAGTTACTAGGCATAACTGTTTGTCGCGAAAAGCCAGAGCTTGAGGAGCAAAAAAATGCACTTGTAGTAAATGTTGCTACAGCTAAAAGAAGGCTTATTGAGCTCGAGGATGAAATTTTGCATCTACTGAGTACCGCACAAGGATCTCTTTTGGATGATGAAAAATTGGTTTACACTTTGCAGTCTTCAAAATCGATTGCCGACGATGTTAACCAGCAACTAATAGTCAGTGAACAAACTGAAAAGCGTATTGATGCAGCTCGTGAGGGATACCGCTCAGCTGCGCAGCGCGCCTCTATTCTTTATTTTGTATTGAACGATCTTGGTTCGGTAGATTTTATGTATCAGTTTTCGCTCGATACTTATATTGAGCTATTTGAAAAATCGATTGCAAAAAGCAAAAAATATGAAGACATCAGCGAGCGGATTGCCAGCTTAAACGACTTTCATACTTATTCTGTGTATAAAAACACATGTCGTGGGTTATTTGAAAAGCACAAGACTTTATTTTCTTTTCAAATGACTGTCAAAATATTAGAAGCAAGCGGAAAGTTGAATAGAGCCGAGTATAATTTCTTGTTACGAGGAGGACAGGTGTTGGACAAGGATTCTCAGCCAACCAATCCTTGTACTGAATGGTAAGAGTCGGATTTTTTATTAGACAATTGTTTGTATAGTAAGTATTGGCTGCAGTGACTAACTAGCATTTTGCCTACGCGTTTATATTTTTACAGGATCACGGATAGCGCATGGGATAATTTAACAGAACTAGATGCTCTAGTGGCCACATCTGGAATTATCAGTTCAATCGAACAGTCGGAGCGAGATTGGAAAGCATGGTTTATGAGTAGTGAGCCAGACGAGATTGCACTACCTGGGGATTGGGAAAACAAACTCAACGATTTGCAAAAGATGCTTATTGTTCGATCTCTACGACCCGACCGTATTCCATTTTGCGCAACCACGTTTGTCGCCAATAACCTTGGACAGAAATTTGTCGAGCCTCCAATTTTGGACATGCAGGATATACTAGCAGAGTCATCTCCCAAAACCCCATTAATATTTGTATTATCACCTGGAGTAGATCCTACATCAGCACTGCTTCAGCTGGCAAAGAAAAAGGGTATGACGGAGCGATTTCAATTTTTATCACTGGGTCAAGGTCAGGCACCAAAGGCAACTCGCATGATTCAGGATGCCTTGCGTGATGGAGGTTGGGTATTCCTAGCAAATTGCCATTTTTCAATTTCCTGGATTGCCACATTGGATAAAATCATTGAAAGCATTCCCAGCGAGAATCCACATCCAGATTTTCGTCTTTGGCTTTCCAGCAGTCCACATCCAGATTTCCCAATATCAATATTACAATGCAGTCTCAAAATGACCACCGAGCCTCCTAAAGGGTTAAAGGCCAATCTTACACGATTATTTGACACCACCATCACTGATGATATTTTTTCGAGATGTACCAAAAGTGATGTCTACCAAAAGCTTATTTTCTCACTGAGTATGTTCCACAGCATTCTGTTGGAACGTAAAAAATTTCAAACGTTGGGCTGGAATGTAGTGTGCGAATTTAGTGATTCAGACTTTGATATTTGCGAGAATATCATGGTTGTTCTTTTAGACGAATATGAAAACGTTCCTTGGGACGCTCTCAAGTATCTCATTGCTGAAGCCAACTACGGAGGTCGAGTGACAGATGATTGGGATCGCAGAATACTGCGTGGCTACATCAATCAGTACTTTAATGACGACGTCATCACAACTCCGCTCTATCACCTGTCTTCTATGCCACATTACTATATTCCAGAGCACACTGAGTTATTTAGTTATCGTGAATATATTGCAACTCTTCCTAGTATTGACAAGCCCGAAGTGTTTGGACAGCATCCCAATGCAGATATTGCCAGTCAGATACGCGAATCTGGATATTTGTTGGAAACACTGATATCACTTCAGCCCCAAATTGTTACAAAAAGCAGTGTTAGTCGCGAAGATACTGTGTTTGGAATTTCGGCCGATATTATCAAGCGTATTCCCAAGGACATTGACTTTGAAGCTACCCTGCAGACATTTAAAAACGAAAAAAATCCATTCAGCGTTGTACTTTTCCAAGAGATTAAGCGATACAATGATCTTCTTCAAAATATTCGAAAGTCATTAGCAGATTTACAAAATAGTATTAAAGGCATAGTAGTAATGACTTCAGAATTGGAAGAAACGCTCATTGCGATCTACGAAGGAAGAGTGCCGCCAAACTGGAGCCAGGCATACGCATCCTTAAAACCTTTAGCGTCTTGGATCAGAGATCTTATCCAACGGATTCAATTTTTTGTAGACTGGTCCAAAGGGTAAGATAAATCGATGCTTTATAACATATTTAGCTTTATTCTAACCATGCTTTGAAATTGTGTTTAGAAATGAGCCAAAGCAATTTTGGCTTGGAGCATTTACGTTTCCAACAGGATTTTTGACGGCGGTGCTTCAAAAAGCTGCGCGCAAGAGTGGCATTTCAGTGGATGTCCTTTCATGGGAATTTTTGGTGGTACCAGATGATGAACCCATTTCATCAAGTGCAAAAGACGGTGTTTACATTCGAGGGTTATTCCTTGAAGGAGCTGGGTATGTCATATATAAAGTACAGATTTCCTATGTTTCACAGGTGGAGCACTAACTTTTTTAATTATTGACAATATAGTTGGGATAAAAAAAATAACTGTCTTTGCGAGCCAAAACCAATGGAGCTCATCACACCATTGCCATCGATTCAATTCAAACCGATCGAGGCACGAAAGAAAGCTAACAGGGGACTCTACACATGTCCTTTGTACTATTTCCCTATTAGATCTGGAACAAGGTATGTTGAATGATTTGATCAGATACTTGTGAAAACGATTAGTGTTTGGTAACTTGTGAATGGCTAATTGGTTTTAAATCTTTATTCAGAGAACGCCCTTCATTCATCAACTCTATGGATTTAAAAAGCGGACTGCATGACCAAGACTACTGGGTGAAGCGGGGAACTGCTGCACTTGCATCTCTTGGCTAAATTTCAAGCAGCATAGTTGAAATAAAGTTTAAGTTTTTGAGACAATATACTATTTGGTCTTGAATGTTAGATTACAGCAGTATCCACGTGAAATGGAATAATGAATAACAGTATAATAAACTGCCATTATTTTTAAATAATTGGTTCAATTTACTGGACAACATTGTGTCCTCTGCTCATTCTTGTATAAACCAACTGAGCAAATGTTCACATCACAGTTCCAGTGCATTCTACTTGTTCAATCGCAACTCTTTTTTCCTACACAAACATTACAAGTAAACGTTGGATAATCAGCACGGAAACAGCAATTGCATTCCCGAGTGCAGTCTTTGTTCACTTGAATTAAAACACAAACGTAGCTGTGATTTTAGAATACAACAATAAGTTTGTAAAAGTTTGTTTGACAACAAACGAACCCAATATATGGATTGGAATGGGTAAATCTGGTGATCGTACAATGCATGACTACCAAATGAGGATGGTTTCAGCTCAAGATTAGTTTGTATTATATGATGAACAATGCGTTTCAAACAATTGAGAATGCCTATTCGGGTCAGTTTCTAACAAATGCAACAAATATTCAACTATTTCTATTCCAAAATAGTCACTGCAATACAAGTGTTCCATTTTACGTGAATACTCAAACAGCTTATCACGTGATATTAAATATGTCATTTACTATCAAAATGTCTGCAATCTGAATTTTCTTGGCAGCAGCCAGATTTTATCCAAACTATAAGCACAAGATGGCAGGTGTTTTGTTGAGCTCATTCACAATTCAAAGTGTACTGTCACCATTGGTTCAAAGACTTTTACCACAGGCTTTACTTGGTTGGGATTTTTTAGGAGGGTTCCTTCTTGCTACTCCAAAGAAACGCACCACACATCGCACAAAGGTATGTCAACGAACCTGATTCGGATACTGTTGGTTATTGTCAGTTTGAGTTACAGATCATAAATACATGATATAATCAGATCATGCTGTTTTAGATACACACGTATTAATAACTGTTTTGTGGATCATAATGTTGATAATAGAGAATAAAACTGGCACCCAAATGGCTCAAGCCCATGAAGAATATCCAGCAATGTCCAATTTGCGGAGCCGACAAACTAATTCACCATATTTGCCCAAAATGCTTGAAAACCTTGAAGCAAGCTCAGTAGCCATCTACATTAAAATACATTTCAGTTTATGAATATCGAAACGACACTTTTTTATCCATATAAGAGGATAAACCAAATATGACATTGTAATCCCTCCACTTGCGATTGAATTGCTTATTTGATGGTTATTTAAAGGGCTTTGGGTTGACAAATCTCGTTTAAAATTCAAGTGTTACATATGTCTTGGTTTTAAAGTCACTATTTTACAATTCTTTAAAATCTATTCAATCGTCGTTTGCCCAACCTTTAATGAATATATTGCTAATAGCCTACACGGCGAACAATTTATCGTAAACAAGCGTATTTGTCTAACTGATCAGCGCAATATTGCAGGTTTAAAACTAGCCATATAATGTATTTAATCGAGCATAATTGTAACAATATAGAACATTATTAAAAACGCAATAGCTCCATTCAACGCAAACTAAACAATCGGGTTTAGTTGAAAGTATAGACAAATCATTGAAAAATGAACATGCCAGTTTAAAGTTTAAAAGCTTGGGCCAAAACACTGGTTTGATTTAATTGGATTGCAGATCTGAGGTTATGGGCATCTGTGTGTTGTGCAGTGATGGTTTCTGAGGTTGTTGATACTTTACATAGTTTTCGGGATAACAATAGGTGAGAGAGTTTTTCTTGGTCGCCTTGCATGGGACATTAGCTGGTAAATGACAAAACATATCAGATCCAGCAGCTATATCTGTATTTTTAATTAGACATGATTAGGTTGCATGATCATGTTAAACTATTGTATAAACATCATACCAATGTCTTCGTAAGCCTGCGTTGACACTACTTTTGAGGTTTGTAATAAGCTTATACTTTCTGTCAGCATATTTTGAACCAACGCACTGATACGATCAAGTGCAACCTCTGGTGATTCTGGATCCAATTCTGCGGCATCTTGAATAGCTAACGTAGACGAAGAATCTACGCTAAGCTCTTCATTCTACAATCAAAATAAGATCATAGAATACAAAACAGGCATACAAAAAACAGGTTTAAAATTTTACAATAAACTATTTTAAAAACTATTTTGCACTAGAAAGCAAGTCATTACCAAAATAACAGCCAATGATTCAAGTTCATTGTTATTCAATACAGAGCTGGATTGGCAGTCAAAGTGATGGTATAAAACAGCCAGGAATTTCAGTAATGCATCAATAAAGAATTGATATACGCCAACAGATAAACAATCCAATTATGCAGTCAATTATTTCCATACAGTACCTTGCCATTTTTTTCTTGAGATGCTGAATCAAGATCGATTGTTGTCGAACTGTCCGTTCTAGTGCTGAGTTGATTGAAAAAAGCGAAGTGTTTGCAATTTCCAGATCCATAATCTAGAATGGCAAAGGGCGATGGATAAAGCATTTCAGTTTAGCCATTCAAATTTATTAAAAATCCAAGTGACCATTTTAGTCTTACTTTTCGAACGGCACGGTCGTGCGACTGGATACTCGAACTTTTTGGGGTTGGGTATTCTTGAAACTGTGAAGTCCATTGTGATGAGTGTCCTGTAATAGTTTTTGAAGAAGCTGATTGTTGTGAACCAGACAAATGACTAGTAGTTCGATTTGGAGTTGTACGAGAAGAGACATGATTTGAAGTAAGAACATGCACTGTGGCAAGGTTTTTTGAGGGCAAAGAAGGATAGATCAGTTTTTTGGTATATGGTGGTGGCGATCGTTGATGATTTCCGTGTGAAGAATGTAGATGGAGTGGTACTGGTGGAGAATGCACAGATGCAGGATTTAAAGCAGATCCAGTAATAGTAGAACGACCGTGTTTTTGAATAGTGTGAGCAGGCTGATTTATATGTATAGAGATGGGTAATGACTTTGAGGATAAACTCAATACAGAGTTTAAAGTAGATGGAGCCACCATTGGGACATCTGCTCTATTTGACGACTGTCGAGTTCGATTCTTGGATATCACCACAGCGGTAGAGTTGCTGTTTTTACGACTGTTGACAGCGACAGTAGAGCTGCTGCTCGCAAAAGAGCCCGAGTCGGACAGAGAAATATCAGCAGCATCCCTTTTGCTGTGAGTTTTTGAGTTCTTGTAGTATATAGCAGTTGATTTCATTTGGTAACAATACTATAAGAAACCAGAGCATCCGGCAAGTGTTCTAATCTGCCACGTCAATTCAAGTCGGCAAACCGCCACATTCGCAGACGCGGCCATTTAATCAGTGTCCTCAGGAAATTGCTTGTTGTTTTGTCAACAAACAATTTGAATTCACCGTCAAAATGCTCATCAATGCCAACCCAGTTGTCTATGACACTCCACAGTCTTCTAGGAACCACCACAGCGATTTATTGCATCCTGAGAATGACATGGACTTTGATGATTCTATAGTTGAAACTATTGACGCTGAAGAGATATTTGGTACTGATTGTTTCTTGATTGCATTGGTTTGTATGTCATGTTTGACTGACTTGTTGTATTTAGAGTTGATTCGGAATATTAATGATCCAGAACATCCGGTATTGTGCCATTCACTTGAAAAATAATACGCAATATACTTTACAAATCTGACACTGTAACGGATGTCATGGTTATTTAGCTTACATTGGAGCAGCTTAATGTTGCCCGTCAGGATCTAGTTACTGTCACTAATAACACAAACTCTATATTGGTTCGTTTTACTCCAACCATTCCACACTGCTCAATGGCTACATTGATTGGTCTTTGCATTCGGGTCAGGCTGCTTCGTTCTCTCCCTTCAAAATTCAAGGTTGATATTATTGTCACTGAAGGAACTCATCAATCAGAAATGGCGGGTACGACAAAATAACTTTCGATACAATCATTCATGTGCATCTTTTGTTCAAGCTTATCATGCTGACTTTATAGTTGATTGATATAGTCAACAAACAGCTTAATGACAAGGAACGAGTAGCTGCAGCACTGGAAAACAAACATCTTTTGGAAGTTGTTAATCAGGTAGCGTTTGAATATTTGTAACATTGACGTTGTGCTTCATGCATCTCATTTTTATGATATTTTTAGTGTTTAAAAACTGCGATTCGAGTGCAATAGTGATAAAGCGTCTCATTGTATTCATGTAAAATGGGACACTAAATAAGAGTGTATAATAAACTGCCAGTCTCATGACATGATAATTATCACCAAATTTACCAGACATAACTGCCATCTGAACTCATTAACAAGGCCCATCTTACCTGATGATTGGCATGTATAGTGGCATTCCCGAGACATGCAATCTTTGTTGAATTAAAACCGAGCATTCAGCCATTGTTGATTCCAAAACTAGTCGCCAAATAAATACAAAAAATATTCCATTTTGCGTGAATACAGTGGTGGAATGGGATTTTCTGCTCGACTTTTCCGCATCTCTTTTCGATATTATTGATAGCTTGACAGATCACACTATGATGTCATTTAAAACTTTGATAGAAAGAGGATCCCATATACACAAGCCATTTAAATCTATGCATAATGTACCTGTTCAGCGGATTTCATTCAATGCGTCCAACTCTGTTCATTTGAACTCATTTTCCATGATTCAATCCATCAGAAACTTGAGTTGTCCAGCTGTACCCAGAAAACTAAACGTGGCCATGGTTTCTCGACTACGCAAGGAAACACAATGCGCTCTCTCCAAAGCCAAAGATGCATTGGTTGCTATCAAGGCAGAGATTCATCCTGGAACCGATCAGCAAATATACGATGACGCACTTGCATGGCTTCACAAGGACATGGCCGAAAGCGGTGCCAAAAAGGCAGCCAAGGTCAGCAATCGAGTTACTGCAGAAGGTCTTGTTGGTGTGTTTTGCGATCCTCGCTACGGTCGTCATGCAGCCATGGTGGAAATCAATTCAGAAACTGATTTTGTTTCCAAATCTGAGCTTTTCAGCAAACTTGTAGAAAGTGTAGGTTTGACTGTAGCCCAATCTCCTGAGATTCGATCTACTATTGATGAATCAAAGCTCCACGCATCTCCTATACATGAGATTGACCGATCGATGATTCTCCAATCCAGTATGGTTGCGTCCGACACTTTGTCTATTCAAACTGCGTTTGCAGACGTTATTGGAAAGCTCGGAGAAAACCTGCAGTTGCGTCGCGCATTGCTTGCTCTTCAGCCATTCAACTCGACCCATATCACATCAGATCATCAACAACGAGTGTTTGGGGTATATGCTCACGCCGCTGAAAAAACCAAAATTGCTGGGCTTGGCAAGTTTGCTGCAGTTGTATCGCTTACTTCGGCAGAACCAAAAGTTGATTTGGCTGAATCCCAAATTCTGCGTATGGCTATATTTGCCAATAAGCTGGCACAACATATCACCGGATTTTCTCCCACATCTATCTATGCCACTCCTTTTCACACTGACAACAACAGCCAAGAAATCCCTGCTACATCTTCAGAGGGCGTGCTCATGACCCAACAATTCCTATTTGGCGGTGGTACTGTACTTGAGGTTTTAAATGCTTTTTCTAAAGAAATCAAGGCCAAAATTGTTGTTGAAGCCTTCACTCGATATGCTTGTGGAGAAGGGATTGAAAAAAAACCAGATAATTTTGTAGATGAAGTAATGAAACAAGCTTCACAATAAATAAATTAAACTTTGGTTGATATTACTAAATATATAAATACTGATTGATTGATAGCTGATGATGTTGGCTTTGAACAGTGTACCTTCTGCTCATTCTTGTATTAAAAACTGGACAAATGTTGACATTACTGTTTCAATATTCCTGAACCGTGCAATCTGTTTTTTAGAACGCGACGTATCTGTGATTCCAAGACAACATATATGGATTTGTAGAGTTGTACTGACAGCATCAAACCATCCAAACCCTCGATATCTGGCTTGCAATGTATAAATGCAAGTTTAAACTTGGTATCGTACAATACATGGCTATGTCAACAGTGAAAAAGGAGCAACATTCAAAAAACAATCTCGATCAAAACTGTAGCTCAATGTTGTGTGCAACATATCAAGATCGTTGTGTTTGGAGACTGATTGACAAATCAACAAACGCTACAGTATTGCAAGACTTGTTAAACAATCACATTGATAAAGTGTTTCCAAACACACATCTTATTTTGAACAATATCCCGTTTTACAAGTACAAACTCTTGTTTGTCATGGTTTGCCAACTGTTCAACACAGTAGCATGGCAAAGCATGCAAGTTTATTGCACAGCTCCATATTGTCCATGATTAAACCCTGTCGAAAATTGCTCGAGCATAATAAAGAATGAATCGGTTGAGAAATTCCAAGCACACAACTCAACATGTGTATGGAGACGGTAGATTTTAATAGAAAAGTGTAACGAATATTCAACTATTGTTTATTATCGAGCAAAATAAAAGTTTAAACCGCAGAATGAATACAAAAATGTTTCATTTTATGTGAACACATTTAAAAGAGTGGTGGGTTCAATGCATTTTCGCCTGCTGCACGTTTCGTGTTGCTCGTGGAATTTGAACAACAATGCCGTCTAAATCTTTGGTGACATGGATCTGGCATCCAAGGCGAGACCTATATGCCCATAAACAGAAATCAGAAACCATAACTGAAAATGTAATGCTTGAATGGTATATTCTATGCATCTGACTTCAGCTTCACTTGTTAAAGATCTAAACTACAGTTACAGTCAAATAAATATACCTTTCAGTGAGTCCAAATGCAAGATCCAGCATATCGTTTTCTTCATCTGATGGTTCAGACAACTTATCATAATATTCTTGATCTACAACGACATGGCAGGTGGAACATGCAAGAGATCCTTCACATGCACCTGAATATAAAACAGAAATATAGTATTAGTCAAATCAATTCACAGGTTTAGTAAAAATTAGATTTCATCAACAAATAGCCTGCACATTTGTGGTAGGAATTGAAAAAATACCTTCAAGATCAATGCCATTGGCATGTGCCAATTCCAAAAGATTAGTACCATCTTTGGCCTCTACAGTAATTTTTTCATTATCTGAAGTGATATAGGTGACAGAGTAACTGACCCAAAAAAATTAAACAAATTAGCGCCAATACTAGGGTTCGATGTATGTTGAAACTATGATGCAACATTGTTACCCTGTGCCTGGCGCTGGACGTTCAACTGATCCATGTCGATCAACTGAACAGGAAAATTAATGATCAAATTCCATCGAGTTTTATAAAAATTAGTATTATACTATTTGACCAGACATGAATGTTAGATTACAGCAGTATCCACGTGAAATGGAATAATGAATAACAGTATAATAAACTGCCATTATTTTTAAATAATTGGTTCAATTTACTGGACAACATTGTGTCCTCTGCTCATTCTTGTATAAACCAACTGAGCAAATGTCCACATCACAGTTCCAGTGCATTCTACTTGTTCAATCGCAACTCTTTTTTCCTACACAAACATTACAAGTAAACGTTGGATAATCAGCACGGAAACAGCAATTGCATTCCCGAGTGCAGTCTTTGTTCACTTGAATTAAAACACAAACGTAGCTGTGATTTTAGAATACAACAATAAGTTTGTAAAAGTTTGTTTGACAATAAACGAACCCAATATATGGATTGGAATGGGTAAATCTGGTGATCGTACAATGCATGACTACCAAATGAGGATGGTTTCAGCTCAAGATTAGTTTGTATTATATGATGAACAATGCGTTTCAAACAATTGAGAATGCCTATTCGGGTCAGTTTCTAACAAATGCAACAAATATTCAACTATTTCTATTCCAAAATAGTCACTGCAATACAAGTGTTCCATTTTACGTGAATACGGCTGTAATATATGATGATCGTAGTAGAAATTACCAGCAGAGGCATGCAGACATCGGTGTTGCTGCAAACCAAATGATGAAATATGAAGTAGCTGACGGAAAACAACGGATGAAAAGGCTCTTTGAGTAGGAAAACTGGCCGGGATTATCAGTCTAGTGACATGAAAACTGTTTCTCAAACGAGATGAAATGAGGCCTCGAAGCATTAGTGTGAATTGTTCGGGTTTACGGCTAAAGATAAAAGGAACGAAACTGCAGAAAAAATTATTTCAATTTGAATTTGAAACCATTTGGATAACATTGACCAAGCGGTAACGCAGATCTTCAACAGACTGGTCATGCCAATCAAGTCAGATTGTCGTTGTGTTACAGAAGATATAATCAATGGCTGATTCTGTTATTCAAATCAGTAAATGAACAATTTAGTCAATATTTGTAAAACAAGATTGATGATAATCTAATTGATATCCATTTTCATGCCCTTTATCACCAATTGTAACAGATTGAGAGTAATGGTTGAATAAAAACAGTTTATTCAAAGAAATTCAAGGAAATAGTGAGTGTATCTGTGTCACACAACTCTATTGAATAAATGTTCTTTCCCATCACATTCAAGCTTCCTGATCATCACCTTGTTTTGGATAACTTGATCCCCTTTCTCTACTCTGTCTTGTACCACCTCTTCGTCCATGGCCTTGTCTTTGATAGCCACCGCGACCACGTCCAAGCATAGCTTGATCACTATCGTTTGGGTCGTGTTCTTGTCGTTCATAGGATTTTTTACCTCGATAGCCGCCACGGCCACGGCCACGTCCAAACGTAGCTTGATCATTACCGTTTGGATCATACTCTTGTCGTCCATAAGATTTCTTATTTTGATAATCAGCTGATGTGATAGGTTCAGTAGAGTTGGAAACTGCAGACACATTTGATAATGAGCTGTGCTTATCTTGTACGACAAACGAATGATGGGTCGAGTTGTCGTTTTCCCTACGGTATCCTCTTCCCCTCGATCCTCGACCATGCTCCCGACCTTGATATCTACCACGCCCATGATCACTCGGTACGCTAGATCGACTTATGTTTGGTTGATTCAAATTTAAATCGTTGGCAGTATTATTATTATCCAACTCCATCGAGGTAGAGTTGGTAAAATCACTCCCAGGCTCGTTACTATTCTGGCAGGTTGAGTTTCGCAGTATTTGCTTCAACTGGGCAGTCGCCTCTTCATTGGAAACGTCTTCTGACTGAGCTGAATGCCATGCTTGCATTGGTGGGGGATGCTGGTAAGGACCGTGCATTAGTTGAGGAGTAGGTTGGGAATACATATATTGCTGAGGAATCATATTTCCATACTGATCATAAGCTACCGGGATACACTGAGGTGGAGGCATTTGCTGCCAATATCCAGGGTGATAGTTTGGATTATAGCTTGGAATCATCGGAGTCTGCTCTTGCTGAGGAGTGATGTGCAAAATATTCATGAGAGAATTCGACATCTCCTGATATTGATCGTGTCCGTTTTCAACTGCATCACCGGGTGCTGGTATGACGCTTTCGGCCAATGGGCTGGGAAAAGTATTTTCATTGGGTAAATGCTGGGGTACGTGCTGCTGTTGATGATAAACGCGCTGATCAGAATGAGTCGTCTGAGGCTTATAGTGATGTTGCGATTTATTTAATGCAGGCTTGACAGATTGCTGAGGCACAGTGGAATGCAATCTGGCATCTGAAGAAAAATTAGATACAGTTGATTGACCTTTTGCAGGTCGAGCCAAGATTGTAGGTGCTCGATTCCACGATGAAGGCAATGGTGCATTGGATGTAGAAACAGGTCGAAATGGTGTATTTTTTGGACGTTCTGTCGAGTCAGGTTTGGGTGGTGGCTGATGAGTAGTCAAATTAAGGCACGCCCATTTATGGACAATAATTCCATGTTCTTTTTTACAGCGGCCATCGAGATCGGTCGCAATCATATTTGGAAGATCCAGTAAAATATCTATGAAATCACCTTCAAAACCCACAACAGTTCCTTTAGCACCAACAGGAATGCCACCCTCTTCGATCGTAAACTTGACGCGATCTCCTAGCTCAAACTTTTGATGCAACAGTCGAAACTTTGAATGAGAGGGACTTAAAATATGCTGTAAAATATCGCATTTAAAAAATTGGATTATCAATCATAAACTAGCAATGACTTGAGCACAAGCATCTCAAACTTACAAAACGAGGAATCGCTTGGATAGGAAGAATATTTGTTTCAACTGGACCATTGAGTTGATGGCTCAATTCCTTTTGAATTTTATCAATAGTATTCTACACCACATGTCAGTCATCACAGTATATTTTCTACGCCAATAATATACAGCATTTCAACTTACTTTTTTAAGCGAATTTGCTGTCAATGATACGTGTACTAAACCTTTGATGTTTTTTTCATGAAGCCATTGTTTCAAAGCAGACATCCTTGCCGCTGCAATCTTTGAAGGAAACACATCAATGTCTTTAAAGTAATCATTGCTGTTCATCTTGCGATCAAGATAAGTAAAAAGTTCTGGAAATAGCGACTGTAAAAAAGCAAAAAGGTATGAAATGAATATTGCAAAATAGTCTGCCACAAAAGTCAAAAAACGCAAGTATACCTTGTATTCAGTAATCAAATCAATAACAATCTTGGAGTACTCCCATCCTTGCTGTGATTTACGGCTATATCCAAGCACCTTTTTGCTGCGAGATTCGAATTTGAGATTCAGTCCCACGTTGAAGCGCTGATTAGACTCATTTAAAAGAATGAAAAGACTAGTACAAATTTTGGAAATACTCAGAGATGTTATTCCAAGTTGTTTTCCAATTTTCCATCCTGGTACATATTGCTCTGATTCTTCTTCTTTAGCAATAATATTTTTTAAAAGAGTGTGGCTAGCAGTGTGGCAGATCTTCAGCACAAAGATTAGTCAGTCATTCAGACTAAAAGTTAAAACGACGCACATGTCATAAATATACTGTTACCTCTGCAAGAACATCTACAGTTTCATTTTGAAGATGGTGCCCATTAACCTTACAGGTAACGCCATAATGGCTTGGTGTAAGAAGAAATACAGTCGAGCCCAAAGGAAACTCCACGTCAATAGCAGGTGCAGGTTTGTTCTATTTGAATTTTAAAAAAGAAATATTTTAAGCAGCAGCAAATTAATAAAATAAGCAACAGATTTAAAGCAGTTGGCTAAATTACCTTGTAGCGAGGATCTTCGTATTTACGGTCTACAACAATTGTCTGAAGAGCCTGATCATGCAGTTTTTCTGAAAACTGCTTGACAAAAGAGCCATCATGCAAAAGCTTCATTCCTACAGCACACGTCCAAACAGTTGGTAAAAATGGTTTGATAAATATAGCAAAAAAGATCTTGCAGACTTTTAGCAATTCAATTCAATTTGCCTATACCTTGTAAGGGCCTGACATGCACAATCGTTTCTATTGGTCCAATAATTGTACCACATTTCGTGCTATACATGTCTTCAATGGTCTTGCTTGCCTTCATAAAACGATCAATGCTAGCTTGGGTGTTGGGATTCTTGACAACATCCACACGGCCAGCAACTTCATTAATTGAATAAACAAAATCAGTGTCTGAAATGGAAACAACTAGAGCTTCTTGTAAAAATGGCCAATCTAAGTATTAAATTGCAAGCATGTTAGAATGGCTAGTAAATGCCGCGACTCCTATAGCTTGAAATGACTATTTTAATATACTTGCTTGTAAAAACATTCTGTCCAATCAATGCACGAGCCACCATTTCCCTGGATTGGTCTTCAATGGGGTTTTTGAGAGTAATAGTCATGCTCTTGTTTCTGATGAGCAAAAAAGTTTACCATATTAGCAAGACGTCCAATTTATATTTTAGCTCCAAATTTGAATAAAGAATTAAAGTTGTAAGCAGTGATTCAGTCATTAAAATGCATACTTGGTTTTTGAATTAAATATAGAAACATCGTGAAAGGCTAAAGTTCCAGTATACGGGATTGTATTTAACGAAGGAAACCCAGGGAGTAAATTTTCCCCAGTGAACGCACCGGGGCAAAGAGCATGCAAAAACCCGGTCTTGCTAACAGAAGGGAGAATGAACTCTTTCATTTCTGTTTTGCAGAATTGAATGTCTTTAATTTTCATCAAATCACTATCAGTATCTTTGAAATATCATCTATTCAAGTATATATGCCGACAAGACTCATCAAACTTTACACATACCAGAATGTATAGACGAAAGCGGAGACTTGTAAACTTGTGGTACTTGAAGATCGTTATAGCAAAACGAAAAAGGGCAGCCAAACGAATTGCGAGCCTTTTCATCCTTTGTAAGCTGTTTATAACGTGCTATTGTAATATTATGTTATTAATGTAGACTATAGCCTGTGTTTTGCATAAAAGTAGTCATATAATACATACGCCGTATAGCAGCCAACAGTCGTTTTTCATCAATAAACGGGATTTTAACAATGGCTTCCCAGTCCGACTTTTTTCCTGTCATATCCAATTCAAACTCGCTTGGATAAAAATCAATGATGGGAGAGTTGGCATCTACAAGCAAATCCTAACATAGCAAAGTAGCATTGAAAAACAAATCAAGGTTACACACATTGAAAATTGATTCTAATAGTTGATTGGCTAAAGATTATTTTGCAGACAAATCACTTACTTGAAAAACTGGAGGAATTTGCTGTCTACTGAGAGCAGGTAAAACCCCCATAAGCTGTTCAAATGGAAAAAATGGTACTCCGATATCAAATTGAAGTTTGATTTCCGATATATCGACAAGATCTGGCAATGTTTAAAAATAAACTAGTCAAACACAAAATAGTACAATAAACACAACTCAATAATATCACAGCAACACACCATCAATCATTGGAGCAAAGTGATACGGGAAAAACCATCCCCACGATTGTACTCCTTGGTAGTAGTAAGATAAAACCCATTGTAAACCTGTCACGTAGTGCGCAACAACTTCCTTTCGTTTCTCTGGCTGTGTAAAGCTAGGACCAAATCGTTCCTAAAAATACAATATGTAAATAAAATGAATATGTAGACTATCGTTATACCGATTGATTGCTGCAACATATACACCTACTGTATAATACAGGCTTTTATGATCCGAATAAGCAAGTAGCACCTGAGCTTCCAAATCCTCTGCGGTTTTGTTTGATTCTGAATCTGTATGAACGTTAGAAGTAATGTATTTTTTAAACACACGCATACGAGCGTTGAAACTTTCTTGATCATCAATGTCTTCGTCATCTGACCAGTTGAGCGTAATGAAATGCAGTACAGATCCATCCTCGGCATCCTCGGCATCTAGCGAAAATTGCAAGCCAAGTTCACGAGCAAAATCAAACACAAACGCACGAGTAGTTTGTGAATAGGAAGTCACATCGAGTGCCAAGCCATCCGCAGATTTTTGATCAAGAACAAAATCGCGGATTTGAACAACAAAGTCGTGCTGTTCCTTGGTAATTGATAAAGTAGTGGCAGCCCTATGAGATCTAGAATTCTTTTTTGAAGAAGTGACTGGCATGCTATCGCTATTTGCAGCTTTAAACTTTTCAAAGTCCATTTTACGAAGCTCGTCAAAAAGAGTTTGACAACGCTTTAGGTCAATAATGCCATGGTTGTTGATATATCCATCCGACTTGACAAGTATTTGCTTATAGGCATCGAATAATAAAGGAAGTGCACCATCATTAATGTGCATATCAGGTAGACTTGGTAAAAAATCATTTCCAATGAAAAACCCTAAAAGGATAAAGTCATCGATAATGCGTTCAAAATCATACTCAAATGGAAGAACATTTTTAAGAGAGTTGAATTCAAGATCAAGATACTCTCGAAACAAGGATAGGTGGAGTAGAAAAAACGTGATGGACTCGGGATGGCTGGGAGTGCTAGAGTGTTTTTTGCGTCCAAATGTCACTTCTTCTCGTAAAAGAGAAAAATGCGGCTCATGACTTAATAAACCAAGCATCATCAGATCAGCGTCAAGCCCATAAAGACAATGACGCAAATTGGGTTGGTAATCTGGACAAGATTTTGAGGTTCGAATATACTCCATAATCTTATGTTCTCCTTCACCAGGCACGTCATGTCCAGAGAAAACCACTTGCACATGGCGCCAAGCTCCATCCTCGGAAATTTTTTTGCTGAGAAAATACTTTAGCTGCTCTTGCAGTCGACTCATAAACGGAGTCCCTATTACCAAAGCATGCACAAGTTGAAATTTTTAGTTCAAGGGTCGAGTCAAACTACATGATGGTTTCGGCATGTAAAGCAAGAATAGATACCTGGAGTAATACAGTTACTATCAAAAGGAGGTTCAGATGGAAGTTCGTGATTATTTCGAATGGCTTCATCCATTTTAAGCTTTGCATCGTAAGCAGATCTAAAGCGACGAGAGCGTTGCTGGTTCATCTTGGCACGAGGTGCGACACCATCCACAGCTAAAAAGAACAGCTTTTTGGGGCGAATGGTGGTAAAAATATGATTGATATAAGTAAAGATGGCCAAAAATATCTGGGTTTCAGTGATGCGGAACGAGGCATCGTCGTCGTTTGGATGCGAGCAGTTGTGAATAATTCCATTCATATCCAAGTAGAGATTGTCTAACATGGTTTAAAATAAGATTTGCGACCCATTACACAATACAAGTGTCAGTTGTTGATATGATGCGACCAGTTGACCACAAATCGTTTTATAGCAAGCAAGACTATGGATATCCAAACCATAAGTGATTTTACAAACCAAATTCTGGAATTCGCTTCTCTTGGATGATTTCGCTGCATAACGGATAGCGTTCGCTGATCCAACGAAAGAACTAAGTTGGACATGACGGAGTCAGTATAACTAGGGATGAAAAGTCAGACATACAGGCTATAAGAAAGTTTAAGTAGAAGAGTAATCCAGCTTCTTAGTGATAGTAACGCTCTAGTCAAGGAATGCATGAACCAATACATCTTGACACCATCAAAAGTTGATATCAACAGCTGATTACATGTTTAAAACTACATAGATAGCAGCCAAGTAAAACATATAGATTCCAGTAGATAAAAGAAATATCTAGCCAGTTTGAACAAGGTCTAACCTTTGGAACACCCATGACGTTCTTTACCAACTCAACAATCTGATGGTTGAAAGGAAAACTGCAAAATCCATCAGTCAGTCACTTGAATTTGAATACAATTGCAGATTGATGGTTTGCTTGCACCATTTATATGATCTGCTTATAGCAAGTTTTTTATTTCTTGTTCGATCCATCTTGGTCAATGTCACTGCGTGTCGCTTGTACTCTGTTAATCTGGAATACGTTATGAACCAGAAACTCCTAATCACGCTCAACACTAATATCAGCTCATCTACAACTCTTCATTCATACATTACAACATTAAACTAATGGCATGCAGAGTCGCATTCCTAGTATGATGATTTGTGTTTACTTGAATTAGGACGCGAGTGTATGATACAACAGTAATGAGTTCCTTGATAACAGTCAAATTAGTACTTGGATTATAAATTTGATGATTGTACAATGTATGACTACCAAATGTGGATAGTTTTACTTTAAAACTATATTTTGTATTATATCATGAATGTGTTTGTTGAATTGAAATAGTCAATGTATAAATATCTAAACACTGTTTATTCTAAAAGCCATTGCAAGATGAATACAAAAGTATTCTATTTTACGTGACTAATTTAATCTGTTACAGTTGGTGATAAAGGACATGAAAATGGATATCAATCAGATTATCATCAATCTTGTTTTACAAATATTGACTAAATTGTTCATTTACTGATTTGAATAACAGAATCAGCCATTGATTATATCTTCTGTAACACAACGACAATCTGACTTGATTGGCACGACCAGTCTGTTGAAGATCTGCGTTACCGCTTGGTCAATGTTATCCAAATGGTTTCAAATTCAAATTGAAATATATTCTTTTGCGTTCTCATCCTTTTTGTCTTCAGCTGCAGACATTAGACTCCTGTTCGGACACTACATATCAGGATGATTCATAATCAACACCCTCATCCATCCCATACCCACTTAAACACTCATGTTACCACTAATCACCATTTGCAAGTGGAACATTCGCCATTACAAACTTCTGGGCCATATCCGCTCAAAGATAACTCTCAAACCCAGCAAAATCCACTCGACTTTACCTCAACCTCACAACCTACTGGTATAGGTTATCACAATCCTACCTCTTTTATCCAAACCAACACTTTCAGGCCATCTAAGCTCAAACAAATTAACCCACACAAAGTCATTGATCCACGTACACGAGCAAAACTTGGTCTGGATCCACAGCAAACTAGCAATGCCATTCCAAAAGGACTTGCTCATGATAAAAACAATACTCATGCCACCCCATGGGCATCTGCTCACTTGCTTCCTCAGTATCCAAGCAAGGCTGCTGCTTCATCTCAAATTTTGGACCATCCAACATTGCATTCATCACGTCTAATTCAATTACAGATGAAGGCCGTTTCCCAACACATGTTTGATCCTGTTCAAGCCATGGCAACAGTAATCTTGGATGCGCCTGACGATACCCGAGAAATTATGCGCAGGATTACTTCCAAAGTAAGCAACTGACATGACCAATGTGTAAATATTTGAGTGTGCTTTCGTTGGCTAGAATATTGCAACACATCTAATCCATTCATTGAATTGCAAGTCCTTGAATTCAAGCTTAAAATCAACACAGTATTCAAATTTGGTTCAAATCAACAACTCGAGCAATTTGAAAAAAGAAACCAATGAAAATAGCTGTAACGATTTACATTTGGATTCTGGCTCTATCTACAAATCTCGAGACCATGGTAATATAATCCAAACTAAAAAAATTCCTAGAGCTAAAAAAGCTGTAAATAAAACGTGGCTGGCCTCCATGGATAAAAATCCAAATGCATCAGATTTGTAAGTATCTACACGGCATGTGTTCAAAATTGTTTGATATTATCTGATACGCTTGAATTGCTAACCCTGTTTAATATCCAATCAATCAACTACATAGTAAGCCCGCTCACTTGGAAGTGGATACAATATCGCTTCCATATCCTGAATTGAGAGACAATCCATTTTTACTGCCACTAACTAATGAATATGTTAAACCCGTCATTGCTTCGATGGATGTTAATTTAGAAGATTATCGACTTTCAAAATTACTTGCCAAACCAGTTTGGTTTAGTGATTTTGATTTGAACCTACACAAGCCACAACAGCCAGATTTATCATCTGTGCCTTAAATTTGTATACTCTGACACGACGAATACTTATAATAAAGATGCAGCCATGATAATCAACGTGTCTGCTGAATTCTTTACACTATTTAAAGCTGATTTGAACTAGATTTGAAAAGTATGTCTTTTATCTGATCATACGCAGTTTATTTTTTAATTTGAAATTGGATGTTGTCATTACATCTATGATTCCGTCAAATTGACATTCTCACCACTGTAAATGTAAAAACTCATGGCTTTGTTAGTAGCTTATCGTGTACAAGTAAAATAATTGAAAATAGTTGATGCTAAATCATTGTTACTGTTCAGTTTGGTATTGAATAATACGAGTGACACTTGTTTTTATATGAATGTTTGCAAATACATTTACTGGAAAACAGTGTACCTTCTGCTCATTCTTGTATTAAAAACTGGACAAATGTTGACATTACTGTTTCAATATTCCTGAACCGTGCAATCTGTTTTTTAGAACGCGACGTATCTGTGATTCCAAGACAACATATATGGATTTGTAGAGTTGTACTGACAGCATCAAACCATCCAAACCCTCGATATCTGGCTTGCAATGTATAAATGCAAGTTTAAACTTGGTATCGTACAATACATGGCTATGTCAACAGTGAAAAAAGAGCAACATTCAAAAAACAATCTCGATCAAAGCTGTAGCTCAATGTTGTGTGCAACATATCAAGATCGTTGTGTTTGGAGACTGATTGACAAATCAACAAACGCTACAGTATTGCAAGACTTGTTAAACAATCACATTGATAAAGTGTTTCCAAACACACATCTTATTTTGAACAATATCCCGTTTTACAAGTACAAACTCTTGTTTGTCATGGTTTGCCAACTGTTCAACACAGTAGCATGGCAAAGCATGCAAGTTTATTGCACAGCTCCATATTGTCCATGATTAAACCCTGTCGAAAATTGCTCGAGCATAATAAAGAATGGATCGGTTGAGAAATGCCAAGCACACAACTCAACATGTGTATGGAGACGGTAGATTTTAATAGAAAAGTGTAACGAATATTCAACTATTGTTTATTATCGAGCAAAATAAAAGTTTAAACCGCAGAATGAATACAAAAATGTTTCATTTTACGCGAGTATGGTTATAAATCGCTGCTCGAGGGTGTCATTGAGGGTAATATATTTTTTGACGTCCGTTGTGTAAAGTGAGGTTCATGCTGAGGTATTTGCTGCTGGCGTAGATGTGAAGGCACGGTTAATTGTGAAGCACCCATGGCCAGCATGGGTAATACTGTAGATGCATGAGTAGTGGTGAGGTTTAGATGGGGTGGTTGTAAATCTGCAGATGACGATGACGTCTCAATAAGGTCTTGTGGGCTTTCAGTGCTAGTATAAGCGAGTGTTTTAGAATGATTTTGATGATTGGAATCACTGCTATTTGGAATCGATGCATCTGTCGGAATAGCGAATGACATCCTTTTACAAGCAGTCGCGGTCAAAAGCTGATGTGCTGGAGTAACATTAAACGATACCAACGGAACAGGAGTATAAAGAGATGGATTCTCTAAACATGATTTCCAAAATGCTTTGTTGGCCTGGATATTTTTAATATGAAAATCTACGTCTTCCTTCATATATCCTGACCAAGTCTCGTATAATGGAAAGACAATAAAATCGATAAAACCCTGTGTTTTGAATTCCACAAGTTAGTATATTTTCCATGCATCAGCATTGTTTTTTCAGGTATCCAACAGTCTTTTAACTGTATCTTTAAGCTATACTTTTTACTTACAAGCTGACATTTGGGGACATCGGTTGTTTCGCGGTTCATAAAAGTAGATATAGGCATTCCACGTGCTTTTTCTTCATCGCCTTGTCTGAAAAATTCCTCCATGATAAGTTGAGTCCAGCGCCTTGAGCATATTTGTGATTTGGCAGAGTTGTTGACATCTGCACACTTGATGGCCATATTTAGAATAATCTTCTTGTCAGATTTGGTCTCAAAATTAAACCCAGCGCCATTTAACTTGCTTTTAAACTTTCCGATCCAATCAAAATGAAACGCCATATCTGTAGCCAACACCATTGATATAACCATTTCTCTCACAGACTTGCGTTGATCCAGTGATAATGACGAAAAAATATCCAGCTCTTTGTTGCTAGTCATTTCAAATAATGATGCGCAGTGGAAGTGCTCCAAAATGGATTGGTCATTATATCTCAATGCCAAAGCATTCGATGTGGCCATCAAAAAAGCATTATTGACGCCTGGATGCATGTAGTCATGAATAATGGGTGCAATCAATACAGCCAACTCTTCATCCACTTTTAGCATCTGTCTAATCTTTGGTTGTGTTGTAAAGTAGTTTAGGGAATGGGCAACGTCGATTGCATGAGTAGAATTGTGATACACATTGCTTCTTCTGTACCCTGATTCAATCTTGATTAGCCAACTACGAAATTTGTACTCGTCCATGCCAATTCTTTCTGCAAATCTGTGCTTGAGGAATAGATACCACCCCATAAAATAAAGTGCGTGGCCAGATGTTACCACTTCTAAATCAAACACGTCAAAATCGGGATTATCATGTGCAGTGTCAAGGATTTGGAACGCACGAATGCCCACTTGGCATAACGATGTTGAAAAGACGTTGAGTGTTATTGCAGGAATAGGTGCTGTATTTTCCTTGGCCTCGATGGCAGATTCTGGCACACTCTTTTCTGTTAGTAGCATATCCTTGAGCCAATCGTGCACGTCCTTATCGTTTGAATTTTGAAACAAATCCGGCTGAAATAGTTTATCTGAAGACAACAGCCCAATAATAAAGTCCAACTCTGTAATAATACTTTCATCAAGATCTTGGATTTCTTTGACCTCGTTAAGAATTTGTGCTGCACGAGATAGCGGCGCTTCGAGATCTACCTCGTTGTCTGTTTTTGCAGTGCGCAGCTGTCGTTTTAGATCCATATTGGCGATATAAAGATGTTGAATATAATTTTCACGGTCAAGAAGAATGGACGTGTTAAGAAGAATAAACCGTTCAAGAAACCCGAAAATGACCATGACAAAAGCACAACCAAAAATAAGAACAGCTTCTTGTAAGAACACGATACGTCCCGCCGAATTGGCACTGCAGTAGAGATATAGGCACTCGAGGTCGTACGCATATTTCATAATGGAGATCACACCAATATAGATAGAAAAGTAGATGACACAGAATATGATAATGTGACGCAGGAGATGTGGCTGGCCTGATTGGAGAAAGATGATGAAAAACGAAATAAACCAAAGCAGCAACACAACTTGATGAGCTTCGCGGGATATAAAGATAATGGTGACCAAAGGCGCAAAGGAAAGATAGTAGGGTATGAGCGAGGCAGGCATACGGGATAGCACCATTCTAGAAATATTGATAGTCAAAAATGACTCGAAGAGGTACGCTACGGCAAAATGGAATCTAATTTGCGGTGCCCATGAGGTTTTCCATGCGACAAAAAGAATGAGCAAAAAATATAGGTAATGCGCAATAAACTCTCGAAGAATTGGACCACGTAATGGACGGCCCATGTTTTTAATAATATCTTTGTAAGAATGCGTGGTCGATGGCATAACGCCCGACTGTTTCAAATATGTATTTGTGGTCCCACTTGATTTGATTTGTGATAGATTAAGCTCATATGGATTTGGCGACTTTTGATTTGAATACTGTTCAGCCGAGGGCTTGATAATGGCTGATGTTTGTGCGGATATCGACTCCTGGCGCGCACTAAGATGCGTAGCAGATTTTTTAAATATATCAAATGGTGTATATTTTTCAATTGAATGTCCTGTATTAGGAGCCCCACTTGAACAAACAACAGCACCTGCTACAGAGCCTTGAGTGGCATTGGATGCGGGTGGGTTTAACAAAATGCTGCTGGTACTGGACTGGGACGGCGTGCCAGAGTCTTTCAACTCACCCCATCTAGAAGAATGCGGTACATGAACTTCAGTATGTATGTCTATTGGCTGAGACATGTATGCATTAGCTGTGCTTTTTTGGAGAGTAGACTGTTTTGTCCATACAACAGGTCGACTTATGATACCAAGACCAACAGTGGTACGCGTTGTACCTAACGAGAGAATTCTAGACTGATGACTGCCGTTTAATGATTCATCGTAGTACTCACTTGAGGCACTTTTATGAGCTAGCCGCTGCAGTAGGTTTGTGCTAGTTTCCTGTGGACGATTTGGTGGTACCGACATGGTGCTTTATGGTATATTTGATTGTAATGAATTGAGTGATATAAGATGCGTCTACTGAGTTTTTTCTCGTCCAAGTATGTCTTGAGCACAAAGATGGTTAAAGCCAAACAAAAGAAAACAATGGTTGTACAATGTCTAATAAAATGCTCAAGTTTAAGAGTTTATGGTCGCGCTTTGTTAATTGGTATGGTTGATAAAGGTGCGATCTGAGTTGATATGAACGGCACAAGACTTGAATAGGCATCTCAAAAACAACCATCATTGCTATATTAAGCCAATCTATCAAATGAAACTATATATTTTTCAACGGCCCTTGAATTCATCCATTTGTGCTTCATTTAGACCCGTTTATGCCCTGAGGACACTGAAAAACAAGGTATAAAGGCAAGTTTTTTGCTGTGAATTTTATTTTCTTTGAGTTTTTCGAACACAGCTGTCAAGCAGCCTCCATCTTCTTACCTAATGGGTGGACGGACGCCATGTAATAAAGCTTTGTGTCAGATCAAACCCCAGTGCATAGCATTAGCGCGGTCTTGGCGAACGGAATTCATGTTCGTTGGGGCCGGCACATGCACATATTCTTTTGTAAATGTTTAAAATAAAACTGGTTTTGCTTTATTGAACTACTTTATTACGCTATGAGCTTGTTGCTTTGGGTTGAATCATGATCTTGGTGGTTGATGCAAGCATCTTTTGTATTACTGTCTATGGGATAAGCAGATAAAGCAAGTACAGACCCATTGGTTTCGTTGATTGCTATTGGTAGCGATTCTTGACGGGCTTGAAACTCCTGCTTAAAGGCGGCTAGTTCTTCTCTTAAATCCTCTACTTGTTCCTTCAGCTCTGCTATAGTCAGGTGGTTTTTCCCAGTCACAGTCTCGAGAGTATCCACAGACTCATTGAGAGCATTAGTGCGATTGCGAGAATTGCGAGTAGATCGCCATGTTTCTGCCACTGATTATAAACCAGTTCATCATTCCTAGCGATCAGTCTAGTAAAAAACATTCATTTATTGGTACACACCGACTCACCTATAGTCAATGCAGCGATTGTAAACAAGAGTGCTTCTGACATAAAGTCCGCACCTACTTCAACTGCTTTCGTATCATTAAGTGGCCGAATATGATGTTGAGCACCACGATCATTGAATCGCATCTTGAGCCCAAGATCCATTCTATGGTATGTCTAAATAGTCTCATTGAGAGTTTGTAAAGGCATTGAATATCTAGAATGATAGATATGCAATTGGCATTTCCTACCTGAGCTACTCCAATGCAGAATGCCTTGAATCGAGGATTGTTCTATAGCCATCAGCACAAATATTCTGATCAGTATATCGAGATGATCTCATTTCTGTTCCAATTAACCAACTCTATCGATTCATATTTAAACTCTAAACAAGGTTCAATTGGGCATGCTTTATAAAATAGCTGTTTAAGCCGATCCTTACCTTGGCCTAAATCAAACATGTTGCATAGTTGATTAATTCATAGGTTAGATCACTTTGTTAAAACCTATGAAAATAGGATACAGCACATGCTATTGACTAAATAGCAAGTCATACACTTGATTTAATAGCAATAGCTACTGGCTTAGAGAGTGTCTTGATTAGCAGCGATCCCAACTTGACTGTTGCCATTGATCCGACTCGACTATTTAATAGCAGTAATCAAACTATTGTGACTGTATTCACGTAAAATAAAACCTAGATAAGAATATCAAATATATAATAAACATCTAGTCTCCTGAAATGATTGGTGCCAGTTTACTGGACAACATTGTGTCTTCAAAACTCATTAGTTGGCTAATGTTTATTCTGGTGATGGACATGGAAACAATTGTTGCATTCCTGAAATAAACAATCTTTTTCTGAATTAAAGCGTTCCGAGTTTTTAGGATACATGAGTTTGTATAGTTTGAAAACAAACCCAATATCTGGATTGTTATGAATTTGATGATCGTACAATGTACGGCTATGCAAAAAGTGGATAATTTTGGTTTAGGTTTATAGTTTGTGTGCATCACAGATGAACGCTGTTTATTAAAGAATTGAAAGTGTTGATCAAAGTAGTCGATATTTAATAAGAAATCGTACCAAATATTCAAATACTCCAGTCACTGCAAGATACAAGTGCTTTACATGAATATTGTTGCAAATGCAAAATATGGTCACGTGCTAAATTCATTCAAAATTGACAAGCCGAATATTTTAAATTTCTGAAAAAACTTTTTTGCTGGACTTTGAAATGGTAAAGGAATTAAAACAAATGGTTAGCACCAAACTCCAGGATTTTCCTCGTGGTGGTGCGTCTGATTTCAATCCATTAGAATACAGAGATATTAGCGATAAAGTAAAGGAAGATGTTCTTTTTGGGGTATGTATGACATTTTGCACTGTTGCGCCAAGGTTGAATCGTGTATTCATTCGAGTTTGATATACAGAATTAAAGCTGTTGCATATACGATTGTTCTATGCTACAATTCTGATCAAACTTACTTTTCACTTATACAACTTATAAACCATGCTATTTATTATAGGCTGATTCTTTTGGCACTCAAAAAACAGATGGTTTGACTAGTGAAGCCAAATTCAACAAAAAATCAAAGAAACGCATTGTAGACAATGACTTTGATAGTAAGTCTAGTCTACCCAAGAAGTCAAAAACAGATTTTACTGCGTTGACTGTACCGATACTCTCATACAAGGTAAGATTACTACAGGTTTAAAATAGCTTGTTTAGCTCGACTGACACGTTAAACTCGACACTCGCTACTATGATTTTCAGAAACTCGATGTGGGCATGTGCCTGCTTGGCGTAGTAAAAGATATCAATTCTCTTGAGATGGTGGTGTCTTTGCCTAACCAGCTTACAGGCTTTGTTTCGTTGACAGAGATCTCCGATTATATTTCAAAACAAGTAGAGGCAGCCGTAGACAGTGATAATGAGGACGAAGATACAGACATGAATTCATCAGCTAAAGATGTAAGCTTTTGAGTTTACAGCTAAAAAAGGCATTATCAAAGTTTATTTACTAAACAATTTTAATATTCATTTCAATATGTTAGGAATTGGATCTCCCATCACTCGAATCATATTTTCAAATTGGACAATCTGTTGTTTGCAAAATCATTTCTGCTGATCAAACTTCCAAAAACAAAAGAATTGATTTATCGCTAAAACCCGAGGCAGTAAATGAGGGAATCGAAAAAACAAACATTGTTTCTGGCATGGTATGATGTCATGCTACTGATTGTGATATATGTATTATAGCTTGAGTGGTTAAATGACCCTATACGTTACCGATATCTAGGTTCTTCCTATGTGCGTTACTAGCAAGGAAGATCATGGATATATTCTATCTTTAGGCATCAAAGGAGTGAGCGGATTTCTTAAAAATGAGCACGCCAGCGCATACCTTTCTTCTAAAAATTTGCTGGGTAAGACTTTTTGTCTTGTAAGCTTGAATTTAGAATACACCAAAATCATATCTCTTACTTTTTTTGACCTTTTTTGTCTACCAGAAATTAAACTCGGCAGTGTTTTCCTGGGCTCTGTTGTTTCAACTGAACGAAACAACAGCGTGATAATCGTTTCTATTGATCCTGCATGCCTGGAAACGGCTCGGATGAAACATTCAGATATGACCGAATTATCGCATATCCGTCCTGGCTCACTTGTCACTGCAACTATTCAAGATGTATTGGAAAATGGATTGGCATTGCATATTTTCAAATTCTTTAGTGCTACTATTGATTGGTTTCATTTGGGTAATGGTCATATATCTGACAAGAATGACATTAAAAACCAATTCAAAAAAGGCCAAAAGGTTTGTTTAATCCAATTTAAACTGCATCTATTTTTGGATTGATGATGGTTCTTACTTTTTTCTTTTTTGCATTCGATAAAATTGTATAATTCCATTTTACAGGTTGCTTCAAGAGTTCTTTATCTGAATACTGCTGAAAAAAAGATTGGGTTGACTTTAATCCCAGAGCTTATTTTGCAAAAATCTCCCAATTTCAAATCTTTTGAAATTGGCACTGTTTCTGAAAACATCACTGTACTTCGAGTAGATCCTTTATTTGGTCTGCTTGTGCAGTATCCAGGAGATCGTTTGGGCTATGTTCACGTAAGATTGAGGCTGTAGATATACATTTGTAGATTTTATGTCTAATATTTACTATCAATGAATACTGCTTTGATTAGATGTCACGTATTGCTGATGATCATATAACAAAAATCGATAAAGCATTCAGAACTGGAACCACTCATCGTGGAAGAATTGTCGATCATGACTATTGCAATAACCTGCTTCTTATTGCATTTGCTCCAAAGATTGTTAACCAGCCATTTCTTCGTCTTGTGGACATTAAAGCAGGAATTAAAGTAAAGGGTCAAATAAGGCGAATCACTCCGTCTGGTGTAGTAGTATCTGTTACCGATTCAATCAACGGCTTTTGTCCGTCAAATCACTTTTCTGATGTCAAGATTGCTCGCCCCGAAAAACTTTTTAAAGAGGGTGCTACCGTAGCGTTTCACGTTCTTTCGGTCAACTCTGCTGATAAACAACTGATCCTCACACACAAAAAAAGTCTCATGGAATCAAAGCTTCCTACTATTACCTCATATACTGAAGCGCAGCCTGGACAGATAACAATGGGAATTATTACATCCGTAAAGAACTTTGGATGTATTGTTTCATTCTACAATAATGTGCATGCAATTGTGCCTATTGTAGAGCTAAGGTACCGCTAATGTTTTAACGTGATACATGCCAATTCGATGCAATATTGGCTAGTCTTGTGCAATTTGATTTAGCTTATATCTATTTGATGATTTAGTGAAACTCGTATGGATACTCCTCAGGATCACTTTAAAATTGGACAGGCGATCAAATGCCGAGTTGTTTCGGTGGATGCTTTGAATGAAAAGATGTGCGCAAGCTTCAAACTAGCAGCGCTTGGTAACAAACTAGACAGTGTTTCTGGTACATCTACTATTCAAGTAGGTCAAATTTATGACGGCATCGTCGTTACCAAATCAAAAGATACAGTGATTAGTAGGGTGAATGATACAGACTTGGTTAGCATTTCCAAGTCCCATTTGAGCGATTATCCAACTATTGCTCAATCGCTGTATGACTCTTTGAATACCGGATCTAAGATTACAGGTCTTTTGGCCATCAACATTGATAAATATGGCAAACCTCTCATTACCCGAAAGCACTCTTTGATTTTCCAAGTTCAGCAAGATAACGGAGTTCGCAAAGCCTCTGATATGATCAACGATCAAGTTTGCTTTGGGTTTGTCCGTAATATTTATGGAAAACTTTGTTTTGTTGAATTTACAGGCGGAGTTGTAGGCGCTGTATCTTTGCAAAATATCTCTGATAATTTTGTATCAAGTGTCTCGGAGCATCTGCAAATCGGACAATCTGTCACTGCATATGTTTTAAATACCGATCAAGAATCAGGAAATATCTATCTTAGTTTGAAACTCTCGCATCTTGAAAAGGCTTCAAACTTTATAGAGTATGAAATGAGCCGATTGGACAACTTTTTTTCCGAGCGTGCCTTGCTTGATGCTTCTCCATCCAAAGTTAGTGCAAAGTCTTTTACACTGGGTCAAGTTATACAGGGTTCGATTGAAAAAAAAGTATCATCGGGATATCTGGTCAAACTCAGTATTGGTGTTCAAGGACAGATTCATTACCATGATGAGGATCTTGCCAATGGCTCGACTGTTTCCTGCCACGTACTTGACTATGACGAAGAGACTCGTATTGTAGATTTAGCCGTTGCTGCACCAGACGCGTCTGTTGGATCACTTGAACAACAGCTCCAAGCTGCTCAAAAAGCATACACTTTAGGAAAAGCTGTAGATGCACAAATTAAGCTTGTAAAGAATTTCTATATTGTTCTTAGCTCTCCTAAACTCTGCGGTGCACTACTCTACTGCTCTACAAAAAACTCAAACTCTTCTGCTAACCAATCATTACACTATAAAGTCGGTGATCAGATGAGCGTTCAAATTAAGCAAGTTCCAGCATGGACCGCAACTCAAGTAGCCTTTACTCAGCAGCGAATTCTGGCCATGTTGCCAAAAGCCACTAAAGTGAAAGATATGGTTCAAAACCGTGTTCTTGAAAATCCTGTCGATCCACATTTGAGCTCGCTTCAGTCCATCAAGCCAGATATGTTGATCAAGTGCACCGTAAAGTCTTTTGATGACACGTATATTAACGTCTGCATTGCCGACAATCTCGACGGCCGAATTCAGGCCACCGAGATTTTTGACTCCTTTGATCAAATTACCGACCCCAAACAGCCCATGGCATCCTTCCAAATTGGCCAGTCCCTGCAAGCCAAAGTTATTGAAGTGCATATTTTCAAACCTCACTTTCATATGACTACCAATGATAAAAAATCACCCAAGAAAGTATGGATAGATTTGACCGTTCGACCTAGCTTCATAGCAACGGAAAATGCATTGACCACAGCTTCCCAAATTCGTCCCAAACTCAAAACTCTTGAAATAGGATCCGAGCACATTGGCTGCATTCAACATATTGGTTCTAGGACTCTGCGAATTCTCATTCAAGGTGGACTTTTGGGAGATGTCTTCAATATGGATATTTCTAAAGATGTAGATGTCGTCAATAATGCGTCCTCGCACTTTGCAGTTGGACAGCTTATCAAATGCTTTGTTATTTTCAAGGATACGCAAAAAAAAACTTTCAATCTTTCTCTTGTTGGTGCATCCCAGAAACCTGTCGATATGTTTTCTGTTGGTCAAAAGGTTGTTGGCTATGTAGCAAAAATTGATCCATTAAAGGGCATCAATATTCGTATTGGAAGTCATATCATTGCGCGTGTGCATATTACTGATCTTGCCGATGAATTCAACGAATCTCCAACTGATATATATACTATTCGGCAGCTTGTTCAGGCAGTTGTCGTCAGGATTGATACTGAAAACAATCTAATTCATTGCAGTCTTCGTAAATCTGCTTTCAAGCCTGATACAAAGTTTCCAATCTTTCCATTTAGCAGTTTTCAGAAAGGAAGTATTGTTCAGGGCTACATTCAAAGTATTTCCGAAAAAGGATGTTTTGTCGGCTTAACAAATGACATCTACGGACGTGTCAAAATGTGTGAACTTTCAGACTCGTTTGTTGTAGATTGGAAAAGTGCATTCAAGCCTGGTATGCTCGTCAAGGGCAGGATTATTAGCATCAACACCAACAGCAAGCAAATTGAACTTTCTTTCAAAAAAAGTTTGGTAACTAATGATGCTGGAAATCTGCTTAAATTTTCAGATATCAAAGTTGGGCAGAAATCAGAAGGAGTTATCAGACGCATTGAAGACTATGGACTATTTATTGTTTTAAAAAACAGTGAATTATGTGGTCTTTGCCATGTACTGGAAGTAGCCGATAGGCCGGTAAAAAACTTGGAATCCCTATACTCAATTGGTGACTCGGTCATGACTGTAGTGCTGCGTACCAATCCAAAAAAACAACAGATTTCACTCAGCATCAAACCCTCACGCTTTAATGATGATGATGTCCTTGAAAATTCTATTGAAGAAGCAAAAGTGCAGTCATCAGAAAGTGAAAACGATTCAGCTTTTGTTGATGATGAAGAAAACGACGAGATGGAGCAGAGCGACGATGAAGATATCAGTGGAGAAGAAGTTGTTTTTGATGACGATCAAGATGTTGCGCCAAGTGACAGCGACGACAGTCTTTTAGGTGGCATGAATGGCAAAAGTGATTTTGTTGAAAACACAATGATAGAGCTTGACGAGGACAATGATGTTGTTATGGATCCTGAAAGCACTGCGTCTCTTCCTCTTGTAACTTCAGATTTCTCTTGGGATACACAACCAACTGCTGAAAAATCTGTGATGCATGACTCGGACTCAGATTCAAGTAGTGATTCTATGCAAAGCGGGGACGATGAGTCTGACGGCGACCAGCAAAATAAAAATAAGCGCAAGCGTCGTGCAAAAAAACGTGAGCGAGCACAAGAAGAAAAGCGAATTGCCAACAAAGAACTTGAGTTGGTTGAAGGAGATCATCCACCTGAAACTGCTGAAGATTTTGAACGATTGCTTCTTGGCTCGCCCAATAACTCTTACATCTGGATAAAGTACATGGTGTTTTACTTGAATATGGCCGAAATTGAAAAAGCAAGACAAGTTGCTGAGCGTGCACTAAAAACCATCAACTTTCGTGAAGAACAGGAACGACTTAACATATGGATTGCCTTTTTGAATCTTGAAAACACATACGGCAATGTTGATACTCTTTCAAAAGTCCTTGAGCGCGCTATTCAAATGAATGATGCCAAAACAGTATATTTCCATATGGCCAAGATTTACGAACGAACCGGCAAGGATGAGGTATGTGCATTGTCTGAAATACACTGAATCACCTTGTTTGTTTGATACATTCAACTCACTTTTTTGCTTGGCATGTGTCTGCTGAATTTCTAGCTTTGTATCAAGCTCTACCAAACCATGTGCAAAAAATTCAAAGATAGTCGTCAGGTGTGGGTAAGCTATGCTTGCTTTTTGCTTACTCATGGCAAGCAAGATGCTGCACGACAACTGCTTAGCCGTAGCATGCAAAGTCTTCCAAAGCGCAAACGTAAGTTTTCTGCGTAGTTTGGATTTTCTTTGGTATTGCTATAAACGTGTGCTAACTACATTTACTGCAAATGTTTAATCTATAACAGATGTGGATGTTACTAGTAAATTTGCACAACTGGAATTCAATCACGGTGAGCCTGAAAGAGGTCGTACTATATTTGAGGGCTTGATGAACAGTTGCCCAAAACGAACAGATCTGTGGTCTGTTTATATCGATATGGAGATTCGTGCTGGTGACATCTCGATTGTTCGTAGACTTTTTGATCGTGTAGTTCAACGAGAATGGTCAGCAAGAAAGATGAAGTTTTTTTTCAAAAAGTATTTTGAGTTTGAGAAAAAGCATGGCGATGAGAATGGTGTTCAGAATGTCAAGCAAGCTGCCATTAAGTTTGTGGAGTCTTTGTAGTATGTTGGCACATTGCATTGGTTGGTACAATAAAAAGGTTATATTTTTGATTTATACTATACATTTTGATTGAAAGTAGTATTGTATGCTAATGGAATTTGAGCCTGTATTGCTAGTTCAAGATTAGTATTTGAATTACAGCCATATTCACGTAAAACGAAACACTTGCATTTTGCAGTGATCGACTGTTGCTTTGAAACTCCAATATCTTAAACACTCGGATATGCGTGTCTTGGTTCAAATGAACAATGAATCTAACAGCTGTTTCTACATTAATGTCATGACGTTTTGGTTTTAAAAAAAGAATGTAAATCATAATGTGAAGATTGTTCAGTAAACGATCAACCGTGTCATGAGACTGGCATTTTTATTTCGTGTTCAATTTTACAACTGCTAAAATAAAGCTCAAATTATTTTTGAATTCTGATTACATCTTTCAACCAAAACTTGGTATTCGGTCAATTCAAGATGCGATCATACACTACCACAGGACTTGCTCGGTCTTCTGTAGTAAGACTCGGAGAATTTAAACCTCGACTTATATTCGGCAGTATGATAAAGCCTGTATTTTCTTTTACTGCTGCATTGCGGTTGAAACCGCCTTGTTTGACCAATGTTCGCAATGCATCCTCAAAGTCAACCACTATGCGAGGAAGAGTCATCACCACCATGATTGCTGGTAATATGATAGTGCTAGGTTCTTGTCAACCCAGATCCTTGATGTGCTGATATGAATACTTTTTGTTATTGATAGACAAGTATATTCCTCCCTCTTCGCTTCCAGCACCCATCAACAAGGCCAACTGGAACATTATTTGGGAACGCATCAAGAAATTAGTGTTGGCAACATGGAGGTATATCAATGTAACAATCTACTGATTATTCTTTTCCATTTGAGATTAATTCAGATGGCTTTATTGGCCATATTTCTGCAGTGTGTATCAGGTTAAAACGACTACAAAGGGTTGGAAGCCTCGTGCATTTGCTATAGAGGCCGAAAAACTGTATATTGCAATGAACAAGGCATATGCCAGGTAAGTGTAAATGATTGTAATACCAAATTAACTATTTTCATTTAATAAACCAGAACTTGTCAAATTTTATCATCAAACTTGCAGAGGAGATCGAGCAGAATTAAGCAACTGTGTTACGGATGGCATGATGTCAGTAAGTAGAATTGCTACTGGTTTATGGATTAAGATCACTACAATTTGGCAGTGCTAAATGAGATGTGTCAGACTGACTCTATGAACAAAGGCACTCAGTCCAGAGATCAAGGCAATGCAGCGTATTGGTAAATTTGTGTGGGATTCTAATGGATCTGATCGTCGTCCACAAGTTGTTCATCTGGCCACTGCCAAGGTTGCTACCGAGACTGGTGATATGCGTTTATCTCAAATCACAGTTCGTGTCAATGTCAGACAGGTTTGTCATTTATTTTATATCAACTTGAATATCACTGCAGAGTTGGACTCTGACTCGTCTAGAAATCAAAAATTGCATGCATTAATATATACATATTTTCAGTCCATGGCCACTTATAAGGACGACACTCTGATTGCCGGAAATCCAGATACCTATACCAGCATTGTTGAGCACATTGTGATGGAAAAATGGTTGGATGGCAAATGGGCTAATCGTCCTTGGAAAATTGCTGGTAAAATCCAACCTAGTAGCAACTCTGGATCCAAATAAACCATTTTCTGATCAGATGATAGGCAATGTATTTAAAGCGTTTTTGTACTAGTTAGAGATGACGTTCAATTGAATGGTTTTGTACAAAAATGTACAAACACTTGTGAATTTCTATTTGCTAATCTGTCGGGTTCAGAATCAAAAGTTTATTTAGCTTAGCAGCATAATAAAAGTTTGTCCATCTGATCAAAATGACACCCAACCGTTACTGGACGTTGTTGGTTAGATCCGCGCCAGTCTTTTGATCCATAATCTCCCCAATGTTTTTCATGGTTGTCTGAGCGATTGCTTCAAGTGCTTCGTTGGTTAGGAATGCTTGGTGACTGGTAATGATCACATTGTTGAATGTCATGAGACGCGCAAGAATGTCATCTGTCATGACCTTGTCAGACATGTCCTCAAAAAAGTAGGCAGATTCCTCTTCGTACACATCTAAGCCAGCGTACCCAATCTTTCCAGTCTTGAGTCCTTCAATCAAATCCTTTGTATTTATCAATGGACCTCTGAATTACATATTGTAGATTGCAGACCCAGACAGTTGACAACACATGTTAAAAAGTCAATACATTCAATGAATCATCAAGCGGGATTTTAATAGACAGTCTATTACCTTGAGGTATTGATGATCATGACTTTGGGAACCATCTTTTTGATACTCTCGGCATTAATGATGTACCGAGTAGAAGGCATCAATGAACAGTGCAACGAAATAATTCGTGATTTTTGATAAAGCTCATCGATTGTATCCACATATCGAACGTTTTCCCAAGAAGCAACTTCAGTACTGCGATACAAATCATAGCAAAGAATTTGGCAACCAAAGCCCATCATGATTTTGATGAAGCATTGTCCAATCTAAATGAATTGTCAACATTCGAAAATCAATGTTGTAAATCAATAAACCAAGTTGAACTCCATACTTGTAATATGCTTAACAAATACAATTCAAGACTACCTTTCCAGTACCAATGACACCAACAGTCTTGCCATGCAAGTCAAATCCGACAAGATTGGCAAGAGAAAAATTGCCTTGCATAACTCTGCTATGAGCATGAACAATTTTTCGATTGAGAGCCAAAATCAAAGCAGCTGCATGTTCAGCTACAGCATAAGGAGAATACTAGCAAAATGAATTAGGGCAAGTCACATTCCAAGTCAATCTATCAACAAAATAGCTCACTGCAGGAACGCGAACAACTTGCATGCCAAGATCATGAGCAGCCTTCAGATCTACATTATTGAAACCCGCACAACGCAGTGCAATACACTTTACTCCAAGTCCATGAAGTTTGGTAAGAACATCGGCACTTGCAACATCATTGACAAAAATGCAAACAATCTAAATAGAGCGACAAAAGTATGAAATTGTTAGATATATTGATAATGCAACGCTTAAACCCAGATCTTACCTGAGAGCCAGCAGCTAGAGGTGCGGTTTCTACAGACAGCTTAACCGACAGATATTTAATGTCGAAATCTCTGTCCTGTTTAAAACGATTGACAGCAGCCTCGAACGATGCGGTCTCATGTGACTTGAAGTCGAAAACGGTTATGGTTGCATCTGGAGCATTCACAGCACAGGGAGCAACTCCAAGCGAAGGACGGAATCTTTTGGGTCCTTCAGCCAGACTCTTGGAGATTGTAGCATTAACCGACTCACTGGAATGCATGATTTCTTTAAGTGCAGTTATATCGATGCACATCATTTGTACGCCGCATGCAGCAGAAATCAAATTTCCATCAATGGGCGCATTTCCAGACTAACAAGTTTAAAGTAAATCAAAATACAATCCCACAATAATCGATTATTTTTTAAATATTAATTCATACCAGCAAAGACTCGCCAATAGCATCGCCAGGGTAAAGAGTGAAAAGCTTCTCCGATTCTTTTTGAGCAGTCATGCCAGGCTGCTGACTCGTAGCAGAGCCTTTACACACATCGACAGATCCTGCAAGAACAACAACAAACTGATTGGGATCTGAACCCACACGAAAGGTGCATTCACCCACAGCGGGTTTAATGATTTTAGTTTTTCTGAGAATGGAGAAGATGTCTTCCTCAGACAGCCCTGGCCATAGATTTTTAAGAGCAGAGATATAGCCCAGAGGTTGAGGGTCGACTAGATTGCAATGTCAGGATTAGGGTTAATATATTTACGCACACAAGTAATCCTGAACAGTAAATCGTATGGATTGATGAATTCAGTTTATAATAACAAGCAATGTTCATCTATAACACAGTCGAATACCTTTCATTTTGTGGATAAAAACAGTTGAAATGGCAATTACCAAATATAAATTAGAACGATAATGCGAGGAAGCGATGCGGATGTACAGCCCAATGACACGTTGTGACTGATTTTGTCGGTCCGAAGAACAAGTCCGCATCTGTCCATTCAATTCACCAGCAGATTGCTACTGTAAAGAAATGATTGACATCAGCTTGTTATTCTATTAAATGTATTGCACCAAGATCTGGTGTTGTTTAAACATTGGGTTTTTATAAATCATGGTTTATTGTATACTAATGCTTGAAATCAAATTCGACTATTTAAACAGTCGTCACTCCAACCTCGGCCGCCTTGTTATCCTCATCTTGTATAGGTTCCTCGGTAGTCTCATAATTCTCCACCTTCATATCATTCAGTCCAAAAGCTTCGTTTTGCTCCCATGTGCGATCGTATCTAGATATATACAAACATTAAAACTGCACACGTTCAAATAAAGCTTATATACACGGCCTCACTAAAAACTCACATCTCAATCTTCATGTTGGGATCCTCATCTGGTGCATATGGATTCTGTAAATGCGAATTGGCAAGAGGATCATCCAATATGAGAGTGACTGGTCCCTGTTTCATCTTCACCACACCCTCTAGTTTCTCTAGAAACAATTCAAATCGGGTCTTGCTGCCCTCGACTGCAGAATCTCCTGCTGTGAATCTAGCGCGACCTTTGAGTTCATCGTAAACCTGAACAAGAAGTCCCTCAACAGTGGTGAACCGACCACCAAGCGTTCCCATGGACAACTCCAGATCGATTTCTGGAATTTTAAGACTGCACGTTTCCGACTATAAAACAGTGTTTTAAACAATGGCTTAAAAACTTATAATTACAAAGTAATCTGCCTCATACCAGCAACTACTATTTACAGTACCTTTAAAATGTCACGGCTCAAATCTTCAACATCAGTCATGACAAGAGTAATCTTTTTTCCCTTTTCAGAAATTGCTCCACCAGATTTAACTTCATTGCTCTTATAGCCACACTTTTCACAGCTTGTCGCCATAATAATGACTTCCTTAAAATGAGGAATGTCTGGCAGTTTAAATTCAAGCCATGAGTAAAAAGTCATAGATTGAATGTCCAGCTATACAACTATGCGTTTAAATCCAATATTCTTACCAAGCATATGCATCTTGGTATCACAAGGACTGTGACAATGAGAGCAGTTTCCAGGAAAAACATGAACTTGCTCGTTAAGTGGAAGTTCTTCTTCTTTCTCGTCATAGTTGTATCCCATGGCTTCCAGCTGTTCACGAGTACGTTTGTATGCGGTTGTCTTCATATGAGGATCGCTTGCTGGAGCTTCTGGGTTCTCAATGTAACTGTTTCCAGAGGGATCGTCAAGAACCATGGTGAAATCCTGCTTGAGATCCATATATGATTGCATGGTCTCTGTAACTTGATTGATTTTTTCATACGCTTTTGGATCTGAAACCTAGCTTAACAAAAACGAGTAAGCTGCCATAACATCCAGAGATTGCAATAGTTTGATCTAGATAAACTACCTTGCGGACATCCTGTTGTTGCTGCAAACCTTCCACCGCACACTGCAGTAGACCTTCGACAGTTGTCAGCACACCCTTTTGGGCAGGAATCTCAAAATCCAACTCCTCAAACCGAATAGTAGCAAACTCGGACTTGACAATCTGACGACTGATATCCACCTTTCCGCTGATTTTAAGAGTCTGATGAATTCCAAAATCGGCCAGTGTTGATGCAGACTGCACCTCATTGTTACGAAGAAAACAATGAGGACATTCGAATGCCATCAACACCACTTCCCGAAAATGAGGAATTACAGTCAGTAGCAATCTGGTAGTGCCCTATATTTCAAAAATAGTAATGTCAGTGTAAGACATGCAACAACGATGCATGATCATGGCTTGAATGGTGGATTAGATTCGACATCCAAACTATACAATGTACATTTTGACCACAGTTGACACAGTACGACTCGATTTCAGTAATACGCTGTTCACCATCGATATTTTCAAACAGTTTATCATCATCCGTCAAAGGTGTTTCTGAAGCCATGGCTGCAATGTGCTTTGATGGTTCAACTTTAAAGCTCAAGGCAAAGGAATAAGAATGGAGAAAAAAACTATTTATTTCAACCCAATTTCACTGTTTCGAACCCATTCTGACAGCATCCAGCAGGCCAGCATTACTATGTTTTTGAAACGAGTTTTTGGTTTGTAAAACTGCACGATCGAGTTAATGTACAAACTGTATCTAGGTGGAATACCAAAGATCGTGTCAGAACAAGACCAAATGAGTAGTATTTCCTATATTAAATCAAGTGGAAAAGCAGGTTGTTCATCAAATTGATCGTATCAACAGTTCAGATGGTTGCTGCAGTACAGAAGATACGATCGATAGATGTTCATGGCACTCCAATCAACAACTACTGATATTCGCAAATAATATCAACAAGAGTGAAAATTTGGGCAAAATCAAATATTAAGGCCAAATTAATGATTGATCGCCAAAATCTGTTTAGGCCACATTGAGCTTTCCCAAACATTAACTGTCAACGCATTAACATTCAGGATGAGCAAGCCATGGATTGAGATCAAAGAGGACCAACAGCACGCAATAGAGGTTTGTGTTTTTAATTCAAAAAGTTTTGTATATTGTTAGAATGCCTTTGAATTTACAAGGGTATGATAATAACTCCAATTCTCTTTGTATAATCATTAGCACTTTTGTATTCCTAGACACTACTCCAGCGATGTGTCCAGCATTCTTATTCCTCATGGTTTGATTCGCGACCGGTAAGTGCTTTCATTTCACTAGCATCACTTCTTGGTTGTTGCAATATACATTATAGTTGATGAAATTTACTGCCGTACTCACGTAAAATGGAATACTTTTATATTTAACTTGCAATGGCTGTTTTTGGGATAGATAATGGTTGAATATTTGTTATACTTTCCTACTACACTTTATTCTTGACTCTTTCAATGACAACATCCATCATATGATATAATCAAACTATAGTTTTAAACTGAAATGATTTTTTGAACCTTCCTTTCCTCGCCTGTGGAATGGTCATGTATTGTATGGTCGACAAGTTTGAGACCAGACTCATGTGTTTCAATCCAAATATTGGGTTCGATTGTTTTGATTTTATTAATCAAACTCTGTAAACTCCTATATCTTGATCTCGGATACATTCGCGTTCCAGCCCAAGAAAGCGATGATCGTGCATCTTGGAAATGCACTATTGTTTTCATGCCAATCACTCAATGTTTAATATGGTGTTTGGATTGGATGAAAAGAGAACTGAACAAGTGAAATATGCTGAAACTGTGATGTGAAAATTCGTTCAATTTTATACAAAAATGAGCAAAGACTGATGAATTTCGTCAAGGAGTTTATGGCACAATGTTGTACTGTAAACTGACCAATCATTTTAAAACTGGTTGTTTATTATGCATCTCTGTTTCGTGCTCCATTTTACATGAGTTTGGCTGTAAAAAGTATAATACATTTTAACAATTTGTTGAATAACAGTGTTGAAAAGCTTGCACAACTGATTGCTGCAGATAGCACTAAACCATTGGTTGCATGCTGCGTTCTCAAGGTAATAACAACCTTATTTTACTGTTGGTTGTATTTAGTTAAATTTTGTAATTGACTTGTGATCTAGGGAGCACACGGTTTTTTTGCCAACTTGACCGAGCATCTTAAAAAACTTCTCAACAAGGAGGGCAAATCTAGTAAGATATTAAATTATCATTTGATTGGCATGTTAAAGATTTTGATTTCTTATCGTGTGAACCCTTTGCCAGTCCCCATGAGTTTTGAATTTATCAAGGTCAAAAGCTACGAGAATGATCAATCTGTTGGAGATGTCAAGATTTCGTTGTCTGAGGAAGATTTAAAGGGCTTTCGTGGTAAAGATCTGCTGATTGTAGAAGATATTGTCGATACAGGCAAAACCATGGTTGGCTTGACTGAGCTGTTGAAGAAATATCAACCGGCAAGCATCAAAGTTGTCAGTTTATTACTCAAAAAAACCGATCGCAGCAACAACTATGTGTAAGTATCGAGTTTATCATTAGGCGTATTGCCTTTTGAGCCTGAGAACATATGATAAAATCCGTGATATTTATTTTATTCTTTAATCCGTAGCCCAGACTATGTTGGCTTCTCCATTCCGGATCTCTTTGTTGTTGGATACTGTCTTGACTACAACGAGGTATTTCGTGATCTGGATCACATTGCTGTCATTAGCGAAACTGGCAAGGCAAAATACACCGTTTGACTATAGCTCCATTTCTGCCATTTCCAAATGAAGCTCCTCCAGTTTCTCATTGATTTCCTTGACTGTTTCTTTTAGTCTGTAGTTTAAACAAATTAGGAATAGTAACGCTTAGAAAAATATGCTAGGGATGACAAGTCAAAACCTACGCAGTCTCGCAATCTGGCAAATCGCTCGAGTAGTCCTGTTCACCAAATGTACTCTCTGTCAACAAAATCTGGCGCTCGACAGTTTTAGTCAACTTGAATTGCTCTAGTTTCTGAATCTGACGAATAATATCTGCAATCGCATGTTGATTGTACTCGGACTTTAAAATTAGCTCGACCTGTTGGATCTGTACAATGAAGAGTAAAACAAAATACAATCGGATTGTAGAGTTGTGTCGATTAGTTCCGAATTGACCAAACAGCACACGAGCATGTTTTAGAGCAGACTTGCCTGCTTGCTAATCAGCACAAATGAGTCTCGAGCAGAATTTGCAAGCACCACAAAGTCTTGTCTGGAAGCCTGGCCAGATATGAACAAATCGAATCCTCTAAACAACACATTAGCAATTTGAATAGACACAAGTGTAGGTTAATCGATACTACCTTTCGAGTCCAGAGTATACTTGAGCACGGTCTCCTTGCAGTCGAGTAAAGTCAAGCAAGCAGGACAGAGTGTTCATGGTGGTGATGCTCAGTTGCTGGTTTTGCTTCAACCAAACCCATAAACAGCACCCTCAGGATTGGGGTTGAAGTTGTGCAAGTTGTTGCTTGTTGTTTGCACACTAATGGGGAAAAAAGACAAGCAAGTCAATCCGGCGGATGTGAGTAGACTCAAAGTCTAAGATGCTCGACTATGGCTAGAGTCGTACTGCTCGTAGTTTTCTACTTTACTGCTGTATTCACACAAAATACAACACTTGATTGGGATATTTAAATATTCGTTGCATTGTCGTATTAGATATTACTTTAGTTGGCATTCTGGATTCTTCTTTCAAACCTTCATACAAACTATAGTTGTTTCTTTCTCATAATCATACATTGTACGATCACCAAATTCATCCATTGCAATCTAGATACTGATTCAAACAGTTTTAATGCTCTCAAGTCTACAAACTCCTATATCCTAAAAACTCGTACGTTCGTGTTCTAATTCAAGAAAACAATGTCTGGAATGCAACCGTTGTTTTTATCTTGATCATCTAGAAACCAGTCAACTAAAGAGTTCAAAAAACAATGCTGTCTAGTAAACTGAAAATCATTTCATGAAACCTGTGTTTTACGTGAATACGGCTGTAAACGTCTTTAGCCCAGTGTCCATACACTTGGCAGCATGCTTTTTTCTAGCTTTGGTTTGATAGTTGCTGTATTTTCATCTAGTACTAACCTTTTCTGATTCAAAAAATTCATAAATGATCCATCTTTTATGGATATAGGCTTTGAGAAAACAGCAAAAGAAAAAGGAACTCAAAAAAGTAAGTTGTTTTTGGTATTTCTAGATCTACAGCTTTGATTGCTACAGCCTAGTATTTACTATTTTTTAAATAGAACAAGGAGGATAAAAAAAAGGGTAGACTGGTAGCTACTAGTCAGATCAATACGATCAAGCTAGAAATTGAATTCCAAAAACTCAGCGAACAAGGTATTCTATTGATAGACTTCAAGGCTGGTGTGGGTCATGCTCAGGGCTCACTATGGTATTACCAGCATTGCCTTGGTTTGACAAACTGTTTTTATAGAGATTTTAGGAACAATCGATGCAAATGGTAAACACCGCATTCGACAGATTCAGGATAAAATTAAAGAAATCAATGTAGCAAGAGAACAGCTTGGATTGGCACCCAAAGAGTTAAAACTTGAAGATCCTGCAAAAAATAAGTCGAAAAAACCTGAAAAAGTCTATAAATACTATCATCCTACGTTTAACCCTCACGGCAAACGCAAAGGCGAGGATAAACTTTTGGATGCAAATGGTAGGTTAAAAACATCAATTAAAATACACGTGTGCTTAAATGTCTGTTAAATTCTAAACACATGGTTTATTCTAGGTGTGTCCGATGATGAAGTAAGCGATCAGGGCTCTGTCAAATCATCAAATCACTCTGATCTAGAGATCACACCAAATAAATCCGAGCAAGGTATGTAGAGTTTGAAACAATGCCTTCAACAGTTGACATGACATTGCTTAAACAATACAAATTTGAACATGGCAAAAGGTATAATCGATCTGTCACACATTCCAATTCCAGAAGGTATTGCACCAGAAACAGACGCACAGGTTTACAATACGATAAAACTTGATGAAATCGTGGATGCTACAGAAACTGTTCGTAGAGAAAAAGAGCGTGCTATACAAGAACAATTACAAGCTCAACAACAGCAAGAGGCTTTAAATATACCATATATGCCCCAAATGCAGCCATATAATCCAATGATTCCGCCAAACTATATTCCTGGTATGTTTCCCCCTGGATATCCGATTCCGGGTAAGTTTAAATGGAGCTCAACTGTTGAATGATGATAGATCAGTGCCGATTTGAAATCTAACCAGATCCGACTCAACTTTAGGTATGCCATTTTATCCTTTTCACCTTCAACCACCTCCTATGCTTGTGCCACAAGTTGGCATGCCATTTACACCGTTTCCTGGCCAATTTCCCAATCCATCACCTTTTCAATCTCGCCCACGACAACACCATTCGCGACAGTCAAGACCACAAAAGCCACAAAAGCCACAAAAACCAGTGCCTCTTCCAAACAAACCTGCTACTGCAAATGTTATTTCAGCTGCACCTCAGATTCGAGATTTACGAAAAGAACTTACAGGATTTGTTCCAGCTGCAGTGCTAAGAAAAAAGGCTCTTGCTCATCGAAAAAAAGAATCCGAATCTGTTGAGCCAAAAGAATGACTCGATCAATCTATTTTTGCTAAGCCATTGCAATAATATCTGCTGTATATTGCCATACATTCTTTATTGTAACTGGGTTTTAAATATATGATGGATTGAAAGCCTTGATATACAGAAAATATCATTTTGTTTTATTTGGAGATCAAGACTGAAAGCATGCCTGCCTATTCTTGCAAGAATCCAGCCCAGCCATACAAACACCATTCTGATCATCTGCCCGCGACTAAATATCAACTGATATTTTCTGTTACAACTTCAATGCCATGTCCCAATCAAGAATGCTCGGTTGGATTTGGTTAATTGCAGATATATATTTGAATTTATACAACCAAAACCATACTTTGTATCAAATGCTTTTATGGATAGTTTATTAATCTCATGCTTTTAGATAAATGAAAGGGATGTGCACTTGGGAGTCAGTCCAGCCTTTTCAATAAATGCAGGATTCCTAAACATTATTCAATCAATAGAAGCAGACCAACATGTTAACACAGTACTTTTATATACAATGCGATTCGTCATGACAGATTTGCGTACCAAAACTTGGTCAAGTGTCGAGATCCATGATCGCATAACATAGTAACAATAGTATGACCAGGACCAAGCTGTTTTGCGACACGACATGCAGCAACGCAATTTACTGCTGAAGAGCTACCTATAAACAGACCTTCCTCTCGCATCAAGAATCTTGACATTTCAATAGCATCTTGATCAGATACTTGAACTGCGTCGTCAATACATCCATTAAAGAGCAATTTGAGAATTGCAGTGATACGGGTGTTGCCGATTCCTTCAACGATCGTATCTATTTGATGACGACGTCTCTTTCCTTCTGCTTGTTCGGGAGTGTATAGAATATTGAATTTTAACTTGTTGTAGAGCCCACTGCCATCTGGGTCTGCCAACACCACTTTCAAATTTGGGATACGCGGCTTTAAATAGTCTGACACTCCTGCCAAAGTACCACCAGTTCCTAATTATAAACAAAATAGGTTTTAGAGGTCATAAACTATCCAAATCGTCACGGATGCGTTTAAAACGATAGTTTTTCATACCTGCACCCATTACAAATGCATCCATTTTTCCATTTAGATTTGAATACACTTCGGGACCAGTTGTTGTCAGATGGGTCTGATATAATGGAAACAGTTTAAATCAACAAGGTTATAACAGTATGACTGATTGCATTCATATTCAGCGTACCTGATAATTGGCCATGTTTTCAAATTGATTACAAAAATAGCCACGAGCCATCGAGCCATGCATGTCTGCAGCGATATTCATCTCTTCTGCTCGACGTCGTGCAATATTTACATAATGATCTGGATCAACAATGGATACTGGCCTAACTTTTTCAACAAGCGCACCAAGAGCCTCGATGATTTCATATTTTTCTTTGGCTTGATCATCTAATGTAGGATTGGAACAGTAATAGAAATTAGTTTAAAGAATCGGTTTAGTAGTCAACAAGACTGGCACGGTATGACCTGGCATGACGATATGACAGAGATAGCCTTTAGCCCGTGCAATCACAGCAAGAGAAATGCCAGTTGATCCGACAGTTCCTTCAAACAGAGTGCATCCACAATAAGGTTGAATCAGTCCTCGACGCTCAGCATCCTCAATGATCCCTAAAGCAATTCGATCCTTGGAACTCCCACCAACATTCATGAACTCTGCTTTGGCATAAATGCTACAGTTGGTCGCATCTGAAAGCGATTTAATATATATCAATGGTGTATTGCCAATAAGACCAGAAACTCCCTGTGCGATGGTTTGTTTTTTGGTTCGAGTAGATTTCAGGTATGAAACCAGCCAAGTCGCACCAGTAATAGTAAGCATCGCAGCTGACAAGGCGATACAATTGAGTAACAATGGCTTTTCTGCCATCTTTTTAAGTAGCGAACTCAATACTTTTAAAGACAGTGACATAGTTGACAGATAAATTCAATCGTATTCACGTAAAACATTAATAAGGGTGTCGAATCAACAGTCAGTCCATCAACTATCTGAATAGTGCGTCTTGGCTTATTAATTGGTCACTCTCTTGATTCATGTATTATCGCATTCCTAAACTATACGATCGTCAGCTAAAGCGCGAATACAAGAGTTTGACAGCAATATTCAAGTGAATCTGGTGATCGTGCAATGACTAAATGAGAATGTTCAAGTTATTATTCAATTGCAAGGAAATATCTCAAGTCGAATGTATTGTGAATAAAGAAATCGTCAAGTGGAAATCAACGACAATCCAAGTTGCGACTTTCCAACACAAGTTTTGTCATTTTGCACTTTGTTCGAATTCTGACTGGCAGACAACATAATGAAAGCTCATGGCCATGATGACGACGCTAATCCTCGTGAGTAGGCATTGACACTCTTCTCAATACAGTGCATTGCATATGTGTCCATCATTGGTTCAGTCAATTACTGGAATGAGTACATCATCAGTACTGTCTTGTATTCAAGTTGTCTTCATCTGCTGCATTGGATACATTACACATGTCATGTCAATCATGTTGCTCATACTGTTTCATTCAAGTCTCTACTATCATCAAGTAGTGATGTTTTATCTGTCAGGCCATTTAATGTCATTCTTTTGAACTTCATTTTTAAGAAATCGCCATATGTAATCAAACTGTTGAATCATAAATACTGTTCAGCAGTTCTAAACGATCTCAAGTTTCACTCGCATATTCAATATACTCTCAACTTTCATGAATGGACTGTATTAATCAACTAACATAAACTACTAGCCATGTATATTACACAGGAGGAACTGAACAAGACCCAAATTCCATTGCAATGGCGAGATTATTGTGTGCATCTGCTTTCTGAACTGAATCAATGTCGTCGTGAAAGTTACTTTGCTCCATGGAAATGTGTAGAGGAAAAACTGGCCTGGCAAAAATGTCAATATGACGAGTAAGTACAATTTGATCATTTCTAATCGTTGCATATCAAGAGCTAATACATTGTTATGGATGTTGAATGGCTTGCAAACACCAGCTATCATCGGCGTATGCGCAAACTTGAAAAACGAAAGATTGCAAAGGAAGAAGAACGTTTGGCTGCTGCTGTTTCGGATATCTAAGTTGAACACTAGTTGATTCAACTCACAATATTACACTAGTTTAAATGTGTGGTGACCATCAAAATCAAATGAAATCACCCAACACATCTACGTATCTGGCATGTTACATTCATGTTTTTTTAAATTGTTTAAATGGAATACTTATTTTTGCTAAAAATAGCAATTCAGTCCAAGTGAATCACATACTGGTTACGGTTTATGTGCAGATCTATCTAAAAATACTGGTAATAAAATGTGATGTTTGACAAGAGTGGCATCAAAGTAATGGTAAATGCCATGTTTTTGATACATCTATGCCTGGAAACAAGGTTTGGGTAAATACAACCCTTATTGCAATAGCAAAATAAACAGATTGGTCTCGCTTTCTAATTACTTTGGGAGTTCATTGTTCAAGATATGCTTTAAAACCAAAATTCTGCAAAACTTCTATATTTAGCCATACTGTATGGCATGTACATTCAATGAGTAGGTCCCAATCCAAGCATATCTGGCTCACGGATCTTGGTAGCCTGAAGACTAGAGTTGCTTCCAGAGGAACGCATCCGCTGCTGGCTGGCACTTCGTACCCGAGCCATACGCGGCGACGCCTGAGTGTAGTTGGAAACCTCCTTTGAACGGGCTGTAAGCCAGTCTAGCTCTACAGAATCGGAATTTGGCTTGAGACGGTCATTGTGAGCAGGCATGGCTGAAGCTTGTCCTGATTTTCTATAAAATTATATCACGATCCAAATCGTTAAAAATCGTAGGAATAACTGATTTAAAAGGCTAAACCATGGTACTGGTTTCAAAGCAAAGTCTTACCCAAAAGTGGCAGTAATGTTTTTTAACAGACTAGATACATTATTTTTTGAAAGTTCAGTACCATCGGTTGAAAAAGCGTTGATATCAATATTGGAGGTATCTAGAATCCTGTGATCGGCATTAGTCGCCATTGTTTTTTTGTTGACTATTCAAAACATAATAAATAGTCAGCAAGATGATTCCAATGGCATCGTTTAAAACTCGACAGTATCTTACCCAGTGCTTCTTTGAAATCTTCAATTCGAACAGCAGAATATGGATGCTCTGACTAGTAATACCAATATAAATATATGCGTGTAAATCAAAATGTATATGTATATGCATATTCAAATAGTAATATCATTCAACATAAAACATACGGCTGCTCGACCCGAGTGATTACGTTTAACGTTTGTGGGCATAATAGTTTTAAGTTGCGAAGGTCGTTTTTCTGTCGAATCTTGCTGAGTTGAGGCATGCTCATCAGATTTGACCACTTGGGGTACATCATCACCTAACAAGAAGACAGGATAACCCAGATTAGATACAGATATAAAAATATTGACATGATGGGTTGAATACTATTACTTGGAGTGGTGTATGTGATATCGACACGCTCCCAGATAAGAATGTTGCTACCCAGGCATTCAGTAGCAGTTTCGATGTTTTTGAGTTGTGAATCGCGCACAAGCATACCAATCAATAATGCTCGATCCAGATAATTGTCGATAGGCTCGACGCCATCCATTCCACTCAACTGTGCATTTTCAAATGTCTTTGTTGAAAAAAAGTTTACTGCATCACTTGAAAACTCGAACCCATTAAACCATTGCGACTTTTCTATTCTCGTATCTTTGATACTGTTGACATACTGCAGCAGTGAAGTATTTCCAAGAAATCGTGCAAGATAAACAAAGTACTCTACAATCAGATTGGCAAGTGCTCTGCTATGATTTACTGACAGGATTTGATTTTCCGTGATCTGAATCTATATCAAATACTAAATCAGTCATTTGATTAAAACATATGCAATCTTTGCAAATACACCTACTTGAAGACGGAAAAATACAGGAACACTGACAAACAGATCTTCAATTGGCATCAATTGCATCAACTGAACCGCAAGTCGACCGACAATGATATAATCCGAGGGATTATTGAAATCACAAAGTGCAGCATTGTACAATTTGTGCCAAAGTAACCCATGAAACTTTGAAACCGTTTAAATAAAATTTAGAAACAAAACAATAGTTTATAAAGCAAAGGGCTGATCATCCAACAACTTACAGAATTTGGACCATGATTCTCAACATCATGAAGTGCAGGTGGCATTAACGAAAGCGCTTTGGTTATAAGTGCAAAAAACTCCAATCTTACGTCTATTTATACACCAAAGTTGACATTAGACAAAGACCAAATCCAAGTGCTCACACGTAACAGTACAACTTGCCTGCATTTTTGTGGGTCATCAAAATCAGAGTGGGTGCGACAAGTTCAAAAGAAATGCTTGCTGAAACCATGGATTGTCGTTTGTGCTCTGTCGCAACAACTCGCTTCTTATACACAGCCAAAACATGTTCTATCGAGCGAATAAACAAAATACATGGAAGCGTAACATCTATCATGTTTAACAGACGATTCACAAGAAATGAAATAATGTCGTTGACCTGATTTGGATAAATGAGATGGTGAACCAAGGAGCCTTTAGCCCATGAAAGCAGACATAAATATAACAGTAGCATCAAAGTTATTTTCAAATGCTCTATAGTTTTTCAAATGATTGATTAGACAATAAAATAAATTACCAATTCCATTGACAAGCGCTTTTTGAAGCTGTTGCTGGACAGGAGTACACGATCCATCTGAAAACTTTGATGTTTCTGCAGATGCGTTCAAATGGCGTGCAAAAATCTCCAAAAGCTCTGGAACCGTAATGCCTGCAATACCATCGCCAGTTGTAACCAAAAACGTCAGAATTTGAACAACGGTGATTTTTTGGACTGTATCTGACTCGGATTCAAGACGCTCAAGCATAATAGAGAGAATGATATAGTGGTATTGTGTCTGAATAAAAATATATATTCAAGATGGTTTCAGATTATAAATCAGTTGACTTGCAAATTCTTGAACAAGTTAAAAATAACGTCACACTTTACCTGAACAACAGACGTAACAGACTGAATCACATCCAAAGCATACGCGTTCACAACCCACATACTCTTTTCATCCAAATACCTACAGATGACCCAATTGTGGCAAGTGTAAACTTTAGTCATTTAGCAATGCTTGAATCAAAAATATAAAACATGATCTACCTGCAAGTGGAAATTAAAAAGTCCTTGACGTTTGCAACATTGGCCTGTCGAAAAAGACCGCGAATACAAATATTGGCTGTGTACTTTAGCTCGTCATCTGTAATAAGCTGATCTGTAATAGATTGCTTCCTCGTATACATTTGTGGAGAGCTGGAATGGCTGCTGTTCAATAATACAAGGCAGTAAACTGACGAGTCAGATATCTTACCAATTGAACAATAGTCAAGATCACAAACTTACAGTGCAAGTGAATGCATGTGTTTGTGCGAGGATCCCATGTTGGCCAAAGCTGCTGGAATAATCTGTTGGCTGTAAGGAATCAAATGGGGACTCATAATAAACGAATCACTATCGCACACGGCTTCGAGTGCTTTAAGACCAGATAAGCGAGTTCTTTGATTTAAATGATCAAACACAGGCTCATTATTAGACACCAAGCATATTGAAAGTCCTTGAACACAGATACTTACTTGTGCTGAAGCGTGGCGTCTGAAGTTTCAAATGCAGCCTCTTTGCAAAACTTTTGGATCAACTGCGAGTATATTTTGGTGAATTCATCGTCGATAATATTTTGATGGTTGTGATGAGAGCTAAAAAGAATAAACTGTTGATACACGACCAATAGCATGATGCAATGTCAGCCAGTTGGTTAGAACCACATGCATTTTTAGCACATGAACTCACCGTACTGGTAGCTTGCATAACAAGGTCAGGATCCGGCGAATGCAAAACATCGAGAATAATTCGTAAGATATTCTTTGAAATGAGGTTTGAATTTTGACGACACTCGATAAGTAGCGAATGCAGAATCTGCAGGGTGACTCGATTGTAACTAAACAGTCCATTACAAAACAATAATGCAGTAAAAAGATGATTAATAAATACATTACACAGCAGCCAATCATTCAACTCTTGAAGCACAATTTGAAGAGCCAAAAGTCGAGTTGGTTATACAAAAGCCAAGAATATTGGCAGGTTGAAGATAATTCTTTAAAATAGGATAATATGGATGTTGGTGACTAGCAATAAGACGTTCGAGTTACTGATGGAATACACATTTACCCAAAGCGAGATTTCCTTGAATCCATCTTGACTCGTTTTTCCAAATAGGCACCGATTTTGGGTAGTTTATATGGTTTTGTGGTAGCATAAAAAATAACTAGTGAAAGAGCAGAGCCTCTGGGTCCTTCTTCACCAGGCTCTCTTGGATAAACATTGTTGATGAGAGTGACATGTTTGGACCAAACCCCACAACAAGCGGGTGTAGCAGTCATAAAGAGTCACTCTTATAGAAAGATGCTGAAAGTACGAGCAATGCAGTTGTATGAATTCAAGCAAACGAACAATCTTGAACTGGTTGTTTAAAATCTAGCCAAAGTAGGCTGTCATTCAATATTACAGCCATATTCGCGTAAAATGAAACATTAAATAAGGGTGTCAAGACACAATCTCATGAGTGTCAAGACACAATCTCATAAAAGTGTCGGTTTATTAACTCTATTTAAACGGTACTTGTCCTGGTTACTAACATGATTGACTCGTATAATAAAAACTCGTATTCGCGCTTCTAGTTCATAAAAAAATTGTAGTTTCAGGAATCAATCATTGAAACTGAAATGTATGTGTTTATTCAGTTTTTATACAAAAACATAAACTTGCCAACTAAAAAGTCCAAAAAATACAATCTTGTCTAGTAAACTGATCCATCATGTTATATGGCTGTTTATTATATATCTTGATACCCTTATTCCATTTATGTAAATATGGCTGTAAATGCTTGGCAACTTTGTCGGCTAAAAACTGCGGCCGATATTCCAGCAGCAAAAAGTGATCCCCAATTTTGCCAATGGTTCACAGCTAACAACAACAAAATGAGAATCAAAACATGAAAGAGGCTTCAGCTTTGGAGTCGCAATAGCATTCTAAATGGGATCTATACGTTTTTGATGGAAATTTGCTTTCGAATCTCTTCGAAAATACTCATCAGTCCAACAATTCCAGCCAACCCAAAAAACAGACATGCATCTATACCGCTTGGTTGACACGTTGCTTCCACAATTCCATAAACTACAATCAAAATACCAACAGTAATTCTAAATACACTTAGTCGTCCAACACTATGCCACACTCGACCCCATACAACAACAGTCGAATGTAAAAGACGATTATCCAGTGCTGCCAACCACGTTAGCAAAACCCCAACACATGCTATAATGATGACACACAATCCAGCACAAACTAGAGTGACAGAAATAGGTGTCCATGATGGTAAACTTGCAAGTCGCGATGTTTTTAAACCCAGTGTCGAGTTTGAATTGAATGCAATCATCATATCAAGATAGTCTACACCAGTAGCGTTGAATTGAGTCGTCAATCCAGCAAAATCGTTGGATATTGACATGTCAACAGGGAATCTTGGTGCATTCACAGGCGCACCCATAAACTGTTTGTACATGGACGTGAGTTGAAGTTGAATTGCCGCAATAAAGACAACAAGAATGATGTGAAATGTCATATGAAACCAATGCAAACACTTTGTGAGAATCAGAGATGTATAATACCGTCGAGTGTCGTTTAGCAACTCCATGAATTGAGATTTGAAACCGTGTATACCATTCAAATTTGATCTCGAGACTGCTGAGTTATTTTGAATACTATTGGATGCTGATCGATTGTTTTGAGTAGGCTCATAGTTGTTCATTGTTGAGGTAGATCTTAATATAGAATTAAACGATGCTTTTTTTCCACTGAATAAAGACTTGGATGCAATGACTTTTGAAAAATTGAACACATATGGGGTTTTCCAGTCACAGGAAATGACATGCATGGCATGTAATGAGAATAGAATGATTAATCCAGACGATCCGACAAGAAAATTGAAAATGTTAAACTTGATAGTGAGCACCGTGTCAGGATAGTATGTCCCCAAGCGATAGGGAAACATGTATGTTGTCCCAACAATAATCAAAGCCGTTGTATACACAATGCCTTTTGCAGCCAATTGCTTCTGCGATTGAATTTTTCCATCCATTGCTGCATGACGTTGATTTGATACTGCAGTTAAATCCCGGTCGGCCGCCATTCGTGTTGTACAACGAGGTAAGCTTACACTCCATATATCCAATCCATCCATTACAACACAACTTGCAACATCTGTACACACACCCAAGATCAGAAACATCATGTATCGATCAATAGGTACAACCCAAACGGCAGCTATCCAAAACCCAACAGGCAACAAGTCCAATATACTTTTAATGGCCAAAATCATGGGCTGACTTGAACCCAGCACGGAAAGCAGAATTTTCGTCACTGAAAAAATAAACTTTCCGCACACAAGCATGATTAAAAATGCAATAGGAGAGTCTCTGTTCAAAGCAAACAGCGATGGAACAGTCCAACCCATCCCAAACATACACATCAGTATCATGGTGGTAAATGCGAATTCTCCTATGCCGCCTTTAGAAAGGTATTCATGATGCAGCTGCATAGATTGATAGACAAATAACTCGAATGGCACAAACCCGAGCAAGAAGTTGCGTAGAGTGGTCAAAGATACTCCTGACGAATCTGCTTGAAAAATAAGAGTAGTTCTCAAGATGAACAAGGCTGCCGCTATATCGCATATGATTTCATGATTTAAACAATTACTCTGGAATGAAAATATCGAGCTATTATTGATATCAGATTGAGTAGCATTTTGAAGTGGCATGTTCAAAGACAAGTGTGAAGTGTGCTGTACAGAATCAAGCTGATTTACTTGAATAGAAGTATCTACAGACGAATCTATTTGAGGAAACGATGAGCTGGTGTTTGGTGAGGAAATGCTAGCACTATTGATATCTACCGTGGCAGTATTACAACTTTGAGCATCGTTCTTTTGGATATGCTTGAAAGTATTTGGGAGGTAATTCAAACTTTCAGTAAATGGTGTATTGACAGTAGATGCCAACTCGGGATAGGCAGCACGATTCGAGTCTTTATTTCGATTGAACTGTTCAAAATTAGATGCAGACGAGGTTGATAGATTCAGGGAAACGCTACGATTTTTGCTTACGGGAAGCGTTGAAATTTGGGTTGGATGGTTAAAGAATGAAGCTGTAAATACGCCATGGCTACCACTTTTTGTAGCCATCTTCAAACAAAATATGCTGTCTAATGATGTCTTCTATGCAAGTGAAATCAATCAGAATAAACGAGGTCTCTAGATTTGTATATTTATACTCGAAATAGCTTGATTATACTCGAGGTTATCCATTTTTGTGAAATGTTTGATCTTTGGCGGAACAAAAACATTTTTAGTTTATTTTACTATTACCAAGCAGAATAGAAACATGCTGCTAATACAAAGTATTGCACTATTCTTGATTAGTTCTAATATAAATATCAGAGGAAATAGATGACGATACCATTCTAATTCCCTTTTAACAGAACCAAGTTTACCACAAGTGAAAAAGTTGTGCTTCCAGTCAAAAGTCTTCTGTTTAGCACATGACAAGTGTTTGAATTTCAAAATAAACTTTGAAATGTAAATATCAGAATTTGCACCACAACTAGTTTATTGCAATCATATTCGACAAGACATGGCAAAAATATCAATAATACTGCAGACTATATCATTTGGATGTTGGATTGTCATGATTTGACTGCAGACGATTACGTGCAGGTTTAGTGCTTTTGGAATGCAACCAATTCCGAGACGCAACTGGTGTAGGAATGCTCTGACTTTGCGTAAGTGCCTAGCAAGTTTTTAAATAATCAAAAAATCAATAAACAAGTCCAAAATAACAATCACATCCAATATAAACACTGCACCTTGTTAGGAACAAACGCATAGCCAAACTTGTCCATTAATCTGGATACATTTCCTGTATGTAAACTCTGTAACTCGCGCTTAATGAGCTCAGATTCGCTCATATTTTCAGCTGGAAGCAAAGTAGTGTTTAACTCGAGCTTTTCTTCCAAAGCGTCACTTGAACTAGTTGAATGCATTTTGAGTTCTTTAAAATTTCGTACAGAGCGTCGAACAGGAGTAATAACTTGATCGACACCAAGAACTAGATCGATGTTGCATACCATATACATTCAACGTTGTGTTGATTGGTTAAAAATAAGCAATGTAAATATTTAATATCAATTGAGCTTTTAAAGTCAGTGTTGTGTTCAACTCACTGTCACGATCATTTCGCTTGGCTCGAACTGGAGTGAGAATAGTAACAGATCCCCTTATACTATTAGTGTCTTTAGCATCAAAAGTATTGCCAAACTGTGATTCTCGAAGTGTGCCGAGTTGAGTAATGCGAGTCGAGGGTTTTTGCTTGGGTGTTGCAGCTTCTGATATTGATAACTGATCAAGCATGCCAACCAATTCGCCAAATTCTTTTGCGTTTGTTTGTGCCGCGGGATTTTTGGCTACTGTATGGATCAATTGAGCAAATTGTGGTTTTGGAGCAAGAGCTTTGTCGATGTCTAATGAATTTTTCAGTGAGTTGTAAGGAGTAAAACGGGATGATTGTAGTGGTTTCAATAACGGTGGTGTTTTCTTTGCTCTGGGAGTCATTTCGGATAGATCAGTGATGGTAGGCACAGGAACGGAAATATCGTCATCAAAGTCCATTTTGTGTCGATCGTGTTCATCAGCAGAAGCACCAAGTTGGTCACTCGAACGAAGAATATATGTATACAGCTCGGTTTGAAGAATATTTTTTTCCTAATATTAAAACCGTATGATTGGTAATGTAAGACTAGTATTTGATAGAGTGAAATACATATTTGTGTATCTACATGGACATGCTGTTTTCCAATGATTGATAAAATAGCTTACACTGCTCAATGTGATGGCTTCATCGCCACGATCAAACAACTCAAGGACCGTCATCTTGTTACCACACATTTCTTCCAAATTGGCCCACGCAATCCAAAAACGTGAAAACCCAGTAGGAGGTTTGGACATTACGCACCATTTTCCATTACCAATAGGCGTCTTGACCGCAGCAGCAGTATTCCGAGTTTCTGCGGCAATAATCTGAAATATTGCACGAGCAAGATCGTAGTTGCCAACCTAAATATGGATTGCTTTCAAATTAAATAACCCAGCATTTCAATAATAGAAATTAGCCAATCGGAGTTTACCTTGACAGCCGACTGCGCATCTTTTACGCTAAAAAAGTTGAATGTAGGTAAATCATATTTGGACTCGCCAACAATGGTTCCAAAACTGTTTATAACTTGTACGGAAACACGGTCACAATTAAATGGTCGAAACAGCCTAGTCCTAGCCGAATTGGGTAGAAAACAAAACGCCTAGGTTAATTCAAATTCGGTTAGCACAAGCATACATTGAAATCTACCTTTTCAGCCGCTTCAAGGCGTGATCCAATTCAGGTTTGTTAGTATCAGTTTTTTTAGTCGATGCTTTCAAAGTAGCACTAGCTTGCGGTGACGATCGACGAGAACCAACAAATGCAGTTGATCGTAGAATAGAAGGATCAAAAAATGGCTGATCATTGCTTTTTTCAACACAAGAAGTATTGTCTGAAAGCCAGTGGTTTTGAGGCACTGTAAATTGTTTTTCTACTATGGTTTCTATCAAAGGTACATCAGATTTTAATGAGGGATATGATACGTGGCGACAAATAGTAGGAGATTCAGACTTTTTAGTAAAAGACGATACAGAATTTGTAGAATATAGCGAGTGATTTGGAATTCTTTTTGGAATAAATGAAGCACTAGCACTTCGATTCAGGGGACGGGGGATTTTGGACGATTTTGAAACATGTGAAATGGACTTTGATGCATTGTTTTCTTGTTCAGCAACTATGTCTGTCAAATCCAATGGTTAGAATGTGTACATTCAAATTATTTCAATAGCCAATATACATTTGTTACCATTTTGAATAATTGATATCAATGGTTTTGGAGACGACTGTCGAAGTGGAACAACAAATGGTTTTACAGTTTCTGACAAGCTCTTTCGTGTCCTAATAATAATAAAAGTTGATTCAAGCTATGAATGGTACAATCTTGAAAGGACGAATCTCAAGCAAGCGAGATTAAAGAAATGTAAAGTCGGAAAGTTCTTACGCCAGTAGTTTTTGGGAGTTTCGGGCTGTTTTCCATTTCTGCAACTCTTTTCGGTAAGCAGCCTGCATATCTCCTTCATAGTCGACCCGAGTTGGTTTAGAATTGTGGGGTTGCAAATCGTGAGATAGCTGCTGTTGTGGAGGGTTAGAGGGTTGATCTTGCTTGGGCTTTTTACAAGGGACTTTCCGAGCATTCCATGCCGGTCTATTAGAAACAGATGTATAGTTTCTTTCCTTGACAGCAGAGCGGCTTTTTAAAGACGAGTCGGACATGTGCGTGTTTGGAGACGAGTTTTCATCGTTGGAGGAAGTTCTACTACGAGTGCCAGCAGGATAGGAACGAAGAACTCTTGTAGTGGTTGAAGCTGAATGGTCTGCCTTGTCGGCTGAGTGTGATTGTCGTGACCCTCGATGCATGTCCAAATGGTTGAATAATTCAAGTATTTTCGTACGTTCACCACAGTCAAGCCCCAAACCATATGGTGGATAGTCGCTATATCTAGCCATGAATTCACTCTATTAGAAAGAGTATGTAGGAATGAGTGTGTATCGTCTGTTTGATGGTCGATCCTAAAGCAAATCGAATTTTCAGTCGTAATGAAGCTCTACGATGCAATGACATGAGAATGTCAATCTATTGTGTAATGTTGATTTAAAGCACCTCAAATCTGCTTACTGCAAAAAGTTGACTGTTTAACAATATGCTGACAAGTAATATTTCCCAAGAGCAGCATTCGTATCATTTGCGAAGCAAAGAGCTTCCATCTAGCAATTCATCGAGTGATGAGCATCAAGATATTCTTGCAGTGCACGACATTTCAGTCAAGTCACAATCCAACAGAGTGTCGGCTGAGCAAACCGGACTACAATCCACTTCTGATAACACACTTTTGGCTGCTTTCCATAAATCATTGACTCCTACAAAGCTGTCTACATTTGAGCAAGGTAGAGGCTCTTGTTGTTGACAGATTTAAGCATTGTATGCATGCAACTGCAGCAATCTGACAGATGGTAGCTGACTATGCATTGACTTGTTTATGCCAGCATTTGTTCAAAATAGATTCACTCCAACTCGTCTTGGACAGCCTGCAAGCAGGATCATACCTGGCTCTAAAACTAACACAAGATCTGGAGCAGATGTTCAGGCATCTTCACCAGTTACTGTCTTTAAGCGTCCAACTCTCAAAACTGGTCAAGATGTCATTGCCAAGTCCAGTCTTGTAACAAAACAAAACAGAAAACAAACTCCAGCTGTCGAATTTGCCAAAAAACCACTTCCGTGTGCACAGATCGTGCCAGTAAGCAAACCGTCTGTAACCAACACTCTTAGAAAGTCCATGAGCATACCACACATGAATACCACGGCCATTTCCAAACAGATCTCTTCTCCTGTAACTCCTTACCCAAGTTGCATCAATGCCTCTGTAAATCAACTGCGCGGACACAAAGTATCTATAAAACGTGCTTTACCCATTTTGCCATCGTCCGTTTATGATGACGGTAAGCTCTAGATGTATCGTGTTTTTTATGGTCAAATGGTCAGCTAACAGTCGCATGTTTTTGCCAATGTATAAAACTTGACGATTGCACAGAAAATCCATTTTCTGTGTCATCAAAGCCAAACAAGGAGCTTAAATCAGAAAATGAACCAGCACTGCTTTTGCAAAAAATTGCATCCCACGAAGCAACGATTTTAAATCTGACAAAAGATTTAGTAATGGCTAACCAAAAAAATGTAGATTTAGGCAAGATAGTTTAACAGTGCTTATATTGCTCAGGTTGAATAATTTGAGGTGTGCTAACTCTTGTTCCAACTATTACAGATCTAGAGATTCAACGGCTAAAAAATATAATTTCTGCTGGCACTACACAATTATCAAATGGGAATAACAATGCAACTCCTGTTCGTATTGCTGAGCAATCTCGGTCACTACATGGCGGCTCTTTTTCAGCAGAGTCGCTAGTAGGTGCTTTGAATGTAAATGCTGATTTTAACTGGTACTGCCTATTTGTCTGTAACCTATCTCCTGCGTCTAACATGAATATTTTTGATACCACCTCAAATTAGGGATTGACAATGGAAAGACAAGAAACGGTATCACCACATATGGATGAGCATCAAGCTATCCCATTGCAACTTTCGGTGCCGTCTAGTCCAGGAACCCCACGATCTAAAATTCCAATGAAAAAGCGAATGCTTGCCATGGGTCTGGAAGACAGCCCCAGTGCTTAGGTGATCCCACTAATTTTATTATTTCATTTGCCTCTTGCTTCCCCTACACTGCCGATGTTGACTTTTATGGTTCATTTTATTTTCAAACAAATGCATGCTGTACTAGAATGTCAAACCCATCATCGAGTGTCATGTCTGCTCTATTGGAATGCCATTTTTAATTGGATCAACAATGTGATTGTCTGAAGTATGAATAAACTTGGTAGATAATTCAAGCTGGGTATAACTTGTCTGTATCATTTTCAAATCGGCTTCGAGCATGTCATGCACCATTGATGACATTGCAGCATCCATTGTGTTTGCCTAAACCAACAATAACCCAACTTTAATAACAAATGTAAAAAAACTCGCAGCGTTTCAAGTACCTTTGCATGGAATTCAGAAAGCATACAGTCACATTTGTTTATTTCTAGTCATGTCATAAAGTATCAAGATTACAGCATGAGTAGTGTTGTAGAAACCAATCCAATTGCAATCAGTTTACATATCTTACCGGATCTTACTTGAGCAAGAGTTGTATAGACAGGCTCAAGTTGAGATTTAAATGCAGCTGCATCAACACAATCACGGAGAGGACTGCACGACATGGTTGAAAGGGAAATTTTGGTGAGACAGTCGTATTTAATGTCAAGAAAATTAGAATCTAGTAAAAACATGCATAGTTGTAGAAACAATTATTTATTGAACCAGCATGGGAGTTCAAGCCAGAATTGAACGAATGAAAAGCATAAACGTGAGGTCATTGTAGAAAAACCCAAAATACTCCAATTTCACAAGACAAGCTAATCTTATGGTTTGGGGCCGATCATGGTCTCTGGACGAACATACTGGTCAAACTGTTCCGAAGTAAGCAAACCCAGAGAAATAGTGGCCTGCTTGAGTGAGGTGCCTTCTTTGTGGGCTTTCTTGGCAGCCTTGGCAGCGTTGTCATATCCAATATATGGGTTGAGAGCAGTAACGAGCATGAGGGATTCATGCAGAAGCGATTCGATACGCTTTTCGTTGGCTTGAATGCCTACCACGCAGTTCTTTGTGAAGGATAGGCAGGCATCGGCAAGCAGGCGAGTAGAATGCAGTAGATTCTTGATCATGACGGGCTTGAACACGTTAAGCTGTAGTGTTTGATTTTGACCCATTCAAATATTACAGTTATTATGCATACAAAAAAAGACTGGTATGCAGCCAAACAGCAATTTCTATTGATTAAACCTTTGACTTGCCTCAAAATGTCCTTGTGCTCCTGATATGGTAATGGCGACGTGATTTCCCATAACTTGAGAGCATACCATAGTCATAGCCTCGCATTGAGTAGGATTGACTTTTCCGGGCATGATGGATGACCCTGGTTCGTTTTCAGGAAGAAGAAGCTCACCAAGGCCACAACGAGGTCCAGATCCTATTATACGCGCATTTAAAAAACAAATCAGTTGTTTAAATCTTGTACAGGTTCAACACATTTGCGTCTGGTTAAAATACGGTTACACTCACCAAGCATGCGAACATCGTTGGCAATTTTGTTGAGAGAGACAGCAAGAGTATTGAGAGCACCGCTAGCTTCGACAATAGCATCATGTGCAGCAAGAGCCTCGAACTTGTTAGGTGCAGTCTGGAAAGGAAGGCCAGTATCATGAGCAATCTGAGAAGCAATCTTGACATCGTATCCCTTTTTAGTATTGAGCCCAGTACCAACAGCAGTGCCGCCTTGAGCAAGATTGTATAGATGAGGAAGCGAGGAGCGCACGCGCTCAATGCCATAGGTAATTTGTTGAGTGTATCCAGAAAACTCTTGACCAAGAGTTAGAGGGGTAGCATCTTGAAGATGGGTACGACCAATCTTGATAATGTGCTGGAAAGCCTGGGATTTTTCGGCCAAAGCTGTTTCAAGAACTTGCAAAGCGGGGAGAAGGCGAGAGTTGAACTCAAGGGCAGCAGCAACATGCATGGCAGTAGGAAAACTAGTCAAATACACATACGGTAAGGGATGAGATTGATGATCATGGACTGTGAAGCATATCATTGAATGGGTCATGCAATCCAGATTAAACTCGAAATCTACAGTTCTGGAAAGTATGTGAACCTACGTGTCATTGGAGGACTGACCACTGTTGACATGGTCGTTTGGATGGACAGGCTTTTGGGAACCAAGTTCACCACCAAGAAGCTCGATTGCGCGGTTGGCAAGAACCTCATTGACATTCATGTTGGTCTGGGTACCAGAGCCAGTTTGCCAGACGACAAGGGGGAAATGATCATTGAGCTTGCCTTGAATCACCTTTTTCATTACACCATACGGTCATGAATCAGCCATGTTTCCATTATTAAAACCTCGTCAAATGCAAGTCTGCATCTAGATCACAAGTATTGGACAATCAGCATTTAAAACACATACCTCATCTGCAGCCTGAACAATAGCCTTTCCAACAGTCTGGTCAAGACCAGTCTCCATATTGACAGTTGCGGCTGCTTTTTTAATAATAGCGAATGCCTTGATGACAGGCTCAGGAATACGCTCCGATGAGCCGCCAATATCAAAGTTTTGAAGCGAACGCTGAGTCTGGGCACCCCAGTACTTTTCAGCAGGAACAAGAATATCACCAAAGGTATCCTTTTCCTTTCTAAAAGAGTTCTGTGTAGTCATTTTGAATTGGGATATAGTGCTGGTTAGACGAGTATAGAAGATCAAATTGATTGTTGTAAAGCAAGAATTTTAAAGGTGATCGTGCGGCTTTGAGTCTTTTCAGAATGATGAATCGATCGACAACATACTTGCCTGGATAGCACTAGTGACAGAGAAGCTGCGAACAGAGGTAGCCATACTGGAGATGCGGTTGATGTTCAAGGGCTAATATAGTGATGATAGTGTATAATGTGGTTGGACGCCATATAAATGATAGATCAGTAAATGCTATTGGTTTGGAAATAATATCTAGTTGGCTCAACCCTATTCATAAGTATTCATATATTGACTATGCCTATTAAGAATCAGTATCCATTCTTACAATAGCAGAAGCCCGAATTCGGAACATGATGCGTGGATAGAAAAGAATTGCACAACACTTTTGGTATCGGAAAAACCATGAATTTGTTACCAGCATTATTTGTCCACTTGCACAAATCCTACAACAGCCAACTACAATTGTCTTGACGTAAAATATGAATACCAGGTAAAAATGCCAATCTCATCAAATGATTGGTACCAATTTATTGAGTATTATGTCCTGAACTCATTGACCGGTTCTTGTATTCGTTTTTATAACAAGTACCAGATATTCACATCAGTCTCAATACATCCTGGATCTTTAGTACTTGTACAAACTCATTTTTGTAGTCTAGAAACTCGCAGATACGTTCGCGCTCTAATTCAAAATAAAGATCGTATATCAGAAATGCAATGGTTATTTCCGAGTCACTCAATGTTTGAATAAAAAGAGAGTTGGAGATTGAACAAGTGTCAAGAATGTGCAATTCACTAAACTGCAATGTGATCATTCATTTGGTACTTGTTACAGAAGCAAGGACAAGAACCAGTCAATGAGTTCAGGACATAATACTCAATAAATTGGTATCAATCATTTGATGAGATTGGCATTTTTACCTGGTATTCATATTTTACGTCAAGACGATTGTAGTTCAAGTCAGAATATGGTTCTTTATATTATTGGCCTCGGTCTTGCCGACGAAAAAGACATCACAGTCAAAGGACTGGAGATTGTCAAGTCATGCGAACGAATCTATCTAGAAGCCTACACCAGCATTCTAATGGTTTCAAAAGAAAAATTGGTTTGTTTAAACTCAATATATCAATGATATCAATGCAAACTGTAGTTTTTGATTGTCTACTAAACATCATATTTTCTATTCAACAGGAAGCATTTTATGGAAAAGAGATTGTTATTGCTGATAGAGAGATGGTTGAATCAGAGGCCGACGCTATTTTCAACAATGCTGAAAATGTTGATATCGCCTTTTTGGTGGTTGGCGATCCTTTTGGGTAGGTATTTATAATCAACCATCAATTGATTCGATCAATCCAACTCATACTATTTCCTTTAAATGAATCTTATTTGAATATGTTATAGAGCAACAACACATACAGATCTGGTAGTTCGAGCCAAAGAACGAGGCATTAAAGTTGTCAGCATACACAATGCTTCTATTATGAACGCTATCGGCTGCTGTGGTCTTCAGCTCTACAACTATGGCCAAACAATCTCGATCGTCTTCTTTACTGAAAACTGGCGTCCCGATTCGTTTTATGACAAGATTAAACAGAACAGAGATTTAGGCTTGCATACTCTATGTCTTCTTGGTAATCTCTCTTATTTACCATTTTGTAGTATCCTTGTTTTTTACGAGTTTTTACTCAATACTGATCGATTTGTTGATCCTTGTAGACATCAAAGTGAAGGAGCAAAGCAGCGAAAACATGGCCAGGTGAGCGATTGGATTTATATTTTGATGTCATTCGAATTACACAATATATTGAATAGTTTGGTCATCTAATTGATTGTAGAGGACGCAAGATTTATGAGCCACCAAGGTATATGACTGTAAATCAGGCAGTTGAGCAACTTTTAGAGATTGAAGAAAAACGTGGACTTCAAGGTAACCTATTTCAACCTGACTTGTCAAGCTAGTGTATCTACAAATGTCAAATCAACTCATGTCTGCTCTTGTTTTCATGCATAATTGCCAATCATTAAAAAACAGTATACACTCCAAGCACTATTGCAGTCGGACTTGCTCGGATCGGGTCAGAGGACCAATCAATTGTCGCCGGTACAATGGAGGAGCTTCTGACTGTAGATTTTGGCGGTCCTTTGCATTCATTTGTCATTCCAGGAAATGTGCATTTTCTGGAAGCAGATATCTTGCGCATGTTTGCTGTAGACAAAAACTCTTTTGATTCAAATGTCATAGTTTTGGAGCATTAAATTCATTTACTCCTCATACCAGCTTGTTGGTTTTACATTACTTTGAAAGTCTTACTGTTCAAGTATTAAATCATTGGGTCCATAATATAGTATTGGTCTAATTTCTATCAACGCGCCAATTAGACTTTTGTAATCTTCAACGTAAAGAATTTAATGGCAGTGTATTTGAACATTCAATTTATTTAAACTCGACTACAAAGATCTACTCTTCAGAGTCTTTGCCTTTTTTGCTCTTCTTGGTCTTTTTGCTCTTCTTCTCCACGGACTCACCCTCTTCTGCACGTCTCTTTTTGGATTTGGGTTCCGCTTCTGAATCTTCTTTAGATGCGTCCTTGGACTTCTTCTTTGGAGTTTTAACTGGCTCATCAACCTCCATTGAAGTTACTGGAATAACAATATCATTTGAAGGATTATAGCTGCTACTGTATAATTCAAATTCATTTAAACAAGTGCAAAGTTAGCATCAATCCAACTTCAATTTAGTGAATCATTGCAATAATTTTTCATCCAATCAAAACTTACATGTTGGCAGTGGCAATGCTTGCAGCTGGCTTTTGAGGTGTTTTTGCCTTGACAGCAGCAGAATTTGTGACACGGACAGCCTTGCCTTCAAGTTGACGAAGACGGGCCTCAACCTTGGCACGCTGCACAATACCGATTTCAGAGTTTTCACCTTCACCAAGAGCATCACAACGAATTGCAAGAGCTGCTTTTGTAGCAACGGTACGTGCAATCTTTCCCTTGATCTTGGGTCCAGCTTGGCCAACAAGAGAAGCGTGATAAATCAGACCATATTTAGGAGTGGCATGCTTAGACTTGAGTGCACGAAACAAAGCCTTTTCGGCACCAAGAATCTGGACAGTTGAAGCAGGCTGCTTGGCAAGGTTAAGAAGTGATCCGGCGTGGGAAATCAAGCGAGCACCAACAAGCTCGCCAACAAGACATGTAAGATTAGGAGCAATGGCAGCCATTCTGTTCTTGAGGTAGTCAAACAGCTGTGCACGATATTCTGTAATAGAGATGATTTGGTCACAAAGATATGAAATATTTTCGGTATCCTCGGCAGAAATCTCAGTTCCCATTGAAATCTCGGCAGCATCCTTGAGATTTTGTTCAAGCTCAGTTGGAAGAATGGCAGAAAAATCTGTAGAGGAAGCATTGGTACGGACGCCCATCAATTTGACTGTTTTGGCAAACGCCAGATTGTCCACAATGATCTTTGCCAGTTCAGGGAAATGCCAGCCGTACCATTCTTTGGCACGCATAGCATATGTGTTGAGCTCCTTGTCCAGATCATCCAAAAGAGCAATCGCCTGAATAATCATTGTATCAACCTTGTCAGGAGAAAACTTGAGCTTATATCGAGACAAGGAGTGTGATAAACCAAGAACCATTGCATTCATGTCGGACTCGGCGAGACCGGTGATGAGAGATGAGAGCTGTGATCGGATGCCACGGAAAAGTTCATTGACGGCATTATCAGAGACGACTTTGATGTTAAGTTTCTTTGCAATAGCTGCACCAAGTTTCGAGTCACCAACAGCAAGCGTATCAGACAGGTCCTTGCCAGCAATTTCCTTGCTCAAGAAGCTCTTGAGGTTTTTGGAGATTTTTCCTTCAACGAGAGCGGTTACGGCTGACAAGGCATCCGTTGTGTTTTCAAACTTGGAAAATGCCTTGAGTTTAACACTGATGCATAGATTAAAATAAATTAAAAAGGAGGGTTTGTTAGTATTTTAAAAAAGCTCTGTTCCTGAAAATACGATTACTGCATGCTCTCCCATACTGCATGACATGCAGCATAAAAATTTCATCGTCATTCATGATGGTAGCAGCAATCAAAGCAATCACAGAATATCAACTATTTTGATTGCTGTACTCATGTAGAATCTCAAAAGATGGCATTCAAGCCAAATTTGACAATCGTTACAAGAAAAAACGGAAAGAAAAAGGAGCAAATCCAGCTATAATGATACCACAGCCAGATCAAATGCAGTTCGTTTATCGATCAAGAGCATGCTCACGTTTTGTTTGCAGCCTGAGAAGTCTCAAAGCTCTGGTAAATATCATCCGGAGCAGACATCTTGCCATCATCGAGCAGTTTAAACAGGGCATATCCCGCAGGTGTTTCGAATAGCACCAACATGGTCGTGAATGCGTTGAAAAAACTTTCTGAAAATTTTAAGAAAAAACTATCCCCGAAAAATAATTTGGCGAATTGCCAAATTTTTCGGCTGAAATCAACTTGTTGTATTGTAAAAAATGAAATATGCAGCATACAGTCACGAGCTGATCATGTATTGGTAGAATACAAATTCTCCGTTGCGTGACCTTGTTTTACAACTGAATCCACAAAATTGAATACTGACCAAGTGCTAAAATGCATGATAAACATCTCGTTAAATTTACTGGCCAATATCGTATTGTTTAAACCTTTTAAAGTTGACCGAAATTTCTTCTCTATGCTCATTTTTGTACAACTAAATCAATATTCACATCTGATTCAATACATCTCACTTGTTTAATCTTCAACTCTCACAAAACATTGTGGTTGGTATGCATAGTTGCATTTCTGGACACGATTTTTGTTTTTTAAACTAGAGCGTAAACATGCGAGTTTTTAGGATACAGGAGGTTTATTGGCAAGTCAACCCCAATATCTGAATTGCAATGACCGAGTCTGGTGATTCTACAATGCACGGTTATATAAAAAAATAGTAGGAAAGCGCAGCAAATATTCAATCATTGTCTATTTTGAAGCAAATAGAGGCAGTGACTGCAAAATAGTGTTACATTTTACGTGAATACAATTGTAAATATATACTGTCATTGTCACATTTCAAAACAGTTTGTTCAGATTCAATTGCCATTATCTATAATAAAAAACAATCGCTCAAAGTTTTATTTAAACCAGTTTTTAACTTTTAAACCAAATTCTTACTATACTAATCGTGTAGATCATACTTTTATATTAAATAGCGACACAGACTTTGTAAACGCACCTTTACGAATCCAGTATATACTAAAATGGCAGGTCGAACCGCACTTGCAACGACTAATACTAACCATAGTAAGCAAAAAACACAAAACGGGCGACATCCTCACAACCCACTTTTGGTGAAGCATGTTGTAGGCAAAACACGCCAGACTGTTTACGATCTTCCAGGCGAGGACCATGTATACGGCAAGCAAATCGAACGTGATTCTACGGAAAAAACAGGAGTCAGTAAGTCCTCTATTGAAGGCTGGTATTACTTTATATAAAGTTTATTTTGATACAGCAATGTATTTGAAATAGATGAAAGTATGCGTGTTGTGTATATTTCACTCAACTCCTCCTTGTATTCCATACATCTACTTAATACTATTTAAATAATCAATGACTACTTATAGTTGCGCAAAATCAAAGCTCCAAAGCCACTATTACAGCAAAGCACTCTGCTCCTGCTCTCGACTACATTACCATGAATCGTAATGCAGCTAAAAAAGGAATCATTTCACCTAAATCTATTCGTGAATATCGTGAAGAAAACCCAATTCGCTGTGCATCAGGGGACCATTCACTGTATAATGGAAAAGCTAGTGGTCAGGAGCGTGGTTTACAGCGTACTCGAGGTCCGTTGCCCAGTGATACCAATGTCAATTTTACTTATGGAAAACCAACTCGGTAAATTAAATTTATGCCATCAATCATATGTTAGTAAATATATCGGCTTTGATGTATTTGCTAAAAGTATTGCTTTTATTTGGTATACATACTATTAGTCCATCTACCCCTGTTTCTTGTCTTATGACTGACAGATACCAGCGCGAGTGGCTTGACCAGCTCGAGAGCAAACAAAAGGAGCAAGAGAAAATTAACAAGGTAATTTGGTATTCATGTACATTGATCGTGATGGGGCAGTGCTATAGGATGAAACATACCATGCCATCTAATGAAGCCATACACAAGACTAACCTATTCCTTTTCATTCATAACTTGATTTGGACAGACCAAAACGGCCAAGAAACAGACTGCAAAGATTGCAATCTCAAGACAACGACCAGCTGCAAAAGCCAAATTAAGCGACACTAGCAATCTTAATGAGCTGTTTAAAATGTCCAAGTTCAAAAAAATCGGACCCAAGGTTGTATCTCATCGACCTGATAATGACAAGGCAATGGCTGGCATTATTGGAAAGGACAGGGCCAAGGTTTCTGCTGAAGATCTAAGACATCATAAGAACAAATCCTCCACTCAAATATGTTCCAAGGGAGTTGGCTTCAAGCCAAAAGTTAAATTAGAATCATCGAATGTGGCAGCCGCAGCTGAACCCTTATCGGAACGACACAGTACTCATGTTGATTTTTCTATCGAGGCTAGTGGGAATGATAAGGCCTGAAATGTGACATTTGCTTGATTTCCTGGATCAAGATGCTTATACCAAAGGCAATATACAAAGTAATTGCTTCAAGCACAAGCAATATAATAAAAACAAGGACGAATGGTTTAAAACCATATTCACGTAAAACCAGTAAATAAGGATGCTAAAGTGCATAATAAGCAGCAAATCTCATGAAATGATTGGGTATTAATTTCCACTAAATTTATTGGGTATTGTCCTTTAAACTCCTTGATAAAATTCATTGGTCCTTGTGCTTATTCTTGTATGAAACAACTGAGCAAATGCTACATCAGTTTCAGTAAATCTCGTATTTGTTCAATCTTCAACTCTTACAAATCAAACATTGAATGACTCGTTGAAACAACAGTTGCATTTCCGAAATGTGCAATCACTAGTTTGTTGAGCTAGAACGCGAGTGTATCTGATCCAAGATACAACAAATGTGTGTAGAGTTGTATTGATAACATCAGACCAATCAAACACAATGTATGGATTGCAATACATGGATCTGATTTCAAATTTGGTGATCATACAATGTATGGCTATATCAAATGAGAAAGGGCAGGTCCAAAACTAGTATGGTTGTAACATCATATGATGGCAGTTGTGTTGATTGGAGAATTGGAAATGTCTATTGAAAAAGCAGACAGTCTGTAGTAGCAAGACGATAAACACTCGAATATTGTCTATTCCAGAGCAAGAGCCGTTGCTAGTGTTATATTTTACACAAATTGGCTGTAATACACTAGCTTTTATCCAAGCTTCTGTTGATTAATCAATTATATATTAAAAATCAATGCAAATTAATAAAATGAATGAATGGCTGATTATTATTCAGCACAATGCATGAGCTTATAGCAAAACACAGCAGGTCATAGACTTGACAAGGACAAACCAAATACAATTGTCAGTAGATACCTGTAGTTGAAAAGGAAGAGGTATTTCTAATAACACAGCACCTCCCTATCCGTACAAACTTTTCCAAGCCACAATAGGTTTGAATGGTGCTAAAGTCAAAGTAAGCTGTCCATTGTGAGCATGAAGATGGCCATACCAGCATCTATGAATTGGCTATACCAGCACATAACCCTTGAGGATGACCCGTTGATTGCAGATTCAAAACCGTTTCGAATTGGCAATTTTCAATATTCATTAGTCATTTTTCTCGTAATTTCGGATCCACAAACTGAATTTTCGCCTTTTTGAAACTCACCATAAATGCCATCGACTTCCAATATTGATGTGGCAGGCAAGCCGATTGCAAACGAAATTGAACAGTTGAATTATACTCAAACACAGCGTCCTATAATGGATACAGGATTTCCTATAGTTGAATCCTACCAGCAACCTTCGGACACTATTGATTTTCCGGCATTAACTCGAGGATTCCTATATCCAGTCAATGTAATTACTTGCTCATTCAAATTACTTTATGCTTGATGGATTTCCCTATCGACATACGATAGGATCGTATTCGGATCATGCAGTATCACCGAGTACGGATATCATAGATACTTGGTACTCTGCTACGCAACATCCTTTCTATAGAGTTGATATGCATATGATTGAAGGATTGTCACCAACTCTCGCATTATTACTGGACACTTTCTGTACACGCCAATTTGTACTCGTAATCGCTCCGATTATTCCACAATGCTAACCCACATTTCTGATTTATGTACACTGCCATCTATGCACTATGCTCAATGGATGATAGACCCTGACTATGGCTAATCCATCCCTAATGACGGAACAGACACCTGCGTTTATCTTTTTGAATCTGGTGTCGTTGGACTTGTTGGATGCCAAGGTAATGCATTGTTGACGAGTTTTACCATTATTTGCTTTACTCTTGATACACATTGGCCCATCCATTCGCATACACCCGTTATAATGTAGCGAGTTTATTTGATGATCTAGCCACAAAACCTCCGCTCCTCCGCCCACTTCTGAACAAGTGCTGATTTCTAACCCAGCAGGTTTAGATGGTTGATCTAACTGTATGGGTGGTTGTATATGGGTCGCACGGAGGAGATGGAGAGATGACGGCAGCATTATGCTGCTATTCTACTCCGATTGGGCAAACAGCTGTCGGTCTGTGTGGTGGCCCTGAAATAAGAGTAAATTGAAAATTTAAGAGGCTGTAATAAGAGCTTCCCGTTTTGGTGGGGAATGCCAACTATTCAATCTGGTCTGAACAGAGTTTAAATCGACCCATTGAAGATGCAATAAGACTCAAGTTGGCAAGGAAAACGTTGCATCTAGGCAGAGTGTTCGGATGTAAACTATCCTTGAAATGGTCATTATCTATTGTCATGTAATATTCAACAAACTTGAATCCCATTTACTCTTGCCGCTTGCAACGGTCAATGCCAAATACTGCATAACTCATGCAGTATTTGATGCTTTCATCTCTCTTGTTTATTGCCCGCCTATTTTAATTTTTTGTTCAATTTGCATATCTATAAGCAACTAACCATGTGACGTTTTTCAAATTTACGTTTCAATACTATGCAAACATTGCATATTTTGGAACAATAGGAGCAATTGATCTCTTCGTTTGCAATTCATCTGATTCTCAAGTATTCGCACAATCCAGATCGGTCTTCCTTTTCATTCATTTTTTTAAGCGAGAGCGAGCTCCAATCCGAGTATCGGTTTATATCACCCAATGTAATTATTATGCTATTTATTGAGTTCGGCTAATTTGCCGCTGTACCACGTAAAATGCAATATTATTGCATTATCTTGTAGTCACTGCCGCTATTTTGTTTTGAATAGGCAGTGCTTGAATATTTATTGCTTTACTAGAAATTGACTGTTGCAGTCGACACTCTATTTTTCCAAACACGACAACTATGATGATGACAATATCAAGCCATCCTTTTTAAACTTGCTTATTTGGCAGTCATACATTGTACGATCGCCAAGTTTAAAACCAGATTCATTCATTGCAATCCATATACTGGATTTATTGGAGCTGTAATGTGGATACTGCTTTAAACATTTGTTTAGTATTTTTATACAAGAATTGGAATGTGACATTGTTGATTGGATTTAGTGGAATCATCATTTCATGAGATTGACTGCTGACCACTTTATATGTTCCATTTTACGTGAATACGGCTGTAATTGTATTAGATCAATTCTAATTGCATACCCTAACACTGCAAATACTACTTTTACTACTTGAATGATATAGGCATACGATATCTTTACCACTCTTGGAAAAATTATATCCATCATTATTAAACTCAAGCAAAAAACAATCGGTCCACAATCATTGGCTGAAAATGACAACGATCTTGTTTCTTCCTCGCAACAGCGTACTGTCACATCATTGCTAGCACTCTCTCACCAACAATTCCAGCCTATAGCACAACAGCAATCCAAGGCATCATTCAATTCCGAGCTGCACACACAGAATTCGATTTTTAAACGATCGCAATCCAATCTTGGCACTCTGAAGCACATTCTAACGTCAAAACAATCTGTTCCAGTTTTGTCATTATCGGCACAAACAGACAGTAAATCTATCAACTCTACACAGAAAGAAGGTTCTTTTTTTAGTTTTCTTTCTGGAAATAATGGACTTGGATTTACTGCATCTCGTGGTACCAATAACGATGCAGTCCAGCCTTCCATTTACAATCAGCAAAATGACAAGCCCGCGCATAATAAGCAGTCTTCAAAGTCTCGCAAATGGTTTATTCGCAGATCCAAAAGCACTGGCAACTTTGGTCAAAACAACTCCGTTCTGGCATCTCTTCCAACGACCACAGCACAGTTGCCATCAATCTCTACATTGAATTTAAAAAAGCAGCAACTCAATTCAGACAAGCCAGTGACTTCTAATACAGTTGCGCATATAATATCACCATGCTTACCTACATCTACTTTGTCGCAATCCATTGTTTCTACATGCAAGTCTTCTCCGCTGCCAACACCGCCAACAGATAGTTTCTTGTCATCATCGCAGCTTTTTTCAGCAGATACTGTTGCTATGGCATCAACAATAGAAACCATTTCACCTGATACTGTCATTGCTGTCAAGCCAGAGGATACTGATTCTGTGTCTATTTCCACCAAAGTGTCAACTACACAGGAGGATACAGCTAGTGTATTTACAGTAACAATGGATTCCAAGCCAACTGATCAGACGTTGGAATTGAAAAGTCAAGCAAAGGCTCAATCAGCTCAACTGGCTGATGTTTTGGTTGATGAAAGTAGCAATCAGAACAGTCTTGATGCAACACCTGTTTTGCGTGTTCTAGATATGGATCAAAATAGAAGCTTGTCTAGATCCACAATCAATGGGGAATTACAGCCTGTTTCTGGAACGGTAGAAGCCTTGGTAGATTGTCTGTTTTCCGAACCACTGTCTGGATATGCGGATGCATTTTTGTTGACGTTTCGACTATTCACTAATGCATCCAAAGTGCTAGATTGTCTAACTGCTCGCTATATTGGACTGTCCCATAATCCAATGGAAGCTACGATTTCCGCTTTGGTCACAAAGCAACTACCCGTTGTATTGATGCATCGCATCTTTTCCCTTCTCAAAAAGTGGATCACTCAGTATAGCTACGACTTTTACGATCCTGTGGCCGATAAAAAGCTCAAGGATCTTGTACATATTATTCAAGCTACCAATGACAAGTCGTATGTTAGTAGTCTGGTGGCAATCATGGATGCCAATCATGAGATTCAACAAGATACGCTTAAATATACACCCTCATATAGGTCATCTACATTAGAACGACCATCTGTTTGCGAAAGCATGAATTTGACTGAGCTGCGCGATGCTCTCAAATCTGATGTTGATATTCTCAATTTGCCATCGAGATTTATTGCTAGACATCTCACTCAAAAAGATTGGGCCATGTTTAAAGCAATCCATATATCCGAGTTTGTGCATTTCATTTCTCCAGACTCTTGTTTTGACACCCACATGAATACTCGAGACTCTCGAACTACGAATCTGACTGCCTTTATCCAACGATTTAATCAAGTCGGTTTCTGGGTGTCGACTGTTATCTGTTCATACGAAGATCTAAAGCTACGCACAAAAGCACTATCTAAATTAATCCGTGTAGCACAGCATTGCTTTAATTTTGGAAATTATAATACTTCGATGGCCGTTCTTTCCGGGCTAAGTGCCAGTCCTGTTTATCGCTTGAAAAAGACATTTGCTGGTCTATCACCACGGGTGATGGATATGCTTACAGAGATTGAAACATGCTTTGATTTCAAGTGCAACTATGTTTCGTATCGTAATACTGAAGCAGTCTCTAAAACTGCAATCATTCCCTTTCTAGGACTGATTATCAAGGATATTTCTAGTATTTATGAGATCAATGCCAACTGTCTTTCCAACGGGCTCGTCAATTTTGAAAAATATTGGAAGCTATGCCGTAGAATCTCATCTGTTACATCTTACCAGTCTTGGCCACATATTATTCCACCTTCAATTGATGACGTTGAATTTGACGAGTATCTCGCTTCTACAGTCAACGACGCTCAGTCGTGTGTGGATTTTGAGTCGGTATCAGTCTCTGAAGTTTCTATTCTGCCTAATCCCTTACTCGTGGCATCAGATGTAGATTCCAGTGCAAACCATTCTAGTTCTACCTTGTTCATACCACCCTTGTACTCTCATATTTTGCCATATCTATCACCTGAACAACTGACTATTATTTCACGAGCACTTGAACCACCAGAAGATACTTTATCGAGCTCTCATGCTTTAGACGATGCTAAATCTAATAACCGTTCTAGTAGACTTTTGCACTTTTTTGAAAATATGTCTGGACTAGCCATAAATCGTCGTAGTCAGATTTCTAATAGCGGCGCGATTGAGTCGGATAGTGATGATGATATGACTGATCTGGTGACTGCCGGCAGTGCATCAAACTCTGGTGATGTGTTGCAATCTCATTTAATTGCACCCTTGTCCTCCCCGCCTACTATGAGTACAACTCAATCCAACCCAGGATCTGCATCGAGCATTATTTCTAAACGACTTCGACTAATACGTCGGCCATTGTCTTTGTCGAGCTTCAAGTTTTCTAGTTCCCTGTCAATAAGCAGCACTGGTAATACATTGCCTTCTCCATTGAATCCTCAGCCCAGCTTTTCTATTGAGTCTGTGCGATCGACACGCTCCAGTGATGCTGATATAGTGGATGATTCGTTGCACAGAAACGTGTCTTTGGAAGTACCAAGCTTTCAAACCGATACAGCATATGCGGCAACTTTACCATCATTGATTCAGATGCCACTGTCTATGCACATGTATTCTACTGGTGCCAGTTCTGCTTTGGGATGCCTGACTTGTCCATCACCTACATCATCAGTGTCTGATTCACCCCAGATATTAACACAGCCTCCAGCATCACCCAAACTATCGTTTGTTTCTTCAGCGGGACGACGCACACCAGTAGGTCCGAATGATAATAATACAGGAGTGACACCTCCCAATGGTTCAAATCATTTTCACCATGTGCTTCGAAATGGAGTGATTGCTTCTCCACAAACACTATTTTCTAATACATCCCCGATAGCTACAGCCTCGCTTTCATCAGAGTTTACATCGCACACTACTGTGAATGCATGCCAATCGCACACTCAGACCAGTTTTGATGCCAAGGCTATTTCCAGCAGTTCCGAATGTTACTCATCGACAGCGACCACACTCAGCTCGACATCTCCGATTGTGCCATCTATTTTATTTCAAGAGTTTAATACAGCCACGATGTCTAGTTCTTCCTCACTGTCTGAATTTACTGTGATGACACAACATCTTGAAGATCATATTTTAGATCCAAATCAGCACTACCTTGATGATAACAACAATGCACAGGATGAGGTGAGGCTTGCGTTAAAACGAGGACTGAGTCTCAATTTAGCATCGTCGTTTGTTGCCTTGTCTAATGCTAATGCAGAAGATGAAGAAGATTACAATGAGGATGAAAAAGAGGTGATTGGACCTGTGACACCAGTGATGTTGGATGCTCAACCTACGGTAGTTGAAGTGGAGTTTGGAGATCCTCGATTATGGCCTCAAAGACGATTATCTCAGCCAGTGATAATACTAGATGCAGATGCGATGGGACCCAAAGAGATTGGATTTTCGTGATTTTAAAGATGAAACTCAAAGAGATTGAATTTTCGTGATTTTAAATACTGTAATCAAATAAGATGAATTTACTTTACCTTTCTGTGTGATATAATAAAGAATAATGTGTTGAAATCAATTGCCATTTTCGTTGGATTTCAAAATCAAAATTTTCTTTGGCGACTTCTCTTTCCTTTACAAGTTCACTTACCATCAACGAGTCCATCATGTTCATTGCTGGTCTTCGCTCGGCTTCGGCTGCCGTATTAACTACCTTGTCTTCGGGTGTCTTTGGTGTTCAGCCTTCTCGTAACATGGCTACTCTTAAAGAGAGTAAGTTGCTCAAGGATCTGCATTCTTGACTTGTAAAAGATCTTTACTGTCTGATATCACTCGAGTCTCTTATAGTGCATGTCCTGTCACTCCGTCTTGGATATAACATTTCTTGCGTAGTTTAGTACGCTGTTTTCCTGTGTGAAATGATGATGCCATTCTTGATTGCTATCCTATTGACGCTAAGGGTTTGACCCAACCGAATGCATGAATGCATTGGTTTCAATTCAACATCATATGTGGTCATCACACTACCCATTGACATGTCCTACAACTGGATCAGCACATATTCATCCATCAAGTGTCCTTTTGTCTCAAGTCCTATTGTGCATTTGCTAATGGTTGTCAACCAACTTCCATCATGTATTGAACTAACCATTCTATTATGTAATACAGTTTCCATGCGTCTCAAGTCTATCCAAAGTATTGGAAAGATCACAAAGTCCATGAAGATGATTGCTTCCACCAAAGTCACTCGTGCTCAGAGAATCATGGGGCAAGCTCGTATTTATGGTGGTGCTGCCACGGGTGAGTTGCTTGAAATTTCTTGTCAGATCTAGATTCTTCATATTCAATTGTATTCCATACATTGAATATGAAGAATCTCATACTGCACTATGACTAGCTCATCTCCACTTTGTTGTGGGATGAATTGGTCAGTTCTTTTATTCTGTCACTTGTTTTGACTGCACTACTCATTGCACTGGCTGCTTGTTTGAAATGATAAAATACTGTATAAATAGATATGCTCAAGCATGTTGATGTACCCGCTACAAAGGGTGATGATGCACTTGTTATCACTGTTTCTTCTGATCGTGGTCTTTGCGGTGGTATTCATTCGTCCGTTTCCAAAGCTACCAAGAGTTTTATTGCTCAAAATCCCAAAGCATCCAACGCTATTCTTGGTCTTAGGGCTCGTACTCAGATTGCTCGCGAGTATCGCGAAAACATTCTGATCTCCATTGACGGTGTGACCAAAAACATTCCCACTTGGTACGAGGCTGCTCTGATTGGCGACATTGTTCTTGCTGAAAAACCTACATTTGACTCTGCTTCCATTATCTACAACCACTTCAAGTCCTTGATTGCCTACGATGCCACCATCATCTCCGTTCCCAGTGCCAAGAGTCTTGCTGCTGCTCGTATGTTCATTAAGTTGTATTGATAAATCAGTTTGTTGTGTGGTTTGAATGTTTAACTTATTCTGTCAATGAATACTTGAAAACAGCCAAGCTTGCTGCTTACGAGTTTGAGGATGAGCTCCTCAAAAACTACGAAGAATTCACCATGGCAAACTCTCTCTACTGGGCTATGGCTGAAGGATATGCTTCCGAAATGTCTGCAAAACGAACTGCTATGGAAAATGCTACCAAGAACGCTGGAGAAATGATCCAAAAGCTTACTCTTACCTATAACCGTTCTCGTCAAGCTACCATTACAAACGAACTTGTACGTGAATTGACCATGTACTTTTAAATTGTAACTTGTTTTTAACTGATTGTTTATATTTTTAGATCGACATTATTACTGGAGCCAGTGCCATGTAGATGTGGTTTGGGGTTTCCGTTATATCGACGCCTTTGTTTTTCAGTGCCTTTTAAGACCATCTTAATGAAAATCAGCAAGATATCTTATCCAAACCTATTCAGATTGCATGTGTATGAATGCTTGGACTTATTTAACAATCTGATTCATTTTGATTCAGATGCACTGTTTTCTTGTGCGTTTTACACATTCAAGCTATTTTAAATCATGTATTGATTTCAAAATCATTTAGAACTGGACGAAAACAATCCAGCATTCAAAAAACTCTGATTCCATCTTAGAGTTTGTTTAATGTCGTCTGCCCAACCTGATCCAGCAGCAATACGACTGACGCAAGGAATATAATACTCTGAGAGTCGTAAACCAATGTAATGGTTGGGCTCAAGTAAACACATATCACGGCCATCGACCGTCACTTCTGCATCTCCTCTCGCCATGGAAGAAAGCTAAAATGTCGTGTATTGACAAGAGTGAGCTGCAAACAGCATGGTGTGTCATCAAAAGGATAAAGTGACAACTTACTTTTATGCGTATTTCAGCAGTTGCAGGGAGAACAATGGGTCTAAATGATAGTGATCTAGGACATATGGGTGTGAGCAAAAGTGCTTGAACAGACGGATGCACAATTGGGCCGCCTGCTGAGAGTGAGTATGCCGTCGATCCAGTAGGCGTGGATATAATCAACCTGCCATCCAAGTCAGATGAATCAATTATCGCGAGTTAGATCAGCCTTGAAGGTGTACCCATTCATTTAATAATGCAATGACCCAGAACATAAAAATAAGCACATACCCATCAGCCTATACAAGATGTATTCCAAAACAACAACAAAATAGGTTAATATAGGTTTGATGTGTCAGTTGCATTTTACTCCATTCAAATCTAATCATCTGGATTGCATAAAACAGATTTAATACTTACAACAACATCAGTCAAAAATTGGTTACCAACAAAAATATCGACCGCAGTAAGTTGAGCATGCTTTCCACGGTGAACCGTCAACTCGTTCATAATTTGAAGATCTACATGTTTGTAATCTGTAATACACTCAAAAGTTGGAATAACTCGAAGCAATCTGCTTAAACGATTGATTCTGGAGTTGAAAATAAAACAATACCTTTAAACAATTTCTTGTTTGCTTTGCTGTCATACAGCGAAAATGCAAGACGTATCCGGTTCATAACTGGCACACCTTCTTTGCCAAACATGCGTGACAATGCAATCTGATAATCCGAGAACTCTAATGTTGGTAATCATGGTTGATAGAGCTTTAGGTTGCAATAAAAGATAGCAGATTTGCCTCTACACAACACAAACACTAGACATGCATCTTTTAAACGAAATCGTATTTACCAAACGGCAACAAGAACCCAACCGATCCCAAAGAAAACGATATGATGGGCGGAACACGATATGGAAAAAGTGAGGATGCATGCAATAACGTGCCATCACCACCCAGTGTAACAACAAAATCCACTGCAGATAACAGATCCGACTGCTCTCCAGTGCGACCTTCAATCACATGTATTGAGTTGGCAGATTGCGATTGAGTACTAATGTCTGGTATGGATTCTTTTTCTATTAAAATATTCACTGCAGGCTGATTTTTCTCAAACCATCTAATATTTCAAAATAATACAGCATGAATTGATGATAATCTATTTTAGTGCAATATTGTTACGGATTATGCAATGCATTTGAAATGCAGACACTCTACCTTATCACTGCCCTCATGGCCTCGGTTGTCTTGGTGTCATTTTTCTTTTTAATGACAAGGACATTTCGAGGTTGCTCTGTCCATAGCAGCTGATACTCATCGGATTGTGGTCTGGAATTGCAAGTTTCAATAGCAAATGTAAGCCTTATCAAAACGACAAATTTAGATTTATCCACAAGATTCATTCTGCTGAATAATACGACTTGATAGCACATGTAGGAGTGGTCTAGTTGACTCACCTTCTGGCCCGATCCTTCATGTCTGCCTCGAGTCTACTCTGCGATGGTGTAGATTGAGATGTGCGACAATGTGAGTGATCATGAATTGACTGTGAGCGTTCCATCAGTTTATAGGGCACCATAGCGGGCAGTTTTGAAGCCGTTTGAAGTAGTCTTGTAGTCAGTTGTATTGATGGAATCTTATGCTGAACATGGTGAATAGATTGCAATGCACTACGGTTATACATGGCAAGAATTTATTTTGAAATGTTTGAAAATATAAAATTGTTGATAAAGATGAATTCATTGGTCGAACGATCAGCACATGAACAATAAGCTTTTTAAATCTAAAGATCGCTTTATGATAGAATGAAAAGTATTGCAATTCAACATTACTTTACACGTCGCATACAAAAAGAATCAAAACAGTCATTCTTTGTATAGTAATCCAATGTTAATCCGCATATTCTATTGTTGTCGACGTGATGGTAAGCTGAAAGATTGCTATTGTATCTCCAGCGCTGTTCTTACAAAAATACAAAACTATTCCATATTGAAAATATTTAATTACATTTGATTGCAATTCTCTCCAGGTATATCTGGCATGCCATCTGACCCTACTCCCTCTCCACCCATCATTTGCTTCATCAATTCGTCTGGTGGGTTTCCAAATCCTTGAATCTACAAAATATATCCTTCAAGGTTAGTATTCAATCCGTAATTTAAAAGTACCAATCGCCAACACAAACCTTTGCAAGGCAATCCATGATTTCTTTGGACTGTTCAGAAGTAGGCTCATCTGATGGGAGTTTTTCATATATCGACTTAATTTCATAAATTGCCTCGAGTTGGCTTTCATATCTGACACGATCATGCTCAGTAAGAGAAGATCGGTTGGCTTCCAGCCATGGAGGATACTATATACATATTCGAATGCATTTATACAAAAACATTGAATTAAATCAAACTCAATAATCAGCCATCTTCAAATGCATTGACGCATACCTTTTCAGAAAGAGTTTTTAGAGGCTCGTATAGAAACTCTTTTTTCATCAACTGGTCTACAAATCCTCCAAACATATCTTCAAATCCTTCCGAGTCCATCATCCCCTCAAGTTCTTTTAACATGTCGGCCATCAAAGGATCATCCAATGAAGATCCACCCCGCATATCTTCGTTGGCCTGAGCCTATTTTAAAGTGATTTCACCCATTCAATAGAGTTGTTAGATACATCAAAGCCCATTTCATTAGGCATCAAAGTGAAATATCGACAAGAGAATAATAGTCTAAAAATAGTTTTTACCTTTGCTTTGTCAGAACTTTCACGCAGCTTGTTCATGGTTTGGGCTACATGATCTTGAAACTGTTTGGGTTCACGGATTGGCTCAACACCTTCCTTTTCTGTAGTCTTGGAAAGGCCAGCAAATGCGGTCCGAAGCTCCTCCAGATTTTTGATTGTATCTGCATCTCCATTCGAGTCTTTCAACAAATCGGCAATTGCATTTTGCTGGGTATGAGATGTTGCTGACGAGTTTGAAGCTGGCTGTAAAAGCATTTCCATATTTTTTGCAAGCTGGGCCATAAACTCTTGATCCATTGCCTCGGTGCTATCAAGATTTGTAGCAGAAGCTGCACAGGACATATCCGACTGTTTGGGAGGATCTGTTATAGCAGCTGATGGCTGTTGTTGCATGGGTACTGGAGCAGCAAACTCGTCCAAAACACCTGTACAGGTTTGAATCAATGGAATGTGTTAGCATGCAACAATCCTATTTCGATTAGTAGAAAGTAATCCATTTATATGATTGAGTTGATATCCGAGCATTCATTGACTTCAAGTTCAAACATTTGCTCAAAGATCCGATTGAGATTCAGTATAAACATATTTATTCTAAATAAAACTCCATTTTAAATAAGGATTGAATAGAATGCTTTTACCGTCCAAGAGATCATCCCAATCGTCATCATCAACATGTGCCATGTGCGCAGGTTTTGAATCTTGGACTTGTCAAAACACGATCAAATTTTAAACCTTTTACACAGTCACGAGAACCACGGGATCTTTCACATTTGTACGAATGAGTTGATTCGCATTGCTATGAATTCGATTTTAACACAAACGATTTTATCTGATTTCAAAACTTAAAAATATTGTTTTTATTAAACTTGAAACTATCTTTCAAGGTGTTGAATCTTCGGTTTTACAAGTTGAATCAACGCCAATCAACTCTGCTGCTGTCAAACGACTGCTGTCAACATCTTTCAACTCGTATGGCTGTAGACTATAATACACACGAAGTCCAGTTCCTTGACCAATATTCAGTGGTTTTAAATGGCTTTTACGTTTATTTTGGGTTTGAAACGTGTTGTGTGCATATTGTGACCGAGCATACCACGAGCTATTGTTGTTTTTGAACAGATCGGCCGTTTTGATGCGTGTATAAGATCGTAATGTAGTTCCTAGGTTGATGCTTTCTATTTTTGAATTATACGTTTGTATTGGTTTAATTGGAGGTAGTTGCATTAAAGATTGTTGGTTGATGGCTGGTGTTGCTTTACCCAGCTGGGTAGAAAATGACTGTGTATGTGACACCTCGGTATTCAACATTGGCGTGCTATGGTTAATTTGACTGAATGGAATCGTAGTAGTCTGAGTCAATAATGGTGGAATTGTAATCGTTTTGCCACGTCCAAGCTCATAAAGTCCAGTAGACTCGAACCCACTCGATATTAATTTGTTGACGGATTGGGTCGTGGCAAAAGCATCATTTTGTCGAAGCCTACTCTGGCCCTCATATTTCATAGACTTGGAAAGACTACCCAACAATGACGACTTTGGTCCATTTGCTATATAATTCGACAAAGGTGCACGATTACTTGAATGAGCTCCTGTAAAAGTCAAATCTGTAGGATACGCATCACGATTTGCTTGTTCTGCCAATGCATCTGCACGTTCAGCCTCAAGTTTTGCCTTTTCCAATACATCTACTGGTCGTAGTGGATGTTTATAGGTTTGGGGATTACCAAGCTCCCACATTGTGGATTGTCCAAAAATGCCAATATACTCTCCTTTAAACTATTGATTACACCAGAGTTTGCACATTCAAATGCATATACAGATCCCATTCAATCAAGTCAGTATATACACCTAGATTAAAGTCAAAAACTATAAATGGCTTACAGTATGCATCCGGATCGTGCAATCAGCCGAGCTTGTAATAATCACATCCTGACTTTCAATAATGTCCATGCTTGTCACTGATCTAACGTGTGCATGGAATGAAACAACCAAAGGCATTGCTGCAGGAGAGTATTCATTGATTGCTGTTTCCTTAATATCAAACACATTCACCCATCCCAGAGCATCAGCTGTAAACAGCAAGGTGTTGGGTGTATTGGATATCATGGTGAAAACGCCTTCATTGCGACCTTGAGTTCCATCTATTTCTAAAAGAAGTGTCCCTAGAATAATGTTCCAGAAACGAATCTGTCCATCTGATCCGGCCGATACCAACGATCCAGCTTCGCGCATTTTATTACGCTTGGGTAGAAAAAGTACTGGATTTGGTCATTTAGGGTTAGATTTGACTCGTTAAAAATATCTGCAAATCATCTTACCTTTATCTATTGATTTACTCTTCAATCGATTGACTTGCTCTTCTTTTCCAATAGGTCGCATTTTGTGTAGTACATGACCAGAGTGCAAGTTACAAATCACAATTTCGCCATCGTAGCTCGATGTTGCTAAAATATTAGGAGGACAAAAGGCCATTGACAAAATATCGTCTTCATGTCGCCCGACATTACCTCCGCTTAGAGTTGGATCTGGCCACGTAAATGTCGGATATACAGTCAGTGAGTCAGGGTCATTGATGAACATTGTGATTTTTCGATTCCATCCTGTTGCCACAAAATACATCGAGTCTCTCATATCAATAAACTATTCCAGTTAAAAATTGTAAGTTTACCAAAAGCTATTCATGATTGATGATATCAGCAGTAACTAGAGCGCATTGATCAATCAACTCACAGCCAATCCAGTAACTTCTGTCTTGTCCTTTTTCACCAGTTCCTGCAGTAGTTGGCCATTGTTAAAATTCCAAATCTTGATTGTCCCATCTGAATTCATTGAAAAAAGCAACGGTTATGCTTAAAAGACAATTTCATCTTTAAAACATTGAAAGTTGTTTACCTCTTCCTCCAGTTGCCAATCTACGACCACTAGCATCGAATGACATTGCAGTGATCTCTGATTTTCCATGTACCTCGGAAAACCTAAACGTTTTTTGTCCGGATAAAGCGTCCTTTATAAAACAAGACAATCAGTGGATATAAACTCGGTAGATTTATGGCAAAATAAGGCTTACCCAGACATTCACGACGCCGCCATCACATCCACTAACAACCTGTTTAAACGCGGGATTATACATGACGGATCGGATAGGAAAGTCATGGCTTTTGGGAGTTTCCGTGACAGCCGTCTGCTCCTTCAAATGATAAGCAATGGGATGGAAAATTCCTGCAATAATACTTTTTGCGTGAGGATTGAACATGATGGCCGGCACAAGGTCGTCTTTTTGGAAAGATGAATCAGAAATGGTTTGCAAGCATTGCTGTTTGCGAATGTCCCAAATCTTGATGTTTGTATCGACAGAAAGTGAAATCACTTGGCCATTAAGTTCATTTACTGTGATGTCAATAATTGGAGAATTGTGTCCTTTCATTGCAGCTATTGGGTGGTTTAATCGATGAGGATTCCACAATCGGAGTTGACGATCTGCAATCATTACACCAAGTTTAATAAGTATCCACATTTAAAGCCAATCAGGAGTTTCAAGTAGCAGTTTAATGTAATTCAGCTTATAGTATCATTTCAAACCAACCTGAATAGGCAGGTTTACTTTTTAAACTTACCGGTACCGCCGGTAATTAAAGCTACAGGAGTTCGGCAATAAGCAAAAGCATTGACACCTTTATGAACAGGCGAGACGTGAACTTTCCATTTACGATTGTAATCCATAATAGCAACAACGAGCGATTCTTTAGGATCTGGCGAACAGGAAATAATTGCATGTAGATCATGTATGTACTTGACCTTGACTGCCCAATCCCCATGCGCTCTACGTTTCCAAAGCGTTCCCCAATTTTTAAGTGCCTTGTTGCTTGCACCTTTTTTCTCCAAAAAAATGTGTTCTGCATGGTCTTTTTGGCGGACACCAATTTTGAACATTTTATCATTGTTGAATGTGAACACATTGACATATCCCGAGTCTGTTCCGTAAAATAGCATACTTTCCGTCGAGTTGGAATTGTTTTTATCAGTCCAATAGTCCAATGTAAGAACGTTGACATTTTGAAGGTCAAAACAGAGTGCTTTTTCAAGTGTAGTTCCATCATGAATTGTGATTTGATGATCATCTGAAGCCAGTGCAACTTTGTTTACGTTTTCCATAAATACTGCATCGTGAATCCATCGGATATGTTGCGATCCAGACTGAGTTTTTGCCTGTTGGTTTCTTTTTTCATCAATCTGGTCTTGGCATAATTGTCCAGCATTTTTATAAGCTCGTTGTAGCTTCAATCGATCATTCCAATAACACAGTGTTCCTTCGCGACTACAGCTCATGTATCGCTTCAACGATTCAATATACTGGATCCGAACAATAATGTCTTTGTGAGCTGCTGCGGTTGGATAATGAGTGATGTCAGCATCGAAAAGACGTGTTTCTGCTTCTTCGAGCATCAGCTTTTGACCCTCAGCGCGAAGTAGCATGTATGTACTGAAATCATCCCAATCAATTTCATTGTCGGTATTGGCGTCTATTTTCATGAATAAAATGCTCATCTGCTCATCTGTGAGTCCTTTTCCCAGAACTGTTGCAAATGCACTCTTGAAGTCCTCTAGTGACATTGTCCCCGTGTTGCTATTGGATGACAGCTATTCATGGAAAAAGCAAAGATATTAGCTGAAAAATTTAAAAAGTATATAGTCAAATGTCTTAAAGCAAGGTATCAGTATATTTAAATGCATTGCACTGTAGCTATATAACATATCAATATTGTATTTCAATGTATTGATAAATAATTGGCTTCTGATTTAATATATTACCCTAAATATATTCATGAGTTCCTTAAAGTGAGCCAGATTCATTTCACGATCAGCCCGATACATGGCAGGATCTTTGACTATATTGATCCTGTCTGTGTTGGCATGAAACTTGATTCCTCCTCGTTGGCGTCCTGGCTTAATGTCAGATGCTACCGCGAGATCCTTTGCTGAGTTGACTCGTGCTAATGTTCCTAACCCTGCGTTAGGTAGTCGCCTGTCGCGAGTCGTGATAGTACTCATTGCGCTGCTGAGGTGTTATTCACAAGTGATCACCAGTGTCTATAAATACTCTAAGAGTACTTTAATCTTATATACTTGGCTGGATTAGACAGTGTATCTATTGCAATAGTGCAGGTTTTGATGTGAAGATGTGATTTTGAACAAAAAGGCCATTTACAATTTTGGCTATTTTCATTTCGCCGAAAAATGCCCTGACAAGATTGATTAAATGTCTTGACAATCGATAATGCAATTCATTTCTAGCCATTTATCGACATACTCAACGGGAAATTCTTGAATAATGGGTTATCAGCCATCAGAGGTAAACCATTGGCTGTTTAATCAGTAGGCATATGCATAATGCAAGAGTTTTTCCAACCAAAACTTACTGTTGCTCATGGAAAGTATCCAGAGATTCAAATTGACATGTTTCAGCACAAACACCATACAGTAGCATATTTACTCACTCATGCTCATGCTGGTAAGTGTATCATGCACACCAATCTGCTACACACTCGAGTCTATCCCATTTAAACACGCTAGTGCTTTGTAGATCATATGGTTGGATTGGTGTCACTTCTCAGTGTAAATAAAGTATATTGCACACCAGTTACAGCAAAGCTATTGCAGACTACAATGGGAGCCTCGAATCTGTTTCCAATCGTATTCAACAAACCATTTCATATTCAACTGGCCAACAATAAACATCTTCAAATCACATTTCTTCCAGCGCATCATTGTCCTGGATCTGCCATGTATGCATTATCAAATTGTTTATAGTTTCATATATTTTGGATTTATTCAAACAGGGCTATTCATGCATCAATCTATCAATTTTAGGATACTGATAATAGGAGACAATGGCACGATACTGTGTACTGGAGACTTTCGATCTGAAAAACGTATTGACTCACTGTCCTTTGCTATAGACAGACTATCTATAGATTCAGTGTATCTGGATACCACGTTTGCACATCCAAACTGGATGAATTTACCTACTCGGGTATGTTTTATATGAGTGCATTTCAAACTGTAGACAAATTCGAGTTTCTACCATTGTGTGCTTTTAGAGTATCGAGACTCGATAAAAATTCAAATTCAAATACTTGTATATTTCAATCATATAGCTTGAATCAGCCAATGCTCTTATAGAGGTCATTAAAACGTACTCTGAATCTGTAAATGTATATCTACAATCAAAAACAATTGGATATGAGCATCTTTGGGTTTGTTTAGCACGACACTTTAATACAAAGGTAAGCAACTGATTTATCTTGATTTGAATAGTTATATCTTGATATAAGAATTAAACAAACTGCAATCCAACTTGTTAATATGCCTGGTATTCAAACTTGTAGATCTATGTCACCGCATCACGAAAAATAAAGTACGAGCTGATGGACCAATGCAAAAAGGCAGACGAAGAGTGGTTGCATGAGTGTACTGTCTCACAGTTTTTAACAACAGACGAGCAAGAAGCTCGATTTTTTGTAGATATGTGTCCAAAAGCTGAGCTTTCTAAAACCAAAGGATGCTTATTGAATATTCATCCATCTGCCATGTTTTGGGGACGCGGTAGCGACAGTGATGCCATCTCTCATCACACATATTGGAAAAGGGTTTCAGGATTTAAAGATTTTATAGTTCAGGACCTTCGTGATAGCATGTCATGGCGACTTTTGTATTCTATGCACTCATCATTATCCGAATTGATCGAATTTGTTGCTGTACTAAAGCCACAACGAGTATATCCTACAGTGACTAGCAGTAGCAATGCTATGTTTTTCCCAAAGCAGATAATGAAGCATTTTATGCTCTTGAATTCAACTGAAACTGCTTTGCAGGCAAGAAGATTGAAGCATAAGAGTGTCACAACAGCAGATCTTGACAAGTCAAGCCCAAGACCGTCCGAGCCAATTTGTTTAGCCCTACCATGTATGGAGTCTCAAACGACTGTGCCAGATCTCAAGTTTGGTCCAAATTTAGATGCTATTGCCCATGTTCGCCGTAGCTTTCTGGATCTCGACAACTTTCAGTCTAAGCGGCTTCGGTGTACAAGATATTGAGGCTTTTAAATGTATATTTTTCTGTACAAATTTAATCAGATTTCCTGACAGTTTACAGCCATATTCGCGTAAAATGGAGTATTAAATAAAGATGCCAAAATGTATAATAGACAACTGGTCCTGAAATGATTGGTTAGATTACAGAACAATATTTTGTTTTCTGAACTGCTTGACAAAGCCACACATTCACTGGTTAAACATGGTCTGTTACTGTCCAACAATGTCGCGAGTAGTTTTGTATTGATTATTCCTGAACCAACAGACAATCACTTTAGTAAAATATGGTTTTGTACGGCATGAAAATCCAGACATTTATGATTATATTTGAGTTGATTTGTAATATGAAAACAACGAATGTTCATTCCATTATCCAGATTACGATGAAAGTATTCCGTTTTATGTGAATATGGCTGTAAATTGGAAATATAAAAATCAATTGCAACTTTACTCAATACCAAATAGTCCAATAATGATTCGTCCTGCTGCTCGAGTTGTATCTGCTTCCTCTCGCCGTCTGTCTGCATATGTGCCTTCTGCGACCAATGCCTTGTTTTGCAGGACTCTACCATCTGCCGTTTGCTCTTTTTCCACCGGATCGCTCGATGGAACTCCTGCTCCACTTCTGGCCAAGAATTTGCAAGTTCAACTCACTCAATCTCCAAAGAAGATGTTGCCTTTGAACCAGTTGGTCTTTGGTCAGACTTTTTCGGATCATATGCTGATAGCCGATTGGACTTCCCATAAAGGTAATGCACTTTATTCATGTCAAACAGTTGGCTGTATTGACTGCTTTTTGAACCATTTAGTTTGACTAGATCTGCCTGTTCACTTGTTGAATGTAATGAGGTTTTCAATCATGCACTAACGTTTAAACATTTCTACTTTTTAATATTTGGTGAATGAATATTTCAATTGCATAGGATGGGCCAATCCCAAAATTCAACCGTATGGAAAGATTTCTTTGGAACCATCTGCAACTGTCTTCCATTATGCGGTCGAGTGTTTTGAAGGCATGAAAGCGTAGGTCAATGCATTGATTCATTTACACGAGGTTTGCTTTTTGTCGAGTGCAGCTTGAAACTGATTGTTGTAATCTGATGTATAAAAATCAGCTACAAGGACAAGCAAGGCAAGATTCGTCTTTTCCGTCCAGAGATGAACGTCAACCGTTTCTACAAATCTTGTAAACGGCTAACTCTTCCAACATTTGAGCATGATGAGATGCTTGAGCTGATTAAACAGTTTGTCAAGGTCGAGTCCAACTGGATCCCTAGCGAGCGTGGATACTCGCTGTATCTACGCCCTACTGCTATAGCCACTCAAGAGTCACTTGGTAAGCTACTCATTTATAAATCTAGCTATTTAGTTTTGTATCATACCAGCACATTTCATGTCTTTGCTGTTCAAAGCTATTTCAGTTTGTGGGGTTGATCGTGCGACTAGACCTTTGAAATGGAACCTGTGGTTTTTATTCAAATTTGGCTGTCGTTTACATTAACTTTGTATTGACACGACTTTGATTATTGCAGGTGTTGGTCCATCCAATCGCTCCATGTTCTTTTTGATTGCATCTCCCGTTGGTCCCTACTACAAAACTGGATTCTCTGCAGTGTCATTGTACTCTTCCAAGGACCACGTTCGTGCATGGCCCGGTGGTACTGGTGATTCTAAGCTTGGTGCCAACTACGCTCCTGGAATTCGTCCCCAGATCGAGGTTGCCAAAGAGGGTTATCAGCAAATTCTTTGGCTTTTTGGACCCAACCATAACATTACTGAAGGTAACGTACTATATCAATCTGTCATGCTAGATTAATGTAATTTGATTTACTTGGCTTGGCAGTATATTGACTCGCTGTTTACATTTGTATCTGGTGCTATATTAATGCTGCCATTTCGCTGTTTTTTAAATTCTTAGTCGGTACCATGAACTGTTTCCTTTACTGGATCAACGAGGATGGTGTTAAGGAACTCCGTACTCCTCCCCTTGACGGTACAATTCTTCCAGGTGTTACTCGTGATTCTATTTTAGAACTCTCTAGAGAATGGGGCGAGTTCAAGGTTACTGAAGGAGAAATTTCCATGACAACTCTTTCCAAGGCCATTGATGAGGGCCGTGTTCTAGAAATGTTTGGTGCTGGTACTGCAGCCATTGTCAGCCCCATCAAGCGCATTCGCTACCAGGACAAAGACTTGACAATTCCTCTTGATCCCAAGGATTCCACTTCCCAGGCAGGTCCTCTCACCAAGCGTTTTGCCGATACCATCATGGGAATCCAGTACGGCGAGATTCCACACAAGTGGTCTGTGGTTCTCGACTAGGCTATTCATCAAACAATGTATTTGTGATGTTTTTTTGACGGCACGTCGATTTAACCAGCAGCTAATAGGACTCGTGTTTTTTGTGAGCTGTTGATTGCAATAAAACAATCGACCGTATTCTTTTATCGTCCATCTATAGCTTTCAAATAAACTCATCTTCCTACATGTATCTACCTTTCTTTTCTTTGTTGGATAATGCAACCTTGTTTACGATTTTGAAAATGTCGGATTGTCAATACACTATTGTTTGAAGCGTGTATACGAAACGGCCGCCTCAATTGTCCAACTGATACGCTGCAAGTACACACGTCCTAACCCATTCCAGCCCATAAAAACATATGCCAATACTGTTTATATATTGAGTCCAAACAATCTTATTCACCAAAGTTGGGGAGTGCACGCACAAATCGCAACAGATTAGTTCTAAACAACTCGTTATTGATTGGTCCATCTGCAGGAAGAAGTGCATTTTTGGATACATATTCCACATAGATCTGAGCATGAATAGCACGAAGGACTTCTACCATGTTATCTGAATTTGGATCTGTCAAAAGAATAAACTTGAGTCCTGTGCCTGACTCGTAATAGTGCAACTTGTATGCGTTTGTCCGATACGAAATGAAATTGTCCCTATTGTTTGCATAGTAACCCAAAAACAGTTGAAATAAGTGATTTTTCAATAGCCAACTCAAAGCTTAAATAGCAGACTTGCATTGAATCATTTCTATACTTTGAATCAATCTGAAATAAGTCTAGCAATGCCAGATCGTATTATTATTCCAACTAGACATGAGATGGTAGCATCAATGGATGCAAGCACATACCCTTGTTTTGGACTGATTTTTGTGATGATGTTTCGCAATGAAAAGACGACACCATAGACTAGTTTAGCAGTCTCCTCCATCTGCTTGTCTATCGAGCCAACTAGACCACCAGACTGTGCTCCTGTATCTCTTGAAAGTCCAATAGTTGTCCCTGTTGTGGCATCGGATGACTCTGTCTTTGAGGTAGAGGGTTTATTCCAATCCGTTTGGAATATGCAGGCGCAATGCCTGTTGAATATGAAGAGTGAGTAAATCTAGCCATTCGAGATATCAGTTAGTATACAACGTGCAGTACAGGTGAAGCAATGTACACTCGAGATAAAGCAACAATGTTTCACTACCATAGATTTAAGCAAGTTGGTCTATATTGAGGAATAAAGGTTGACCGATGCTTATCCAAGTTTGAAATTTAACAAGCTCTTTTAGATTTAAAAGATGAATTTATTGGAATCCAAGTTAGTGATGAATGTTTTAATGAATTTGGTTATTAGTCATATTGCTACTATTGGTCAATATTCCATATAAATTACAATGCTTCTCTTGTACAAATACCTTCTAGTATTATAGCTGCAGTCACGTAAATGGAATATTAGAATAATAAAGTTCATGAATTGATTCTCATTGCATTTACTGGACAATATTGCTTTTTAAACCCTTTGGTTTACTGTTTTTGTGCTCATTCTTGTACAAAAAGACTAAACGAATGTTTACATTTTTGCTCCAATGCATTCCACTTCCAATCTTCAACTCTTTTCTTCAAAACAAATATTGGATGATCGACATGAAAACAACGACTGCATTTCCAAGATGAGCGATCTTTGTTTTATTAAACATGTTTGAGATTAGAATACAAGTTTCTTGAATGACATGATCGTGTCTGATATTCCTGGTTGTGCAAATCCAATACAAAAACAAAAATGGAGACTCCGACTGCAAGACAAATACAAATGTTTCATTTTACGTGAATACAACTGTAAAATTAATATCTATTCTTTCAAAAAGTTGGTCGTTTCTTAAACGTCGATATCAGTAATTCACCAGATATGGCTACTGTACAACCACCAACATCTAGTCAGTCTGGACCTCTGACTTCTACTGGTAATACGTTAATAAATTCATCCACTCCCAAGGGACAAAATAATACTGTAGTTCCTTTGTCTCAGTCAACAGCCTATCCGGTCTGTATAGCGAATGCTGGTCGTACAGACCAATCTACAAAAACTAGACCAGAAGTATCAGTATATCAAGCAGAATCACCGAGCTTGAACGCGTTCATACTGACAAAGCCATTGCCTGCCTCACGTCTTCGACAAGGGGCTATTGAAACAACTACCTCATCAATGCCTATAGCTGCACAGGCAGTAGAAGCAGGAACAACCGGCCAGCATTTGCATGCTCGAAATGTTATTCCTACTCCAAGTAGAGCAGAAAGAAAAACTCAATTTGGAATCGACTGTGCTGAAATGGTGCATTTTGCTAGATGGTACATTCCATACTTGGAAATGATAAACTGCTTCGTCTTGATAATGCCATGGCTTTATTTTGTAAATTCAGTTCAATGGTATTACTCTACGCGACTTCTCATGGTCACTAACTAGCCTGGTGCTATATGGTATCTAGGGAACCTGGCGGTGAACATGTAAAATATTTGTCCGTCAAAAACATAGTGATGAAAACTCAAAAAATCAAGTATAAACTGCCACAAACTCGATATTTTTCTATGGAATTTCCCGAAACCCAAACGCTCAGTGCAGGAATGAGTTGGACAGTTCCAATCACATTTCGACCAGTTGCCAAGGTAGTTGAATTGAATCTAGCTATATATACTAAACTTGTGATGCAATATCTTTACTAATATACGTTGACTGCAATTCAACACGATTGTTATTTTTCCAAAAATCTGTAGGAGTGCTACCATGATGTCATTGAGTTTACTACGTCTTTTGGAAAGTTCTTTTTACCCATCAAGGCTACACTTCCCGAGCATGTATTAGAGTTTCCAAAAACAATCGATTTTTCATTATGCCCAGTTCGCGAAACAGCAAAAAGGACATTCCAACTAAAAAATACAGGAGAGCTAACCAGTTACTTTGAATGGGAAATCAGTGCACCTTTTGCAATTTCTCCTCAAAATGGATCACTCTCTCACGGAAACAGTTGTACTATAACGGTTGAATTTACTCCAGTAGTAAGTTGACTTGAATGGCGTTTGCATAATTTAGAGTGGGATGATAATAACCATAGGATTGCCATGGTATACTACTGTCTAAATTTTAAAACTTTGGTTTTAAATAATTGGCTTTAGGACGCTTCTGTATTCACAGCAACAGTAGTATGTTCGTTTGGAGATAAATCGCATTGGGAAAAATCCAAAGTTCGACAAGCCATGACCGTGAATGGAATTGGAAAGTACTCGCACTTGACTCTTGCATCTGACACAAACATATTCGATTTTGGCGAAGTATTCATTGGAAAAAGCGCTGAAAAAAAGATTGTTCTCAAGAACCATTCAGCGGTAGGTTTGTTTGCGTTGAACAAAGTGGATTGTTTGTCAAACATGAGGTATAAATCGCCAATACTGAATGCCAATAAACTATAGGTCCCAGCCAATTTTTGCATTACTCGGTCGGAGCGAAATACTGATTCATATTTTGAATTTTCAATCTTATCTGGTACAGTGGCTAGCAAAAAACAACTTGATATTGGGGTAATGGATTGAACTATTTAAAAATAGATTGTCGATCTGTGAATTTGCTTTTATGATATACTGATACTTTACTGCAATGATAGATTAAATACACGCCAATGGCTTCTGGAATGTATTCCAATGATTACTTTAATATCAACACTCTTTCTGGAAATACAATTGTTGTAACCTGTCAAGGTTGTGGAACTGGACCAAAAGTTACCTTGAATCCGGATGTGGTCAACTTTCATGACACACCTGCTGGATCGACAGTCACAAGAGCATTATATCTTCAAAACAATGCCAACACGAGTGCATTTTATCAGGTAAAACTGATGACAAACCACAGTATAGTAGCTGATTGACCCTATATATGTGCAGTTTAATTAAACTTACAGTATTACCATTGTTTAGTTTTTAGCAGAACCTGCTAGTACATTTCAAGTTGATAAGATATGTGGAATAATTGGTCCAAATTCATCGGTTGCATTGACAGTCAAATTCTCTCCAACCGAGCCAATCAACTACTATAGGCGTGTATATTGTCTTGTAGAGCATCAGGATGCATTGGTATGATCTAACCATCATTGACTTTTATCGGGTTTGTTGGTTATGCACTAATATTTTAACTGTAATATCAGCACGTCGACTTTATTGGTACATGCTATAACGATAAACGTCGACCAGCAACATTTAAGCCACACCACATTTCCAACTATCAACAACGTGTTAAAAACGGACTCTGGCAATATGGTCCAGAGCAACTCGAAGATATGCTAAAAACTGGTGTTATTTTTCTCAATAACGGTATACTGTCCTTTACCAATGACTCTGTTGCAAAACAGCATGGTATGTTGTATATAAACTACTTGGACAGGATTGCAGCTTTTATTTTCAGTTTCACTTGATCTTGATCTTGTGTAGAAATTCAACTATATTTACAACCGATTTGGTATATTATAGCGCATTCTTCCTTGGTTGATTCGCCGTATTCTGACGGCCTTGTTGGAAGCGAGTATTTTTACGAGAATACTGGACCGACAGTAGCTGCCTCTCTTGTCAATAGCTATGTTGATTTTGGTGCATGTTCGCGTTATCGAATCATTGAGCCTCAAGTTATTTGTATCTCTAACAATACCAAAGGGAAAATGTCGTGCGTATGGGTTATTCCTGGAGAAGCTGATGGGTAAGCGTTGATGCTATTGTTTTCTGCAATGATCAGTTGCATACTGTTGAAGTCATGAAATTCAGTATGTATGATTTGATCAAATATTGATAAATTTGTGAATGTATATATGCTATCAGCGAGGAGCCAACGTTTTCAGTGACACCCAAAGTTGCTGATATCCTAGCAAAAAGTACTATGCAGTTTAAAGTTAATTTTCGACCAACAGTAGATAATTCATTTTATGGTGCTCAGCTGGAATGCTTTGTCTATTATAAAAGCATGCGAAATTTTAGATTGGTAAACGAAGACACGTTCACTCCATCATGGTGTTTGACTCCAACAGTTGCGGGGTAAAATCATCCATATTTAATATTGCTAGTCGTTGATTTGCGCCAAATATACAGATAATAGTCTAACATAATGATCTACATTAATGTGTTTTAGAAACACGTTTACTGCTGGAGAGGATACTTTTATACCAAAAATTTCGTTTGGAGCTACAAAGCTTGATTTTCCCGCATGTCATGTAGACAAATCTGTATATCGCACGGTACAAGTAACCAATTTAGGCGACACATTTGTCAAATTTTCATTCCTAGAAAACAGCAGCCAGCCAAATACCGAAACCAATGCTATTTCCGAGTTTAATTCAAAATCCAACAATGTATTTTCGGCGAAGCCTCAACATGGTATTTTACACAAGGGCGAATCTCGACTAATTGTTTTTCGATTTTCTCCATCCGAGCAAAAAGAGTATTTACAAGCCCTCAAGTGTTATTTTAACAACTCACTTGGCAATAGCTATGCAAGTATTAGATTGGTCTTTTTATTCATCAAGCTGGCTTGTATTGCACACTGCATTCATCTGATTAAAAATGATTTATTTGAAACAGGGTCTTCAAATGCATGGAGTAGGTCATTATCCACGGATTACATTTGATGGAAATGGCGTCTTGTGTTTCAAACCAACGTGTATTGGAGCCATTGCAGTGCGTCACTTTGTCATACGCAACACATCTCGCATCTTGGTGAACTACAAGGTTTGTTGATTCTTGTCACCGCATAGATTAGTTTATAACGATTCTAATCAACTGCTTTGATTTTTTTCAAAAATAGTGGCATATTCCGGAACAATACAACTCAGTTGTATCCATTGAGCCATTGAGCGGTATTTTGGCTTCAAACAGCAGTGCGAATTTGATTTGCACCTTTGCTCCCAATTGCACTAGCAATTACTCGCTAGTATTGCCCTGTTACTACTCGCACGAAATTACAAGTAAGATCTATTGGTCATACTCAAATTATATAATCCCAACAATTAATTTAACTTTTTAATTGTACGTCCAGACGAAACATCTGCTATTGTCAAGAAAAAAGCAAGTTTCACCGTATTTGGACGTGGTATTATAGGAACCATTGTTGCAAAGCCACAAGTGGTCGACTTTGAAACTATACTTGTAAACACTGTTTCTGAAAAAGAGATTTTACTGTTCAATCCAAGTGAATGTGACGTATTTTACACTCTTGAGATATATCGCAAAAAACCAAGTACAGGCACGCATGGGAAAATTGATATAGTAGAAGAGTTATTGGAGAATGATATTACGGGTAAATTCTAATGAATGAATACATTGCTGATTTACTAGATATAAGACTGCCGAAATGTAGGCTAACTATATTTTATCATTTCAGTATCTGAATTGGAAATTGTTCAAAAACTACGATCCTTGCCGGCTCGGTCAAACCAAGCTCTGAAAATCAAAGCATGTGTGCACGAACAAACTCGACAAGAGTTTCATGTGTATTATCGAATTCAAGGTAATAAAATTTATATATGTGATAGCACTGCTTTTTATTGCTCGTACAGTTAACACTTGCACTTACCCTTTCAGATCATACACTTACAGATACAGAGGGACGCTTGACGCCAAGTGTATTGCAAAAGAAGAGAAAAGTGGGTTTTGATCCGACTTTCAGGATTTCAAATAGTTTAACATTATTTACTTGTAAAGATGTATTTTTATTTACGCATTTTACGGGCTTCTAGGTCCAGCGCTATCATTTATGCGATGTTGTCGCAGTTGGAGTTCATCCTGTCGTTCAAGCATCATATATTCACTGCGAGGGTACTGTATATACATTGTAATTGCCATGAAGCGTAATATTTATTTTAATAGCAATGCATTGTATAAATAATTAGGAATTAGCAAAACTATACTATGGGAAATGTTTTCTTTGAACAAGTTTAATGAAATTCTTCGAGAACCAGAAACAGGTCAGAATGCATACGCTGAGCAAACTCTAGACGATAATAATTCATTTCCGATCGATTTGCCTATGCAACTCACTCCAAATCAAAACGAAATTAATTTTGATTTTGGCGCTACTTCAGTCAGGTAAGCTATTTCAACACGTATTTCAGTTGCCATTTGTTAAAGATATATGTATAGCTGTCTGACTATCGCTGTGTTCTAGCTGCAAACCGACACTGCTCAGTTTAACATTGACAAACAGCGGGGTTGTGTCAGTTGATTGGGTGTTTCATTTCCCCAACGATCTCGAGGTAGGGAAGAACAGTACCACAAAGTAATTGTCATGATTTAGCTTTTACCAATACAGTTTGAATATTATAGGTGGAGATTGAGCATTGGGCCGATCCAGGAGACTATACTGAAGAGCAACTTCATCAAAATTTGATATTAGATAATAATATCTTTTGTGTAACGCCAAAGCATGGAAGTCTTTGTCCAGGAGAATCGGTCAATGCTATCATGTCCTATAGCCACGAGTTTGCAGGCTCGCATAAACTAGCCGTAGTGTTTAAGCTTTATAACGGCACATCACAATCAGGTAATACTTTAAATATACGCTGAACGTATGTGTTTATATGGCTGAATTCAATTGACTGATTAATGTGTAATGCTGGCTGTATCTCCATCAATAAACATAGGAAAGGAAATTATGATTAATTTTACGGGATACTCTGTTCCACCAGCCAAAAAGTATTTGCAAATACAAGCTGCCACTCATGAATTAGTTCCGATCTTTATTGGAACCACGGATCCTCCAATCCAAACATATCGTCTAATGAATCGTGGTGCGGTATCTCTTGAATATAGTATCGATACATCGTCCCTTGAACGAGTATGTTTTTGCTTGTGATTCAATGGTAGATTATTTTTTACTGATTGATTACTAAGTACGTATCCTTTTATTTGAATGCATGCGAGTGTAGCTAAAGGAAGATAACCACAATTTTGAAGTTTTCAAATGCCTACATACATCTGGGTGTATTCCGCCAGGAGGATATGAATATGTGCAATGGCTTTTTCACCCATTGGAAGAAAAGATATACGAGGTAATGATTCAGTTGAAATTGCAATATGTTGATTAGCTAATGGTGCAATAGCCGATTAAGTAATGTCAAGTCTAATCATTTTTATCAAACAATTACGTTATGTAGATTGACATTCCAATTTCAATTGTTTCTGGAAAATCATACATGGTTACACTGAAAGGAAAGGGCGAGCGACCATTGGTATACCAGTTATTTGATTTCAGCTGGTAAAATTAGTATTATTTCTAATGCTTTCACCATTTATTTTAAACAGGATATACATAATGAAGAAAGGCTTGATCCTAAATCATATCAAGTCAGTACTTTTGAAACACAGACGTCATACGCTCAAAATCATATTGCTGCTCTATCTCTGGTAATCATTGCACTTATATACTACCCTATTCAAATCAAGACAATCGTGCCTTTTGATTCACATTTGCTAATTTCATTGTTATTATGTATAGGAAAATATTAACTTTGGACATGTTCCATTAGAATCTACAATGAGACAGGTTATTGGGGTTCTCAACACGAGTAATACTGCTGATATTTTTTTCAAATGGAGTGTTCCAACCTATTGGCCTTCTGGAGGTAACGAGCTGATGAATGTATTTAATCTTGATGGCGTATGATATCTAATATTTTTATTTTATCACATCTAATTGCTGTATGCAATCAGAAATCATGATTACTCCATTGGAAGGACGATTAAAACCAGGTGAAAGTCGAATCTGCAAAGTTGTTTTTAGTCCAAAACATGATTGCAGAATTTACGATATGGATATTGTGTGCAATGTTGGCAATGCCACAGAAATGGTATATACATATTTTGTGTTTGATATATGTGCTGTTGTAGTACACTAAACACTCATACTGTGTATTTAGGAAACACTGTCTGCTCAAAGAGATGGTGTTAATATAGTTTCGAAACAAGAAAAATGTACTGGCGTTTCTGAAGCAGTATCACTTCGCGACTCTATACAGACCAAGGATCGCTGCTTGTCGCTAAACAACACGGTAGGCAGTTTGGGAGTAGATATCAGTCGATTAAAGTATCGAACACTGCCTGCCATTTCGTCACCAACCCCTAATCAAAGTCAGTCAACAACCTCCGAATCAAAAAGAAGAGTCAAGGTTGAATCTACTCACGATAGCGTCAGATTGTCACCTCACTCGGCAAGATCTGGTAATCTTTTAATCAATCTGAATTTGAAAACAAAATGTATCGTACTTGAATATGCTAATTGCACGATTTTATGTTTGGGACCTTTTGACAGGTGTCAGTGATTGTGTTCCATTAGAGTCGAGTAGAGTTCCTGTTTCATTTCAGAAATTTGTTTCAATTCGTGCAAGAACATACAAGGCTGAAGAATTTCGTCGTTTATTTAAAGGATACGATCAGTTTTATCAGAACCGTCAACAAGAACAAGTGCGCATTTTTGAGCCAAATCATGACATTGTGTCTAACCAGGAAGAAAAGAATGCAGTTCAGTCAATGATACAGTCACTATTAAGCGATATTTTCCAAGATCCAGATGTACTTGGAATTCCTACAGATACACTAAATGGATCGCTGTTTTACTATGCCCAAATTGCTTCAAATCCCAATTTAGGCATAGTTCTTCAAAGTACTGATTCGGCTTGCACTGCATCAGCAGTAAAAACCATTGACAAGCCTGACCGATTATCTCAAAAAAATCACAGTGAATTTGTATCCGATTTATCCATCATTACGTAAGTATTACTGCTTTATGATGTAGATTGATCAGTTGATGCAATTTTGGTTTGAACTAATACATCCAACCACATCTAGATGCGAGGAATTCCAAAATGCTGTAGAAGCAGTATTGGAGGGAACACTTTATAATCTTATTCAGGAAGCAAATGCTGGTGAATTTCAATGGCACAAATATCCCATTTTATTTGATGAAACCAAACTTTTTGAACAGGTGGTACAGAAATAATAGTCAAAATTAAAAATTGATGAGTTTTGGGTAATATTTTATATTGTTGTCATGATGCTTTTAAACGAAAAGGACAATCAACTCAAAAGTGAACGCATCCAAGCTATAATGCTTTACCAAAGATTGCTGAGCTACCAGTGCTTCAAGCCCGCTGAAGCTGTCGCTCCCAATCAGCTCGGTGTAAATGATATAGCTTCATGGTTGCCTGCGCATCTTCTACTGATGAATGCTCATTATTTTGAATAGACAGTCCTAGATACTCTGCAGCTAATTTCTTTAGTGACTGGATTGAATTTGTTTTTGGGTTGCGGAATGGCTTGTATGTAGAGGTATCTCGAATCGAACGCGATGGATGGGTTAGCATAAGTGCTTCAAAGTCGTGCTTGACTGCATGTCCAATAACTATTCGATCTTTAAGAATATCTGCAACTTTCTGCTGTACTTCTTTGAATGCTCGACCTATAAGCAAGTTATAGTGAAAAAACACGCAATATAGAATTAAAAATCATGAGTAGAACAGTATTATGGCACTGTTTGGAGCTATGTAAGCGCCGTACCTTTGCTTTTGAGAAGTGCTGGGCGAATTCCGCTATATTTAGTTCTATAATCCGTCACATCCTCTTCAGGAAGAACAAACTCGTCTAAAATGACATGACCGTGATAATTGACAATGCTAACTCGGGCAAGCATGGACTGAGAGCCCTTCAATCCTACACCCACCATTTCGCAATCGATTGCAACATATTTTCCAATTCTGTAAACAATATAAAGGTTATTATACTACTTTGAAAATGCATGTTTATGCGAGCACAGCTCTAAATCTTGAATTGCTTACTTTGTTTGGCCATAAATTTCCTCTTTTGCTGTCTTTGATTCCATCTTTTGTCGCTTACCAGTACCTTGATTTACTGCATCTGTTTCATTCGCAGAAACACGACTATTTTCTTTTACTTGAGACTTTTGACTGGGCACTGGAACATGCTTGCGTTTTCGAATAGCTGGTTTAGCAGTACTGCCATCATCAGCTTCATCATCAGAGGGTAGTCCAAGTAAGGATTCTCCAGAGTCCATGATTTTATTGAGAATATCCATATGCATTTTTATCGTATCAGAGGTTTCATTCTGGACAGTATGATCAAAGATAAGCTCGGCGTTTAGTCTAGTTTCATTAGGCTTGCTGTCGAAATACAAAAATTAATTTACAGGTTGCCAAAGCATCATGAATTAGAATATTAGACTGACACACCTTGTACAAGTTGCTGTTTCGGGAATCAATGGTTTCACAGGTTCTAGTTTAAGATCATCAACAGTCTTGGCTTCAATAGCACTGGGGTTCGGTTTAGAGTCGGTATGCTGAACCTTGGCAGTGTTGGCAACAGGCTGCTTTTTTTTCAATATCTATGCAAAACAGTCAATATAAAAATTCATTTTTCGTATAATGAATCAAGTTCGGGGCTGATTTACCTTGGACAAAGCTTTCCAATTAGATGACAGTTTGACCATGATCAGAATACTGCAAGTTTTACAGCTAGCGACAAGCAGGACGAGAATGAAGGAATGAAATAAAATGAATGTTGATAATCATCGGTGTGTATCACGTGTTTGAAAGGATGCTCAAATTCATTCAACCATTTGTTATTCTTTGTAAATGCCAATAAATTATTGATTTGAATGGCAGAAGAATCTGTTGCTCGTATTTCATATATCGCGGTTACTTTGCTAAACGATCTGCTACTCATCTCAATTGAATATAAAACAATACTTCTCATTTGGGCCTCATGCGATATTCAGCATTCTATCTAGTGTATGCTAACCTAAACCGATTGTGCAGTTTTACAAACGGAAATACAGCAATATGCTTGATGCTATCAAAGTGGTCGAGACATGGAGGTTTTTATTAACCAAAAAATATGATTCCTCTCACTGTCGATATCTGCAATACGCTGATTGATATTCAAAAAATTGTTAATTTGGTCTTGGGTTTATTTTCTGATGAATGCAAGATCTGCAAAAAGATCGGGTTTGGCATTCTGCATGATATGTGCTGGCTGCTGAGATTGAGGTTTAAATAAATCACCCATCATGGAATCCTGTGTCTGATTAGCCGCTCCGCTACGTGGGATATTGGCTGTATTGAACGGCTATAATTGTGTTAGGGTATACACATGTCAGCTATCGTGTTCATTACAAGTTGGTTTTCATAAAAGTTAAATTTTCAACTTACATTTGCATAAGAAAGTCCTGCTTGTGACTGTTGTTGGTAGTGCATTTGCTGAGATTGCTGCTGGCTTTGAATGTAAGGGTTTACGCGAACAGTACCAAGAATGCTCTGAGGTTGCGGCTGAGTTGTTTGTTGTCCATAGTTACCATACGTTCCTGTAGGCTGTTGATTGGAAAATTCGAATTCTTGAAACTGTTGCTGGATCGGCTGAGACTGTCCATACAAAGACATGATGGAGCTCTTTGCAACACTTTTTGATTGCTGTTGTGGAGCTTGAATTGATTGAGGTTGTAGTGGTTGAAATGCTGATTGCATATTCTGTTGTTGAAATTGAGTCTCTGGATTAAATTGAATCTGGCTAAACAGGAGTTGAGTTTGATTTGATTGCATTTGAGATTGCTGACTTTGACTTTTTTGAGGCTGTTGAAGTTGAGCTTGGATCTGGTTTTGTTGATTTTGTTGGGCTTGAATCTGATTATGTTGATTCTGTTGGGCTTGAATCTGAGCTTGTTGGGCTTGTTGGGCTTGTTGATATTGAATCTGATTTTGTTGATTCTGTTGGGCTTGAATCTGAGCTTGTTGACTCTGTTGGGCTTGTTGATATTGAATCTGATTTTGTTGATTCTGTTGAGCTTGAATCTGAGCTTGAATTTGAGCCTGTTGAGTTTGTAACAACTGTGCCTGATGTTGTTGAGCTTGAAGATTATACTGATATCTGTTAGATTCATTTTGACCCTGATCAAGCTGATAGCTAAATCCAAATGGATTATTTTGACCACCAAGATTCTGATTTGGCATCCATTGTGAAGTGGTCATTGTACTCTCGATAGTGTTTCCAAACAAATCTCCAAGCAGATCGACATTTTTTAATGCATTGGGAACAGCATGATTAGTATTCAACTGAGTTTGAGCTTGAGAGTTATTGATACTTTTAACTGTTGAATTGGATGAATTAGCAGCAGGTATATCCTTGGCAGAAGAATTGGATGCCTTGCGACTGTTACTACCCCATTCCAACAGTAAGCTAATTGCCTGGTCGATGTTGCGATCAGTAATCATGAGCGCACTTTGATTGTGCTCATTATTTTCAAAACCCATTTGCCGAAGCTGTTGGACTAGCTGATCATTGGCATCAATAGATTGACGTTGGTTTTGTTGAGTTGATCCAAGCGCGTTGTTGGTGTTGGCCCCGAGAAACTGGACTGTTTTTGTTCGAGTTGATGGAAGAGGAACTTCAAAGCTCTGGGGTTGCGCTTGTTTCTTTTGTTGAACTAGTTGCTGTTGTGGATCCTATATAGCTCAGGATTAGTGTATGCACAACAGGATTGTAGTATGATCAACGCAGTATCAAACATCGAAACTTACTGGTCCATCGACGCAATAAGATTTCTTTTCATACTTTTGACGAAGATATGTTTCCATTTCCCTAAATAAAGTCTGTTAGTACTCATCCACTCATAAATAATATATCTTGAAGAAATGCATTGTCTACCTATCATCATTGATATTAAACACGGGAGCATTTCGTCGAGATAGATAGTATTCATTCACTTTGCGATTGCCCATGCTACGAACAAACTAATTTCATTCATTATGGATTTGGTCAGGCAATCTGGCATGAACATACACACGGATGGTGTACATTGACTCTTGCATATATAATGCAAAATTACAAAGCAAAAGTACCTCGATCTGTTCAGCAGACCACGTGTCTAGTGTCGTGGATTTAATCTTGGTTATATGTGTTCCGAGTTTGCGATGAAGACCAGCGCAACGAATGCCTTGGTATAAAAATAAATTATGATGAGATCATTACTATATACAGTTGTATTGTGATGGTTTGGTATGCTTACAAAGAAAGCAGCCAATATTGACCGAAGTCCAGCGAGGAGCTATAAAATGTCGTGGACCCAAATTCAAAGTAAATCAGGCTACTTGACAATGATTTTAGTATACTTTAGCAAGATTTTCAGTCATTTCCTACCACGAGCACCACAATCTGCACAATTTTGATTATCTGGCAAAGCCAGTATCTCCTGAATAAGCTTCAAGTGCTGCTCGTCTCGTTTCTTTTTTTGGCGGGTATCTTCTGACATTGTTGAGTGGTGGGTAGAGTTGATAGAGTTTAAATTAAAACAGTAAAGCGGGCGACTGGAGTGGATTTGGTCTTCAGATATACCGTGGGTCTAAATCAAGATTAACACGCCACAATCCATGAAAGTTGTCGACATAACCATCCACTGCTTGTTGAGTCAGTATTACTGTAGCAATTAGCCTGCTTTGACTTTGTAAAGTCTACTTGAGTGTATGGGTTATAATACTGATGCCTTGTCCAACATCATAGTTTGTCAAGCCAGATTGGTAAAATTCAAAAGAATGGACATGGTGTGACCGAGTCTAGTTATTAGACATTTACAATCCTATTCACGTAAAATGAAACACTGAATGTCGGAATACATGATAAACAGTCTTGAGATATGTTAAACTAGAGCGTATCTGATATTAAAATAGAGTTTCAATAAAAAGAAATCAACAACAACGAATATTCAATAATTATTTATTCCAAGACAATCATTACAGAAAAGTGTCATTTTACGTGAATTTTATTTAAAATAGACTTGGAAAACAAGTCAGTTTCTAGTGTTTGTGAAATGTGATAGAATTGCCAGTTTAGCAACAATTTGACTTGAAAAAGTAACAATTCCAACAGGAAACATCTTGTCAAATCAATCCAATCGTATCTCATCAGTCTTGAAAAAGCCAATCAGTTTGTTCATCAACACCAGGCTAGCGTAACAGATATTTAGTCAACTGCAGGTTGAAACTCGGCGTCAAACTTTGACTTGAATTCAAAAACTGTTGAGCATTACAATGTCGTTCTTGCGATGGATTAATGGCATGGTTGGTGTATTGCACATGTCATTCTATGTTCATGTGCTGTCATGACACTCGAGTGTCTTACTATTGCATATAGTTAATCTACTGCTATTTAATATCTTGAACAATTCAAGCAGTATGCAAGCGCAACAGCATGCGTACTGCTTGAATCTGAAATCGTTCATTACCACGTTGGTAACTGGATTCTCTACCAGGCTCTAGTTTGGTTGTGTTGTTCATCTACTTCTTCCATTTCAAGATCCCCTCTACTCCTTCCTATCCTCACTTGGTCTATCAATAAGATATCTTTAGACAAGTGCAATGTTTTATACTTGGCTTTATTTTGGTTCCAATTTAGCCCTTTGGATATCTGTCCAGCTATGGATTCTTTCAAATGACAATCTTAAACTTGGCTCCATCATATGTTACACTTGTCCATGTATTTACTTATACTGTATCTATAATAGAACAAAGGGATCTCCACTAGCGAAATCTCCGAAAATCAACTCTGCGGTGAGGAGCGATACTATGGATTCGAGAATGTATGTATTTTCATCAGCTACATTCAAATATTCAAAAGCCTCTGATCCAACGTCAATTGATTGGACTGTCCTATTCATCTAGTAATCACTTGGCTCACTATTTTAAATCTTTTGGATTACTTTGTGCATATGATCCGACACTCCACTTTTCAACAACACTGCATCAACCCATAGTTTGGAAACACCTGCTATTGCAATTCAGTATTGCAAGTCCTTTATTTTTGTAAACCATTTCGGAACTGTGTTGTGTGCTATAACTTTCCCGAGTCTGCGTGTCAATTGGCTGCCATGACAGAACAGCTGGATCTGTCTTGTTTGCATTCATCACGCACAAGTGCTCTAGAATCGCATTCATACAAGGACCAAACAGATCAAGACTCTAAAACTACAGGAGAGTCTCCTTATAAAGGCACTGCAACAGTAGAGCTATTTAATTTGCAAAATCATTCTACTTTGGCAATGAATACACATTCAAGTACGGCTTCTGTCAATACACCCACATCTGCACTTACTCCATCATCAGCTCAACCATCTATACCGTCATCTGCTGCTTCTGTTGCACAATCTGGAACATCTGCTTCTGTACCTACAGGAACTCATAATGCAGTGTCTGGAGTGCCTCAACCTTCTGGAACTGTTACGTCTGAACGCGGTATTTGGACAGGAACTCGTATTGCTTCTGTGGTCAAAAAACTGCCATATAGTGAAAATGCTCAAAACTCAATCTTGCACGCCATGCAAGAGTTGTTTGTTGCTATTTCAACACAAAAAAAGCGAACAGGTGTCTTTTCTCCAAGATACTTTATATCAAAACTTAAAGAAGAAAATGGTCAGTTTGACTAGTTTTAAAGTATATCATACAGTCGTGTACTGACACTCCAATGATGACATGCATTTAGAGCTGTTTAATAACACCATGCAACAAGACGCACATGAAATGTTCAATTATCTGTTGAATGCCATTGCAGAGATTCTTTTGAATCAAAAAACAGAAATGGTGGATGCATTCAAGACGTTGCATCTTCCAATTCTTCCAAATTCAAAAGGCAAGTTTGACTCTGTGCATTCAAATAACAAGATATGCTTATTTTTTGCAAGTCCATTGCTCTATAATAGCATGCCAATATTCAATATGTGTATTTGTTTACTTTAGTCAAGGAACAAACTGCACCCACTTGGATACATGCTTTATTTGAGGGTCAGTTGACAAACGAAACTAAATGCTTGAATTGTGAAAGTGTAAGTTGGCATTGTGGAGTATACATCATTATTGAAAATTATAAATACTGTATGTACTATTTTACCTACTGTCTACATGTGTGTATGCGCTTGTTAGATTACAAATCGTGTCGAATCATTTTTGGATCTGTCAATTGATATTGATCAGCACTCGTCCATATCTTCTTGTCTACGCAATTTTTCATCATCCGAAGTGTTGTATGGCAAAAATAAGTTTTTTTGTGATACTTGTAATAGTCTTCAAGAAGCTGAAAAAAGGTAAATAATAGATTAGCTCTATGTAAATATGACTACTTTGTAACCGTTTTTCAATCTGATTGTAGGATGAAGATTAAGCGACTACCCAATGTTCTTGCCGTTCATTTGAAAAGATTCAAATTTCAAGAGCAATTGGGTCGATACTCAAAACTATCATACCAAGTTTCTTTTCCTTTGGAGCTTCGTTTATTTAATACGGTTAGTAAGTCGTTATGAAAATACGTATACAGTATCAAAACATGGCACTGATATGGGTTTTCAATAGGCTGACGGTGCAGAAAATGCTGATCGGCTATATCAATTGCATGGTGTAGTTGTACATATTGGAAGGTTTGTGTGTAAATCTATAGATTGAATAACACTTGGCTGTATATACGCTGTACTATACCTCGCTGAACATTTTGACGTGAAATGTGTTGGTTTATGTAAACAGTAGTCCACAATCTGGACACTATGTAGCATTAATTAAGAGCGAAAATCAATGGATGCTATTTGATGATGATGATGTCAGAGTACGTTCAATGATGTGTTGTATATGGCCTTGTTGAACACCACCTAGTGTTGATTGTATTTGACACTAACGTTTATAAATGTATTCAATCTATTATACTTGATACTCAATATATGTTGTTATGATGATTGTTCATGTATTGTTGAACATATAGATTATAGAAGAAGCAGATCTATTCCAGTATTTTGGAGATTCTAATTTGTTTGGGACAGGCTATTTTTATCTGTTTACAGCTGTAGACTTTGACTCGAATCAAGTTCTCAAGACTATTATGCCCGAGACTTGGATTTCTCAAACCGAAAAGACATCAACACACTCCACAAGCAATGACGAACATTCTCAACCTATAAATACGCATGCATTAGCAACAGAAGTCAAAGATCCAAATATTCCAGTACAAGTTCATATTCTAGCATCACAAGAGCTAGTCAAGGACGAAGACAGCACCCATGGAAGTATTGATCAACACACCGACTTGCCGGGTGAGTTGACAAAACACGGAAATGCAGATTTACATTTGTTTAACCAGGCACTGCAGACCCAATTGATGAATCAGGCAGAACTACAGCAACAGCTAAGTACTCGAACAACGAGCAGTGGACATGTCGTGAAAGAAGACACCTTTCCATCTGTGCCACATAATTCAACACTAGCGTGGACAGGCAAGAAACTTGGGTTGGGCAGCTTTATAGGTGGATCTATGCAGGGCAAACGACCATCGTTGCCTGCGCTCCATATGGAAGTGCCTATTAGGGAAGACATTACCAAAGGACCAATGACTGCTGATGTTGTAGATCAAAGTGCTTTTCAACAAGGAGTAGGATCATCATCAAGTCTTGGTGGAAAAACCAAAGACAACAACTCGAGTGGTACATGGCCATCATGGCTTCCATCAATACGCAAGGACAAAGGAGCAAATAGCAAGGCCAATACTACTGGCAGTACCAATAATCTATGATAAAGCTAATTCAAATAAATGGTTTATATGAATTTGATAGTAATTGTAGTAGATTGAGTCCAACAGTTTGGATTTTGACTGGCTTGCTATTGCATTAAAAAGCTTAAAAATACAATCATTTTTTCAACTATTACAACTGTATTCGTATAAAACGAAGCACTAAACAAGTGTCAGAATGCACAATCTCATGGAGTCAGTTTACTGGACAGCATTTTATTCTATAAACCCTTTAGTTGACTAATTTCTTGGTGATTGACATGTATAGTTGCACTCCTGAAATGTGCAACCTTGTTGAACGTGAACGCAAGTGCATGTGATTTTAGAATATGAATTGGATTGAAAACAGTCAAACTCAATATGCGGATCATAATGGATGAATCCGATGACTGACAGTATACGGCTATGCCAAAAGACAAAAAGGGTGGGTTTAAAAAAAGCAGATTAAAAAAAGGTTCAATTGAAAACGAGTTTAATTGTATCATACAATAGATATTGTTCTACCGTCTAATTGAAAGTGTTTATCAAAGAAGCAGTTGATTTATAGTAAAAAAAATCAAGGAATATATAGCCATTGATGATTCCAAGACAAAATAGATAAATACGAATATTTCATTCTACACGAATACGATTGTAAATTCTATGCTTTTATAACCGCAATATAGTCAAGCTTTTGTTCAATGGCCGCTAATACTAAAGCACGTGCTATATAAAGCTTACCATTATCCGACTATTTTTATTTTCAAGTGATCTTGCCATTAAATCTCGATATGACAGTGCACTGGCGTTCATCGAAACGATTAACAGTAGCGATGGTGACTTTAGGCTCATTTGTTGATATGGCTGCCTACACCATCATTATTCCATGTAAGGCATTCTCAATGCATGTTGGAGTATAGTCCTGCAAGTTTATTTCGCTGATAAATTTCATCATTTGGATTCTTATTGCTAACATTAAAATTACTTTATGGATACAATACAACCCTTATACTTGGACTATTTGTCATGCCTGAACAGTCCTTCCCCAGGTTATTGAATCGTATGGTGGTCATGATACCGATATTGGTTGGTTGCTGGCATGCTATTCGATTGGATTGATGACCATGTCGCCAGTTCTTGGTATTATCAGCGACAAACTTCAAGGCCGACGACTGCCTATGATATTTGGTCTTGTTGGTCTAATTGCATCTACCCTTCTGTTCATGTTTGCCAAAACCTTTTGGGTGCTTGCTCTTGGTCGATTACTGCAGGGAATATCTACTGGTACTGTCTGGACACTTGGTCTTGCCTTGGTTGCCGACACACATGATTCGAACGATCTAGGAGCTGCAATGGGAATCATATATGGTGCCTATGCAGCTGGTCAGCTTGCTGGTCCACCTATCGGAGCTGTACTATACACTCGAGTTGGATACCAAGCTCCTTTTATCTTTTGTTGCTCCTTGACATTGATTGATTTGATAGTAATGCTCATATATGTAGAGCTTCCAATTAGCAAGCCATCTTTAGAGGCTGCAGACTTGGATGAGACTTTTGACTCGACTGCGGTAAAGTCTGAGGAAAATGAAATGGCAGTTCATGTTAAGTCCATTTCTGATGCCAAAACTGCAGAAACTCTTCCAAAAGTTCGAAAAGCTCCCGAAACCTTTTGGGAAATTCTTACTCTTCCGCCCATCATTATCATCAGTTTGGTCACCATTGTCATGGGATGTGCAACTGCTGCTTTTGAATCTACACTTGCATTGCATCTACGTGACAGGTATGGATACGATGTCGAGCGTATCGGGTTGGTATTTATGGGTATGGTGATCCCAAGTTTATTTTGTACACCGATTGCTGGCTATGTTTATGACAGACTTGGATTCCGTGTTGTATCGGGTGTTGGTGTTGCAGTGTGTGCTGTGCTTGCACCTTTCCTTGCACTCTATCAAGGCATTGTTTCCTTTTTGATTATTCTCATTACATTCACCATGTCAATCTCGTCAATTGGTATGACTCCTATGATGCCTGAGATCTCTGCATGTGTTCCACGTAGCGCATTTGCTCGTACCTACTCTCTCTTCAATGTAGCATTTTCTGGAGGACTGCTTTTTGGCCCAATCGTGGGATCATTGGTATACCATGTTGGTGGTTGGTTCTGGGAATGCATAGTATTATTTATTCTTTTGATACTATGTGTACCCATGATTTTCTTTTACAAGCGACCTGTGTATGAATAATTCACGGACGCTTTTTTTTGGCTCAGCTCAGATCTGCCAATACATGTTTTGTTGACTATTTACATTAAAAACACTTTTTATCTATTCTGGGACTATTTTTGAAATAAACAGTGGTTGAGTAGTTGATGCGCTTTTCTATTGGGTTTGACTGCTCTCAATCTTTGTACACGACCACATTTTGGTTCAACAAATCAATGATTGTACGTTTCAGTAATGCAGCTGTTGTTTGCATACCAATCACCACGAACAATACTACTGTGCTTTGTCACAGTCCACAACACAACGCTATCCAGTAGATTGATACCAAACAAACATGGAACGAGCCATTATTGTCTAGCCATTCATTCCACGCAAATACAGCTGTAAATCGAAAGCAATTCTAAATTTTAATTTTGATGCACTTCAAACCATTGACACTTGCAAAAGCTAAAATTATTTGAAATACCACATGCAAGCCTAGATTCAACCCAATGGTATGGATCAGTCATTTGATTTCTCAAGCAATACTTTTAGTTTTGCTATTGTCTTACCAAAACAAGTCCAAAACTTCCGCCAATGATTGCAGATCCGATGGAATAAGTTCGACGACTTTGATCACGAATTTCCTTTTTGATTTCCATCTTTTGTTCCTCAGTCATGCCTGCCATGCAATCCTTTTCAGCAGAGTAGATGTCATCTTCCATATCATTGGTGATTGGAGTATGCGCAGTGTTATTCATAGGTTGGGTTTCAGGCTTGTTCTCACCCACTTTGATGTATGCATGACGATGCTGATCAAACATCATTGGGAATTTGATCTGTCGATTCGACATTTTAATAATAAAAACCATGATATTGAATTAGCATTATCCATCTGTATTATCTTGGACATTAGCCAATTATCGAGTACGGCTGTACATCAGAATTAAACCAGGGTAGGCTTCACGTACAGTCCTCTTGACAAGAAAAGGAACTAGTGACATCAGGGGTGGACCTATTCGATCTCTTGAAATAAGGATTTTAGAAATGGATGCTTGGCGTAGCATATGTTCGAGTCAAATTATAGGTTCTGGTTGACAGGTAATCAGTATACGAGCAAGTAGAAAGTTGCTTGACGTAAACGAAAATCCAACGGATTCTGTTACACGTGACTTTTACTTTAAATTCGCCACATTTGTATCCTTGCGCAGCTCAAATCAGCACAGTTTATAATGGTTGCTGCAGGCGGCGACTCGGCAGAAGCATCTTCTATAAAGATATATGCTCGAATAAGACCTCAACGACCAAACTCAAAGCTAAAGACAACTCCAGGTCGTTACTGGATCAGCTCACCTCCCGTCCTAGATGCATCTGACCCACACTCTCGTCCGCGTCTTGGATTTCTAGTTCCACGCGACGAAACGGCTGGATTAATCAATAACCAAAAGGAGTCGTTTGTGTTCAAATTTGATAGACTGTTTGACATGGATGTCAAACAAGAGGAAGTGTTTGATACTGTTGCCAAACCAGTTATTGAAAGGTGAGTTGAACTTTTGATTTTTTGAAAATGCGTATCCATGTAAACGAATTCTTCAATCTAAATATTTTTGCTCAACTTTATGCTTAGCTCATTACAAGGCTACAATGGAACCATTTTTGCGTATGGTCAGGTACTTGGATTGTTTTTGAATGTTTCAGACGATTCAAGCAACTAACAAATCAAACCTATGACATGTGCATTGAATAAAATAGACCGGTTCGGGAAAGACGTTTACGATTACAGGTGGTGCCGAACGGTATGCAGATCGAGGTTTAATTCCACGAACCATCCAGTTTATGTTTAAAGAGGCACAAAAAGTATACACAGTTGGTTAGATCTCAAGTGGTTGACATTCATCATTAATTCAATTACATTGATTTACAGAACACACATGTACAGTACACATTTCACATCTCGTACCTTGAAATATACAACGAGATTGGGTACGATTTGTTGGATAGCACTCGTGATGCCAAGAAATTGGAGGATTTACCGTAAGTATGCATCGACATTAAATACATGTATGCGAGAGTAATGAGTATTTAACTTTGGTCATATCTCATGTTTGTACTTGAATACATTTAGTAAGGTTACAATGCAAGAAGATGCAGATGAGATGGTTCATCTACGTAATTTGAGCGTTGTTCAAACTGTTAACGAAGAAGAGGCTCTCAACTTACTATTTGTAGGCGATACAAATCGCATGATTGCTGAAACACCTTCCAATCCTTCATCCTCACGAAGTCACTGCATATTTATTATTGGTGTGACTACAAGAGTCAATGGAGAAGATGTCATTCGAAAAAGTAAACTTCATTTAGTTGATCTTGCTGGGTAAGCGCATTGCATTTTTAAATGGTCAAGTGATGGTATAATAAATTCAACGCTTATTGCCATTACAACGTTTAGATCTGAACGAGTTGGACGAACAGGAATTGATGGTGCTTTATTACGGGAAGCTAAACATATTAATCTATCGCTGCATTACTTGGAGCAAGTGATTGTTGCCTTGCATGAACACTCTCTTGGAAAGCGATCACATATTCCCTATCGAAATTCAATGATGACAAGTGTGTTAAGAGACTCACTTGGCGGAAACTGCAAAACAACCATGATTGCTACTGTAGCTGTCGAAGATCCATTGATTGATGCAAGTATAAATTTTAATATCAAGTTATGAATGCCGCACATTCTAATTCACATTGAATCTAATGAATCCATGAATGATCAACATCATGATTGATAATATAGGAATCTATATCTACATGTAGATTTGCACAGCGCGTGGCATTGATTTCCAACAATGCAACTCTTAATGAAGAATTGGATCCTCAGTTAGTAATACAGCGGCTAAGGCAAGAAATTGCACGATTGAAAGCCGAGTTGGCAATTGCGCGTGGTGAAACTGGATTAGATGATGGCGAAACGCTTCCATCCTACGAGTTAGAAAGGTGGGTACATTTTTAATTTCGTTTACTTGACTGATAATGCAAAGACAACATTTACCCATGTTAACGTGCATGCATTCAGGGTAAAGCAAACTGTAGACGATTTTCTTGCCAACAACTCTACAGATGCAACAATTATCATGACAGATTTCCGAAAAATTCAGCATGCATTCAATATTTTGAAATCATACATCAAAGGGACAAACCAATCTTCCACTTTAAACAATTCAGTCTTGGATGTATCTTCTGCTACTAGAAATGAAATTTCAGAAATGAATTTAAAGGATATGACAATAAATGATCAAGGACTCAATGCCGAGCAGATCCAGCAGTTTGAAAAACTAAAAGTTTTAGTAGCACATCGCGACAATGAGATTAGTAAGTATAGTAATTTTCAACTAAATTTATTTTTCCATGCAAAATGTAATGCACTGATATCGATGTGCGCTTGACGTTAATAATGCATTGTGTTTAGATATTCTTGTGGGAATGATTGCTCAACTCAAGGCACAATTGGAAAAGTGTGGTAGTACGCCATCAATAAAGGAAAAAACCATCCAGAACCAATCCAGCACAGATACTACTTTGGAATGTCTAGGAACTCCAAAGCCAACCACTACAGGTACATTTATGCTTTTAACCCTGACATTGTTTAAAAATATAGAATTGCATTTGTTTAACCATGTTTTGTTTTTTACATTTTGAATCAATTTGAATACATTAGTACAATCCATGAGTAAACTGATGAACTCGAATCCAGATCTAGCATCCAGTATTCCAAGTTTATCGACAGAAAAGGCAAATGCGTTTGAGATTTTTCGACGCGAATACCCAGCTAGTGAGTGGATTGATGGACAAAAATCAGTTTTAAAAGAGAAATATGCAGAAGCAAAATCTCTTGGAGAGCATGCCAATACATTGCGAACGAACATTAGTAAGTATAAATGTAATGGATTGAGCCTATCTAGTTTGAATTTTTGTGAGAGGTATTAAAAGTTTCTTGTAGAATCAATGAAGGAGCAACTGGAGAATCCAATCAATGGAGATGCAGATACACTGCGTATACTTTTATCTGAAAATATAAAAAAGTACAAGCAAGCTTATCAACAATTAAAGGATCTCAAATTGGAGATTGAACATCTTCAGCATCTTTTAGAACAAGCTCGCCATCGCTTGACTCGTGATTTTGAGCATTGGTATATCAATGTATACTTTAGTGCAAGGACTTCATTTAGCTTAAAACAGGATTCTCCAGCAAGTATGAGCGAGTCTAAAAGTGTTAATTCCAGTATGTTTCAAAATGATGGACCCATGACAGCCCCTGCTGCAGGAGCTCTTGCAAGACAATCTCTAATGAGAGCATCGTTGACAGATGCGGCAGATTATGCTGTGGAAGCCAAATCCAAGCACAGTCCATCCCATCCATTACACGCTGAAAATAGACCATTTCAAACCAACGAAAATAGAAAGTTGCATCAAGTTTTATCATCAGAACAGCAAAAGACTAATGCAGATCGACCTCCTTCATCCATGTCCACCTCGACTATTTTAATTCCAGACAACACACAGAGTCGACCACAAGGACAGATTCAGCAACTCAAATCCGGACACTCTTTGGTGGATGTGCCGTCTAAATCAGCATGGAGTTTTCAAAACCATTTATTAACGCAATCGTATTCACCAGTAGAATATACAGACAAGCTAAACAGAGACTCGAGTCGTTCAAGAAACACGCCTATAGATCGACAGTCGATTTATTCACTAGAACGTCAAGCGATGAGCCTTGAAAGACCAGAGCAATCTAGAAATTCAAGCCGTCAGTCTAACCAAGACAACAGCATCTCGACATTGCCATTGTCCACTTTAGCACTTGATGAATGCAACGGAACAGCAGCTCGACATGCGGGAAAGCAAAGCTTTCGATTGAGAGATCCAGAACATGATGTGCAATACAAAAGGTCAATGCAACCCAGCCATGTATTGGGTGAGCAAGGTAACAGTGAGTATGTGTCTCTACTACAAGAGCGTCACAAGCAATCATTAAGGGATGAGCAGCATTGTAATAGAGACGGATTGCAGGATGACATTGCAGCATTCTACAGTGCTCGTCAAGGAGTAGCCGAGGCTTTCAAGACTGGATCCAGTCGCACTTGTATATCCACTCCACTCCAACCATCACATTCTCGATCACAACTCGAGTCTACTACATCCTCACCACTTGCAATGGTTTCTAGATCACAGTATAGATCGGACATGTAATAAATGATTCAGTATAAAGTCTTACAGTAAGATCAAACTAGAGTTTAAGAGCGATTCATTGGTAACGGATGTGACATGAGATGGACTTGCCAAGATCTCAAAATAAACCAGACGCTTAGATGAACATTCAACTCTAAAACCCTGCCACACACTACGGACACAATGGCTTGTAATCTTGCAGATCTCGCTCAACAATCTTGCAAATCTCAGATTCAAACGTCGATCAAATTTACGAGTTTTCCGGGTTTGGCTATCTGGAATCTCTACTCCAACATTTTCTTTCCTGATTTCTTTTATTCTACAAGAAACTCGTCAGTTATTCGTTATCTGAATTCTTTATCTTTTGTAGCTCCGCCTTATACATTGTGGGTTTGTTTCAAGTTGCCATCGTCGGGGTTTTTATTTTCTAATCTCCGCCCTCGTTGGATCTATCGCACTCATTTGCATTCAAATCGTATCTACTGTACGCACTTGCTTAATCCTCTACAGTCCACCACTGTTGCTATCCGTCCTTCTCTTCTTTTCTCTACTCGAATGAAGAGCTTCCTTAGCAAAGTCAAGACCGTTTTCGGTAAAAAACATCGAGATGGCCCTACATCACCAACTACTGCTCTTGCCGCCTCTGTAGTTGCTCCTGCTCACCCCAGTAACCACTCATTACCCACTGTTGCATTGGATGCTGATACTGCTCCAAAAACTGGTGATGTTTCTTGCGCTGTTGACTCCACATCTGCCGTGCTGGATTCCGCTACTGCTACCCCGGCTGCTGCAGTCGAATCTATCAAGGCTGCTGTTGCAGATGTTAAGATTCCAGGCATGGAAACCAAGCCTGAAGGCGAAAGCAAATCTATTGTTGCCGATATAATTGCAGCTCCAGAAAAGGCAGTCGAATCTATCAAGGCTGCTGTTGCAGATGTCAAGATTCCAGGTATGGGAGCTAAACCCGAAGGTGAAAGCAAATCTATTGTTGCCGATATAATTGCAGCTCCAGAAAAGACAGTCGAATCTATCAAGGCTGCTGTTGCAGATGTCAAGATTCCAGGTATGGAAACCAAGCCTGAAGGCGAAAATAAATCTGTTATTGCTGGACTTGGTGTTGCAGCAGCTGCAACTGCGACTGCTGCAGCGGCAGCTGTTGGTATGGGAGCTAAACCCGAAGGTGAAAGCAAATCTATTGTTGCCGATATAATGGCAGCTCCAGAAAAAGCAGTCGAATCTATCAAGGCTGCTGTTGCAGATGTCAAGATTCCAGGTATGGAAGCCAAGCCTGAAGGCGAAAGCAAATCTATTGTTGCCGATATAATTGCAGCTCCAGAAAAGACAGTCGAATCTATCAAGGCTGCTGTTGCAGATGTCAAGATTCCAGGTATGGAAACCAAGCCTGAAGGCGAAAATAAATCTGTTATTGCTGGACTTGGTGTTGCAGCTGCTGCAACTGCGACTGCTGCAGCGGCAGCTGTTGGTATGGGAGCTAAACCCGAAGGTGAAAGCAAATCTATTGTTGCCGATATAATGGCAGCTCCAGAAAAGACAGTCGAATCTATCAAGGCTGCTGTTGCAGATGTCAAGATTCCAGGCATGGAAGCCAAGCCTGAAGGCGAAAGTAAATCTATTGTTACCGATATAATTGCAGCTCCAGAAAAGGCAGTCGAATCTATCAAGGCTGCTGTTGCAGATGTCAAGATTCCAGGTATGGAAGCCAAGCCTGAAGGTGAAAGCAAATCTATTGTTGCCGATATAATTGCAGCTCCAGAAAAGACAGTCGAATCTATCAAGGCTGCTGTTGCAGATGTCAAGATTCCAGGTATGGGAGCCAAGCCTGAAGGCGAAAGCAAATCTATTGTTGCCGATATAATTGCAGCTCCAGAAAAGACAGTCGAATCTATCAAGGCTGCTGTTGCAGATGTTAAGATTCCAGGCATGGAAACCAAGCCTGAAGGTGAAAGCAAATCTATTGTTGCCGATATAATTGCAGCTCCAGAAAAGACAGTCGAATCTATCAAGGCTGCTGTTGCATATGTCAAGATTCCAGGCATGGGAGCTAAACCCGAAGGTGAAAATAAATCTGTTATTGCTGGACTTGGTGTTGCAGCAGCTGCAACTGCGACTGCTGCAGCGGCAGCTATTGGTGTTGCAATCCCTGGTATGAAAAAAGAATCAACCGAAACTGTTGTATCTGCAGCTGCTGAGACTGGCGTAGAACCTGCATTAGCAAGTTCAAAAGCTGCTGCCACTTTGGATGCATTAAAACCTCCAGTTGCAAAAAAGATTCCAATTCAGGTATATTAATTTAATTTGCTTTCAAGTATTTGATGTGTAGCAGCGACATGTATTTAGATATTTATCAATTGACCATCTCATTTTATAATTAAACTATCCAATGATTAGCATGAATATCATGGAGTTAAATATAGCGATGATTATCACTGGCTTAAAGACCAGTCTCCCAAAAACAAGAAACCAGAAATTATTGAGTATTTAGAGGCTGAAAACGCTTACTCTAAAGCTTTCCATTACGATAAAACCAAATCTTTGAGTGAGACTCTGTACAAAGAGATGATTGCCAAGATCAACGAAAATGATTCCTCTGTTCCTGTTTACAAAGCACCCTATAGCTATTATAGTCAAGTTGTTCAAGGCCAGCAGTATCGTATCTTTTTGCGTAAGAAGGATACTGCTGATGCTGTCGAAGAGGTTTATCTTGACCAGAACAAACTTGAATTTGAATATCAGTTTATGGGTGATGTTTCCGTAAGCCCTGATCACAAGGTAATCACCATATACTTTCTAATTGTATATATCAGAAATACAGTGCTCTGTATTGGAAGCGTTGTCTGATTTGAAGCGCTTGCCGTAATGATCTAACAGTATTTATTTGGTTATCACAGACCCTTGCCTATGCACTTGACACTACTGGCAGTGAGCACTATACTATTTTCTTCAAGGATCTCGAGACCGGAAAGGCTCTCACGTCTGAAACTCTTGAAGGAAAGTTTGGTTCTTCCATTGAGTGGGCCAATGATAGCAAGACTGTTTATTTGACAACTCTGGATGATATCGATCGAGCGTAAGTATCTTTATATCTCAAGCTCATCTTTGTATAGATGCATTTTCATGATTGCTGATTGTTATTGCTTGAAAACGCGATTTTCAGTGCCAATGTTGTAGCATTTACGGTCGGTGCTGCGTCCAAAATCCCTCGCTTGGTGTTCCACGAACCCGATTCCAAGTTTAATGTTGGCATATCCAAAACTACGCGTTACCTGTTTATCTATGCTGTTTCTGGAGTGACTTCTGAAGTAAGCTACATCGATCTTACCAAGGAGGGGTCTGCGCTAAAGACTTTTATGCCTAGAGTGAACAAACACAAGTACATTATTGCCGATCATGGGGAATATTTTGTTATCATGACGAATATGGGTGGAAAGTGTCTCAACAACACGCTAATGGTCTGCCACGAGAGTAACACAGATGCATCTGCATGGACTGAACTGACGCCTTATGATCCTTTCCGTAACATCCAAGATGTGTTATTGTTTAAGGATTACTTGGTCATTCGAGCCATTGTGGGCGGCTTTGAGAAGATCATTGTTACACCTATTGCCAACGGAAAACTGACAGGAAAACTGGACCCCATTGCTATTGAGCATGCCTTGTATACTGCAAACTTGCACTCATTGTCCCATCAAAATACAAAATCCAACACTGTTAGATACGAAATATCTACCCCGCTTATTCCTAGCCAAGTATGGGAGTTTGATATGGCGACTGGTACAAGCACCCAGCTCAAGGAAGTCAAGGTTCCTGGTGAATTTGATTCTTCGTTGTACACTCTTGAGCGTATCTATGTTCCTATTCCTGAGACTACCAAGACAGAAGCGCCTTTTAACACTCCTACACCCGAAACTATTCCTGTATCGATCATGTACCGCAAGGACCTGTTCAAAAAGGATGGTACCAACCCTTTGCATTTGTATGGATATGGTAGTTATGGTATTTCGATTCCTACTGCATACAGTGCTATTCAATTCCCGATTCTTGACCGTGGCTATGTCTATGCGATTGCTCATATCCGCGGTGGTGGTTCTTGCGGCAAGGCATGGTACGAGACGGGTAAATTCAAGAGCAAGCGAAATACGTTTACAGATTTTATTGCATGCAGCCAAGAACTGGTTAAACTTCAGTACACTCAGCACGAGCTCATGTCGATTGAAGGGCGTTCTGCTGGAGGATTGTTGATGGGGGCAGTGGTGAATATGAAGCCAGACATTGCGCATGTTGTGATTGCAGGTGTTCCTTTTGTTGATGTCATCAATACCATGATGGATCCTACGATTCCGTTGACGATCAATGAGTATGAGGAGTGGGGTAACCCTAACGACAAGGAATACTTTGAGTATATGCGTTCTTATTCACCCTATGACAACATTCCTTCTGACAAGCAGTTCCCGAATATACTGGTTAAAGCAGGATTGAATGATCCTCGTGTTGCATACTGGGAGCCAGCGAAATGGGTAGCCAAGATGCGTGCGCTTGATGTATGCCGCGGCAAGACTCAGATTCTGCTTCACTGCACGATGGGAGCGGGACATTTTGGAGTTTCTGGTCGCTATGCACGATACATGGAAGTTGCCAGTGATTTTGCATTCCTTGTGGAATGTATGGATACTCAGCGTCGAGCCAAGGGGCTTTTAGCTTAAAGCATGTTAAGCGATGTGGAAGCATTTAGAATGACTTGATGGTGCTCTTGCTGTACTAGTCGATCTAGATGGTTCACTTGAACACCTGGTCTCACCTGCTTTCGCTGAGTTTGTCATGTTCTCGTTTTTTTTACTTGTCCTAAACTAACTGTTCCAATCTGCTTTTTCTACCTTTGCTCTCAAAAAACACGTTTTTTGATCGAGTGCTGTTTATTAAAAGATTGAGAATAAACCAAGAACAAGAACATCAAATTATATGCGAAAGGAATTTTAAAATCAATACACCAAGACAGGTTATAGCCTGATAATTTCAGATGAATCCACATCGGTCGATCTATTTGATGCGATGGGAGAGGTTGATGAGGCAGAAGCCAAGGGTGCAGTCAAAGGGGTACGAGTTAATGGACGTATTACGATGGAAGTATCCTGTAATACTCTTGGAACCAGTGAAGACAGTGAGGGTATGGCAGTAGGTAGAATCTGACCAGGGATCAGACCGGCAACGGGAGTGATGGGGGGAGTTGCAGAGGGTAGTCTTGGATGTTGCATACCATATACAGAGAGTGAATTCAAAGGGTCAGTTTCTCTTGGTTGGGTAGAGGGAGAAGTAGCAGAAGGCAATCTGGCAAGAGTGGAAGGATTTGCAGTTGAGGTGGTAGCATTTGCTCTATCAGCGCGTTCAGCGCGAACAATGGCTTCGATCAACACAGCAAAGACTTGATCTTCAAGAGCCATGGAACGTGATCTACCTATATCTAGACGATTAAAAGGTAAAAAGGGGGGATCAGATGGAGAGAGGAAGGTCGATATGTTTTGACTGGTAGTGTTGGTAGCTGGTGCAGAGCGTGATGGGGAAGTTGGGGACACATTACGCATAGCAGCATGACGAACTGTAGATTCAGCAGAGCTGAAAGTTGGTACTTGTACATATGGACGCGGAGGAGGTCTATCAGATATGGACACGTCTATAATATTGAGATGAGATTTCTAGTGGATAAAAGACTAATAAAAAAAGACTTACCTCTCAAGAAGGAAGTGACAGAGCCAGAAAAAGAACGAGCAGGTTGTGAATTTAAAGCAGTCGAATCATGAGAAGTGGGATCCAAGCCTCGACGAGATGTAGCAGCCACTCGAGCCAATTCGCGATTAGAATGCATTTGTTGAGTTCTGGATAACCAAGGTGATTGCAAACCTTGTAAGATTTCATCATCAGACCAACGATTTCCAAAGTAAGGCAATGCAAACAACTGTTGTTGATGTGGGGATAGAGTTGACCATAATAATTCAGTGATGGCTTCTTTAGCAGACATGGTCATGCGACCGAGTAATAGATGAATATACATTTTAAAGTCGACCACGGTGAGATTTCGAGTTTCAGATAAGAGATGACGAATGGAAGTTAGATTATGAGGAGGAGGTGAGTAGATGGGATGGTTGGAGTTGTCAGACCAGATGTGAGTAGGAAAGGATTCGGATCCCGATAGGGATCCTTGTTGAAAACTTTGGGATCCCTCTTGGGATCCCTCTTGAAAACCCAGTTGGGAACCTTGTTGAAAACCTTGTTGAAAACCTGGTTGGGTTCCCTCTCGGGAACCTTGTTGGGAACCAGTTGGTAATACAGACTCGCTATGCGAGTCTAAAGAATCGTAAACCGACGTAACCCAATCCAACACAAACGGACGACCCATTTCTTGTCAACTTTTTAATTTTTACAAAATTCTCTTGTTGATTCTTAAAAACTCATTTTTAGAGTGGCCCCAGTGCCACATACTGCAATCCAATCTCCACCCCATTTCATTCCTTATTCATCTCGCTCTACATTTCACTTTTCATGATTTCTAGAAATTCTTTCAATACGCGACTTTCCCAAACACATTTCTTCTGTTGCTATTCAATAGAATATCCTATTCTTCTTACTCACAGGATTGACTCCATTTTCTGTTAGAGTCTTGTTTTACATTCTTGACTCTTTCATAGCAATATGGGCATCATTTGTTGTAAAGAAGAGCGCTTTGATCTGAATGCTGAAGGTGTGTTGACCTTGTTTTATATCAACTCTAGATATGTGTTACTGCTATGCTCAACTATAGTCTTGCATTGGATCATCACAAGCTGCTTGCATTCACGTTTTATCAAACTGTCTCGTTTCAATCGCATCCTTCGTGCTGATTCATATTCACTACATGATTTAATACCATTCGTCTGCTCTTACATCGTGCTCGAATCCATCTGCATGTTCTCTTCTATTGACATCTACAAGCCCTTGTAGCTTGTCATGTTGTCGAGCTTCTGCATATTTCACTCAATTCTTGTCAACTCTTTTGTGCTCTTCTCAAATATTCCTTGTTTCAAACTGCTTGACTTCGTACTTGGTCCATCACTTCAATGTGTTGTGTAAATCAAAAAAACTCTACTGCATTCACTTGTTATGTCTTGATATTCTAAACCTTGTCATCTGGCTCATCGCATATTAAACTTGTCTTTTCTATTCATCAAATCTCATTGACATCAACTATATAACAATAGTCGAACTGCAGCATTTTAATCTACTTCGCTCTGTAGGAAAAGGTGCTTTTGGAAAGGTACTTGGCTCATATCTTTTAATAACTGTCTAATGTCATATTAAATCCTTGTTCTCAACATTTGTTTGTCCTTGATGTTGGTTTTTAGGTCCGAGTAGTACAACACAAGGGTTCAAAAAATATTTATGCGTTAAAGTATATCGACAAGGCAAAATGCATTCAGATGCGAGCTGTTGAAAATATCATTCAAGAACGTCGGCTTTTAGAGGAAATCGAAAGCAACTTTATTTGGTAACTAGATGTTTGTCAAACTATCCCTTTGTGCTATGCATAAGTTGACTCTTTGCTATACACAAAGCAATATGCGATATGCCTTTCAGGACGATGAAAACTTGTTTATGGTGATTGATTTGATGTTGGGCGGTGATCTTCGCTTCCACTTGGATCGTATGGGTGTATTTAAAGAAGACATGATTCGACTTTATACTGCAGAAATCGCTTGTGGTTTGGCATACCTTCATAGTAAAAATATTGTTCAGAGATTTGAAGCCTGATAACAGTAAGTAGAGCTTCTAGACCCATCGCGTTTGTATTCCACATAAATCGTGTCCTGTAGACTCATTGCTAATGTGTGCGTACATACTTGATCATAGTTCTTCTCAATGAGACTGGCCATGCACATTTGACAGACTTTAATATTGCCGTAAGATTTAGAGACGATAAGCCATTGACAGCTGTTGCTGGAAGCATGGCATATATGGGTATGTTGAAGGTTTGGAATCATCGCTTGTTGATATCGGTGACTACGCCAAGCACCTTGTAGAGTACTGCCATGTTTTTACTAATACTACGACCAACTGAATTTTGATCATAGCTCCCGAGGTGCTTAGCAAAAAGGGTTATTTTTCAAGTGTGGACTGGTGGAGTTTGGGTGTAATTATATTTGAGTTGGCAATTGGAAAGGTATTCTTTTATATAGTCAACATGACTGGTCCTTTTGACTTTGTATATTTACTAACTGCAATACATTATTGGTAGCGTCCCTTTCGAGCAAAGACAAATGAAGGCCTTACATATGCCATCATGCACGAAGATTTGGCATTTAGCTCACATGGCGATTGTCTGAATCCGGATCTAATAGATGCTATTCGGCAATTTGTATGTCGTGATATCCGCCAAAGAATGGGAACAAAAGATGCAGGAGGAATGGAAAAATTGCGCCAACATCCTTTTTTCAGCATCCTCAACTGGGAACAAGTTGAAACCAAAACCTATCCTGCGCCGTTTGTTCCTGATGTAGGTTTTATTTGCACATGTCAAGATGTATACATGTCGGTGATGCTCATCTATACGTTTTTTAGTCAAAACGAGCCAATTTTGATGCAACGCACGAGTTGGAGGAACTACTACTTGAAGATCGGCCGCTCAAGGCAAAACCACGCAAAAAGAAGAAGAAGCATCTTGAAAATGGAGAGCCAGAAACGTCTGTTGCAAAAGATATGCGTATTATGGAGGAAAAGTTTACCGTTTATGATTTTACCAAAATTCGAAAAGGAGATTCCAATTTCAAGAATGGCATGATGGGTGATGCCCAAGATCCCTATGAAGGAAAAGATCACATCATACAAGTGACCGACAGTATGAATCCAGCCACGCCTATACAAGTAAACCTGCCATGACAAAAGCAGCAAAGTACTATATTGAATACTTTTCCTTGTACGGTACTATGGCTTGCATGTTGATGTTTTACTTGTGAAAGAAGCATGTGAAATGCCCGTGGTTTCATAACAGTGGTCTTGCAGATGGTTTCTGTGACACAACTGTCCTGTGTGGCTCTTTACAGACCTAGTTTATTTTCATTGTACCGTTCAATTTCTAGAAACTTCCTTTCTTGATTGGATTTACTTTCGTATTCTTTTTACTTTCCGACTCACTTGTTTCTGGTATGCTATCTCGACTTTAGATTTGTCTTTACTGGCAACTATTTTTATAATTTGACATTCTGACCATTTTTCTACTATTTTACCTTTTAAAGTATCTGGAACATTCGATGTATCTTTTTCATCTGGCTCATCACTAACGCTACAACCTGGCTTTGGCACTGGTTAAATTTACTACTGAATGAATCCAGATTTGATTGTATTTTTTTGATTTGAATAATATTTTGATTATGCGGGTGTTTGAGGTTAAAGAACAACACGTTGCATTTCACAAGAATCCAATCTGCGCCTACAAAACGATGAGCTCGAACATTTGACGAGAGTTAAAAAACGTTGCCCAGCTTTGCTTGATGAATTCATCTAAAGCAGCCAAGCCAACGCAACCCAAACAAATCCGATGCTGCAATCGGGGCTTAAAAGCCATTCAGGTTGCTACAGCCAGCAGTATTCTTTTAGTTCTTGTGCTCTGGGTTGGTCTTTTCCAGTTTATATTGCCTTTTATTTACAATGAAGATAATCTTGGAACAGGCGAACACTACGTATCTGCTGTTGAACAACTCACTTTCAGAGAAATTCATGGATTGGAAAGTGCATCAGTAAACAACAGCATTGCTAGTCATTCCACTCCTTTTCAGTCCATGAATGCTACTCAGCAAGCAACCTACATGGATAGCATTCTTGCTGCATTGGCATCTGACGCACGACAAATCCTTAATGTCAAAAAACTGGAATCTGCCGTCTGTGACAGCACTCCCGACTCCATTGCATTGTTTTTAAACCATCGTTATAATATGTTGCTTCCTTCTGCTTCATATCAGTCACGACACCCTACCAATGCTCCAAATAACTCGACTGGAAGTTATTTTGTAGACCATCAACGATACTTTGTAGCACTCAATTTTCATAATAGTCAAAAGGTATTTAATGGTCTCAGATAGTCTGCCATGGTCGAGTCTTTGCTTATCAAGAGTATGTCATGTTGCTTGAATTAGGTGTTGCCAACTATTTTTCGAGAGCTGTTGAAATTGGCAGATTTTCTTGGGCCGGATCGCATTTTTATTTCTATTTTTGAAAATGGCTCAACAGACCAGGCAAGTATTAAATTAGATTCAGTTTTTGTATCGACAGAGCAACATGCGTGTTGATATTCATTTATTGTAATTAGACAAAAAAACTGTTGCAGTTGTTTCAAACCCTTCTTGATCACTTGAATATTCCATCGTCCATTATTCTATCAGATGAAAAATCAGACTATGAACATATGAATCGGATCGAAGTGTTGGCTGAATACCGCAATCGTGCTCTAGAACCCATGTTTACTCAGAAATTATACTATAACCATGTTATTTTTATAAATGATGGTAAATACTGCTTGACTGGGCTGTTTTTATTGGATTGATATGAACGCTATACCGACTGATCCTCATTCGCTCGTGAATTGTAATGTATTCAGTGTTTCATTGCTTGGATGACACTCTCGAACTCATGTATCAAACTCACGTTCAACAAGCTGATATGACATGTGGTTTTGACTACTGGATACGACCCGACAAGTTTTATGATACATGGGTAGCACGAACCTTGAGCGGAAACATGGTACGAGAGTATTTCTATCAAGGATCGTTTGCATATGATCCAGCTTCGCGATCACGTTATGAACTCGGACTTCCCATCTCGGTAAATAAAGCATGGTTTGAAACAATCGAGAATAGCCAAGTGGACTAACATGTATTCATTGAAACTAGGCGTTCTCGTGCTGGAATGGCATGACGGTCTTGAATAGCGATCCATTTTATAAACACAATGTGCGGTTTCGAAGAAGTGATGTGGATCAGGGAGAATGCTCGGCATCTGAATGTCAGCTCCTGGCCAAAGATTTCTGGACAAATGGATTTGGTAAGATGAACCATTTTGAAAAAAAGTACACGCACCCTCCAACATTACTCTAATAGGCATGGGTGATCAAGACTAACTGGTGATTTTTAATATTGCTTGATGCTAGGCAAGGTGTTGATGGTACCGCAGGTCCGAGTTGTTTATGATTTGTGGTTGCATGCATCGGTTCGTGCAAAGCGATTTGAACTTATTCAAATAGGTCAGAATCTTGGCAACAATCCAAAGTATATGGATCTAGACGGCACAGCAAACGCTAGGCGCAAGCGTATTTCTCTGAAAATGGGTCTAAATGAATTCGGAGGACGATCGCTTGATTTGAAATGGTGGAATCGCATGATGTGGCTTGGATGGACGCATGAGCCTGCTTGGGTTGCAGGCCAAGTAAGCGAAGAGGTTGTTTGGAACTATCCAGGACCAGAAAAAGTCATTTGCTTTGGATTAGATGGAGTCAATAATCCAAATGCCGACTGGGAAAATCCAGTGTTTGAAACTGTTGAATACAAGGTTGGGTTGTAACTTGGAAATAATAAAATCTTTTATTTATAATGTGCCGAATAGTTTCTACATTTATTCGAAGCAACCAGATAGTTTGAATTATAGCTACCAACATGCGAGATCGGTTTCTCGGCTGCTGTTGAAATATTATTATTTTTTGATGATCAGCTGCATGGATCAGTCAGGTTCATATTAGATTTTATCCACATTCCACAGCTGTATTCGCGCACTAGGATTTCATTGAAATAAACGATGCAATAGTGATTGATGATATCAATTCAATTTGATTGGAACAAGGAGACTAAAAAGATACAACGATGCAGCACGAAATAAGTTTAAATTTTTATTTTGTACCCAGTTCAACAACAGTCTCAAAGTACATAGTCCATTTCGCGACGTTCGTACTTATTTCGCTTATCGTCATCAATACGTGGATACATGGGAATCAATGCATCTTGTGAGCCAATATACAGTGAATTGTAGATTTTCCAATAGATTTCACGAACACGCCGTGCTGGGTGGAACATTCCTTGAAGTGTGTAGTGCAGTAAAATGCCTGGTCCAAGAGCCACGCGTAAGCCATCAATCGCATCCATGACAGCATTGATAACATGCGGTGAAGTCTACAAATCAAATAAACAAAATCAGTAACCAAGTGTATGTGTTAAAGTGGCAAACCAATGCATTATAAATAGTAATCACCTCGAAAATATTGGGCCAAACCAGATTGAGCAAATGAATCAGTGCATCTTCACATCCAAGACCAGCAACACCCAGACTGATGTGTTTGACAGTAGCGCATGCTGTTTGGCGATGCACCAAATCGCGATCCATCAATGCGTCTTCTAAAAGTGGTGTCACAGCGTATATATAGTCTTTGCCCATCTCGCCAATATATTCAAACAAGAACGACATGGATTTAAGAACACCATTTTGCACATTGAGCTCTGGCAGTCGATATTCGTTCATTAAAGCTGGTAAGACCGTGAATGGCGCACATGTTTCCGCTACAATCGCTATTGCTACAGTGGTACACACACGATTCTGTCGCTCTTGCACTTTAAGATTGTTAAGCAAGGTGGCTAGCACGTCTTGGGGGCCAATGGCTTTAGCAATGTATCCAAATGTGTTGACGGTAGCTCGGCGAATACCCTTTTTATGTGCCTTGAGCATATCAAGAAGCTCAAAACAGATTCGCATCCACTCACGAGCAGATACGAATTCGGCACCACGGTCAGCAATACGACCAACAAGATCGATGCAGTTTTCCTGCACCTTTTCATGTCGGTTTTTGAGAATAGGAGTCAGTCGAGGCAATAAATCTTTGATTGGGGGTGTCATGCTGCTCATACCAATCACATTAACAATGGATTTGAGTGCTTTGAGTATGGAGCCCAATACTTCGGGATACTCTTCACCCAAATACTCGTACAAAACAACACCAAGCTGGCCCATCAATTTCTCCTCTCCACAAGTACGCATTACAATTGCAATACGTGAGATCAAATCAGCAGCCTGCTGTCGCACTTTGGCGCTCTTGTTGTTCAGCCTCCACAATACAGTAGAACAGATCTGGGGAAGATATGGCTTTACACGTAGACCGAGTGAATTGACTACAGTGCCAAACCCATTCAGCATGACGACATCCTCCATAGTTTGCTCTTGAAACGCATACAGGATACCATCAATCAGCACTTCCTCAAGTCGGTCGTCAATGTCAGCTGTGCCAAGAGTTTGTACCACACTGTCAATAGTTTCCATCACCATCTTACGATACGCCTCTGATTCGTCCTTGAGCCCTTCAACAATATGTCCAATAATTTCAGTCACGCCAACCTTTTGAGCAATCTCAACCGTTGTTTCCACCAGCTGCTTGTAATTGCGTCGATCCAGCGCCATGCGACGTACCCAGAAATTTCGGAAAAATTCTGGTAGAATTTCTGTTTTGATATATGCTGGATCCACACCATCTGTTCCAACACATTGCTTGACAACCTTGAGTACAATCTTTTTCATCTCTTCATCTGGAGAAGAAAACTCGGCAATAAGTGTTGGTACAATTCCTTTGGTGTACTCGTTAGCATAGCGTTCATCCATCAGAGGAATAATGTATCCAATGGCCTTCAAGAACGCTGCGCGACCCTTTCCTCTATGTTTTTTTACACCATCCCAAAGAGGTTGGATCACAGAGTCAAAAGATTCAATACCATATGGAGTTGCAGCCTCAGCCAGAGCTGCAATGGCCAACGCTGCAATTGTTTTGACTTTTTGCTGTTCATCTTCCAGCCCACGACCAATAGCTTCTACCAGATTGCGCAGATGTGGAAGAATGGCACAGCCAAGAAGAATGGCAATTTGCTGAACAATTTTTGTGCCAGTATGTCGTGCCTGCCATGACTTTTTTGAGTGACAGACGGCTTTGAGAAAGGGAAGAAGAGCATGTATTCCCAATGCAGATGCCACAACTGAAAATGCACGAGCAGTGGTATTACGAACATATTCATCCACATGATCGATATCGGGTCGCATTGTAGCAATCATGGTAGCAAGACCAGCAGCCTTGCTCATGTTACTAATGATTTCGCGACCTTCTACACGTGCATAGTAATCTTCGTCAATCAGCAAAGGTTCAATCACCACAAGAATCTTGTGCACATAGGGTCGAACCAAATCATCAAGTTTGTATAGCACACGATCAATAACTTTGACAAGCAAATGGCGCTCTTGATCTTCAAGTGATGGTGACATGAGCAGAGGTAAAATTTGATTAAACAGAGGACCTGCACCAAACTCGCGAGCCTTGTCTGTAATTTGGCGAAGAGATGCTTTACGGATTGGTGGAGTACCATTTTTGATTTTGAGCAAAAGTCGCATGATACGGCGCTCTTTGACTTCCTCGCTAGATAATTCAGAATCGTCCTTTTTGTCCAGCAATTTTGCAAAATGCTGCATATCCTCTGCCTTGAAGAATTGAAGACCGACCATACCAGGAATTTCAGGAGGCAACTCATTGCGAAGCGAGTTGTCTTCTTCCTGCATCATAAAACCTCCAGATCCTGCCATGGGGGTTGGAGTAGCCATGAGTTTTCTAGCGGGAGTTCGAATAGGAACATATGATACTGGAACATCCAAAACCACATACCCTTCAGTAGGCAAAATGGCATCAATGTCCTCATCTGTCAAGTATCTGTTGCGTTGCTCGATTTCTTTTTCCCAACGCATGGAATTCATTGCTTCGGGAGTCATGGGTACAAACACCTGACTGGCAGTTGGTGTCATCATACCACTATTTCCAACAGGAGTAGCACCAAATTGAGTCGAATTAACCGGAGTTTGATCCCATCTAGATCGTTTATCAGCAGTGGGAGTCGCATCAAAGTTTGAAGTAGTTGATTCACCTGTCGAAGCATTAACAGGAGTTTCATCCCAGCGATTGCGCTTACGAGGCACAGCTACAGTCGAGTCATTAGAAGCCGCGACGGGAGTTTCATCCCATCGCTGAGAAGACACGGATGCAGCAGTGGTTCCGCTCATTGCATCTTTAGATTTTTCATCGTCCTCCCATTCTGAACTTGAAGTAACGGGAGTAGGTTGATCCCATCTTCTGCGACGCCGTGGTTCAGGCCGAGTGGATTCATCCTTACTGGAATGAACAGTAGTATCCATAGATTGATCTTTAGATGCAGCATCTGCGGCAAGACGAGTGCGCATCTCGGACTCTTCCTTTTGTTTTTCATGGATCTTGCGCAGTGTCTGTTCACGCTCTCGATCAAGCTCGTTGTCACGCATGACTTCAACATAAGAGCGAGAAGATCCAGTTCCAGAGCCATTGCTGGTATCAGCAATGGAAGTAGGTGCAGTTTTTGAGGTAGCAGCAAATGCATCTACTCGTTCAGGCGATAATTGCCGATTAAGTCTTTGTGCTCTATACTTGTCCTCTCTATCAATAATACGGCGGGATTGAACACCAGCCATCAGAGGATCGACGGTATCTGACTCAGCACCAAGAACATCTGCATACGCTTCCTTTGGTGCAGTGTATGAAGACAGCTTTTTTTGTCCTGCATTAGCCATTGAATCAACGTCATCATCGGCAAGGTCGCCCATGGGAAGAGAATCCAGATAAGCATCAGCATCAGGATTTGTGCCGTATATATCCGAATCATATAAAGCATCGTTTGTAGCAGAGCGACGGGACTTCAATTGCTGGTTCTTACGTCTTTCTTGTGCAGCTCTAATCTCAGCATCCAGATCTAATGTCAGCATCAATGATGAATAGTTAGCATGGAAAACAACAACAAAATAGCTGATTTTCATCAAACAAAAACCTCTGCCGAGTCTGTCAGCAGCAATCGCCAATTCACCTTCATGCTCATTGCTGCTCATCTTGCTGTTTGTTGCGATGAGTGCAACTCGATGTTTGTCAAATAGTGAATGCAGTAACACGTGAAACCCCGTGACATTTACATCACTTTTGTCAGTGCTTTCTTTTTGGGTTTTTTATGGCTCCGCAACTAGCGTATGCCTGTCATGATCCATTGACTGGAATTCATGCCGATACCGATCCTTACTTGGACAAAATCGGCGGTATTCCTGTTCTTCCGTCTCTACTATCGAATCCTGAGCTTTTTTCATTTCTTGTTTGTCCAAATCATCACCCTTTGCTTCTCATTGCACAACTTTGGGCAAAATCAACCTCACATTACGATCGCTTTCTTTACATCTTTGGTTGTAACAATGTGCATTGCTCTTCAAATTCATCTAGGTATATACTGTTGTGGATTAAATTCGAGTCAAATGTTGGCGATGCTAAACTTTAATTTATGCACTCTAGCTGGAAAGTATTTCGGTGCATTAGGCCGGCTGCACCTGTAGCCAATCTTGCATTAAAACAAGATACTTTTAAAAAAGAAATTCCAGCTATACCATCAACTCACAAGTCTTCATTTAATTTTGGATCGGACTCCATAAATCAATGGGATGATGAGAATGAACCAGATCCAGTAGCTACTGTTACGACGCCAGCCTTCGAGTCCATTTCAACCACAAAATCAGATTCAAACCTATTCAACTCACAGAAAGAATCAGTATTGGTAGATATGCTGGCTCTACTCAAACTACGAAACGAAAACTACATCAAACCACATTCATCACATCAATCTCCAATTGTAGATGCGAATGTACTTGATATGACTATGGAGCATACAGATTCAATCACGCCATATTGTCCAATTCCACAATCTATGCAAGATGCTGCCTTTCCTGCCTTTTCATTAGAGTTTGATACAGAGCCGAATCAGTCTGAATTGTTTGATCATGAACTGCGTCTACTACAGGAATACCAAAGCACAAACCCCTCTGACGCTGCATGTTTGGCTCGTTTTACCAACCAAAAGTCTGATCTTTTATCGAAAAAAAACCCTGCACGGGATGAAAGCAGTCATAGTTCTGCTTTGGACGAATGGGCTGGTGAGCAATACGAATCTATGGGTCTGGGAGTGGATAAGTTATTTAAACGATTTCAACGCACAGTAGCCATGGCTCCAGAGCAATGCATCAGGTAAATGGCATGTCGTGTAGGATCAATTGAATTTAAATAGTTTAACATTTTTAAAAACTGAAATTTTAATGGAAACTCATGTGCGTACTAGATACGAGTTTAAAGGATCTCCATTGTGGTACCAGATGGATACAGTACAATCGCAGATCTCATCTAATCACATCCCTTTATGCGAGAAATGTGGAGGCAACCGAGTTTTTGAGTGTCAACTCATGCCAAATATTCTTAGCATACTTTCTGTAGATACCCATCAGTCAGTTGTCAATACTACTCATGGTTCTAATGAAACATCCAAAGAACTTTATGCAAAACTTGGACTGGGAATGGACTATGGATCGGTCTACATTTTTGTATGTGAAAATGACTGTGATGGTTCCAATTCAAGTACTGATGGTAAAAAGTATACGCTTGTGTCTGAATACGTAGTGGTGCAAGCCGACACCACAATGAAGATGTAAAGATTTGAATCCTGAAACTATCGATTCGTGATTTTCACGGCCATATTGATGTAAAACGGAGCATTAAAAGTGCCAAATATAATAAACCAATCTCATGCAATGACAGTTTACTGAAAAACACTGTTTTGAATTGACTAGTTTCCTGATAATTGACATGAAAACTTTCAATATTTAGCCAATTTATTACAAAATAGTGATAATTACTGCAAAATAAATATTTCGTTTTATGTGAATAAAACTGTCATTTTAGTTTTCAAATCTCAGTAAAATGCCAATTCATCGAGCGTACATATATCCAAAAACACTATCAACGGCCATTCGATCATCCATTGCAGCTACTTCATTGACCACTACTAATAATATAATTAATTCCTGGATAGCATTGAATCACAAGACATGTCGACTCTATGCATATCGTACTGTGTCTTCCTATCATTCCAGCATATTTGCACCAGCCTTTACTAAACCATCCAACAGAATCGTTGATTATGATGATGAGGAGGATGAAGAAGAGGTGATTTCTTGTACCAAAGTTAAACCGGATATTTGTTTTCTTGATGCATCTGAACTGCCATCAACATGTAAGGACATGCTTTGCATTGGTGTTTGATCTGATACCGACTTCAACCGGTCCATCTCATAGATTGCAAAACACTCATTTATAATTCATATATTAATAGTAAAATCAAATCCAGAATCACTAGCTTTTGACATTCCGAGCAGTCCAGAAATGCTGCAGTTTCAAAAATATCTTGAATCTCGTCAACAATACGATTTCGATCGTTTCGTTATTACTTTTAAAGATATGATTGCTCAGCCATTAACACATCAAGATATTGTTTACATGAACAAGACTGCTATTCCACGCATGATTTTTTTTCTTGAAAATTTCCATACAGTAAGATTTTCTGAGCGATGCACCTTCTTGATTGACTCATTCGGGGCAATGGGAAAGATCTTTTCCATCGAGTACACGGACAGTATTCAGCAGACGATGATCGAGTTGATATCGCGTGCTGTTGAAACTGGTAAAGATCTAATTGATTTGGCAAAACAATTAAACCAGGCTCGAATCCCCATTTCTAGTGAAACGTGGAATCATTTGATTTCCAAAATAGATAAAGTGGTTTTAGGCGATGATGACATGATTCAAATACTCAATGAGCTAATTATGATGCCCAACAATTCATATGGATTACGGATGCATATCAATTCCTTCAAGTACATGACCAATCCAAACTTATTTGATACGTACATGTCACTGTTTGATCGGGTGATGAACATGTATACTGATGCCGACTCGCTCGAATTATTTAATGTACTCATGATTCGTGTATGCGCTACGTGTAAACAGAAAAGATGGGCAGAAACTCTGCATCGTGCATTGATGGATCTTGCTCCAGTATTAAAGCCCAGGTCGTATAGTGTACTGATTTGCGCTTGGCTAGATATTGGAAAATGGAATCGTGCGTTTAAATTGTACACTGTGATGCGAGCCAACGCACTTGTCCCATCCTCCACGGCCTTTGCCATGCTCATACTGGAATTCGTCGACAATACACGCACAAGTGTCAGATCTCTGCTTTTGGATGCAGAAAACAATGTCATCGAGACTGATACCAAGCTATGCAACGCAATGATGTTGGCATACCGAAAAATTGGAGATACCGAAAAAGCCATGCAGATTTTTTACACAATGTGTCGTGAAAACACTCGAAAAGATACTGATACATACAATAACATGATGCGCTTGCTCATCAACTCAAAGAACGAGAATGCTGCATTGAAGATGCTAGACGAATTGGAATCGAGCACAGATCTTGTACCAAATCCTTCGAGCTATCAAATATTTATTCAACACTATGCACAACTGAATGACAGTGTTGGATTACGCAGTATCTACGATCGCATAAAATCACATCGCGTACCACCCAGTCCCTATATTTTTTACCATATTCTCCTGATAGAGGCTGCCAAAGACTGTATGCTAGCACACTATATTTTGCAAGAATTTTATCAGCAGAATATGAAAAAAACCTATTTAATGTTGGAAGGAATGGTACGAGTTTATGCCACTGCACCCAACAGCTCCTTAGGTCTATTGATGTTTGCCTACAACAGATTAATTCAGGATGGTTCATGGCCGGTTTCACGACGCCAGCCAGTTTACACCCTTGTCGTGACGGCTTTAATTCGTTTCAAAGCTACCAAGTGCATAGAGCGAGTGTACCGAGATATTGAGAGAGATCAACTTCATTTGGTACCTGAAATGGCAATAATGTTAGTTTCAGCGTTTTCAGCTTTGGAAGACGAGAAACTTGTATGTGAGTTTCAAGCATTGGCAAAAACGCTACGCCTTGACTATCCATTGCAATTCTATACCACTTTGCTCGAGTACCATTTGGATCATGACTCGCCTATCAAGTCTATTACGGGAGTGGTAGCCGAGATTCGGCGAAGGCATGGTACAACAGGGATGCACGTCCGCAAGCTTCTAGTTAGGGTTTACACTCGATCAATGCTAAAGTATCCTATTGCTGTGTTTGATCTGCACGATGTCTACACATATTATGCTATGGAGAAACAAGTACCTTGTATGAACGTGATAGAGGGTATACTACAGGGGTATTGCTCAGTGATTGAGAGGCGATTGGAGTTGATGGATCTGCGATCACGCTCCGACTTTTTTTGTCTGGAAAAAGAAAAGGCACAGAAACATGACACGCCATGCTCGACCCATTCAGTCGTTTCTACACAGGTATGGGTGGAAAGATTAGTGAGCGTGGTTGAATTTTTGCTAAGCCATTACGGAGAAACTCTACCTTCGCTTGAAATGGTTACTACCCTTGTACATATTTTATGCGTACATGGTCAGATCACACCCCTGTTGAAGCTATACACTCAATTGGTGCATGTGGCACCCGAGTACCTTTCTTTGGATATGTGTATGCTAATTTTGGATGCAGTGTCGAGTGCTGAACGTAAAGGCATACACTATGAATACGATACCAAGACACTACATACTGAAATGTGCAAGGTATTGAATTTACGTGATGACCAAGAACATGGTCTCGTTTTGCCTGAGCAAACGACTGACCCCACACTCGAATGTATCGAAAAGCACACTTCAATATCTAAACTCGAGGCTGCAGTGACACAACCTTGATCTAATGCATTTAAGCTCTAATTTGCAATGATTTTAATAAAGTTGTAAATCGGCCTTTAATATTAAAAAGGAAAGAATAGAGGCTGGTGGAAAAGAGAACAAGTTCGGAGGGATGGATGGAATATTTTGGTATGCAGGAAAAACAAAATGCAGTTAATGAAATGGGAATAAAATGTAATCGCTAAAAGTAGTATTAGATGATGTGAGTGATCAAGAACGAATTAGATCCATTATATCTACCGAAAATTGCAAAACCAAGTTCAGGAAAGAGCAACAACACTCATGACTGATCGATAGCACCAGATCTGCCATGCGCCAAACTTTTAAATCTTCAATTTTACCCACTATCCAACCAACAGTAACCTGATGTATTCCTTCAGCTTCAATACCCAAGTACACACTCATTGCCACATTGAGAAATCGTCGTATATGCCCGTGATATCCAGAGAGACGGGGGATGGTGTTGGATCGATACGAGATGCATGAATATGAGAGGAAGCCAAAGGAGCTATGGATGAAGGTGTAGGATTCATACCAGTAAAGGTATTTGGTGTGAGGCTATTTGGAGAAAAGTCAAAAGGTTGTGAATGCGACTGAATTGGCAGTTGCATGGATTGTGAATGTGGACGTGGTTGCTGATAAAGGTTTTGTGCCTGCTGGTGAGAGTTGAGGGGAAGGTTATGATGAGGATGCGCTTGCCCATCTGCCAGTGAGTGGGCAGACAATCCATTAGTAAGCTGAAACTGCATTGGATAAGTGTGTTGCTGCATTTGTTGCTGCCGAAGCTGTTGCTGTATATGTTGCATCTGCTGAAACTGTTGATGCTGTGGAGATGCAACTGGATAAGGAGGTAACGATCCAGACATTGGTATCTGAAATTGTTGCTGTTGTTTTTGATACTGCATCTGCTGAATCACTCGGTGCTGATGAGCCTGCAGAGACTGTAGCTCAGCAGAAACCTGAGAAGCATTTGCCTGAGACGAAGCAGAGTATCCTCCTTCCGCCTTCAACATGGAACCAGCGGGAAGCTGTGGCAGCAGTGTTGAGTTGTACACAACACCACATTCTATATTAAGGTTGCTGGATGAGGGACTGGCAGACACCTCAATAGCTTCTATCACCTGTTCACAAGTATTTCCACTGTCTATAGAGTGCACCAATGGAGCCTGCATATTCCGTGACCGTCTGCGAGCAACCGATGTTTTTCGCTTTTTCGTACCAACAGTGTCATCCGATGCAAGTCGGCCCGGTCCCCCAGCATGAATCAAAGCATGACCATCGGGTCTATTACTGTCAGGGCTGCTAGGATCAGTAGCCTCAGTGGATGGAGCATGAGAGGATGCAACATACTGTTTTACAACATGTCGAGACTCCATGTGTCGTTGAAGAATGTCTTCCTTGACAAAGCTCATTGAGCAATGCTGACACTTGAACGGACGGCTACTATTATGCAATGTTCGATAATGTCGCAGCAGATCATGACGGCGAGCAAACGAGTGTCCACACTCGTCACAAGCATGAGGCTTGACACCACTATGTACAACCATATGTGATTTGAGAGAATATGGCTTGCTAAACTCTTTATCACACTGGGGACATTTCAAAACAACACCATTGACATCCTCAAGCTCTAGCTCTTCCAAATTACGCTGAGTTGTTGTAACTGGTGACTCTGGACGTTGAGGTAGAGGCTCTAGACTCTGCTGGTCATTTAACTGATGATCATCCGGTAGTTGAAGTTGCATGTGTGAAGCGGACGAAACCATTCCTTGAGGAAGCGGAGCCATGGACTGTGATCTGGAAGAATCAGCATTCATCATGGATAAAACTCCAGAAGTATTGACTTCAGTATGTGATCGTTGTGAAGACGGTCTTAATGCTGCCGCTGCTGCAGGAGTGTTGGAGGTGTAAGGTGGATTAATAGTCATGCTGGATGGGTTTGACGAGTGGAACTGCATGGCATAGTTATTCATGAGTTGGTTGGATGTTTGAATAGGCTCTTGAAGAAGCGAGGATGCGGTCATTGGTACAAATGAAAATGCCTGATTAGCGGCCATTACTCGTGTTAAATGAGGGTTAAGCGCAGGCTGGATGTGATTTGACTGGAAAGGAATATGTGAACACAACAATTGCAAAGCAAGGGACAGTATATAAATAATCAGTCAAGAGCAAACGGACCATGATTAAAAGGGAGGGCATCATAAGGGAGCAGCAATATAAAGGACGACCAAATGGGAAAACAAACACAGGGTAGATTGGTAATAAAGTGATTTAAATGAATACAGGGCGAGTCCCCAAAAGTCATTGTGCAGCAAGCGGATAGGCAATGCCGTAGAGTAAATAGACCGAAAATTGAGTCAGGTTTGTAGGGAGTTGCCGCCATTAAAATCGGTCCGATTTAGTTGAAGAATTAGATTACAATCCGAGAAACGGCAACATTAAAAGGTGATGTTGAAAAGTTAGTTACAATTCACTCTAATAGGATTGGAATAAGAATAGAATGTCAGTTACAATGCGCATCTCAGTGGACGCGGTTACTAGACTAGCCACGAATGTTGCAAAAACCAGAGCCAGCATAGTGGAAAGCTTACTCGAGCAATCACGGACAGTATGGGTGCAGTGTAGTAATCATTTCCAAATTCTTCATCTGCAACAAAATGAAGCTGAATGCATCCCACCCTTGCCGTAACTTGTCCGTTTTAGCATTAAACAACCACTGAGCTCAATGCATTGCCACATGGAATGTTTGAATTATGGCCAGTCAAGCATACATCATATACATGTCCGTTTATATAGCTAGAATCCTACAAGCATGACAAATGTGTCCGATCTGGATTGAAATAAAGAATAAATTTACTCTAGACTGATAATAGACAACCAGAGGTGATGTGCACATGGTTGATCTAAATGTTTGAGCAAAAGAAAATAGATCTACATCTTTAGATGCATACAACAGCATTCTCCCAGCATATTCCTTGTATGCTCCTGCATCAATCCAACATCATATACCCATTCGGCTTAATTTGAAGCCAATGCAGATCAAACCCAAGGATGGATTCACAAGAGAACAACAAACGACATATAGATCCAGTAATAATTACCTGAACTGATAGATTGCTACCAAATAGATCTGCTTGGTATGCAGAAGGTTGTGGTTGGCCCCTATTCCATGAAGATGGCGGACGTGCACCAAACGAATCCAAAGCCGAGATACTTGGAGAGAGACCTAGTTTAGGACTAGGACACTCGTCAGCAAGAAGAGCAGCGGCGGGAGGAACCGCATTATGCTGAGTAGGCACATGGGAAGTAGCATCGGGATCCATTGAAGTGTCGCCCATTAAAAAGTTGCTAATCTGACCATACGTACTGTTTGTATCTAAACCGTACAAGGAATGTACATCATTATCTATAGTACCAAGTGCAGTAGAAAGTGGATCAAAGGAAGGTTGCAAGTAGTGCCAGTGAGGATTACTAGTGTGAGGTAATTGCTGAGCGGATGTATTGACAACAGGACGCATGTTTGGATTGAAGCCTAAAGTTGGATTAGGAAGCTGAGGACTTTCAGATTGAGGATGCAGTTGCAGATTGAGTTCGTCCTTTAAAGGAAGTAGCGGTTGCTGAAGGTCGTTGGACTGCTGTTCTGCAGATGGCATGACCATCTGCTGCTGAACGGGTGTTGTGGAAGGATGACTGAAAATAAAGCCAGGCAGAGTCGCTACAGGAAGCGACTGTTGCCGAACAGCGTATTCGGCACCAGTCTGTTCGTGCAGTAGATAAGGCGGCGAAGGGTTTTGTGGAGGAGAGGGAAATAGTGAAGGCTGCATGATGGAAACCAGTCTGATTATAATAATTAGATATAGCCGAGACTACACACGCACGACTCCAGTAACAACGGTTTTCGGTAGGAAACTGCAAGGACAAGAATAGGACTGCTTACAGACAAGAGTTGAAACCAGACTGGATTCAAATAGTTTCTAGACTGGACGTGACTGGTATGAAACCGCACAAGACGATTGTTGTCTGATGGACTCGAGAGGATTAACTACTGCACAAATCAATAGTTGTATGCAGTTGCAAGCCAGAGTGGTTACCGCCCAAAATAAATGCACAGGTGGAAAGGAAAGAGCAATGCAAGCAAACGTTGCCAAAATAATAGGATAAGCAGGATAGAAACAAGGGGATGTCAATTGAGTGCCAAAGCGTAGCAATTGCAAAGTCACTTGGGCTGTGGCCTACTGGAAGTCAAAAGTAATAACCGCGATGCTTACACTGTTACTGTTGAACTTGGACTAAAACTACAGATTCAAAAAATAAGTGTTCTGTAATGCTACTGTAGGAAGACTAACTCTAACCCTGAAATACTTCACTTTGTAATACTCGGCCTTGAATTTTATCTTTATAAGCAATTGCAAATTGTGATTAAATAGATTAAACTTGACTAATCAATTCGTTATTAATCCTATCTGGTAGTTTTGTAATGCCACCTTAATAGTATATTAGATGTATGATTTCTACTGTGTAATATTGTTTATTTGTATTGGGTCATCATGGAGCGCATCGATTATACCGTAAAAAAGGAGTTGCAGAGTGCAATGTTTCAATACAATCATGTGGAGTATGACTAGAGTCGCAATATTCGACACTGGTTGGCCACAATCGGCAAGATATCAATAAACAGTATACCCTTACAGCTGGCGACAAAAGGTATGAGAACATAGAAAATTTAAATTTAAAATTGTATGCAACCACAATAGCTCGTACAAAAGAAGCGCAAAAACAAACCGCATTCATGGTTTTAGCCAACTGTATGTTATGCTGTGTCAGAGCTGGCTATTGAGAGGCAGCGCTAAAATGCCCTGTTCAATCAAGGTATTGATACCAAAAAATGGTAGAGCAAAGCCATGACTAATACTCTTGATCAATTGTTTGACATGAACATATGTTTGCTAGAATGGATACTAACACATTGTCTTTTACTGGTTAGCTGACTCGCGTTGTAGTTTCAATACCCTATTGCAGCCATACTAGTCAAGGAGTCATTTGAATATACAGCTTTTTATGCAAACTATCAAATGCAATTGCTTGCTGGGGTCTGAATAAAAAGCGCCAGTCATTCTTTCAAAAGTAATGCATGCCAATTTAGTGCGTCGCTATCTCCAAGTGTTTTTTGCTGGTAGCTTCAACAACCAGCTGGTCATGACAGTCTGAAATCATTGCAATTACTTTTTCGGGAAATGTGCATGCTTACTATCTAATCTTGTAAACTATCAGTATTTGCTGCACTTGGCCACTGATGGTTTACAAGATTAGATAGTAAGCATGGCTGATGGACCCGGATGCATAATTTATACACTTGCAACCTTGTTTTGGCTGATCTGTCGAGTAGCCAAGATTGCTTTGGAATGCAATATTGAGCAACATGGGGTCGTTTTTAATACCATCAGATTTTAGTGTTGATCTAGAGCTATAAAGAGTAAGAGGCCAGCATACTTGATCCCTGAAGTTTCAATGTGGCAATGTATTTACACCATCATATTTACAAGGAACTATCCTGGCTGTGTTGCTAGTGCAATCAGTTGCTGACACGCTATTTTTCCTCGCTCACACTAACTGAAAACAAAAGGAATGAGAATGAAAATATTTGTATTTCTGGCCAATTTTGCCATGTTTTGAAACCACTCAGATAGCATCAAACAGGCTGCCGCTACAGCATTTGAAAAACAAACTCTGTAAAATCGCACGATTGGTTTAGTAGCGTATAAATTAGTGAAACACCAAAACTCGTGTCAAAACAAGACCAATACCAAGCTCAGTGAGGTTGGTAAACAGCCGCAATCAAACCAAACACAAGGTGCTGTCTTGTATTGGATTGACAAGCAATAAGTCGCCATGGTACATGAGATGCAAGCGATGGATGTTCATGCCAATTCAAATCAGCAGATGAACAATCTACCGATGCTTACAAAGCAGCATCATCAAGAAAGCAACTAGAAACCGTAAAACTGTTCCTCCCAAAGACCCCCTCGTTGACCTCCGAATGGGTGCGTGTACAGATAGTGATGATTGTCCCAAGTAACAAACCCCTCACTACACACAAGTGTAGTCGAATTTTATGCAAGTAGTTTTCAAATACATGATGCATGCCAATGGTGATGTTGCTGACCATCTCATTTTATCTCTCCATTGTCAATAGCCATGGTGGTATATCAACCATCTCGACCGTCTGGTCTGCAATTCATTTCAAACCACCAAATTCCAAACATGATCGTCTAGAGTATCAACCTACAAAAGTGATATTTGAACAACCTCTACAAATCAATAGTATCCAAGTCGTGCCTTGAACTGATCGCCCTTGCCCATCACCACAACCCCATCACTTTCTCGTAACAAAACACTATTGTCGCTCCATCCCCCTTCTAATCTCACAATCTGCATCAGCAGATCCACGTTCCTCCCATATCGACGCACAACAGCACAAGCAACAGCCGCTAGTGCAGCCCTTTCATACTCCTTTTTCGGCATTTTCTCCATTATTGCCATCACCTTATCCGGCGTCGTGCCACTCAATGCATGACAATCAATTGCGGTAACAAGTAACTCCAATGTCATCGGGATCCGATATTCGAGCTGCATTTGTTCAATTAATTCTAGCGCTTTGTTTGGTCTGTTTGCATGAATCAAATGGCGGCATACAACTTGCAACGAAACGGCATTCGGTTTACTGCTCTGTCTAAGCAACTGTTGAAAAATATCCAACACTGTTTGCTCAGGCTTTGGCTGCTCAAAACTAGTGTTTAACTTGGATACAGGTGTGATGCAAGCTAGTGCATCCATAACTTGCATTTGGATAGTCAAATAGTCAGTACTCGTCCCACATTGGGTGTATACTAAATCCAATGTTGTCTTGGCATCTTGGATTCTACCCTGCTTTAGCTGCAGTCGAGCAAAATCTAAAGCTAAAGAGCTAGAAAAATTTAAACTATAATGGTCTGACTGCATTGCCTTTTCTGATGGAACTCGATGGAACCATGTAGCAGCTTGAGAAAGATCTTCCACTCGAAGATAAAACAAAACCATGGCCTCGCATAGCTTCTTGAGCATTGGGATCCCTCGCTTTATTCCTGCGTCAACGAGATCTTCAATAACCTGAACTGATTCGGGACGAAACGTAGGATACCGAGCGTAAATCTCAATCACCATTGCAAGACAAACAGAAGATAGTTTAAATGACGGAGAAAAAGCAGTAAACCCACAATATAAGCTATGGACATGAGTCAATGCAGTAACTGATGGGTCGCAGTCACGCAAACGCCAGTACATGCTGATGATTTGAAATAGCGTACATACACTAGGAATGCCTCCACAAGCACGAAGATCACGCAGAGCAATCTTGCACATGGATACGTTGGTGCTTTCTGCACAGCATTGCACAACATTATCGAGGGTTTTCAACGAGATATTTTCATGAATGCTTGGTGTTGAAAGTGAGTTAGGAAAGCTGGTATTTGGTGGTTTCAACAAAACAACCTTTTGGTTATTTCGAGCATTTGAATCCTGTAGATGATTGTGGCGATGATTTGGACTGCTATATTCAGGAAGATTCCGAAAAACTCTATAGAATCTGACTGCATCGCGTTGCCGGTTAACAGCTTTTGCCACTGGAATCAAAACGTTGATTAATGGTCCAATGTTTTCAGTTCCTTGTAGTGTGCATATATCATCATAGAACATGACCATTTCTTGATATGACAAAAGATTCGGTCGGAAATCTCGCAAACTAATGGATGTGCATCTGGCTTCCAAAATTTCTTCAGCAGAAACCTCAATAGCCCTTGCAATAGTACTAGGAAATATAAAAGACTGAGTGGATGAAGATGTATGATGCTGGCCATGGCGTGTCATGTTGGATTTTAAAGTCAATGCTTGCAAGACATGCTTAATAAACTGCATCGCGTAGGTAGAGTAGAATGGACGCACAAAAGAGGTACCAAGAAGATCCACCACCTCGTTCATCGATGATCCTAAAGACTTTGAGGCCCATTTGAAATACTCTGCCGCTTCAATGAATGTCATTTTGTAATGAGCCTTACTGCAAGCAGAAAGCATGTTTAAATAGGCTTTAAGACGCCAGATATGATGACTTGGAGTTGTACTTGGACTAGAGGATCTAATAAAAGAAATCAACAACTCGACTACTCGCTGATGATCAGATACAATAGGAAGAGCATGAATCTTGTCTGATAGATGAAACTGTGATGAGTTGGTTTCCAAATAGTCCTTGCCAATATAAGTTGCATGTGATTCAAGCATGATGATAGTTTCAATACAATGAATGAGGGTATCTACTGGCAATTCATGATGGGATTGAAGAGTTTTGTGTTGATTAGGGCTTAGAATCGAGCTTAAAATTGACACTGGATCGTCTGTTGTAGATAATTGATCGTGATTATTAAGCATCAACACCTGCTTGAATATGGCACTGGCAAGCATCCGAGCATCATGAGCAGAAAGTGTCGAGACCATGTTTGAACCATCAGATGCATTCATCTGTTGAAATCGAGCATACAGCCTGTATCGCTCCCATTGCTCGATAGCTTTTCGATAGCGTCCAAACTCCAATCTTTGAGACTCAATATCCAACTCTCCATGATCAAGATGATCATTCAAAGATGAAGTATCGGCAGGCATAACAGGTCGATGTATATCTATAGAAACTCGCTGGTCCAATCGCTGTTTAGCCTCTTCAAGAAGTTGCAGCAAAGTTTTAGTAGAATTAGATGAGTCCTGTGCTGATGGTCTAGACTGATCTGCTTTTTCAAACCGACTCTTTTTAGATGATACTGCATTGGATTCTGCTACACCAGAACTATAGCAACGTCCAATTGACATACATTTGGTTTGATATTGATCCAATTGTCTCCATAAACAGGTTTGAGTGGATCTTGTGCTACAACCTACAAGGTCGGTATGGCTGACAATGAAAAAAGGTGATGTTTTCAGTACTTTACAAGTTGTGTGTTTGATCATTGCCATCAATGGCTTTACAGTTTGTATTCACGTAAAATGAAATATTTTATATTGATCTTGCAGTAACTATTTTTGTATTCTAAATCGTAAACACGCTTTAATTCAAAACAATAATCGCACATATCAGGAATGAATGGTGTCATGCCAGTCAACAGGAGAAAGACGGAAAAACACAGTGTTGTCCAGTAAATTGGTATTATTGCATAAAACTATTTATTATACATTCCCAGTTAGTATTCCATTTATGTGAATATGACAGTAAACCAATAAAAAAGATGCATCAAAATCAAGTCAATTTGCATGAATGGAAAGTGGTATTCCGTTCTGGTATGCATGTTTTACTAGCATATCTACTAAAACTGCATTGCCATGCTGCATTGCCCAACGAATGCACATGTCATAAAATGTCAGATCTAGTTTGATGCCTTTAGAAAATTCATCATATCCGATTGTAGAATTTGATACAGGCTCACCACTGCCTCTATGATTTGACATGATTGACACAATCATATCATGAACATATTGAGGAGATGAATGTTTCATATTCCACCACAAAATGCCCATCATCACGTGGATTGAAAGCTGAATACCAACAAATGCCATGTCCGACAAAAGCAACTGTAGTGTTTCTGGCACGCTCATACTAGCATGCCATTTGGGAAATACATTTCTGTTATGAATCATCTGCCTATCTGGGTTGCTCTTGACTTCAGAGTGTACGTTTGAATTGTATCTGTACTTGAATAGCGCTTCAATCAAGATGGAATAGGTTGCAGTATCTCTTTTGGGGTTGAAATCTGCACTAGATCGCATTTCGCCAAACAATTCTATTGCTTGTGGAAACTCGCCCAAACACGCATATACATCCACCATGACATCGTACAATAGCGTATCCTTTTGATACGTGGACTCTTGTATAGTCTGCAATAGCTTTCGCGCGCCAGCCTCCAGATCTTTATTGGTATGTTCAGTTTCACCATCCCAATCGTAATACCTTAGTTGGAGTGTAGGTCGAATTAAATACTCTCCCGTATCAGTCATCTCAAACGGTTTTAATGGTGGCTTGGCATGTCGTGCTTGAGCACGAAGCTCGGTGAGATATAGCATAAGCATTAGCGTGTAGATCTTCATAGGAAGTGGCCACCATTTTTCCTGAATGTAGAGAAAGATACGATTTGCATTGCCAAACTCGTGTTTTCGAGCATATGCTTTAAACAATGACAGGTATACGCTCATGGGTGGTCGCATCTTCCATATTTCACAAGCCTGCTGAATAAAGTGCTCTACTTGATTGTAGTTTCCGTGGGTAATCAGTCCTTCAACAAGCATCATTATAAGTTTGATTTTCAAAAAAGAGTCGTGGTCATTAAACGATCTGACCATGTCAAGCGATACATCATAGTCCATTAATCCACTATTGATTTGAACGAGAAACAAAAACTGAAGTGATTGATACGGCTGAGATAGTTTTCGCCAAGTTTTTGGTGGATAAGATGAACTCTGACCATTATATGGCCAAAGTGCTGGCCAAGCGTGTTCGGTGCCAAAGCGATCACTGAGTAATGAGAGTACCGAAAAAGCCATGCGTCGAGTTGGTTCGTTACAGATATTCACACCTCCTTCAATAGGCCAGCCAATCAACATTCGCAGAATCTGCATTAGCAAGTGCTCTGTAAATAATGGCTGGATCCAAGGATCTGCCCAAACATTTTCAAACAACTGAAAAAAAAGCTTCTTGCTAATATGTTTTTTTTTCAGCTTGGGAAAATCGCCAGGTAGAAAAACACAGTCGTCACTTGGATTGAATGGTTTACTCTCATCCATCCCGCAATGCAAGTACAATAGCTGAGAGACGGAATCACTAGAATTTACATTAAAGTATCGTGCAAACAATGACGGGAGAGTATGACGTGCATTGTAAGAATTGGCAAGACTCGAACTGAAGTTGCTGGTTGATGTGCCAACACTTTTGTTGGTGTCTGTATGATAGCAATGGTGACAGAAATGACTAGTTGGATGAGTTTGTATTAGTGTGAGTTTATCTAATGGTAAACAATGGACTGGCAGTTTGTGCTGTAAAGAACAATCGAATGGTGTTGCTTGATAGTGGAATGTTCGTGTCCGACGCTGATTGATAGAGTGCAGTTGGAAGTTGCTACTTGGATAATTACCAAATGAAAAATGACAATGTCTAGTTGATCCAAGACTGTATATTTGTCTTGTTAAGAATAACCAAACGAATGATTGTCGACAGGATTCCAGCATGACAGTCATTCAAACAATGTCATGCCTTCTTTTTCAAGCTATAGGAAAGTTGGATTACAGTCAATGTCTAATTGCATTGCAATGTTATCCTTGAATCATTCACTACAATACACGCACCGTAATCAATCATTCTCTGTAACGCTGGATTTGGATTCAGTTTATTCCATTAAATCTCCTCGTTTCCTGTCTGGCTACTACAGGCATGATCAATCGCCCATTCCAGCCGTCTAAATCTTGCTACTTTCTTGGAGAATGTGCAACATGAATACTATCTTCTACTACATAAAAACTCACATCCAGCATGTGAGGCTGCAGCCGGGCAGTGGATCCGGCCGACACTGGTTTGGGAGATTTGATTGATGTGTTTGTAAAATCCTCAATGCTCTTCGATGCCAATGGCTCTTGCATCAACTCGGCAAACTCCTCACAACTTGTCTCTCCCCATTGATTACCCCACAGCGATATATACTTGACTCCACTGTTATTCCTTAGCGCTTTTGCGATCGCAACCAGTCCAGTATTTGATATCTTGTTGTAGTCAATATGGATTCTATCTCCCAGATATTGGATTGAAATGGAATTAGTTTAATTGCAGAAATAAAAAAATCATGCTTCTAGTCGAGTATATGCACAACTACTCACTCTTTTAGTTTAGAATTATGACAAATCACTTGAGCTATTGCAATAGCCCCTTCATCTTGGATTGAGCAGCAACTTAGAATCAGATTATTGACGGACGAGTGCTTCATAAGTGCATTACAGAGTGCAACACCCCCATCGCGACTGATTCGATTGCTAATGTCACAACATTCATGTATTAATTTCAAAAAATAGTCATCGTTTTGACATAATCCATATTATAAGTACCAACTCAAATTCAACGTCTCGATGTTTTTGTTGGCTTTCAATGCGCTTGCCAACAGATCACACATGTTCCAGTCTGTGATACCCATTTTGGAGAAATTCAAATGGGTAATAGCGTAGTTTAATTGTATGGTTTTTGAAAAATGCATCATGACATCATTGACAAGAGTCTGTGATCGATTGCTAGCACTAGAAAGGTTATTGGATAAATCCAGATTCGATACATAGTTATTAGACTGAAATATGGTTGCAAAAGCTATTAATGATGTAGCGCCTAGTGAACAGCCCGATAGATTGACTGTAGATATATTTACATTGATCTTTTTTGAATATTCATAAATTTTGGTCAGATTTAAACAAGGCTTGGTGAGTTTACGAGTCGCTTTGTCATACAGATCATCAAAATTGTGGGATTGTACACAATTAATACCTGAAGAAGTGATGCCATAGCCATTCCACCATCATCGCCAATGTTATTTTCGGATAAATCCAAATGAATTAGCTTTTCATTGTAAGCAAGAGATTTGGTAATTGCAATCACCCCTTCCGATCCAATATTGTTGGATTTCAAAATCAGCGTTTCCATGGCATTATCGTCCTAAATTTCAAATATATATTAAATTAATGTGTGTTGATTGACCATCTAGGTTTGCATTAGAGCTGTCATTCAACATTGATTTTCAAACTAAACTCCAACCTTGAGAACTTTGGCAATTGCAAAAGCTCCTCGATTTCCAATTTCATTATAACTGAGATCAATATGGCGAACCAATGAAAGTCCGACCATTGGAAGAAATATTGTCTCGAGCATACCATCATCGATTCTGTGGTACCGTAATTCTGTAATTGTACCATTTAGTTTCATTATATCTGGCATCTCTCTGCATGCATTAATTCAAATGACATTTCCCAATTCAGGTGGTTGTTATACGTTTCTACTTTAGTATGTTTCTTGATTAGGCACTACTTTATAATCATAGGTTTCAAACTTACCCCGAGTCTATAGCGCGTTCGACCGTTTTCTTGACTGCCATGACGGGAGAAATCTGTCTATTCTCACATGATGTGACGTATTTATCCAGATAATCTACTAGCGCCATGGGTCCAAGTGCTGCCATTTTATTCTTTTAGATGCTGTTTTGTCGAGGTTATATTTGCTACTGATGATATAAGGTGCAGAGTTTATTTCTTGTTGTTGAAATCACCAGCCACGTGTTTGCCAACTTTAATCTAAACGCGTCGCAAGCCAGATAGCATCGTCCACTAGATGAAACTGTCTCGAGTCAGCCAGTCATTCAACTACCTTTTCACCCATAATTTAAATCGTTTATACAAAACGCAAAGGATACTAAAAGAAGTAGGTAAAGGCTATTATGCAGTCAGTATGGAGTAGAAGCAAGCGCCAAATTTCAGGCTCTTTAGATACCATAGGGCCAATGGTGTCACAACCCACATCGCCAATCCCTTCAGATACTCAGTCACCTCAGCAAACATCACTACTTTCAGCTCAAAAACAAAATAGCACAACACCACGTACAAAAGGTTCAACTGCTGAACCTACACCAGTGACAACAAAATCCAATGGCACGCCAAGTACACAAGCATCTCCTACTCGTCGCTCATTATTCAATATAAATAAAGCCGTTAGAAAATCTCATCAAGAGCTATCCGGATCTTCATCTTCAAACTCTAATATAGCTGAACCTGTGCAGAAACCAGTTGGTATAGGTATGGAGTCTGGTAAACTCAATGCTCCATTGTACTCATCTTCACCAGATCTATTCAGCTCCTCAAACACTGCTCGCGATTTTGCAACAATGCCCGTTGAAGTGCTGTTGAAACATAGCGAGATCGATTTGAATAAGTTTACATCACTCCAAAAAGCAGTGTTTCATGGTGATATAAAAACTGTTGCAGAAAAAATGCCAAAAAAGCCTGTTGCGGATAGGAACGATGCTCTATTGCTGGCTGCTGAGCTCGGTGTGGTCCATGCGGTTCTTCTTCTTCTTGGGCTTAAAAATCCAATGGGGGTTCGCGCTGATTCAAATGCCACAGACAAAAAAGGACGCACACCACTAATCCTTGCTGCTTCTCATGGTCATGCAAATATAATCAAGGATATTCTGGAGGCTGGAGGAAATATCGATCATCGTGATTTGTTGGGATGCACTGCGCTGCATTACTCGGTTGCTTCCAACAGTATCTCTTGTTTACAAATACTGCTTGCAAGTGGCGCCGACATGGATTTTATTGACAGAGTATGTGTGTTGGCTATTTTTTGATCGAGTAATTTAATATGAGTACCAATCAGTTTTTAGTCTGGAGATTCTTTACTACACCATGCAATTAGATTTCAACGTCATGATATTGCACAAGAACTGCTTCAAAAGGGTCACTCGCCAACAATCTCAAATACAATCAAAATGTAGGGCAGTGCATCATTGTGGATCTGCAAACCATCGTGTTGTGTACTAAATTGTGCTGCGTATTTTAAACTAATTTAGTACACCACTTCATCTGGCTGCAATGTTTGGAATGAAACATATTGTGATGTTGCTACTAGAAAATGGAGCCGATCCAACAGCTCTTGACAACAAAGGTCAAGCACCAGCAGATTATGCAAAGCCTCCAAATGAAGATATTGCAAAACTACTTCATGACCAAGTCGATCGGCAGCTTCTTCAAGTTGCTCAAAGAGCACAAAAAACGTTTAAACCATCTATGACGGTTTCCAATACAAACACAAAGGTGGGTTCACTTACAGTTCTGCAAGTGTGCTCAAGGATAAATCCGTATCCCAAATGCTTCAAAAAATGCTAACCGAATTTTCTCAACACAGACGGAATCTACCACAAGTTCTATATCCATCAGACTCAGCGATCTTCCTGTGGTACTTGAAGATCTTAATGATAGTGTGTATGACATTGACTTGCCCAGAGTATCCCATAAAGTACAGGGAATAATAACAAGAAAGGTACAGCTTGAAACCAAATCCGAGTCTTCTATGATATCTGATGACCTTCAAAGTGCAGCAAGCAAACAAGATGCAAATAGTGAACCAAGTTTAAAGCATGTTGCGGATTCTTTGAAACCCTGCGCCTCGATCGATATACCTAGTTTATCCATGTCATTTGGTTCCTCTAACTCTTCAGAACCAATAGATATTGAATTTGATGATGATATTATTGATTTGCCTTCAAAGTCAAACAGTCCTGCTTTTAAAAAAAGTCAATTAGATGACGAAAATTTACCCATCGCAATACAACCATCATTCATTTCAGAAAACAACGACTCAAAACTAGTTGATTACAAAAACAAATCTACAAAAGAATCACCATTTTGCAAATCTGACAATGCAGTATCTTATTTTCCATTAAACCGTGTTGCGCTTCCTGCGCAATCGCCTAAACGCCAAGGTAAACAAGGGATATATCAAACCCAATGTAGTATGGTTTGATTTGAATAACTAACTCAATGTTGATATTCAGTCTTGTCTCTCAACGCATCCAGCACCACCACTAGTGAATTAAATCAGCAGCAATCCAACGATACGATCAAAACAAAAAACCGCGCATCAAGCGTAGCAGGTTCAACTAATACATTTATTATTGATCCATTGGTTGATACCAAAGGATTAGCATCTAGCAATATAGACACCGATACCATGTTGCCCGATTTTGAAAAGTCAAACAACACACGCATCTCGGTCTTGGCTCAAGAAAAAGACGTATTGAAACCTCTAGACACTTGTGAAGCAGAAAATGTGATGAAGCACGATACAGCCACATATCGATTGATCGATACAGCAGCGATATCGCAACAGTTGAAATTGTTACGATTGGAATTTGGTGAAAACTTGGACAAGATAGAGTTGATCAATCAATTTGAGGAGCTTGTTACACATGCCAAAGAATTGCAGGTTGAACAGCATGCAGGGTCTGATCAACAAAAAACAATTTCCACATATTCTCCGCTTATTGAACTCAGCAACAATCAGGCCTGCATAAATAGCTGTACTGATTCTGATCAGACAAAAAGTATTGAGCAGCTCAAGCAGAACATTCATGAGCAAGGCCAGGAGCTTGATCAAGTGCGCTGGGAATTATCTCGCTCAAAAGAACGCGAAGCTATTCTTGAACAAACCAACAATCACAATGTGGATATTATTGCCAAACGTGAAAGTCATATTCAAATTTTGCTCCAACAGCTTAAACCTGTGACAAGCATTGATGGTCTTACTATTATCGAGTCACACGACAAAAGCGATCCAAAACTCAACTCCGAATTTGCAAAGCTTGCCATCAATCCTGATGTAATCAAGTATTACGAAAACGAGGTCAAATTACTTAGCCGGCAAATTGAAGAAGAACAACAGTTGCGAAATGTCCAGATGAAAGAACAGCATTCTCTTTTGAGTTGCATGGCAGAATTGGAAAAAAGATTGGCCGAATTTGAAACAAATGAGCCAAGAATGGAAACAAGTGTATCCGATATTGAAATCAAAGCCAATTCGACTTCATCCATCAGTACAGTTGAATTTGAAAAACTTCAAATGCAGTTGGATGAAGCCAACGCTCAGTGTCAAAGATACAAGCAAGATATTGAATCTTGCGAGCAAAATATGCTTGCATTGGATGACGAGTTGATTATCCAAGAAAATAATTACAAGAGCATGGTTGAAAAGCATAACAAGCACACGGTTGAGTGTTCAACAGAGATTTCACAGCTCAAAAAAGCACTGGAAAAGTATGATTTATGTGAAATCAATCGAGTTCAAGATGCTACCAAGTACACGGAAATGGAAAAGCAAGTGGAAACCTTGTTAGCTGCTCTTGGATCGTCCAAACAAACAATAGAGTCTTTGGAAAACGATCTTGCTGAAAAGAATAAGCAGCTAAAAGAAACACACGATTTGTTTTCAGATAAACAGAAACAGTTTTCTGACCATATTTTTAAGGAACAAGAACTACAATCTGTTTTGAACTTCAACGAAAAGAGTTTTACTGCTACACCAACCAAATCTTTAAATGCAGCACAAGGAAAAACTCGTGCATTTAGCACCACTTCAATACTCAGTACTGCTTCCACCCCGTTCGGCATCTATGCAAAGGAAACAAGCCAGAGAACCATTAAAAATGAACCATTAGAGTCGCAAAAGGAGCGTGATACACTGTCAACGAGAGTGTCAAAAAACAACGTCTTTGAGCCGGATTCTTTACATAAATACCAACAAACAATCGGTAGACAAACACGGCACATTGAAGAAACTTTAAAACGCATACTCGAGGATTCCTTTACATTCCTTGAAAACCATCTAGTTGATGATGCAAGACTCAAAGACGTTAAAAATCTAAGACATTTTGACGACACTCTCAATAACTCAATCAGCGATTTCAACATGAACCGACTTGTTCAGATTGATGAAATCCTATTTGTCTTGACAAAGCTACATACCCATATTATGGAACTACACAAGTCTACAAAAGCCGCTTTCCAGGAAAAGCATGACTTTGTATCAGAAAAGGTGTGTATACTCGAAGAAAAGATGGCTCGCTTAGAATCCGAGCTGAAGGTTGCAGAAACCCAAAAGATGTCTGCGCAAGAATCCTTTCAAATTCTTTCTGATAGCTCCGAATCTGAAATACGTATTCTTAAACGGCACATAAAAATCCTTGAACAAGAGCATCACAATCAAGAGTTGGAACTTTTTAAAGAAAAGGCTGTAAAAACACGTCAACAAAGTGAAATGGAAACAGAGGCAACAATACATCAAGAAATTGAATCCTCGGAACAAGCTTCGTCAATCAAAACTGGTCAAAAATTCAAAGAACTGGCACTTTGTGATCAACTCAACAATACAATTGACAAATTTCAAGCACAGATTGAGAATGAAGCAGCAGCACACCAAGCAGAAGTTTTAACACTTCAATCGCAGATTTCCAGTTTGGAACAAAAGCTGAATTCATCGGTAAATACAATTGCAGCCATGAATATAGCGCATTCCAAACAAGAAAATAGCAGTACTATACAGCTTGAGCAGATTCAGCAAAAACTTTTGCAGCATATATCCAGTGCCCATGAGTATCAACGCAAAATCAAAGCACTCGAGTCTTGTCGCGCAGAATGGGAAACTGACAGATCAGAACTTGTAGATAAGCAATCGCAAATAACAAGTCTCAAAAAACAATTAACAACCTTGCAATCAACTGCTACCCTGGACTGTGTCAAAAAAGATGCTGCATTGAATTTGATAAAAACACAATTAGAATCATTGAAACGCGATGCCGAGACATCCCAAAATGTGATTGATGGACTGCAAGCTCAGCTAAGAGACAAGGAGCAGCAGTTGGGATCACAGACTCAAATTTCAGATCAGCTTAAAATTGAACACACTACACTGAATCAACAGCTCATCACAAGCAAGGCATTGGTTGAATCAACAGAGGTTAGAGCGCGGTCTATCCAAGAAATCACCATAGGCACTATTGATATGCTAGAATCAATCACATTTGCAATGTCAGAAGTCATGTCAACATGGACTACCAATTTAAACCAACGACATTTGCCTAAAAACATTCTACTCAATAAGAATGATACTTCACTGGATAATATCAACACAACTATTAATTGTGGCAGAACTGTTATTGGAAAAGGCATGATGGACATAACTAATCAAATTGGTGATCTTGTTTCAGATTGCAACGCAAACATGTCATCGCTTTCAATTTTACTTGCTGAAACTGCCAAATCTGAACTACGCACCGAGCCACAACTGCTTGATCCACTGCGTAAGCTGCTCGGAACCCAAAGAGAAACTTTTGCTGGATCAATTCAAGTATTTTGCAGCATTGACAGATATCAGCAAAGTTTGTTTCACTTGGTCCAGCTACAAAGCGAAAGTGTTCGTGAATTGATTCATGATTCCATGACTAAACAACAAGATCAGCGAGATAAAATAGTGGTAGATTTAGAACGCAAGATTGAAGCTCTCAAAAAACAAAATGCTATATTAGTGAAACCCGTCACTAGTATGACTCTTGAGCCATCACCCAGTACTTCAAGACCTGATACTAATATAGACTCAAGCTTTTTGTCATCAACAAGACCTAAATCTCCTAGTAAGCTTTCCAAGCCTTACGTCGATGATGTTCATGATTCCACCTTTGAAACAAGCTGTGAATTGGAGCAACAAAAGACAGAAATGTTGAAACTTCAAACAGCAGTTTCCGAGTATGAAACCACAATTGCATTACAAAAGAAAACAGTTTTAAATCTTCAAGATCTCAATAAGAAATCTGAACAAAGGATACTGATATTGGACAACGACAACAGTGCTGCCGCGAAACATATCGACGAGTTAAATCACGATATCGAGTCACTCACAACCATCATTAGCACCAATAAGACTACCATTCAAAAACTAGAAAGTAGGATTGATACACTGTGTAAAGAGAATTCCGATGTTCAAGAGTATCGGAAATTGTATCGAGACGCGGATGCAAAAATAGTTGAATTAAAATCTCGCATTAAAGAGCTCGAGGTAGCTCAATTGAGGTTCAATAATGACTGTAATGAAGCTTTAAATGTCCAAATTCAAAAGCCTGGTCAACTTCCCCAAGAATCTGAATCCAAAAGACAAATAAGCAAACAATCTCAAGATTATCCTGATCAAACGGCATTTGATTCTGCCCAGCGGTTCAATCAAGCCAAATGTATTAATACAGAAATATTGGTAGAAGCCGCAGGACTTGTTTGCAATTCAAAAGCATATACCATACAGGAGGGATTGAAATGGACTGAAATGGAGCTGGATAAGCAAACAGAATCTACGAGTTTACTTGGGAAAAAACATCACAATGATATGCAGGGTGCTATCAATCAATTGGAGGATACAAGAAATGTGCGCTCAAGTGCAACAGATAAACTTAAAGAAGGCTACTGTAGACTGGAAAAGGAGTTACAACTGCAATCGCTTGAAATGGCTTCACTACAAAAACAATTATCAGGACTAAAACAACAACTTCAAACAAAGGAGGTTTTGATGCCTCAGTTGGATCAAAAAGTAGCGTTTCCCAACAGCAAGCAAACTCAAAATAGTAGCATTGAAATAAATATGCAGTCACAGATGGAGCATGTCACGTTGGAACGAGATCGTTATCAAAAAGAGTCTTTAAAACTTGCACAATGCAATTCAAGACTGACAAGCAAGATAATGGAGTTGGAAATCGAGCTTGAAAATGCCAAAAGCAATGCAATGTCGAAATTAGCATTCACCATGCATGGTAGTCCTGCCACCAAGCTATTTGCAGTACCATCTGTTGAATTCGATCGTAAAGAAAACTGCTCTCCTCTTTGCTTGGATAATCAAAACGAGCCAACATCACTGCAGGTTAGGATGATTGAGCAACAATTGAGAGAGGAACAGTCCAAACGATTAGTAAACGAAAGTGCAGCTCGACATTTGATTAAAGAATACGAAGAGGCACTAGAGCAGTTACGTGATGAACATTCCAAGATTAGCTTAGCTTACGCAGCAAAGAGGTCGGCATGCAGACAGGTTGAGCAAGCATTGGAAAAATCGCATGACCGTGAAATTCAAGAAGCGAAGCGTGCCGTACGGCTGGAGCAAGCAATGAATAAACTGCGCGCTAACCACAAGACTGCCCAACAAAAGTATGTTGCAGAAGAAGAGAAACTCAAGAAACAGTTTCAGAAGCAAGTAGCTAATGTTATTAAAAGCTACGATGCGAGATCCGAAGAGCGCAGTGAGCTAGAAAAATACAGAAGTCGGAACGAAGAAGCGATCCATCGAGCGTATGAAAAGCAGATACAAACATTGTTGGATGAAGTGCAATGTTTACGACAAGAATTAGTGAATATTTCCAAACAAAACCGATAAAAGCTTTATCTTGCCGAGTGTGAATTGTTCTAAACGTCTGTCGTGCCAGATATAAATAAATATAAATTGAATATTTAATCGACAACCTTTTCAAACCTTCAAGTTTAGATTTCATCTGTGCAGCAATCTACAATCTTTTAGTTTATAATACTGGCCATGCTTATTACAGGAATATCATGGCGTGCTGCACTAGTGGTTCATATTGCTAATTCTGCTGTATTTGCATCTGAAGTTCTACATGAGCCAATTCATTCATCAGTATTCAATAATCAGCCATCTCAACATCAGCCAAACAGCTATCTAGGACAGGTATTGTTCTAGCACTAATGTTTTTAAACCAATGTCAAGTACTGACTAGCTTATTGATAACATTGGCTCGACTTTTTCAATGCGAATGCAATGCGAATGCAATGGTCAACAGCAATTGTCCACTTCAGCTCATAATGTGTTCAGTTTGAACAGAAATGCTGCAGACCAATGTCCACCTTGCTTTGACTGTCATTTAGCAATATATCCCTGCATCAACTTTGGAAATTGCTCCGATATTTCCGGTCGTTGTGATTGTCCTATTGGATTCGGCTTGAATAATTGCTCTCAGCCCTGTGAGTACACATTCAATTATCTACCAAGTCATTTTTATATTGTCTGGAAACTAGATATCATGACTAGATCATTGCATGACTAGAGTTGAATGTCGTGCCATTTAATGCCTTGTATTGACAATTATACTTGTACATATCATTAGTATGTGGAGGTCTTGCTACACCAACTCGGCATGCACGTTTACCCGATCAAGCCAAATGCGATTGCCTTCCAGGATGGACGGGTGTTCATTGCAATGGTAAGTTTACTATGTTGGATATACTGATTTAATGTAGTGTGATTGATCAAACATGCTGTCAGTCTAACATTGCATTGTGTTGAATAGTTTGTGAAACCGATCGAGCTTGTGATAGTTTGGTTCCTGGTGGACAAAACGGAACTTGCTACAACAGCATGCATCCTGTGAAAAACAATCATGTTTTGTGTGATGTTACCAGTAAGATTGACCATTTTGGATTTTAGCAATTATAATTAATTTGTCGAAAACTTGCCTGGACCGAGATAGTGTTTAACGTTTGAAATGTAATGATTGGTAGATAAAGCCATTGTAGACACACTTAAAGGCAAAAAACCGCAACTTACTCTAAATTGTGACAAGGAATCGTCTGTTTGTGAATTTCAGTTTTGGGCTGCAGAAGTAGAAAGCTTTTATTGCAAAATGCAAGAGTGTTCCTTTACTCAAGGTTTGTTCAATAGTTTGAACCCGCAAGGTTTTTGACAAACATCGCAATGAATTTTAAAAATTGCACTATTAACTAGCTGATACTGCATTCACTCATATACAAAACCACAGAGCACACTCCCACCTTAAATATAACTACATTCGAGTGTCCGCACATGCAGTGCAGGTGTTTTCCTGAAAGGCTTCTTTGTGAGTCCAACGGCTTGGATTTTACGGAATGGTTTAATGATGCTCAAGAAGGTCCTAATGGTCCAGGCACATTTACTTGTGAAGAAAGTATTACTGATACCAACGTGCATCGAACTTGTAGATTTAGTGGTAAGTGCGATGACTTTTTATAATCAAAACATGCTTGCTATACGTCAACATATGACTACAAGTGAGGAACACGCTTAATTTAACTCGTCTACAATGGCATGTTGATGTTACAGAACCACATATGAATGAGGTCATTTCTCAGTTTTTTGGCGATCCCTATATTAAGCTGGAGTGCCCCAAGGCTGGAGAATGCATGCACTATACTCAGATTCCTGGATACACTCGACCTGAATTTAACTCAAACTTTTCTCCTATGCTGATTGCGCTTATGTCTGTGAGTGGGTTTGGTCTTGTTGTAGTCGTCGTCGGCAGCCTTGTTTGGCTTCAGCGAAAAGCTGATGCCTCTCATGCTGGATATCTCCATATTGTATCTGATGACCCCCAATCTGAAGCTCCATGCGAAGAAATGATGTCTGATCATGTTCCATGTACGATTCAATTTCGTAATCTAAGCTATGCCATTGATACCAATCGATTGGTCCCAGTTTGCACTGCCTTTGATTTGAACGAAGTACAAGGCAGATCAGCACAACCTCTTTTACAACGATATCAACAACTTCAAACAGCACGTACTTCAACTGGCTCTCCTAATTCATCTCCTCATCCACAAGAAACCCGGACTAATCAGCCAGATCTTGTAATCACCGACTGGTCCGATGAAACTGATACCGATCCCTTGCATCTAAGCCCTAGCAACAGTGCTGATTTTTTCTCCAATAGTCTCAATTCATCCATCAACACTGGTAGTCGTCAATGCAAGCAAAAAATGGTTGTATTGGAAGAAGTTCAGGGTGTGGTACGTCCAGGTCAAGTCATGGCTATCATGGGTGGATCTGGTGCAGGAAAAACCACGCTTTTAGATATTCTTGCACGTAAAAACAAGAGTGGCATGGTATCAGGCGAAATTTTGATCAATGGACGATTTATGGATAATGATGACTACAAGTCAATCATTGGATATGTGGATCAAGAAGATACTCTCATGGATACCCTGACCGTATATGAGTCTATTTTATACTCTGCTCTATTACGACTTCCCGAATCCATGACATATGATGCTAAAATCAAACGGGTTGAAGAAACGATGCTTGAGTTGGATATTTTGGCTATTGCAAATCGTCGTATTGGAAGTGCAGGAAAGCGTGGATTATCTGGTGGTGAGAAGCGACGAGTTTCTATTGCATGCGAGCTTGTGACAAGTCCCAGTATTTTGTTTCTAGACGAACCTACGTCAGGTACTTTATAGATTGCTTTAATGATATGTTTAGGATGAGGGTTGCCATTTAAAAGGTGCTAATACTTTGACTTTTGCTTCTATAACATACTTTTGATTAGGTCTTGATACATACAATGCATATAATGTGATTGAATCATTGGTATCTTTGGCGCGAGACTACCAGCGCACAGTGATATTTACGATTCATCAACCGCGCTCCAACATCTATGCTTTGTTTGATCAATTAGTACTTCTTGCCAAAGGTCGAGTTGTATATTCTGGCTCAGCACAAGAAGCTGTGATTGATCATTTTGTACATCTTGGATTTGAGTGCCCGCTTGGATATAACATTGCCGACTACCTTGTCGATCTTACCATGCATGTTGGAGGTAAGAACGAGCAAGAGGACAGTGATACTGCAACAGAAGTAAGCCGACCTCCCGACTCTCCCACTTCACCAGATCATAGTGAGCAGATGTATACCAGTGTTCAAACCAGCCCAGCGCATTCCCATGGACGACACCGATCTACTATTCGAGCATTGCAAGAAACGTTGTTGTTTTCTCGCAAATCGCGGTCGGATGCAGGATCGCCTTGTCTACTTTCGTCAGAACTTGGTAGCGCTTTAGAAGCGACTGGTGCCAGTAAGGATACAGATGGGACAGCTGGGATACTTCGACTCTCTGAGCTACGTTCAGGTACCAGTTCATATCCGTATTCACAAAGTCGCAGTACTCCTGCTGCTACAAATCGAGCATCTGCACTGTCTGCACGTCGTGACCAACATCGCATCACCCATAATCCTGATGCGCCTGTTATTCGTCCTTTGATTGGAGAACAGTTGATTTTGTTGATTCAAGGATACAAAACATCTACTGTGGGTGCATGCATTCAAAGAGATATTATGGAAGCTATAGCACAGGCTTATCCGGATGGAATTCCACATGATTTACATCGCAATGGTACTTTTAACCACAGCGTTTCATTAACAATGTTGCCTGATATAAGCAACTGGACTGCTTTGAGTATTCAGCGATGGTTCAAGAGTGTATTTGTTAATCGAAACCAAAGAAGTAACGTAAGTATGCGTTCAACCCAACAGCGCCAGCGTGCATCCTGGTGGATCCAGTTCAAGATTCTTTCTGGTCGATCATTTAAAAACCTTTATCGCAATCCAGATCTTCTTCGTACCCATTATATCATTAGTGTTGTTATTGCACTTATTTGCGGCTTTTTGTTCTGGAAGATTGACAACACGCTTGCTGGGTTTCAGAATCGTCTCGGTGTCATGTTTTTTATTTGCGCAGTGTTTGGATTTGGATGTTTGTCATCTATGCAGATTTTTGCAGCCGAGAGGTTGATATTTGTTAGAGAAAGAGCAAATCGATATTACTCGCCCATTACCTATTTTATTCCCAAGGTATGTTGAGTGTTTAAAGAATGTATGATTGGGTGGATGCACTGGGTTAAATGTTTTACTACTTGGATGTATTAGATATTATTTGATATGTTACCGCTTCGAGTTCTTCCGCCTTTAATTCTTGGTCTGATATGCTACCACATGATTGGTCTCCGTCCAGACACGTTTCTTCTTCTTCGCTTTCTCCTCGTGCTAGTGCTATTCAATCTTACGGCGGCAGCAGCATGTTTGGCGATCAGTATTATATTCAAGGATGTGGCGGTAGCAAGTTTAATTGCTACTCTTGTGATGCTTTTTGAGATGCTATTTGGTGGACTGCTGCTCAACAAATCATCGATTCCTCCTGCGTTTCAGTGGATGCAACGAATTAGCTTTTTTAACTATGCGTTTGAAGCACTGGTAGTCAATGAAGTAAATGGGCTTTCGCTTTTGGAGGAAAAGTTTGGACTCAAGATTGATGTAAGCAATGCCTTTATCGCCCACACTGTATGGTGTTGATTTAAATGATTTTAATGATTTTGAATGATGCATTAGGTTCCTGGATCAGTTATTTTACAGGCGTTTGGGCTTGATGCACTTGGATACTGGGAAGATGTCAAGCTTTTGGGTATCATGTGTATGGTGTTTATTGGGATTGCATTTATATGGCTACAGCTTTTTGTTCGAGAGCGTCGTTGACGATACTAAATGTATTTTACAGCCATGTCCACGTAAAATGAAACTTTTCTGTATTATCTTGCAGTGGTTGTCTGGAATAGACAATGTTTAAATAGTTGCGTTTGTTGAATATTGTTTTAATAGACGTTTATACAAAATCAAATTATAATTGAGCTGAAACGATCTCTCTTGACCGTCACATTGTACGATTACCAGATTCATTCAACTCGGATATTGGGTTTGGATGTTGTCAATACAACTCAAATCACACAGATACACCTGCATTTTAGTTCAAGAATACATAGAACCGCCCAATGTCTTGTAGGAAAGTTGTAAATTCAACAAGAATGGACTAGAACTATAAACATTCATTCAGTTGTACAACAGACAACTTTGTCAAGGGGGTTAAAAGGCACTGTTTAGTAGGATGGGAACTATATTTCAAGATTGGATGTTTATGTAATTTGATGTTTCTATTCAGTGTATATTGTTCGTGAATATGGCGGTAAAATCGGCACATTTGTTGTGTTGATATTTTGGCAAGAGTTTATTCTCCAAGACTTGAATGCAGTTATAAATTGGAGTCAACTTGATGATTAGGATATTGAATGGGATGATGATCATGGCCATTAAACTGAATCTTGCAAGCAACCGCATTGCTTGCTTTTAAAGATAAGCTGAATTTGAATTTAGAGAAAAGATTGAGTTCATAGCATGTGCCAAGCAATAGTAAGCCACATGCTGTTAGTGACAGCAATAAGCAATGAATTAGCATTATTAGTATGAATGACTGTAATGGTTGCTGTGTCTTGCCAATCCAATAAAACAAGTTGATAATTTTATACACAATTGAATAATGCTCAAGTTTCTATGCCTTGCAGTCCCACTGCTGACCATCATGGTCAATGCTCAACTGGCTCTTCAGCCAGCACCCAACTGTGGTCTTCCTGCAGACCTTAAATGTCTTATTACCAATGCTCAATATACTGTTGTTGGTACAGTGGTATCTAGCACCCTCAACGAAACAGGGAGCTCACCAACCAATTACAATGCAACCATTGCCATTCGATGTGTGTGGGCTAGCTTTACATCGCCTATATCTCCAGGAGCCGGACTTGCAGGACAGCAAGTTCTTGTTGCTAATTGGGGATTCCCAAAGCAAGGATGTCCATCCAATACTGGCAGTCGTGCCAATGTGGGAGACAATCATATCTACTTTATATATGTAGCCGCATCCGCACCCAACGGACAAGGACCTGCTCAAGCTATATACGCTGTGCAAGACATTTGTGTAGGTGGAGCAGCTTACACTCAAGACAATATCAATACGGTTGCTTCAGTCTTGAAGCAGTATCCTTCAAATGCCATTGCAACTGAGAATATAGGTGGTGCTAGCTGCGCATTACCTTCTGTATCGCCCAGTTCCAATGGTGGATCTGCGAATACAGGTGGAAACTCTGCTCCATCGCCTGTAACAGTTCCAAATACTGCCTCGTCGATTGAGGGCAGCATAACATCTATAATCACGGCTGCTGCTCTTGGTTTAATGTCTTGGTTTGGTCTCTGATTGTTGAATGATTTGATTTTATTACTCTAATCAATGGCATACCTTTCTTATTATCCAGTCATGGAGTGATCACTCCAGATTATCTGATAATAAAAACAACAATGAATATTCAAATACTTTGTAGTTGATGAACTGAGGCTTGTGTGTTGGTGGCAGGAGTCCTGCAAGCCTTTTGTTTTAACCAGATTGCTGGTCTGTTTTATTAATTCACTCATACAAGTACTTGGGTTTAATGCATACATAGTATAACCCTGGCTCTTGAACTGTCATTCTTGCTCATGTTGCTGCTTAGACTATCTTTGAATACTTCTTGATGAGTCCATAAGCTGTATATTCTCTGATGACTTCATACACTAATTAGATTCTATTCCTTGCGATTTGACCAGTCTATGTAAAGGAATACAATCTGATACCTTTTCTGCATTCAACAGCACGCGGATTGGAACATTAGTTCCATACTGTCCATTCCAAAGCAATGACTGCAAGATCAATTCAAGTTCCATTTGACATGAATACAGTTATAGAATGAATCAATCATTAATCTGGATTGCAGTTGAATCTACCCATTTTTTTTATTTAAAACAATAGTTGTAGCACCTTATAGACTCATGTAATACAAATAGGGTGCTAATGCAAGGGAATAAATACCCTTATAGACATATTCAAATATGATGATTGAATAAAATAAAAATACCAAAAGTACAATCAGAACATTATACTGACAAGACTTGGATCGAAGACCGAGTACGACGCAAGGTTTGAGATGGATTGGATATTGAGGTATCCGTCTGTAATCGCAATGACTTGTTTGATCTGACTCGAGTAATGGCTTTTCTGCCAACAACAGATACCAGTAAAGGATCGTGATCCAAAAGTGATAAACTTTCCATTACATGTGTTTGGATTCCTGATAAAAGTGATGTAGTCGATCTCCATCCATACCACGACTGAGAAACAGATTCTTCTTTTATCAACTCAAGTTTCCCTGGTTTGGATTGGGTGTGACTCATTTGTTGAATGGAGGGTAAAGAAGATGTGGGTGATGCGGGTGGAGTCACAGAACCTATTTTGGTCGATGGCAGACATGTATCCTCCCATAATTCAGTTGAAATGTCGCTGTATCGACCCGATCGTAGTTTAATAGGATTGTCATGCAAAAAGTCTCGAGGCGAATCAATTCCATGCAAATCCGTCACGTTCGAGAACGGATTATCATAGCATTTCTTGGCTAATGGATGCAAGTTGGATAGATCGTGATTGTAGTTGCCTATCGTGGTAGGGAATGTAATATTCTGTCGAGTGCTTAAAGCAGTACAAGAAGCGCTCTTGCGAACAGATCTTGATCCATTAGCAGTAGATGGTTCAGCTAGAATCGAGTTGAAATCTTGTTTTGCACAAGATATTGGAGATGATGTATTGAATGTGGATCTGTCCAACTGGCATGATGGAGTCGGAACAAATTTTGGCATGACACCATCACTCGATCCATTACCAACTTCGATTGCAGCTTCTTTGACGTGTGCAAATTTAGACTTTAGCCTAACGAGAGTAGCCAGTTTATCCAGTCCCACAGAGCCTTTATTCACAAAACACAAACGGACACTATCAACCGTATCTGGTCGACGAAAATACATGGCAGATTTTGATTTGGCAAGTATTACCAGCATATCAGTCGGAGGTCGCATAGCAAAATTAGCTGTAAAGAGAGATGCCATGTCCTCTTCGCTTTCGTCCATCTTTTGGAAATATATTCGATGAGATTTAGTAATGGTTGGAGAAGTGACTGTATGTACATTACGAGGTTTTGGACGTAGCATCTCTGGTGGTCGCTCGTTGGTCATGATCACCAAAGCCGAGAGTGTATCAGGCAGATCATACTCTGCCAGTATGGATAACGATACAATTGATGGCTTGTGAACTAGCACATCTTCATGTATAATCACCAGTGTTTTGGGTTGAGTATCAAATGTCATACTACCTTGTTGGCTGCAAGTTAAAATAACAGTCGGAATATCCAAATTGAAATACAAATTTAACTTGATGGGATTCGTCAACCTAATTTGGTTAAATGAGAGCTTGATTGGTTAAATGAGAACTTGATTGGTCAAGATTGACAGTGTTGGACTGGTAATGAAAGTCTGAGTTGCTTCAAGGTAATGGATCTGCACAAGTGGTATTTATTTCAAGACAGAGCTTTGATTTCTAACGGCGGAGTTTATAATTGCTATTTAATGTGCTTGTGGAATTCTTTTATTACACTCCCTTTGATTGGCGGACTTTTCAAATTCACATGTTTTTGGACAAGGGAATCTTAATAACTTTGCATGTACAGTTGTATTCATGTAAAATGATGCATGAAATAGTGTTAAAATGCATAAACGACCAGGCTCATGGTGTGTGTTGATTAAAGAATCAAGAATATTCATCAAAATCAATTTCCAATAACAACGAATAGTTAACCATCGTTTATTCCAAGACAATCAGTCCAAGATCAATACAAAAGTGTCATTTTACGTGAATACGGCGGAGTCGCGTGGACTAAGTTATCGCCCAGCATTGGCATTCCAGGGCATCTGTGGTGTTGACTGCATTGTAAACCCAGGTGGTGGATATGATCCTGGAGGCACACCCATTGTAGGTGGGATGAATCCAGGAGCCATATTAGGGTTGAATCCAGGAGGACCGTTGTAACCTGAAGGTGATGGATTGAAACCAGGATATCCAGGAGTAGGGTTAAATCCTGGTGGTGGTCCAGACTTGGTGCCATGTGTTGGATAGCCGAATCCTGCTGCTGGCATATCAGAATATCTTGCTCCAGCAGATGGAACTGAAGGAATGTCTGCAAAGTTTTGGTTCGGAACCAGCGCGGTAGTCTTTCCAGACTGTGCTGCCAGCAACCGCTCTATTAAAATATTAATATTAATATCAACCAGTCTATAGATCCATGACTCACTAGTTTAACTGTTCATACCTGCTGCAGATCCGTGTCGCTCCCCTTTGCCATCTTTTTTGAGAGCATACGAAACAGCAATAGCTCTATTCGCCAAAAACTGTCCATTCATTGCTTCAATCGCAGCATCGGATGCTTCAAATGTGGAAAATGAAACAAATCCATATCCTTTCGACTCTCCTGTTTCTGGGTTTCGCGAGATCTGTAGTCGTATTCATGAATTAATATCCGAGCAAGGCAGTACCAAGTCAAACAGTATTGACTATTTTGCATATTTAAATTAAAAATAATGGGTGATACCTTTGGTGTGGATGCAATCATTCCAAATGCTGAGAATGTGTCGTAGAGTGCCTTTTCGTCTACTGTCATATCCAGATTACTTATAAACAATGTTGCACCAACATCCAATGCCATCTTATCTGACGTTGCCTACAAGAATGGAATACATAACAAGTGTTATCACACATCTTGTTCTATTCAGAGTGCTGAAAATGAATGTTTCCTGTCCATCCATGTATACCTTGTTCACTCGCAAAGGTTTACCATACAGTCGAACCATATTCATGACCTAAAACCAGATCATGATCAATAAAACAAGTCAGTATAAACTTATACTGCATTACAAGACATGATACTCTAAACAGTAAACGGTTTAATCTGTGTATCATAAATATCACCTTTGAAGCATACTCTGCGTCCTGTTCAGTCATAAACTCTACAAATCCGTATCCCTGATGCATCTGAGTAACTCTATCTTTGGGAAGATAAACATTGACTGTGTAGAAATGCAGTGTCTGTATGGTTAGACAGATAAAAAACACATTTGCTCAAGGCACTGAATGCCAATAGGAATATTAGAACATACCGACAGGACCTGCCTGCAAAAACAACTCCCATATTAAAGAGTCTGTTGCTCTGTCTTCAATATTTCCGACATATACAGAAGCTTCCTTATTGCGATCCTCTTGCCTATTCATATTCCCTGTATTACAACTTACTGCTGTATTCACGTAAAATGAAATGCCAGATGAAAGTGCCAAAATATAATAATCGATCAATCTTGTGAAATGATAATTCGCATCAAATTTATTGGAAATGGTTTTGAATTCGTTAAAACCGACTCGTTTCCTGGTGATTGTCATGTAAAGTTGCATTAATGAAATTGTTCTCTTGAACACAAACGTATCTGTAGAGTTGTATTGACAAAACAATCAAACCAACATCTGGATTAAAATAAATTTGGTGATCGTGCAATGTATGACTGTTAAAAGAGGACATTTGAATTCAAAATCATAATTTGATTTCATCATGATGGATGTTGTTTAAAGTAGAAAATATCAATTTTTAATAGAAAAGCACAAGAAATAGTTAACCATTGTTTATTTTGAAGCAAAATAGGCAGCAACTGCAAGATAAATACAGAAAAATGTTCCATTTTACGTGAATACAACATAGATTTCAGTCTGGAAAAAGCAGAATGCAATCCCAACCTCATTTGATATCAATTCAATCAATGACTCATGACATTTATGCAGCTGTAGATATACATCATCCCTTCTCTTGAGAGACTTTATTGAGCTTTTCATCCAATGAAGCATGCAGCTTTTTGGTCCTTTCTCGAAATTTATTCATATCGTCATGCTTGATCTTGATCTTGAGGCATACCTTCAACAGCGCATCCGCATCGTCGAATTCTTTTGGAACTTGCAACAAAAATCCAATCGCATCTGACGAGGTAGGACAGTTTTTGAAAAGATACGATTTTTTGGCAGACAAAATACCCATTCCAACTCGAAAAAGAGCTTTGGGGCCATCACAAAAAAACATATCCCAAACACGCAGTACTGTTCGCCATGGTAGAGCCATGGTGTACAACGTCAAGAACCATTGTGTCATGTATGTCAATGGAGAAACATCGAGCTTTGACATGTACTTTGCTACAGGCTTCAGATATTTCTGCATTGCTAGTTCAAACGCACTCGCATCCAGACGCAATTGGTATAAATTCACAGAGTGATATCCTTGAATATAGTTTTCGAGTATAGCCACTAGCAACCAGAACGCGTCCTAATTATAGATGCCATGTTGAAAACAAGCGACTTTAGCGATGGCCAATATAAACACAATTGTGGCACATTCAAAACAAAACAGTTTTTAAAATCAGGGTTGTAGTCTTCAGACTTACCTCAGGCTCCATGCGCATCAACAATAGCCCAACGATCATGCCCATTCCTTGGCAGTAGCCCAGTTCCGAGTTATATAGAGCATATGCTCTCAGTACTATTCTCAAATTTTGTTGTCTACGACACGATTGGTTTAAAATAATCAGAATGCAAGTTTCAAACTAAAATATAGCATGGACAATTACTTGAAAGCTCAAATGAATCAAGATTGTAAAGCAACTTACCCTTCTTCGTTTTTTTGAGAAAACATCATGTGGTCTGTAAAAATGTAAAATACAAAAGTTTAAATGTTGAATCTACCAAATACTGAGCAATCTGCATATCATTGTCTAAACAATACAAATAGCATGTTTACTTGGATAACACCGATGAATATCCCGCTCAATCGTTTCAAAAATAACAGGAGAGTCTTGACTATTTACAAGTGACTAATGGTAACAATACAACATGATCATGACAGATAGGTTATGCTAGCTGAACTGGCAGATTAAACCGGATAAATAAAACTCACCTCAAACAATCCAGGCTTCCGCAACTTTTCGACACCTGCCATTGCCGACCAGGCATTTCCTCGTATAGAATCGGGTATACCCATTCGACAAATCTTTTTAATCTAGCAGTCAATCAAGTCATCAGCTTGCTGTGCTCTTGTATTGCCAAGATGTGAATGAATACAGCAGTTGCCACATCAGCACCAAATATAATTCGAAACTTACTCTACTGTGTTTTTTTCTAGAGGAAACATCCCAGTTTTCTAGCAAATGAAGCCACTCTACTTCCAAATCCATATATTGCTTCTTTTCATGCGCGCTAATCAAATAAAACTGTATCAGCACAGGAATAAATACGCATCACAAATAAGCTAGATATGGCCAAGTTGCACAACACCATACTTTAAAATATAACTAGAGTTGGCATCATCCGTATCCAGAAAAAATCCATATTGATCCAGCAGTCTTTTTGGAACTGTAGGCACAGGAGGTAGACTCATACGAGCGGGTTGATCCGTCACTTGGTATCCTACGGATGATCCGGAAGCCTCACTTACTGGGGATCCATCTACAATTTCGCTTACTGATTGGTCCAAATGACTTGACAATTGATCTACACTAACGTTTTTATGTTCATGGTATTCGGTATCTAATGCGTGGCTACTATTCTGATCCAGTTGAAAGAGTGATGCAGATCCATTTGAGCCTGTAGTAAAGTATAAATTGGTATATTTACATTCAAGGCTCAACAGATTAGAGTAGGCAGATGAGTTATTTAAAGCAAGATTGAGGTACTTGGGTTAGGCCAAGTGTCGACTACAAAATGATGGTCAAGAGAAAGCATAAAAAAGCATGTATGGCCATAATACGAAACAGAGTTGAAGTATTTAAATTCATTGACAGTGAGCATCAGGCCATGTGTTATGGCTATAATATGTTGATACACCATTTGTGGTGAGGTTCTATTGACCATCACCAAGGTAAGCTTTACAGAATGACCATATCGAATTCAATGCTGTTTGATAAATGAAACCCTGCCAAACAATGTATTTCTATCAATAAAAAGCACTGAGTAGAGTAAAGGATTACCGTTTGTATGTGGAGGAGTGGGCATGGAGCTTTGCATGGTTTTGAGTTTATAACCAAAAGTCAAGTCTGAATCTTGTTGGAAATTTCAAGCAAATTCAGAGGCAGCACTTTATACACACTCCTCAGGAAAACCAGACAAGTTTGGTCACGTGTGTTTGGGATGGCAAACGCAATACCAGACCACAAGACTCTCAACTTGACTGCACAGTGAACGACTCGTCAAAATGGTTCGTGGTGACTATGATTCCATCCATCCATGCATGCATCCTGTTTGAGAATGCATCAAGCCAGAAATATACATTGTGGTGGTTGTTACTGTTGATTCGACTTGTCTGGATATCAACAAACAGGATTTCGAGTTCGAGCTGATTGTCAAGTAGTTCGAGTTTACACTTGCTATTTGGATAACAATCTTCCGAGTCTGATCATTTTGGAATTGACTACAGTATCTGCAATAACTGCATGTTTAGTTTTAAATGTGTGCTAGAACTGCTGGTTGATTGCAGTTGGATTGATACTCCCAATATGGCTATTTCTTTTTGCTGATTGACACTGGTCTGCTTGATATACTTGTTTTGCATGAATGCTGACTTGCTGCATTGATCATGTATAGCCTTCTAACAAGTCTTTCCGCACCAAGCGTATTCTTGGCAAGAAGCTGAAGCAGAACAGACCCCTTCCTAACTGGATCCGTTTCCGCACTGACAACACCATCCGGTATGATCTTGTGGACTGAAATGTAGATCTTGCGTGTAGTAAATATTGTATTGACTTTTTGTTCTAGGTACAACTCCAAGCGTCGTAACTGGCGCCGCACCAAGCTCAACATCTAAGGAGGATATACATCTCTTTCATCGTGTTGATTTCTACTGGTGATGATCTGTCTAGAACGTTTACCTTTTCTTTCAGATTAAAGTTGTTTTTCAAATCTATACCAATTGTCTATTTTCAAATTATGGTGTGGACCAGATCTGACTTGCAGCCACATTCATGTAAAATGGGACATTGTCTTGAAATAATGGTTAAATGTTACGCTTTTTTACAAATTGACTTTGATGAACATAATATCTGTCATGACGCAATCAAGCTATAGTTTTAAACTGGTTATGCTTATTTGACAGCCATACATTGTACAACCAAGCTCGTTGTATCCTAAAAACTTGGATACGTTCTAATCCAAGAAAACACACGTTTTGGAAATGACGATTGTTTCCATACTGATTGTCAAAAGACCAGTGAATTGAGAGATTATCATTTCATGAGATTGGCTGTTTGTTATAGTCATTTTTTGATATTCCATTCCACATGAATACAACTGCAAATACAAAAAACTATTATGAAACCAACAAGACATCTGCAATTCATTCTTGTCTGTATGGGTGCTAAATGAAAAGCAATATTAGGACAAATGGCCTAGACCTACTGGTAGAATATAAGCATATTTTTATGGAGACCTCGTATTTGACATCTTGAAACTGTTACTGCTGTTTGCATTCAGGCGCCTTGTCATCGCCCTATATATGGATCATTTGAGCAAATCAACAATTAGCTCTTTGAATTTAAATGACCATGCAAGATTAGACGAAAAGAGTAGATTTGTTAAATACCAAACATCCATACTAGTCTAGAATCAACACATACAAAACCAATACTTACAGAAGCAGCATTACTTTTTGAACCGATTGTTTTTTTAGAAGGCCCAACATGATCATCATCCTCCTCATCTTCATCATCCTCGTCATCCTCACCATCAAACTCATCATCATAATCATCTTCATCGTGATCCTCATACTCGAGTGCCTTGCCAGTAAACCAGTCTACAGCCTTGGGAATCAATTTATCTTTGATCATTTCACCAATCTCATAGTCTATCTGGATACGCTCATCATACTCGTCAAACTTTTCTTCATCATCCTCGTCTTCCTCAGTAGGTGGAGCTGGGGGAGAGAAGAAGGAGAAAAAGGTTTCTTTGGGAACAGCTTTCTTGACAGTGCGGGTTTTGTTGGTAGCCTTGTGACGCTGTTTCTTAACTTCGATGGTGACAGAAAGATCCTTGCCGGCCTTCCAGTCGATTTCACAGCCCTCGGCGCGATCAAACATGACCTCATCCACGCTGGGATCTTCAGACTCCATCATATAATATGCTTTGGTAAGAACCGAGTTGGTAAAGTAGTCATTGTTGTCAAAAACAAATGATAGTTGGAATCCCTGAAAAAACAAACGATTTAGCAAATTGCTTTAAATCAGCAATAGTTTGTTGCAGCAATTTGAAACTCATCACTTACAGGACTAGAAAGATAGCTGAGCTTGATATCAACAAGTTTGGCAAGAGCGGGCTCATCATCTTCAGTAATCAACTCAGAGATGTATCGCATATTCTTGAGAGCAGTGAGCCAAAACTCGGGAATACCCTTGACTGGATTTTCCTTGGAAACCTATATATGCAACATACAACGATCAGAGCCCATCCAGCACAACTAAAGACATGCATGCAAAGCTTACAGGAAGACGCTCCTCTTCCTCCTCCTCTTCGTCTGGTTTGCGCTCGACTTCAGAATCAGTGGGCTCAACAGCACCGGTAATAATATCGGTACGCTAAGCATTCAAATAGATTTAAAAATTGTATTATTAAACATGAACCAACTCGCATTCAATTGCAAGAATGACACGACAAAAAGCATTGGTTGAATAAAAAATGAATTCATATTTGAAATCATCAGAATGGTATATACAAGCCATAGATACCGGCAATCGGTTCAAGCTAAATATCCAATACATCAAGATAGGAAACCAGTATATACGAAATAAATAAGTAGATTATATAAAACCAACCTTTTTGTAAAGAGGAATAGCCAGCTTTAAATACTTCTTTTCGAGCTCCTCGACCTCCTTTCTAAATTGAACATTGAAAACATTTCCTTCGTCCTAGATGGAAATCAGCACATGCTTCCAAATCAATTCATGCAATCTTTGATAAACATAAAAATATTACCTGAAGATTCTTGAGAGCGTCAAGACGACGATGAACTTCACCTGGAAGAGACTGTATATATTCAGAAGGAGCACCAACAAGAGTGTCCAAGCGTCCCTAATTGGAATCAGTCAGTACCATACAGCCAACGATTCAATAAAAAAAAGTAATTCAATGAATTGAATGCATAAATAAAAATCAGAAACAAACCTGAAGGGCAGCAAGCATGGAAGGGTTTTTGAATGCACTAGCGGCAGCACCAGGAGTAACAATCTCTTCGGCAGTATCCATGCAGTTGATTACTAAAGTTTGTGCAGGTGTAAAACCATTCAAGTTTTGATGAAAATAAATAAAAACCACACGTGACGTATCTATTTTGAACCGGTTTCAGCGAGTTTTACCAAAGCAAATGACAAGAATTGTTGGCAGGAATCTGCGTGTTGCGTCCAGCGTGCAATGTCATTACCAGCCATGCAGAATGCATTCTTCTTTGCTCAAGCAAAACAAAGATCGTCTGCTAAACCATCTTCATGCTGCATCTCTGCCTTGGATTGCTCGGATGCAGACGACTCTCTCCCATTACCAAACCAGTCTTACTACACAAAGTCATCTCTTGGCTGCACTTTTAAACAGATTCACTGGCTATGATAAAGTAGAGTTGCGCAAAAGCCGTGTCGATGAAAAGGACAAGGCATTGATTCGCTTCAAGGCTGATGCCGGTCAGGCCAAGTTACAGTACGAAGAAACTATCGATGAGCGACGACGTACTCAAAAAGAACTCAATTCATTACTACAGCGCAAAGATAGTTGGTTGGATATGGACATTACTCGATTCACTGAGCTTTACCGCAAAGATCTGTCTTTGGAACAATCTGAAACTGCCGCACAAGGATCTTATAAACTTGCTACCGAGCAATTTGAAAAGGCTCAAGTCGAGTATCTGAGTGAGATCCGTGAACGTTACGTCGAAGAACAACTATACTCTGACAAGATTCGTCAAGCAAGCACATGGTGGACATGGGGATTGATTTCTACACATTTTGTCATCTTTATTGCCATACAGTTTTATGTTGAACCAAAGAAAAAAGAGGCTTTAAAGAGGGATATGACGGCAATTATTCTAGAAACTTCAAAGCACGATCGGTTGGGATTAACACTCGAGCTTAAAGATATCATGATTTCGCAGCAAAAACATATTGAGCAACTGCATCACGACTTGGATTTTTCAGCACTGACCAGTCCGTCTACTGTGGATGATACTGTTAAAACGCCTAAACCAATCGCTACAAATGTTTCCAACACTTTACTCTCTACTGCGAGTTTTTGGCAAGGAACGTGTGCTGGTGCAGTTGTTTCCTTTCTTGGTTTCGCACTTTTCTTTGGAGGGCGATGATTTCATTACTAGATCAAATCTGATGTGACCAATGACAGCCATGGAAATAGCCTCAATTGTTTTTTAGCTGTCAAACTTTGCCGTTGGGTTGTGGTTACCACTGGTGTAATTTGTATTCAAAACTCACTGTTTATTTCTAGCTAGATTTGAAATCAAAATACCACTAGTAATCAGCTCACCAACAATGAACACTAGTCCAATCGAGTTTAATATCACATCAAAAAATAGACTATGTTGAGTACCAGTTAAATATTCAAAATTTAATCGTCAATTAGTAAAACTAAACATCAACTAATGTAGTATCTGGCAAATAGAGTACAAGTTTTATGAATACTTACACATAACTCTGCCATAACATATAGAATAAATGTGCAATACATGCGACAATAGTCAGACATATGAATATTATCACAGGCGGCATGTCTTCAGTCTTGTTTCCTTTGTAACCTAAACACGCGATCAAGCATTAGACTCGAGTATCAGTTTGGGATAAACACTGGAGCACCAAGACAAGACCCATTCATACAGAATTTTAAATCGAATACATGATTCAAAATACACTCGATGATAATTAAAAAAACTTGCCTAAAAATATTCGGGATGCTTCAATTCCTGCCCATGGAAACAATGCAAACACCTCTAATGGAAATGCAGATGTCGCATATTGAAACACATATCCTACATATTAAATACACGAGTAAACCAAATGCTGATAGGGTCATATTTAAATCTCAGCTATAGGGTTTACCTTTGTAGATAAGCAGTCCAAGCGTAACTATCCACACTAAAGGATAGTAATAAATATTAAGAAACAGAAATATTTGAAGTGGTAGCGATGAAGACTGAATGTGCATGTTTGGTTAGTCATATAGACGCATATTTAAAAAGTGACAGACATATCTCTGGGGTTACTTACAATATGAGAACCTTGAATTAAAGCATAATTTAACACATTAATTAGCGTTTCATGATACTTGCAAGAAACTTATGCTGACAAATCAACTAGTCGAGTTTGAGTTACAGATGCTTACTTGTGGATGTTGAAGTTGGCAGTGTCTGAATAGCCGTTGGATATGCTGGAAACTGTTTTGTCTGTCCTACTGTTGTAATTTGTTTTTTTGACATTGTAAATATATTCAGATAAACTACAATATGTGAATGGAACAAATAGTTTGGCTTGAATGAATCGCGTTGCACTCTGGATATCGACCAATATTCAAAATGAAAGACATGACTGGCAAGCACATGGAATCTATCAGCAATGCATTGGTTGCAAAACCATTTATGTAATGAGCTGATTATTCAGCATGCATGTCAAGTCTAGTTTATTTTTACCGTCCATCTTTTGGTAGTAGCAATCGCAACATATTCATGTCACGACTGTAGTGTTTAGAAAAACAGAATCGATGACATTTAAAGACTTCAAGTCTGTAGATATGCCAGTTTGGGGTTTCCAATAAACACTCGATTCAATCTTTAATATTTCCAATATGCAGTCCATTGGACAAGTTTTCAACCCAAAGCAGCTCCAGCAAGATCCAATTCAACATGAATCTGTAGCTAGGTTTGATGTAGTGCTTGCTGGTACTGTATCAGCACATATCCCAGTATCTTGCGACAGCTCGCCAGATCTTTTTGGATTCACAACCGGACAGAAATCCATCTGCCATAGCGAAAACAGTCATTCCCATAGTCGGCCTGCTGAGCCTGTTATTGGGTTGATTGCTGGTGAGCGACTCTTTCAGAGTCGATTATCCGTTGCACTACAGCCTGACCAGATAATTTCATTGAAAGATTACTCAAACCCAAAGGAGCAGATTGTATGTATCAAATTTGGTCACAAGCAGCTGCCATTACGGATTTTTGTGGCCTCGAAATCTATCCTAAGTGTCTGGACATGCGATAATCAGTCTGGCTCGACATATACACCCAGTAACCTTCAATTTTCATCTAATAATGCCCGTATTTCAGATATGCCCGTTCCAGATACACCGCCATTGCTTAATAGCATGGTAGGGTTTCAAAAAATTGTTCGATCTGATTTTCCAGACACAATCAATGGTATCAGTGTGCACCAAAGCGACAATTTTGTTGCTGCTCATCTCCACGATTCTATCATGGTTGTGGCTGTTTCTACTGGGGCTGCTGTTGAGTTGCAAGGCCATTTGGCACGCATAACAGCATGCCAATTCTTCAATCACACTGCCAATCCAGCTGCCAAAGATTGGTTGCTTAGTGTTTCAGAGGATAGAACGTTTAAAAGTATGTATCAATCCAGATGTATGCTGGCATCTGTCACTCATGCTTGAAAATGGTTAAAATACACGCTAAACGAGTTTTTGTTTCTCTTGTTGGTGATGGATTAAATCTAAAGTATGGAATTATAGTTCATTGGAGTGCCTTTATAGCTCGTCAATTGTATGCTCTAGCCCACTTACATGCATATCGTTTGATCTTGTAAAACCAATTTTTGCAATTGGTTCTGAGGACTCCATCATTCGATTTTATGATCCTACGCTGCATGCATCGAGCGTATCATGTGAACCACGATTAGTGAAATCTATTGATCTGGACGCACTATGTCGAAAATGGTATATCCATAATACCCTTCCCAGCATCACTGTACCTAAAAAATACACGAGATCAGATGGTGTGCCTATTGTGAGCAGTCTTCCATCTTGGCGCCGTACTGTTGATCAGCGCAATGAGACTATTATCACTGGAACGGCCGCTGCTGCTGAAGAAGATTGTATTGGATTGGATTCAAACAGTGATGTTAAGCATACATTATGTATTTTGAATATGTTTTATGGACCACCTATCCCATCTACAACCCCTCATCTTCCATTCACATCCCGCGTTTTTGTTGCATGTCCGAGTCTCATTGCAGTTCTGGATGCCAATAGCTACGGTATTCTGCATATTGTTAATTTTAATAGTTCTCAGCTAAATATGGAATTGTATAAACATTCCAATAATGCGCTGGATTCAATGACAGATCAGCTTGGGTTATTAAACGTTAAAACCGACACGACACTACGTAAAACAGCTGCTCAAACCATTCAAATGGCACGATCAATCTCATTTTCACATTGTGCTGGAATGCGGCATTGTACATTTGCAGCCATTACTCATGCAATGAGTGGCCAGATAACTCTTCTTTGCATCCATGAAATCCACAAACAGCGTTTGAATTTGTCTTTGGCTAGCAATGTGTCAGATATGTCGCTGCAGGATATTGTCATTGGAGCAATTCGAAAGCATGTCGCAGGTGATAAATGGGTTGACAATATTTATCAGGATTGTATGCGAGAATTGGCTTTTCAAGGCATCCACAATTTGAATCAGCTATCAATACGTTTTGGGAATGATGACTCACTTGTCAACAATACACTGTTTTTGCCCATGTATGTAAACAAAGAGTTGTCAATGTCGATCAAGTCTAATCACATCAAAGAACGGTCGTTTATCAAAGATACCGAGTTTTTTTTGCGACTTCCAAGACTGGGTGGTATGGCTAATGATAATTGTGCGCATTCTACGGTAAAAAGCGCTAGCAGCACTTTAAAGACAGGCACCAAAACATCACGCTCGCTAAAGAACAAAAGTAGTACCAATGTCATTATTGATAAACCAGTAACATTCAGATCTACAATTAAATCATCTGGCTACACGCAGGCTCCTAAAGCTACCAAATTATTTTCAGGATTGGATGCTTCATTTTCTAAACCTTTAAAATCCAAAGTAAGCAATAGTAATCTTTCGAGTGAAGCTTCATTGTTTGTGGGTGCCAAGTACCCAGTCAATGGAAATCCATTGACTGAGATCAAGCAACTTTCTATTCCAACTATACCGCATACATCTAGCATTTCATGTATCCGATATCATCCATCTGGTCGGTTTCTTGCCACTGGAAGTGCTGATAAATGTGCAAGATTTTATAGATTGACTACAACCAAATCAAGCGGACAGTCCAGCTCTGTATCACGCGATTTCCATGGTCACAACAGCTGTGTTACAGATATTGCATGGCGTCTAAATCCAATCAAGGATGTTGGTCATGTATTGTTGACCAGCTCGTTAGATGGAATGGTGAGATTGTGGGGAACAGACAGATCCGATCCAGTATTGTCGATTTCTTGTCTTGCTACGGTATCCACTGCGTCAGCCTTGTCAGTAAATGTTCGAAAGACATCAGTTTTGAAAACAGCCACATTACAATTGAATCAAAAATCTCAACCAAAGAAAACCGTATTTTCCAAACCAGCAATGAATACTTGTTCTGCATCTGGTGGATCGGATTCGGGAACATTGACGGTTTGGCCCATTCATGCTCGATTTTTCCATCGTGACCAGTATCTTGTTACCACTGCTGGTTCAGATATACAGTTTCGAACATATACCATTCAACATGCTGATCCAGCAAAGTTTCCCAGTCGAATTTCTACAAAATCGATCCTACCACCCCGTCCATCCACAGCAGAAGCATCACATAGACAAACACGACTAGTTATGCGATTAGAGTCTGACGCACAAACAGTAACTGCATTGGCGTGTCTCAACACCAACTTGTCGCAATACATTGTATCTGCAACGTCTGATCGGTGGTTGCATTTATGGGATGCAGAAACATCTCAACCCGTGCTGACGTGGAAAGATGCGCATATACGACCAGTGAATTGTATTTGCTTGGGAGAGACGCTTGAAGGTGTCGCGACTGGATTTGAAAAACTATTTGTATCCACGAGTATAGGCGATGGGATTAAGATATGGGATATTCGATGCGAATCTACAGGATCATCATCCATTCATCCTGTTTTACAGTTTAATGGCCATGTCAATAGGTTTACAGGTGTGCGGTGCAGCGTATCACCCTGTGGATTATATATTGCCACTGGGAGTGAAGATAATCATGCATACATGTATGATATTCGAATGGGTAGATTGGTAGGAAAGACACGAGGAAATCATGGTGCAGTTGTGACAGATGTTGCATTTCATCCAACTATTCGAGAAATGGCAACTGCATGTCAGGACGGACGAGTAAAGTTTTTCAAAGATTGATGTAAAACTAGCATCATCAGGACACATCCAGCCAATGAAATAGTGTCCAAAGGTATGGCGCAGCAGTGTAAATTTATAAATTGACAAAATTTGCAATTTTAGCCGCCATGTTCATGTAAAATGAAATACTTTTATGTATTTGTCTTGCAATGACTGTTGTTTTTACCACAAACTGGTTTGAATGACATTCGATTTTCAAAACAAAACGTCCGTTACGGAAATGGTTATGTATTTTGACACTTGTTTAGTGGTTCATTTTACGCAGTATAACTAGATTCTTGAAAGTGGCAGCAGGCTCTGTAAGGTCAAATGTTTTCGACTGCAATACCAAAGCCATTCAGACTGTTCTGTTGGCTAGTGGTCTCGCAGTGTGAAAGTATGGGCTTGACAGAGCTTGAATGCTGCAGCAGATCTATACCCTTGACATGGAGTTGTCTACCGTTTTCATGGCAGAACACATGGGACATCTTGGGGATATAAATAGTTTGTCATTATGGCAAACAGCGATCTTTGAGAACAATTTATATCTGACTGTCGATGTTCAACAATCTGGCATGTTTTTTGCCAGGCTTTATTGTTCGATGGCAGTTTGGATTTCTCTCAGGTTCGCACACTTTGTACATTGTATTGCTAATATTCTATCATCGCCACGTTCACAGTGGAATACTTTATCTTGAATTGGCTTCAAATAAACTGGTTCAACATGTGTTGCTTTTTTACTAGCATTCTCAATTTTTTAGTAAACGTTTATTGTATGATACACAATCTTGAGATCCAGATATTGGATTGACCATTGTCCATACAGTTCATTGTTGTAATCTAAATCACAGATACATTCTAGTTCAAAAAACAAAGATTGCATGTCTTGGGAATGAGTACTGTTTTCATGCCAATTATTGAGATAAAACCAAACACAATCTTGTTTAGCAAACTGTCATTCCATGAGATTGGCATTCTTGTTTAGTGTTCATATGAATAGGACGGTAAACTGCTGCCATTTAGCTGTTTCTATCACGTGGGCTATGGGTTAACCTGATGGAATCTGTTTGGTCTTTTTTGACCAGCATCATCTAATATGTCCAGTGGATCTACGGGTGTGACATTGAGGAAGAATCAAAGAAAACATATAACAACAGTGGGTGAGGACTATTGCTGCTGGTGTAAGCGATGCTGCGAACCATTTCAACGACATGTTCATAGCAACACTCATCAAAAACAGATAGCAGAGCTTCTGGACAAACAAGCAACAGTGAGTTGATCCAGATAGATCCATATTCAAGAATGAACATGGATTCAATTTGGTTGTATATTTTCAGCGACTAATGAAATATATATTCGAGAGGTTAGCAATTGTCGGATATTTCGAAATGGATTAAGAAGCCTCAGTTACTCAGCCTTTCAATCATGAAATCTGAATGTCCAACTCAGAGCACTCATAATCAAAAAACACTAGAATGCATGTTTTGCAATCTTATTGTTCCAGTCAAGCAAGATCCTGAAAAAGAGTTTCAGATTGTAGGGTATGCAGATTGTTGGACAAGTACTGTTGTGCAGCTTACACCCTTGGTTTTTATGTATGCGGACTAATTTATTTAAACTTAGAAAGCATATTTTGCAGCACTTGTGTAGAAGCCAGCATATTTGGAACGTACATGAGTTTTTTCGTACCCACCGACTCAAGCCAGAATTAAAATCCACGTTCATTCTACGAGGCAAAGTATTTGAACAGTTCAAGACAGATGCTGCTAGGATCTTGCAAGCAGCCGTCAAAAAGCATGCCGCATCAATGACTGTTGAAAATGACACATCGTTTATTGGGCCACAATTGTCCAATCCATCCGCAGCTGTATTTGGCTCAGCTGCTGATCTGACACATTCAGAGAGTCGTAAACGAAAGCATTTTTCCACTGTTTCAAATCCAAGATCTGTAGATCGAGAACTGGGTCATGACTCTAGTTTACCGCTGTATTGTGTCAGTTTTGGGTCAGAATATCCAATCAAGAGACGAAAGCGTATTGTTATTGCCAAGAATATTTAGTAGATTTCCAACTCAACAGCAGTTACAAGATGTCAGCAATTCCAAGAATCACGTGAATTCAACTCACTTAATTTGCACTCCGATAAAACGAGATTTACTAGAAACGACCAGAAGTCTACGTTAGGCAGACCCAATCCACCTGCAAGACCTACAGCAGACTCTAGCCAGACTTTTTCAACAAGCGGTTTACAAACCACACTTTTTGTTTCATGAACTTTGCTCAACAACCCTCGCCCGCTCCGCAGCAGAAACCCCAACAACAACCTCCTCAAGGCCAGTTCAAACTCAAACAGCGCAAGGTAAGCCAGAAACAAACGAATCGCTGTTTCAATTTAATATTGTAGCTGAATTGCCATTCAATCAAGTGGTACAATAATAAATATATCGAGGGCAATATTCTTATCGACTTTGTTATCCATACGTGCTCTTGGTTTTATTTCGGTCCCAGTCTGGGCTGCCTTGAACCATAAAATCACAGTGGGTTATTGGTTACATTAAAGTTCTTACCGATTGTGTTGTCAGAGTCATGTCTGTTGAATGCGCTAGTATTGAATGTGTTGACCAATCTCGCTGGCACTTTTGTTACTGCAGGTCGATCTTGAATGCTCATGTATTTACCAGCAATCAAATGATGCAAATACCAAATTTATCCAGTCTTATTCTATTCTGTATCAAGTCTCCATTCACTCTGAATCACAGCCTAACTCTGACTTTCAATCATTCTAGCGTGAAGCTGTTCAAAAATATGAACCAGAAGTCTTTCGTGAGCAATTCTTGGCACTAATTCCAACAGAATCTACCGAGATTGATCATTATGCTGAAGTAATCGAGGCCAATGATGCTAAGCTTGATATCAAGCGATACGCCGAAGCCTTTTTTGAGCTTTTTTTAACCGGTGGTCTTGTTGGTATGACATTCGACTGAACTGTGCCAATTGATTGGATACAATTATTTATGTTTTACATGTATTTTAGCCCCTGGAGGTGTTATTGAATTGGGCGATCATCCTAATCCGTTCAGTATCTTTGCTGCCACAACTACCGCTGAAGTCAAAGCCAGAGCTAATATTTTAACGTGAGTTGGCATCATTGTTGCATATCTTGATCACGGCTTATTGCTGCGTGTTTCCAGGCTTGTCTAGAAAATGAGCTATTTGGGTTCCTAACAGTTAAAAACTCTAATTCAGCAAGCTCGCCCGTCGTCTAAAGTACATTCCACGAAAGCTGGAAGAAACTCTGTCACATTTATTGCAATATATTCACAAGTTTGGAGATGATGCAGACAAGCTTGCTACCAGTGTTGGTATCCTTACTGCCAATGGCACTCTTCCGCTGACTGTGCTCGGAAACACTGTCAAGGAACACATTGTCAATGATGGTTAGTGCGTTGATTAGCTACTAGTGTTTCAATATACTTTTTAAAAATGCTCAGATCAAGCCATTTGCTATGAATTAACAAGCTTTATCTTATGTATACCACTCTAAACAGGAAAAACTCTTCGATTTTTGACTATCGCTCTCGAAGCATACATTCAAGAACAGTCCATGGACCATCTTATTACTGCTATGCGCAAGTCTGGAATGGATGCCAAGATGCCCGAATTCTTCCCCGAATCCAAACGCAAAGATCGTGACATGGCTGAGCACTTTGAGAATGCCAAACTAAACAAAATTGCGGATTTTTTGGTCAAGCAGAAACAGGCAGTTGTCAAGGAAATGACCCGTCAAGGACTCAAGGATCTTTTTGCTGCCTCTCATACTGCAGATGCTGCAGCATCTGCCAAGATTGCGACGCATATTAAGCAACTAATGGCTGTCAACAAATGGAATGAGCAAGAAACAATGGCCATTGTTTGGGATGGATTAATGGATTCTGTTGATTGGAGCTCTAGAGGAGACCAAATTGAAACACTTGCCATCAAGACTGTTACGGTAAATACGGTTGATGTATTTAATATGCCGGTTTTCAGCCATGATTGTATTTAGGATGCTAACTACTGTTTCATACCGACTACGCTCTGGCCTATCTTTATTCGTGTAGCTATGGTCACCACTTCTTGTCCAGTTTTGTACCTCGCCAAAAACCGAGATTGCTCTTTTGACCAAGATACAAGTTTATTTCCATAACGAGTCGCGTCTGATGAAGCACTACCGTGCTGTGGTTCAGAACTTGTACAAGCACGACGTTGTTTCCGAGTCTGGCATTCTTTACTGGTTTGAAAAAGGTGTTGCACCTCAAGGAAAAACTGTTTTTCTCAAACAGATGGAACCTTTTGTCAATTGGCTAAAGGAGGCTGATGAGGATGATAGCGATGAAGAGTAGGATAGACTCTACTAGCTATACAAATCAAATAAACGGATTTGTTTTTGTTAGTTTTGTTTATTTTAGCACTATCTGACTGTTTCTAAATATCCTTTTTAAACTCGCAACGACAATGCATTCTGCTGCAAAAATAAGTTGAAATGCTAAAGCAAACGGTTAAAAATGGTTCATTCTTATTGATTCATCCACCGTACTAAACAAAGTGGTTCGTTATGTCCACATCGGATCCACCTTGCATCTAATAGAAAAGTTGAATCTCATCCAATACGTTTCAGCACATGGTCAATACATAACAATCTGTAGAGGCGAGGTCTTTGCATTTAAACCACTACTGAAGCCCTGATTGAGCATTTTTATTCAACTCTCTACTACTAAGCACTCGTGGAGGACGCGAGGGTCGACCTATTGTTTTGGCTACCTTTGGATATTTACTAGCAGAGGACTTGGCTCGTGCTGTCGTCATCCCATGACAAGGTAAAAATGGGTCAAGTATAGATCTCGAACTGGTTTTTACTGCGCTCTTCCAAGACAACCCACTTCTCGATGGACTATTTGATGGACTTTGTGTGGTGAGTTGATGACACGATGCACCCATTCGTAGAGTGTGCGAGGTCATGGTTTCTAAAACGCATGGGGTTATCATTTCAGCACACATTTTGCCATTCGATGATCCAGATGCCAACGAGTTTGCTTTAGCATCAACTTCTTTTTGATGTAGTACATCCTGTTTAGATTCGCCTTCAACTGTACCTTTCAGGTCCCCTTTGTTCGGCGTCATGGTTTCAACAGTTTTGACTTGTTTTGACTCTGTATCTGTTTCATCGTCATTAGGATTAAATATTAGCATGCGGCTTACTGATCTTGCCTGCAGCATATCCATTTCACAAACACGCTTTGCAATGGGCGTGTCGGTGCCAAGCATCGATTCGTTACTAGAGCTATAGGGTCCACTATGAATATCATCAGTATTCTGGTCGCATAGCTCCATGATCTTGCCTGCACTCGACGCAGCAGCACCAGATGGAGCAGGAATATTCACTGCAGTCATGTGTGTCAAAGTGGTTGAAAACCCAGACTGAAATTGACTGGTAAGAGCGGATGTCATGCCTTGATCGTGACCCAGTGTTAGATCAGACATCGGAGTAGCTACAAGTTGATGGGCTGACAACGACAAGGCTGCAGGTGTATGAGTTGGAGTCGGGGCAGTGTGCAAATAGGATACGGTAGATGTATTGGATGTACCAGAAAGATCATACACAAGACGAATCTTTGACATTGGTGTTTGTGGAGATGACCGACTTTCAGTCGCGTCCTCAACAATATCGCATGTGTAGGGTACATCTTGGAGGTTTGAAATTAGGCGGACGTCAGTACACTTTTTAGATATAGTTCCTTGAGTTTGAGTGATCTGATTCATATCAAAGATAGAATTGTGCGAGAGTAAAGGATGTGGATGAGATAAAATAGATTTTTGAGCAGTACGAGTGTACGAGTGGTCAGTATATGTCCGTTGAGCCATTTTTGAACCTGTTGTATTAATGCGCATGGGCGTTATAGCCAGAGTACTGCTCTCGTCAACAGCCTTGCTTGTAGTAAGATCATATAAATTTGGAGTAAGTATAGTTGATGCTTTCTCTGGCTTTAAACTTGAAAGAGGTTCGTCTATTGAGTGAGGCAAAATAATAGGCTTTGCTTCATCTAGAATTAGTGAGGGCGAGATGCCCGGCTTAGTGTGTGATTGTGATGGCAAAAAGAATTGACCAAGCGAATCTTTTAAAGAGATTTGAGTTGTGCCTTGAGCAGCAATCGAGGGTGAAATTAAAACATTGTCATCAGCAAGTACTTTCCGTGTGTTTACCAATAGTGGCTCTGGCATAGTCAGAGCATCACCAAGTTGCTGCAGATTGGACACTTGAATTGTTTGCATAGTAACTGGCATGGAAGGCGTGCAAGAATCTGTCAATATAAAGTTGAAATGAGTCAAATGTGAGTGCAGATCTTGAATCTCATCAACACATGAAAATTTGACTGTACCACTATCCATGTTTGTGCCATGGCTGTCTGCTATATTTCCAAAGTCAATGCATATAGGCTTAAACGCTTCACTTGAGCGTCCGGCATCAGTTTGATCAACCGAATCAGTAATTGTAATCTGCTCAAGACAATTGGGTCCTTCCTCATCATAGCAGTCTATATCCTCATGACGAGAAATCTCAAATGGTTCAAAAGGATCGATCAAGTGCCGAAGCTCTACTCGTTTCAGCTTCCCAATAATACCATCAATTACGCGAAAGTTTTGCTCATTAGCTGCCCATGCTAAATGCATTTTGGATTTGACGTGCTTCAAGTCAAAGCAAAGTTTATTTAACAAATACACATGTGTTAGTATTAAAAAACTTTCAAAATGCAAAAGTATAGCAACACATCAGACACTAGCACAACATAATGCTTACCACTTGAAACTGATCATACTTGACATTGCAGTTTTCACAGAAACCAGGACGGGTATAAAACATCATGCCAACAAGACGAGGACGACTGGTAGTGGAATACTGTTGAGGAGCCGAGGCTTTATGCTGTGGTTGAGATGGCTGATTGTTTGAAACTACTCGCTGCTTTAATGGAGATGATGGTTGTTTGGAGGTACCGCCTTGCACTTTTTCATGATTTAATACACGTAGGCCGAGTCGAGCAATCCGGGGATCATTATGTAGGTTTTGTTTATTTGCAAGGTTGGCCACTGAGCCTGATATAAGCCCAGATGCAATGGAAGCAGCAACAGCATCAAAGGGCGATCGTGTGTTGTCGGCATCTCGTCGAATGCTCTGCTTTCCTTCCAACACGGTACCAGTATATATTGCATCGTCTTCTTTACATTTTTCATCATCGTTCTTATTGGATTCATCATCAACAGAGTTGCGTGCAGACGATGATCTTCTAGCTATAAACACGGATTTGCTAGAGGGTCGATCAAAGTGAATAATAGGCCAAGGTGGAGACTCTGGATCGAATTGCTCAGGAAATTCATGTGCAACGACAGGCCGATACTGATCGAATAAATCCTCGACTAAAACAAATGGTCCCTTGAAAGGTTTAAACATCACTTTGGGTTTATCGGTATTTCCACGAGTAGAAACACCGTACATTTTTTCTTTATGAAGTACATCAGCGAGACCACCGCCTAAAAGTACTTCTGGGAGTAGAAACGTGATGATGGCATTGAGTTTGGAGAATGGCCACACTTTTGTACCTAGTTTACGAGCTCTTTGAACTGGATCCTGCATGGTACTCTTCTTTCCTAAAAGTAGCTGACTTTTTGTATTTTTTGCCAAGCCTCCTGGTGACTGATTTGAAAGCGATTCCACGATACTTGCTTCGTTGACCGTGACCAGATGTGTGACAGAAGTGCTCAAGAATGATACAATATTCTATAGAATGAAAGATATGATGCATTAAGCATGGTGAATAGAGCTGACCCATATACTTTGAAAACATGACATCATACAACTTACAGCACCAAGAGCCTTGATCTGTTTGGATACACGACTGGCAAGTCGAGGTTCAAACCCGTCAAGATAAAATGAAAATGTTTTGAATCGAGCTCTCCAAGCGGCAATCTTGTTTTGTGATGGACCTTGAAATTTAGTAGCCGATCGTTGCAATGCGACGGAACTATCAAGAGGCTGTTTTTGGTTTGACTGGGCGAGTAAAGAATGGCTGTTGGATATATGCGCAGTTGAATTTAAATTAGACGGTGCATGGGTAGAAGGGGTAGCAGATAAGCGGGGTTTTGTAGATCGTAGCGAGGATTTAGAAAGTTGTGCATTAGTGATGTTGGCTAGCATGGAACCACCACGCAGAGTGCAAGGAGTAAGATGGGTAGATTCAGTACCAACGCCAGACGTAGTATTTGAGTTTAGTGTATTAGCAGGAGTACGCGGAGTAGCAAATATAGGCGGTTGAAGAGATTTTATTGCGGTGGTTGGCAGTGGTGCCAAAGATGGATGCGAATCGGACACGAGCCGTCGTTTCTTTGGCGCGAGTGATTCTCCAGTTACAGACAGCGATGCCATATTAGAATACTCACAAATCTGGTGAGTAAAACGATCAGTTTTACTATTTGAGTCAGTTTCATGACTCAGTCCGAATGTAGGTGAATGCGGACCATTTCCAGATCTGTTTAATGGTGTTTGTGGAGGTCTGATTCTTGTGCTGGTAAGTTGAGTTTTTTCACTGGTATTTATGCTTGTAAATATAGAGCTAGAACGTTTGACTCCTATCAAAGTAGAAGGTGTAGCAGATAGTGGTATTTTATGTATGTGTTTTATAGAAGATGCAGCAGTACTGAGTGATGCAGCATGTCCGGATTTTTTCACGGGAGTTGATGCAGTCTCCATCAATGCCAAAGGAGAATGAATAGCAGGATCAAAGGAACGACATGAAGATACTGAGAAAGCAGTTGGAGTTTTTGTATTGGGTTGAACAGGAGATGACAACATAGAGTTTGTGGGAGAGTGACATTGGCTTGTATCTTTATTACTAGTTGCAGTGTCCAAGATGGTTGCAATGTTCGTAGTAGAAGCGTCTAGTGCTGCAATGTTGTCACTGTTCAAATCCATTCTCCTGGAAACAATATCAAATCCACTGCCTGGAGTGGATTCAGCATTCAGATGTTGCGAGAGAGCAGGACTGCATGGACTAGGCTGCATCTGTGAATATAGGTCGGCTGTAGGAGTTCCAGACACTGAACTTGCAAACATGGACATGCGATAGTGATTGTTATTCATGACACAATGAGATGGCACACTAGATTCACATTTCAGTTAGCAACACTCAATCACTAGTAATAACACAGACTTTCATACCTTGCACCAGCTCGCTTGTTGCTGCTCATTTGTTTCAAGGTAAAGTGAATTCAACTCGACGCGACGGGTTGGTCGTATAAAAGCGTCTGTCATGAACTGACAATCAAGTGTTGATCAAGTGTTGGTTTCAGCCTATATTTATCGTATTCATTTAAAACCAACAATCAATTAAGTTTAATGAAAACTGACTGTTATGCATTTTAGCATTCTTTAGTGTTGCACTTTACATGAATACAATTGCATTTCAACTCGTTATCAAAACCCAAATTTTAAAAAAATTCCTTTCATTGCAATGACATTATTTCTACGACCGTTGTTGCGATTTAAAACTAGACCACTGCAATGGTCGACATTTAAATACTTTCCTTTCAAGTCATACTCTCAATTAAATTCACTTGACATGGTTCAGCCTCCAAAAGTAGAACCTCATCATCTGCCGCTTGGAATAGCTATTATTGCTGGTTTGGGTTTATTCATTGGCTTCAATATCAATCTGATTGCATCTACAAAAAACTACGATGGCCCACCAATCCTTAATCATGCTGCTTTCTGCAGTGCTCCTGTTATTTCTACTGCTTCCGAGTCTGCTGACACTTGTAGAGTTCGCATCAGCACCGATGCTGCACGCTGTTTGCCTTTAAATGCTGGCATTGTTCATGTCATTGTCAATGATGACTCGTGTCAGATCGCACGACCTTACACTCCAATCTCCTACGATAGTAATCATATCGAGCTATTGGTTCGTAGATATGAGACAGGCACTGTTAGTAAGCATATTCACTCGTTAAACGAAGGCGATACTCTTCGTATTCGTGGACCATTGGAGTCATTTCCTTACAAAATCAACTGTGTCAAGCATGTTAGTATGGTAAATTATAGCTTGACATAGTGTTTGATCTTACCTCTAAATGTATGATATGATACGATTAGTCATGATTAACCTTTTATGGGCATCTGCATAATTTCCAGATTGCTGGTGGAACAGGCATTGCTCCAATGTACCAACTCATGACTAAAATTCTTAGTAGTCCCAATGACAAAACTTCCATTCAGTTGATCTATGCCAGTAAGGACAACCAAAATATTCTTCTTAAAAAGGAACTGGACCAGTTGCTCAAGTCATATCCTGATCAACTGAGAATTAAATATTTGGTGGATCGTGCAAATGAACCACTCACACCCGATGTACAAGTTGGATTTATGGATGAAAAACAACTTGAAACTGTTTTACCTCACACAAATACAAAATATCCCTTCAAGATTCTCGTTTGCGGTCCTGATGGGTAGGTTTATTAGTCTGTATGATATACTATTGTAGTTTTGGTAATTTGACGTGTATTGCTGGTTTATTAGGATGATTCGCAGTATTGCTGGGCCTAAACTATCCGAGGAAAAACAAGGACCAGTTGGGGGAATTTTAAAGCATATGGGATACAATGATACTCAAGTATTCAAACTGTAAAATTGCATATACTGCTGGTATGGCATTAGTAACAATCACATTATGACAATTATAATTGACCGTTTAAATCAGTTATGATCAATATACAACCGCATTCACGTAAAATACAATACTTTGTCTTGCGGTGATTGCTTCTTGACATGAACAATATTTACAGATTTGTTATGTTTTCCTATTAGACATCGACTACCTATATCCATTGTAATTCAGATATTGGTTTGATTGTTTTGTTGATACAATTCTACAGATACGTTTGTGTTCAAGAGAACAATCTCAGCAATACAACTCTACATGACAATCACTGAATAATTTGTAGAAAAGGAAATCAAACAAATGTGATGTAAACACTTATCCAGTTATACAAAAATGAGCACAACAGTTAGTCAATTTTAAAAGACTTCAAGGACACAGTATTGTCCAATAAGCAGATATTAATCATTACACAAGACTGGCTGTTTATTAGACGCCTTGGTGTTTTATTTTACGTGAATATGACCAACAAAATTATATCTTGATGGTTATTGAAATTTGAGCATGACTAATGGTTTCGCTTACATTAAACCCTAATTGATTGCATTACAGAGCATAGACCCTTTATTTACATTGCGCCATTGGGGGATCAAAGATGGACTTTAGATGATACTGGAGTACTAGAGTGAATAGAGCTGCTAGTCAAGCATAGTGCGGTATGAGTCTATTCTAACGATCAACACTGGCTACTGATGTGCTCAAACCAATGTCGCATGTTTATGAGTATTGGGTGAATGACAGGACGCGGCTTCAACATTCAAACCACATGATTGTGTGTTGAAACGCAAAAGAAAATACTGAATTCAATTGCATCTTTGTCTTAGTAATCCATTCCATTCACCAACCATGTCCTCATCGCTGCTCAGAGCCATGATGCGAGTACGTTTCAGTAGTTATTGTTTTCTTTGAAATTGTTTAGCTTGCATATTTGAGTATTTTTATAATTGCCATGCTTATGCAGATTGGGTCCGACTCTTGCTTTACATAATTTATTGTCGCTATTTATAATTTATTTTTCTACTCGTTCGATTGATGGTTTGCTGCTACAGTATACATGCGATATGAATTGTATTAGCTTCAGCCCATTCAACACTATCCTGTATAACTGATTTGTGCAAACACTGTTCCACCATGTTATTCTTGAACTCATTTTCCATATCTAACCGTAATCTGGTTTTCTCAATTTCATAGGGTCGTAGTGCTGTGATGCCTGCTACTTTAAGCAATTCATTATCGCAGTCTTCTACCTTGAGCTTGGCTAGAACATCAATTCTTAGATCCTCTACTGTTCGCCCCGTTCTGATTGCTGGCTTTTCGACCTCGATCATTGCCCGTTCAACTCCCTCTTCCATTTTTGAACCGCTTGACACGTTCGCTCGTCGCCATATCGGTCCTTCCTCTGCTGACGTGCAGAAAATGTGCAAGGTTGTTGGTGTAGATTCCCTAGAAGCACTTGTTGCAAAAACTGTTCCTGAAAACATTAGCATTCAAAACTTGACCCGTCTTGGTCCTGGCTTGACTGAAAGTGAGGCTCTTGCCGAAATTAAGCGCATTGCATCCAAGAACAAGGTGATGAGATCTTATATTGGCATGGGCTACAACGGTACTATTACTCCGCCTGTGATTTTGCGCAATATCATGGAGAATCCTGGCTGGTACACTCAGGTAATTGATTCTTTTATATTTTAGTCAGTCTGATCCAGATCCTGTGTATGAAAAAGAATTGTGCGTTGCATTCAAATCGTCTAATATTTATCTGGAATATTGCATTAATTTAAATTGATACTAGTATACCCCTTACCAACCCGAGATTTCTCAGGGTCGTCTCGAGTCGCTGATCAATTACCAAACCATGGTACAAGAGCTCACTGGTATGGATATTGCCAATGCATCGCTTCTTGATGAGGGCACTGCTGCTGCCGAAGCCATGCTGATTTGCTTCACTGCCGCCAATCGTAAAAAGAATATTTTCTTTGTCGATCAAGCATGCTTTCCTCAAACTATTGCATGTGTGCAGACCCGTGCAGCTGGATTTGGTATTGAAGTGATTGTTGGTGATTATGAATCGTTCGACTTTTCTGCCAACAAGAACAAAGTGTGCGGTACGCTTATCCAGTATCCTAATCAATTTGGTCGTGTCAACAACTACGAGGCATTTGTCAAAAAGGCTCATGATAACGGTGCTCTTGTTGCCTGTGCTACCGATCTTCTTGCTCTTTGTCTTCTCAAACCTCCTGGAGAGATGGGCGTTGATATGGCACTTGGTAATTCTCAGCGCTTTGGTGTTCCCCTTGGCTATGGCGGTCCCCACGCTGCCTTTTTTTCCTGCAAGGATGCTCTTAAGCGTCGCATGCCTGGCCGTCTGATTGGCGTGTCCAAGGATGTTGCTGGTAATTCAGCCTATCGTCTTGCTCTACAGACTCGCGAGCAGCACATTCGTCGTGAAAAAGCCACGTCCAATATTTGCACTGCTCAGGCTCTGCTTGCCAACATGGCTGCCATGTATGCTGTCTACCACGGTCCCAAGGGTATCAAGGAAATTGCTCAGCGTGTACATAATCTAACTGCTGTTCTTGCCAAAGCTGTCACTTCGTTTGGTCACAAAATCACCAACGACACATATTTTGACACCCTTACTATTGCCACTGCCGCTCCTGCTTCCGAGCTTGTTGCTGCTGCTTTGGAAAAGGGCATCAATCTTCGTTTGATTGATTCAAGTCATGTTGCTGTCACGCTTGATGAAACCGTGACTAAAGCTGATTTGACTGATCTGATCCAAGTGTTTGCTTCTGGATCGTTCATCCAGCAGTACCAAAACGGTGCTCGATCTGCCGCTGCAACCACTGTTCCTACTGTTGATGCTGTTGCAGCAGCAGCGGGCGTAACTACAGCATCTCCTGCAAAGGCGTTTGGCAAGGATCTTGTCCGTACTAGCGCTTTTCTTACTCATCCCGTCTTCAATCTATACCACTCTGAGACCGAAGCCCTTCGATACTTTACTCAGCTGATGAACAAGGATTTGTCTCTTGCCAATGCCATGATTCCACTTGGTTCGTGCACAATGAAGCTGAACGCGACGACAGAGATGATTCCAGTCACCTTTCCAGAATTTGGCAATATGCATCCTTTTGTTCCAGTTGATCAGGCCGAAGGCTACAAGGTTTTGCTAAATGAGCTCGAATATGCTCTTTCTGAAGCCACTGGGTTTGATCGTATTTCACTTCAGCCCAACTCAGGTGCTCAGGGTGAGTACACGGGTCTGCGTTGCATCAAAGCCTATCTCGAGTCGATTGGTCAGGGTCAACGTGATGTTTGTCTGATTCCTGTTTCTGCTCACGGTACTAATCCTGCTTCCGCCTCCATGTGCAGCATGCAAGTTGTGACTGTCAAGTGTGAGGAGAATGGCAACCTTGATCTTGTTGATCTGCGCGCCAAGGCTGAGCAATACAAGGATCGTCTTGCTGCCACCATGATTACCTATCCATCAACGTATGGTGTGTTTGAAGATGGAATCAAGGAAGCCTGTGAGATTGTACACAAAAATGGTGGCCAAGTTTATATGGATGGTGCTAATCTTAATGCCCAAATGGGTCTCTGTAAGCCAGCCGAAATTGGTGCTGATGTTTGTCACTTGAATTTGCACAAGACATTCTGCATTCCTCACGGTGGTGGTGGTCCAGGTGTCGGTCCCATTGGTGTTAAATCTCATCTTGCGCAATTCCTTCCCTCCCACCCTGTTATTCCCATGGGTGGTGAAAACGCCATTGGATCCATCTGTGCTGCTCCATGGGGTTCGGCCAGCATTCTTCCCATTTCTTGGGCATATCTCAAGATGATGGGTGATCATGGGCTTCTTAAAGCAACCCAAGTTGCACTTCTTAATGCCAACTACATGCTACGTCGTCTTGCGCCCCATTATCCCATTCTTTTCACCAACAAGAATGGATTCTGTGCGCACGAATTTATTATTGACTGTCGTCAATTTGATGCCACATCACATATTGCAGCCATTGATATTGCCAAGCGATTGCACGATTATGGTTTCCATTCTCCAACCATGTCGTTCCCCGTTCCCAACACGCTTATGATTGAGCCAACTGAATCCGAGTCCCTAATAGAACTTGACCGGTTTTGTGATGCTATGATCCATATCCGCCAGGAGATTCGCGATGTCGAAGAAGGCCGTCAGCCTCGTGACAACAACGTCCTCACCCATGCACCCCATACAATGGATGTTTTGATCAATGAAAAATGGGACAGGACTTACTCGAGAGAAACAGCTGCCTACCCTGTTCCTGGACTGAAGAAACGTAAATTCTGGCCTAGTGTAAGCCGTGTAGATGACACGTTTGGTGATCGCAATCTGATATGTTCCTGCCCTCCTATTGAAGATTATGAACAATAAATTAAATTTGAATTGTGAGTAAAGCTCAGTTGTGTGGGGTTGAATCCAACAATACGATTGTTGGATTCATGTAAAATGAAACATTAGAAAGAACTGAATGAATGATTTATTTTTCTATTAAATTATTCAGTGATTATCATGTAGAGTTGAATTGATGAGATTGTTCTCTTGAACACGAAAGTATTAACAAAATCTGGTGATTATACAATGCATGATTATTAAAACAATTCGATTGTATTAAATAATGATTCAACTCATTTCTACTACAAAAATATAACTTCAACTCCATTCCAACAAGTGTTGACACACATACAACCGTGAATTGAGGCATATCATTCGAGTTGGAAACATTCTTTGTTTTTGGAGGAAACGCAACAATAGCATCTACGAGCCAAAACACATTGCATGGACATATCTGCCACTCCTTTATTGCCAAGAGGTGTTCAACCTGAAACGAATGCCAACAGAAACTCTTTGAATTCATCTGCTAGGGTTGAAAGACATGACAATGACCATCATGTTAGAGTTACGCATCCGTCTTCAAGGCATTCTCAACAACACCATAGCCTATTGTCATTGGAACCACCCATTATTTATGTAGTTATTGGGTTGCTGATACTTGTAGTGATTTACTGGGCACAGATGGCTATATCGTTTAGTGATGGTATGATTTCAAACTATTCGGGATTGTCAGTGTATGATTACCAATAGTATAGGGTTGTGTTTCAATATTTAACTTCTGGCACCATGAACCTGCATTAGAAATGTCCAAAAACTATCCCATGTTTATACGAAAATTATCACCCGGATGGATCTTTCATCGCAAAGTGGTAGGTTTGTCATGAGACTATCAGACATGCTCTTTTATGGTAGATTCTACTCCACCACTGCAATACACTTGATTCAACCATGCAAACTGGTATTGATACGCGAATGATATCGTTTCAAATGCTAATCTATTTAGGATAATAGCGATGCTCAATTCAGATCGTTTCGTAATAATATTCCTGCACTTTCATTGGTTCTTGTAGTTCATCAGGCCATGTCGGTTTTTTTGGGTGTGAGATTCAATTCTGGTCCCAATGCAGGCCATCGTCGAATGCATTTTACTCTGTGGTTTTCTGTTGTGTTTTTGACTATTTTGTTGGGTGTCGAGATGATCAAGCTCGTAGCAGTGTGTCTAATTCAATACGTGGTTGTAAAGCAATTCGGAGCAACGTGGATTTCTCCAGTATTTTCATGGTGTATGGGTCTAATGATCTTATTTGGTGGAGCTGTTGTAGACTTCAAGTTCGAGTATGTGTTTTCATGGCTTAGTTGGATGGTAATGTACAACTATCGCTCTATTTCAAATGGGTATGCATTGGGTAATGACTGCCACATGTCATTGACGGATTGGATTGGATGTATAGGATAAACTAAAAGGATTAGGCATGTCTCCAGCATATAATTTCACCATGCTACGCATGATTTCGTTTACCACAGACTATTATTGGCAAAGATTAGAGTCGGTCAAGCAGTTTGAGGTGTGTCAAATTATTGTCATGCACATCCATATACACGAGTCTAAACCCACACATTAATGCGAGTGTATTGGCTAAACTGTTTTTGTAGAAACACAAGATAGATTGCATGACTTGTTTTAATGGCGAAAGCACATCTGCATTTCGGTGTTCAAAGGGCAGAATTTATGCTTCACACCACGTATCCGAGTACTCCTTGATCAACTATATGACATATTTATTGTACGCGCCGTTGTTCCTTGCAGGTCCGATTATTTGCTTCAATGACTTTGTTGCGCAGGTAATTGTCTTGTTTGGTTGTTGATTAGATACCAGATCAGGTTTTTGGTGATGTAGTTGACGTATATACTGTTTGTGTATGGCACTTTACGAGTATATAGATTCACAGTCCTCCAAAAGAAGTTACATTGAAACGAATAGGTGTTGCGGCACTTCGATGGGCGGGAATAGTGCTGCTTATGGAACTATTTATACATTACATGTATGTTGTGGCTATTAAAGACACAGAGGCTTGGACAGGGTTTACGTCTGTTGAAATCTATGCTTTAGGATACTGGAATCTCAATCATATCTGGCTCAAGGTGAATTTTGCCTTGATTAAAATTATGACGAATACTAGACAAATGATTACTCAACGTTTTGACTATTTTGTGAATAAATTGTGTCATGTAGCTTACGATTATTTGGCGGTTCTTTGGTCTATGGGCGTTGGCAGATGGTGTAGAAACCGTAGATAATATGGCTCGATGCATGAGCAATCAGTATTCTGGTATCCAGTTTTGGCGTGCTTGGCATAGATCCTACAACCGATGGGTTGTCAGGTATTCCATTAGATACGTGTACAGTTGATTCCCAACCCACTCCAACTAATTTGATTTTTTTTATTATGGGGAATGTCAAGGTATTTATACATTCCACTTGGTGGAAATAAGCGTTATCTACTTAACCTGATTGCGACGTTTACGTTTGTAGCCATATGGCATGATGTCAAACTCAAGCTTTTGGCATGGGGATGGCTCATTGCATTGTTTATTCTTCCCGAAATGATTTTAACACGGTTACTTTGCAACGCCAAGGTAATATACTTTTGTCTCACAAGATCCAAGCCTATGTGTAAGAATTAAACCTGGTTGTGTTTTGGGTTTTAGTGGAGAGCCATTCTTGGATCAATGCATCTTCAAATGTGTGCTGTAGGTGGAGTATGCAACATCTTGACAATGATGCTCGCAAACCTTGTTGGGTTTGCTGTAGGACTAAAAGGCATGCAAGAGTTCATGTACCAGATTATGCACGGAAAAGGTGAATGTTATAACTAGAATTCAGATCTGTTGTTTATCAAGTCTAATCATTTGAAATGTTTCAATTGTTTAGCACTAGTGTTTTTTATATCTGTTATACCTGGGCTGTTTCTAATTGTTCATGTAGCGTTTTGGTGGGAGGCAAGACAGAAGCAGCGTGTAGAGTGATGCTTGATACTAGTTTGTTATTACAACTATCGACACAAGGTATGAGAATAAAGAGATGAAATAAAATGAAAAAGGTCAGCAACCAGTATCATGTGTGAAGTGGTTCTTGCATAAAATTCATCCACTACACTTTTGTGGCGGTCAGATTGGTAGATTGCTGATTTGAATAGCAGAAATATCCATTGTGGTTCATATAACAGCGACAATCTGACTTGTCAACACAATCAATGTACTGAACGACTCGCAGTCTCTTAATGTTATCCATATTTCCAAAACATGATGAAATCAGGCTGTTGAAATACAAGTATATATTCGTTCCATTTTGATTCCTACTGTTGTTGGCTGTAAACTCTATTCTTCAAAAGTGCGAAATGGGCTCAAGGTAAAACATTTCACTTTCAATTCAAGGTAATCGGCCCTGATTACATGGCATAGTTCAGAGCCAATTTCATTTACCAAAACATACTTCATACTACTAAAGTCAAGAAAAATAGCAAATTGCGTATACAATATAAAAAAATCTACGTTGTTGATCGGGATCCATGAGATGCCAAGATACGCTCTTCCAATGAAAACACGCGCTGGATCCACGGACTAGATAGGATAGAGTTAGTATCATTCAGCTAGCCATCAAAAGGGACAAGTGTCACCTACCGAACATCGTCTACAGCCTTGATCGATTCCAAGAATTCCATGACATGCAGTAATTCCTGATCTCTATGATCCTCATACCAGCTACTAATGGGTACACCATTGCAGATTTGATATGCAAATGCTTGAGGGGAATTGTCAACAATAATTGTGCGTGCCAGGTCTCTGCCTAAAATGTTTAAATCCTTTAGATAGTTTCCGCATATAAATAAACACGAGTCACGGAACAGTCGGTACTTGATGTATTTGTGCGTTGGGTCGATGATATTAAGGAGACGATCGGCGTAAATCTTTTGTGAGGCTGTAAAAACCACCACTTCAAAGATTTCTGAACAGCGCTCAAGAAAGGTTTTGTAGTGGGGTCGAAGCCGACCAGAAACTGTATACGTGATATTGTTGAATTCGACGGGGAAAGTAATATCGCAGTGATCGAGAGGGGATGTGCTACAGTGTACAAGCGTTTCATCTAAATCTAACACCTATTTGATGGTAGGATAAATGGTTGGTTAAAGGATCATTGTTTTCAAGCAAGATTAAAGTTTTGCACAAACACGGATCAATACAAGGTTGTATAGTAATATCATGGCACTAAAATACCATACAAGAGTAATGGGTGGACTTGATCTAGTTTTTTTTGGAAGAGCGCAGGGTCGATACAGTTGTTCTTTAGTTAAGGGAGGAAGTGTTCGAATAAAACAAAATCTATGATTGAACAGAAATAAACAAGATTAGGCCTATAATAAGAGCATACAATAAGTCAAGTTTACATACGGATCAAATTCGCCTTCTTCGGCCTCTACATCTTCAGATTCCTGTGAAATACCGGCTTCTATTTCAAAACACAAGACCATCAATGGACTGGCACAATAGATTGTGAGAGCGATTTCAATGAAATTTACCTGTGGTTGGCACGGCTGTATCTGCAGTAGTATAAATAGCGGCAGCCGAGTTATTTGCTGCATCATATGCAGAGATGGGTATTATATGAGTAGGTTTATGCAGGGTAGTAGTTTCATGGGGTGGAGGAGTATGTCCTACAAGATTCAAATGAATTGAATGACCAAGTCAGATAACGAATACAAGATTCATTGGAGAATTTAAAGTTGAAGCGAATAGTTTACCTATTCGATGGCCAGTAGCATGAACAGAATGATACAAAGGCGAGAAGATAGTCTGCTGAGACTCATCGCCCTCATCCCTTGCTGTAGAAGCCATATCCGCATCAAGAGTTTTTGGTTGCACAGCCAGTTGGGACTGCAGTTGACTCAGACGAGGACTTGCAGGACTGTATAATGGCGAGTTTAAAGACATGTCGAATGCTTGTCGAGATACTTTTACATCGATGGTATCGATTGAAGCCAGAGTTAGGTTCCGTTTTTGAGAGAGTCCAGAAGCAGTGTGTTGGGATCCAGATACAACCAGGGAAGCATTGGAGACTGTGACAGGAACTGTCTTTTTTCTGACTAAAGAGAGTGACGATATAAACGAGTTTTGAGCATGACAAGGTGATTGTTGCTGACAAGTCGCAGATGGGTTAGATACAGGAATTTGGATGGTATCGGGACGAAAGCTTGCAGGTTCAGTAGATGAAGTAGCAGTTGTGGAGTCTATAGAATCCGCACTCTTTCTTCTAGGACAAGTCAATACTTTAGATGGTGCAGTGGATTCATGCAGAGAACTAGACAGACTCGAGTGGGTTGATACAGACTCTGATGTTGGAGTCGGTGAATGTCGTGCAGTGGACATGCCATGAGATGATCGACTAGCAGTTGAGGAAATCACCGCTTTACTAACTAGCGGTGTTGACACTCTTTTGATGGGCTGAGTGTACTGTCGTTTGTAATGACTGTTGTTGAGCACACTGTTGCAGATAGTTGTTGAGTTGTCCTTGTTCAATGTGTCGTCCATATGATTAACAATCTTATTGCTGATACAATTATTGGATGTGTCCGATGGATGTGACATGACTAGATATCTGTAGTCTGTTGAGTCGAGACTGTTGATGAAAATATTGCTAGAGTGGTAATCGTTCCAGTTGATTTGTGAATGACTCCAGTGGTAACAGTACCAATTGGTTTAATAATTGTTAATCTTCACGTCAAACTTGATTAAAATAATCCAATTTTGTGACAATTCTTTTATTAAAAAAACTAAATCTTTACATTTCTATTAAACATGAATTCTTGAACATGTTGAAGAATCCAAGTTTAATAATAACTTGAATCTTGTCAAATAGTGTAAAACTAACTCAAACTTGTTTTTATTTTACGTGAATACACGACTGTAAATCCCAAACCTTGGCATGGTTTGATATTCTTTCAAAAAAGTTTATTCCATCCAATCTCTGTAGTCACCAATCCATTTACCCCTCAAAAAGAAATCATTTGGTCACAAGCATATTCAAAATATTCCTCTCGTTTAGCACGCACAGCTCGATCCCTCGGATTTGGCTGTAGGATTGACCTTGACATCAATGACTATTTAAAAACCAATGTTAAATCTGTTTTGTTGAAGTAATCAAATCATTGTGTTGGACTCACCATTGTTTTCTGTGCCTTGCGTTTCCATTCCAGGGAGTGCCATTGCAATCTTCTTGAATAGTGCCTTGACATTGTATCCTGCCTTTGCGGAAGTTTCAATGAACATGACATTAAACTCTTTGGCCTTTTTTTCCCCCTCATCAGTGGACACTTGTCTGTATCGGATGAATAAATGAAATCGTTTAATTCAGATTCCAATGCATCCTGTATTGATTTTGGCAAATAGAATACATTACCTTTCATCACTCAAATCAGTCTTATTTCCTACTAAAACCACAATAACGTCATTGCCTCGTTCGGCACGAACGTCATCTACCCATTTTGAAGTATTTACAAATGAGTTTCGATTGGTAATATCGTATACAACCACAGCAACCGAAGAGTCACGAATATAACTGGGAATCAAACTACGGAATCGTTCCTATTTATGATCAAACCAAGTAGATTCAAAACAGTGGTCAATGAATACATTTTAAATGTAAGATTTAAAGTGCATACCTGGCCTGCAGTGTCCCAAAGCTGTAGACGGGTAGTACGGTCTTCCAAGTACATGGTCTTTGACAAAAAGTCAATTCCAATGGTTGCCTAGTTAAAATAATATGAACAAGTCAATAAGCAATCCGTCTACACTGATACTCGAATCAAACTCAATATTGAATCTTGAATTGCATACTTGGTAAGTGTTGTCAAAAGTGTCATACATAAATCGAGTAATGAGCGAAGTCTTTCCAACTAACACATTCAAAAAAAGGATTAGAATGGTAAAACCAAAGATATGGATTAGTAAAGTTTCAATAATATATGCAAAAGCTTTGGTTGAACAAGAGCAATTTGTTTTAGATTGTAGCCATTGTTTAGAATAAAATCAAAAACTAAATCAACAGGCTCGAAACCAGATGCAACAAAGCAATGGGATTGGATGACTGGCAGTTTACAAGTTGCTAGTCAGATCTAGAGTGCCAAAATGAATAGCTTTAAGCCATCATTTGCTGCAACCAGTCTAATGTGGCGCTGAGAGTGAGTTACATCCAAACCACTAGTCAGGGTTGATAGTAACAGTTTGAATGCAACCATTCACATAGAATTGACTGAAATACTGAACAGGACAAGACTGTAGATGGCAAGGATTAGAAACCAGCCATAGCACGCAGCCTTTCACTTGGTAAACACAACTCAGTCAACTACACTCATGAAATCCTTCTAATGCTGCAGACTGATTTGAAAGAAACCATCCACTGTAGAGAATCCAAAATGAAGACATGACGAACACTGTCTATTCTCATACAGACTGGGGTTGACAAGAAGCCCACTTGTTGAATACATTGACTGTTAGTAGATGTTGAGAATGGATAGTATATTCTTTATAGACTATACTAGTACAAGTATAGATTGTTCTTGATTAAACAGAGCCCAAGATAGAGCAACAACCAATGTAAGATTAGTTCATACTAGCCAGTCATCACACGCCCACAACCATAAAAGTCCAATAGTTGGATATTTAAATACACTCCATGCAGTATTCTCAGTAATAAATATCAATACTAGCAGAACCCTACCCGACTGTTCTCCCAAAAAAACCAGCTTGAACTTGCGTAAAGGATTAGAGAATTCAGCGTTGGCCATTGCAAGTGGTTGATGAGGTAAGATTGGTGACTGGCTTGACGCCTCCTTTCATTACGAATTCACTCGTATCGAACTCATCTCAGTAAGAGATTGATACCATTCCCTTACAAGCATTCAAACTAATAGAATTCAACATTCATTCTGTTCATCTCAACTTATTCAGTTTTAATCCTTTATTATTTCTATTCATTTGATAAATCTTGATTCTACAATCTTAATACAACACGAATGGTTATTGTCATGTCTGGTTTGATTCTCGTATCCTTTGTCTTGTCTTGACTCGAATTTCTTTTTTTAAAGAATTTCTTGACTGGAAACTTGACAACTGGCCATTGGTACAAGAATAATGAATTCTTCCAGTATATTCCCAGTATGTTTGTGCAAGATCACCGCTATGGCTAAACCTGTTCATTTGACAACAAGAACGGCAGGATTTTCATTCACATCAATCAGTCGATCTCGAATTGGTGCCAAACCCATCAAGTGTCCTGCTCAAGTGACTTTCTCTTTGGATCCATACACTCCAACTCAGTCTTTTCCTGACTGTAATACCATGATCACTGTCAAGGGCCCTAAAGGACAGCTATCTATGCCTATTAAACCTTATGTGTCCATCACTCTTCCCTCGATCACTTCCAACACCACAAAGCAAACCGACTTTGCCGATGACGATAATCTCTATGACAATCTCAAAAGCAAGTCTGCAAATGCACTCCTTACCGTCGCAGTAGATACATATACAGATAAACGACAGAGAGCAATGTGGGGAACAACTCGTAATTTGATTCAAAATATGGTGATTGGTGTGACAGATGGATACATGATACCAGTGCGACTCGTTGGAGTTGGCTATAGAGCTCAGTTGGATGCAGTCACTGCTGGAAAGTCTAGTCCTTCCCAAAATCGTGCTCCTTCCGCTCCAGAGGATGGCAATCAGTTGGTTGTCCGACTGGGTTATCCTCACCCAGTAATATTTCATGTCAATGATACGGTGCAGGTGAGCGTGCCTGCTCCTCAAAGAATTATATTGCAGGGAATCGATCTGCATGCTGTCACTGCTTTTGCTGCAAACATTCGTAAATGGAGAAAACCTGAACCTTACAATCAAAAGGGTGTATTCGTTGGCGACGAAACCATCAAGAAAAAGGATGGAAAGAAACGTTGATCTTAATCCTCAACACTTTGAAAATAAACCAATTTAAATGGTTTTCTACTATCCAAGTTGATGTAATAGAGTGGGTTGGTATTTATAAAAACTGAGATTCCATTCATTTATCTTGATAGCAAAAATGACAATTCATGTCAAAACAACTTTCGTGCAATTTTTCTCGATGGATCTATGCAATCACTCTGTTAAAATCAATTGCTATATATTCACTTGGTCATTTCAATGTCATGTCATGCAACTTACTTGTATTGGAACCATCACCTTGCTGTACGTCCAGTTTTCGTTTTGATGCTGTGCTTTCTTCTGCCTTGATCAACTCGTCTGCTGCCGTGTTTTGTTGTGTTTGTCCATTGGTATCCTTTGGTAGTCGACTTGGATCCGTTGGACGCGGCAGGTTTCGAAAATAAACATGATCCAAAGCCTACCGTCCAGTGTTTATGTAAATCGTTTAGCATTCGTCAAACACAGTTGTAACGTTTGTAATTTACCTGTTCCGAGGTTATACGCTTTAGTGGATCGTATATGATCATGCGTTGAAGCAAATCTAAAGTGTCATTACTGGCAGCAGTGAATAGAACCGATAATGCCGTTTTTGGATGCATGGCAAACTCGTGGTAATCAGGTAGAGATTTTAGCCCCTAATTAATAAGATGTTAGCAGGTTTATACGAGTTTCTGTTATGTCAAACAATGCCAACTCACTGGCCAATCCTCTTCAGTGGGAGTTCCTAAAGCTCTGAAAATGGTTTGTAATTGACCAATATCAGTTTCTGCAGCAAAATAAGGTGTGCGCAACATCAATTCGGCAAATATACATCCGACAGACCACATATCGACTGCTGTTCCATACTGTTTGGCACCAAGTAGAAGATCTGGTGCTCTATACCATCTAGTCACGGCCTGACTTGTCATGGCTCGAGTGGGATCGCCAAACTCTCTTGCTAACCCAAAATCAGCAATTTTAAGCTGCCCAGTTGATGACAAGAGCAAATTGTTGGGTTTTAAATCCTAAACAAGATACACATGCTAGCATGAATGAGCAACATTTAGACTTGATCCCATTCTTGGAGATAAATCAACATGGAAAATAAAGCTTTACCCTGTGAAGAATAAAGTTTCGATGGCAATGGAATAGCCCACGAAGCATCATCAGCATCCAGCTTTTGATATCACCAGCACTAAATACCACATTCTTATTCTTGATGATCATTTCCAAATCAGCATCCAAGAATTCTAGCACAAGGTTCAGGTTGGTCTTGTGAGCAAACACATCAATCAGCTATTGAAAAGAATCGAAACATAACAGGTGTTAATGGATTGAATCAAGGCAGACTATATGCCGAGTTTAGATGAGCACCTCGACAATGTTCACATGGTGCAACTCTTTAAGTAGCTTGACTTCTCGTATGGCAGACATGTCCAAACCATCCTTGAATTGGCCAATCTTGATCTTTTTAATGGCTACTTTACGTTTATCCAACTCCTTCTTGAGTCCTGGTTGATGGTGTCATTCAAACAGTTTAGTGTTTGATGTATGCAAGCTGAATGCAAAGACATGTTGGTTGATGGAATACCTAATGTTTTTGAGTCGGTGGAACCAACAGCAGTATTGGGAATAGCCCAGCCTTGATACACTACAGCATAAGTGCCTTCACCCACTTTTTTTTCCTTCTCATATGCCGAGTATTTAGGAGTGATCATGATTTATATGTACGGATTGAATGGTAAACTTCAAGATTTAAAAAACTCGGTTCGAATCCAACAGCAATCTATAAACCTTTATTTCAACAATAAAAACTGGATTTGGAAATAAAAACTATACACCAAGAATTCCTATTTAAGAGTAAGAACTACACGGCTTGGAATAATCCACTTGACTACTCGCTGGTTCAAAGTTCATTTCCATCATCTCGATCTCATCCGTAGGAGTTATTGTCATCCTTTCTTTGCATTTCCCAGTGTATGTTTCCGAGTCGGGTTGGAGTGGTGCGTCAACGGGTGATGGAACTTCTGTGTGGTTATGACTTTGCGTTGTTGCTTTGGCTGTAGTTTTGGGTCGTATTGCTACAAATGCCAAAACTGCCGCGATAGCAACCAAAGCCGCACCAATAACTAGTCCATACACTACACTACCAGAAATAAATGGTTTAGATGTAGATTGTACCGTAGTACTGGCACGAGCATACACATGCTGTAGACTTGGTTGATTTATTTCGTGTACTTGCATCCATTCTTGCATGTCCTTGATTACATATCCCATAACCTAAATCCCCGTATCATTTCGTTACGTTTTGATTTTGAATCATCTCAATGGTATGAATGTGTTAATGTCTTGATTTATTTCTACTTACTGGCGTGATGATAGTTCCACCAACAAGGGCCTCATACAGCTTGACAGTTGATGTATGCATATTATTTTGAATTCAGTCGTCTCTATGATGCGTTGATACAATTCAAAATGGTGTAGATTGGACAAGTTTGAATTCGCGTTTTAGCAGCTGGAATGCTCAACATTCAGCAGTTTCCTATGCATCAATATGAATGATGCAGTCTGATACATACAGATGATGATCAAATTTGAAAAGTACAATACAGCAGTACCAAAACCATTTATAAACATGAGTGCATTTTAAAACATTTATATTATACCACAAGTCTAAAGATAATAAAGTACAACTGAAAAAATTGTAAACCTATCCGCCAAATCCTTCAACTCCATCCCCCACACCCTTATCACTCATCATTTTTGCATCATTTACATACATATCATCATCAATAGAGTCGTATAGTGTAGGGTGTATATCTCCGCTGTCATTGATATTTCCAGACACCAATGGATGATACGTGTATGATGGATAGATGACTTTGGGTGAGATTTCTGTAGAAATGTAGGGTCTAGGAGCAAACGAATGATGCTGGCAGTAGTTGTGATGCTGAGATATAGTGTGCTCCCTTTGTGAACTTATGCTAGATGAAAATGTCGGTGGGTGCTGAATATTAGGAATTTGTAAATGCTGTATATGTGGTAATGCACGCAATGATGTGTGGTGTTGCTTGTGTGATGAGTAACGACTATTATTACCAGATTCATCTCGAGTCGTGTCTATCCCGTTGTCAGGCTGCAATAGTTCTGAAAACCCAACAGGGTTAGTAAACTCTAGTGAAGAGGATTGCCCTACTCCACTCATCTGTGGGTATCCTTGCTGTCCGTGATGATGTGAATACACTCTTTGGTGTCGAAATTGTTGATTATGCATCAATTCATGCTGCTGGTTGAGCAGATGCTTGTGCTGTTCTTCTTGATGATTGAATCCACTGCCTTGCACGTTTTGATCGAAATGAGAATCATAGTGTCGTTGCTGACCAGAATCAAATGAAGCATGATTATAATTTCCCTGGTGCTGATCCAAAAAAGCCATACCTACATCTATAGTAGGTTTTACTAGTGAGATTGGACCATTCACGACGCCAACATTTGAGATCCGAGTGTTGGCCAAAGACAAGACGTTTGGATTAGCACCACCAGCAGAGGTAGGAGTGGGAAATGGTCCAACATTATTCTCTATATCTTGATTGGAGGTCAGAATTCCTAAATTATGAGGAAACCGATTCATGGTAGTTGCAGAGTCTGCAGAAATACCGATTTGGTGGTGGGGATCAACGGCAGTTAGAGGAGATACTGGGGAGATATGCAGTTGGGGTGCATTGAGTGGATTCAAATCGTCAACGGATAGTTGCTGAATTGTTTGAACATTAGAAGTGGGTGGATGAGGAGAATTTTTTAAATTTAAATCTACTAATGAAGAGTCTACAAGAGCGTTGGATATAGTGATGGCATCATCAATGTTTGTCATGCCAGAAGCATTTTCCAACTGCATATCCATCATGTACTTTGAATCGGCACTCATGCCTGTGCGATTGAAATTGACACTATGAAAGTCCACATCAGGAGGCGGCATGTTGATGCCCTCATCTGGAGTATTCAGACACGATTGAATGATGCTTTTGCCTTCAGGATTGGTAATCAATGGCTGCAGTTTTGGAGTGGCAAAAGTATATACATGTCCAGTTTCAGAGGCTACTAGTAAAAGTACTTGAGTTCCAGTAAGAGTGGATAGTTCGTATGCCTGATAAAGGTTGATGTTGAATATAACATTCAGTAATGGTTTTAAAGTTTAAATCTATTGATATTTTCGACCCGTCGTTTTGTACGGGTCGAAAATATCAATAAAATAGTCATGGCTTGACCAAAACAATTGTGAATGCATTGATCACTAAAACGGGCCGATCCACCGCAAAAGGACAAGATGGCGGATCGAGATGCAGTTAAAGGATCAATGCCTCGTTCAATCCATAGAGCGAATTTACCTTTTTCATGATCCCAGCCTTTCTTTTGGAAAAGGTAATATGCCGGCGAGACTTGTCTTCAATATACTCGATTTTGATTTTTCTTCTACCAGCGGTTCGTTTCCTAGTAAATCCAGTATCGAGAGAATTGAAGCCAGTAGCATCATTGATATTGTTTCCACTGTTAGTACCAGTATTGGATTGTTTGAGTGTCTTTGATAGATAGTCAGAAGTGCAAGCTGAAGTAGATATTTGGTTGTTACCATTATTAGCTCTAGTGGTATCATTAGCTAGACCAGTACATTGGTAGAATGATGAGTAATTTAAAGATTGACAATGGTAGCGAATGCTTCCACTGAAAACAAAAACTGGTCAGTTGCGTTACCTTTGTTGGACACATGAATCATGTTTCCAGAAGGATTCAAATGCAGAACACTAGTGCCTTTAATATAGTCAGTGCTAATATCGTCGTCGTCATCCTCATCGTCGTCGTCGTAGTGGTGAGTGCTTGAAAATGACATTTGTTTACAATCCTTTCCAGATCGAGCAAACTCGGAGAGTTCTGCCTCGTCGATATCTCTCTTGAGTGACATGGTTGATGGTTTTACAGATGTATTCATGTAAGATGGATACTAAATAAAAGTACAAATTGCATAAACTCATGAAATGATTGGTGACAATTCACACTAAATTTACAAAAAGCATTCTTGAACCCTTTGGCAAACTGACTGATTATTGCGAGTATTTTTCAACTGAATGAATGATTTATTTTTCTATTAAATTATTCAGTGATTATCATGTAGAGTTGAATTGATGAGATTGTTCTCTTGGACACGAAGGTATTAACAAAATCTGGTGATTATACAATGCATGATTATTAAAACAATTCGATTGTATTAAATAATGATTCAACTCATTTCTACTACAAAAATATAACTTCAACTCCATTCCAACAAGTGTTGACACACATACAACCGTGAATGATCGCTTACGATCATTTGCAAGTAATTTGAATTCAAATTACTTGAACTGTCACAAAGCCGATTTGAACTATTATCCAGACTATCAGTTGCTATTTTATTCAAACGACTTGGAATACTTGTACTTGAACATTATTGTCAATACTACACTGGATTAAACTGCTTTGTAAGTGTTTGCTGGTGTTGGTATCACTCATTTGTCTAGTAATAGTTTGACATTAAACCAATGGTCAATTGCTACTAAAAACTACTCCATCATCTGCTATAGCAGTACTGACTACCACAGGCTACTGCTGGCTTGTTTTTACTACTGAAACTTTACACTTTTGGATTTACTTGGTTTATTCACTACTGGTCTAGTGTAATCTTGATTCTGCTAGGTATTGCATTGGTGTGCATCCAGTTATCTTGACTCTATCTCAGCTCTCATCTTTGTATTACAGTCGTATTCACGTAGAATGGGTCACTTTTTTGTACTTGTCTTGCATTGATTGTTTTTTTTTGTTTTGGAATAGACCATAGTCGAAGATTTGTTGCGTATTCCTACTACAAATCGACTGCATTGTTTGTTCACTCGACACAAGGTCCATCTTACAAAATCAAACTATAGTTTTGACCTGGAGTTGTCCTATTTTGGCATAGCCATACATTGTACGATCACCAGATTCACAACAATCCAGATATTGGATTCAACTGTTTCGATGTTGTCAATGCAACTCATTTTTGTTGTATCCTAAAATCTTACAGATACATTTGCGCTCTAACTCAAGAGAACAATCTCAGGATGCAACTATACATGACACTCATCTAATGTTGCAATCTTTGATTTTCAGAAATGAGAGTTAAAGATTGTGCAAGTGTGTGATGTACTGTACCAGAAATGTAAACATTCACCCACTTGTACAAAATGAGCACAATGCCAGTCAACTTTGTCAAGGGGCTCAAAAACAGTGGTTTTTAGTGAATTTGGTGTGAATTGCCACCAATCATGTCATGAGACTATTCTGCATTTTGGTCCTTTTATTTAATATTTCACTTAAGTGAATACGACTGTAAATCAAATGCAATATAGCACTACTTGGAGTATATATCAGTACCTTCCAATTGAAATTATCTAATCATTTCCTTCAATACTGGCACAGTTTCATAGTTTTAATACACACATTGGTTCTTTATTCGATTGTCCTATTTATAACTAGTCATTCATTATCACTAATCCATTTATTATTTGCATTACCCTTTGCCAATTTTCATTAGGAATCCAAGCTTGAATTTTAAACCTCAATTCTATCATTTCAAATAGATATTGCCAATCATAGATTGGCTCCCTAAAGATGAACAGACACGAGGATCGACCTTTTGGCTTAGATGGACAATATTCAAACCCGCAGTTTTGTAGTCAAACCTCCTTGTCATCTAGAGCACAACCATTGTTGTCAAGTACTACTGCTTCAAACGCGACTGTTTTGAATATATCTGATACATCAGAACCTTTAAATAGCAAAATATCGAATAGACCCTCATCCCCTCAGAAAAATCCATCTTCTACGTGTGCATCACGCTCTTTGGTATCTGACCCTGTAGCAGTTGTATCTACTGATTCTACTATGAATTCAGACTTATCTCATTCAATTACGGATAATGTGGATTGTAAAAATCAATTAGAGTCTTGCACACAGCCCTCTATCTCTATTGCTTCTCCCAAAACGCTGACACCCACATGCCACCCCACCCCAATAGCAGCATCAAGCATGACGAAACAACAGGCCGAATCACAATCATTGCATCAACCCCAACAAACTCAATATTTGTCCCGTACGCCTCAATCCAAACACATATTTGATATATCTTTGCATACTTCAAGTAGTCCATTGACGGACTTGAGTATGACTGCCAGAAGCACTTCTTTATCCCCTCTTTCTGATGTGCCTGTGGAGCATACTAGACTGTCACCCCAATCTTCAAACATCTCTGAAGTCGATATGGGTGAGCCAAGTGTTGTTGATCGGTCGTATAGAGATTCTTCTCATTTTGCTTATCAAGGTATGATGTTGTTTGGTTTGATTTCAAGATTTATGGAATGGTGTTGCTTTAACATGTGTTGCTTTCTTATAGATCATGTAAAATTAATGTTACCCAGTAAACCACAATCTAAACAAAGAGCAAAATCTGAAGGCGATGATGCCGATCCCTCTATAATACCTACAAACTTGGATCCATTTAACGCATCTGACAATCCATCCGCCTTTGCTCATTCAAAGACACATAACAAGCGTATTGATCGAAGTAGTTCTGAATGCAATGATAGCGATTCAAGCAGCAACACTCATCGCCGTCACAGTCATACCAACTCTGGTAGCAAAACGAACAAAAATGGCGATGGCACGCTGGCATTGCGGGGATCTAAACCAACAAAACCAAGGCACAAGAAAAAAATCAAAGAGTGGGAAAGGGTGCAGGCTGAGCGATATTTGGAACTTCAACGTCGTAACGCTGCTGCAAGCGCAAATCACTCTCAAATGAGTAATAATTTGAACCATGGCGAAAATGCAACACGAGAATCTAAACATGGAAAACACAAATTTGATAACAATCTATCAGTTAATGCATCACTAGATTCAAAACTACTCGGTCCGTTGTCATCTGGCATTTATAAATCTTGTACACTACCATATACAACCAACACAGATGGTTCTACCAATACGCCACGAATTTTTACACAACTAGCATCGGCCAGTACTACTATAAATGAATCCAGTGCTACATCCACTCCCACATTTCCTACTCGGAATTCACTCAACTTTAAACGTTCTTCTATTGCAACAGATGCAGCTCACTACGATCTAGATGAGTCAGGTGGTGTGACGCTTCCAGACCGTAAACGACCCATTCCCATTGCCACCATCAATACAGCTGACAGATCTGGTCGCACTCTTCTTTTCAAGTACACAACTCGTAACGATGTTGCTACCTGCACATCCCTGCTTAGAGCAGGCATTCATCTCCATCACACCGATCATGCAGGATATACAGCTTTTCATGAAGCGTGTCTTGAAGGCCATACAGAAATCGTGTCTTTGATGCTGTCTTTTGGTGCAAAGATTGATGCTCCTGGCGGAAGCGAAGGCGATACTCCTTTACACGATGCCATTAGTAATGGGCACACAGGGGTTGTGGATATGCTACTACGCAATGGTGCTAATATTTCAAGTGTAAATCGAGCTGGTCAAACTCCTATGGAATTTGCTTCAGCTTGTAGAGTTGACATCACCAATGCTATCTCAGCCGAGCGTACTGAAATCTACGATATGATCAAAAAACAGTCCAAATCAGTTCAACATTTTGACGACGGCGATACTGAATTGTGGGAGACGCCAAAACTGAAACGATTGATGTCAGACCAGATCAAATTAAACGATATTATCAGACTATTGAATATATGGCAAGATATGACCTTTCGTGTTGTTCAGCGAGATACCTCGGGTCAGACTTTACTTCATCACGCTTGCGCTTCTGGAAACCTTGATGAAATTTGTCGTCTGTTAATGTATGGCAGTGATATCGATGCTGCAGATAATTCGGGATGGACGCCGTTACACGATTCTGCATTGGCAGGCCATACAGAATGTGTCAAAGTGTTGCTGCAGTATGGTGCTGATTTAGGCGAATCTGGCGGTGAAAACGGAGTTGATACACCCCTACACGAAGCAGCTGTAAATTGTCATGTGGATGTTGTTAGAGTTTTGCTCGAGTATGGGAGTGATCCAACAAGAAAAGACACCAACGGTCAAACACTACTTGATTTATGCCGCGCCAAGTCAGAAACCTGTCATACAGATGATATGAAGGTTGATAATGACGATATTGAAAAAAGACGGCAACAGGTTACTGAGCTGCTGTCTAGACCCAAATCGGAATGGTTGCCATATACTTTACCCGAGTTTTATCGTCATTTAGTGGGTACATTGGAGGAATCAGACTACATTGATCAGTCTCATCATGCTATCAAGCCCGGATGCCATTCTGCCAAGTCTGCTATATATCCCTTATCGACAACATCATTGGATTATGATACGGGTCAGCAGGGAATGACGCCCACAAGTTCCACCACTTCACATGCGCATCACGGTGATCTGAGACGGTCCAGTGTAACAAGCAACTCTGGGGAAGATCGAAACTTTTTAAATGGACTACCCGCCTCATCTTCACAAGCCTCGTATCGATTTGCATGGGGTGGCTTGGATCCTCAATCTGGACCTTTCGAATCCACACGCGAAGAAAAAAAGTTTAAAGCACTATGGAAAACCATTGCCAAAGAAGAAGGTGGCGACACTGTACTTTCTGGCGGCGAAGGGGGTGAGAAGAATGATTATATTGCCAATAGTTCAGATACAAATATCCGGCGTAAAAAACGTGGCAGTGGGCATTCTACCTTTAGTCGCGCTGGTGCTGAAGGCAGACGACGTTCGCACGAACAGTTTGATCAAACCCACACGTACTCGGAATCCATTGTATCAGATGATAGTCGTGGTTTATCCAAACCCCGCAATCTTTCTAAACGGAACCGACAGCGCATGTCTAGCTCAGATGCTTTAGAATCCGATGAAGATGAGCGTGCTTCTGACTTGTCTAATCAACCGTCTCGTTTTAAATCTAGAAATATTGATTTAGATGGTAGTGGCAATGGGTTGAAGAGAAAAAGTGGTGCGAAATCTGCCGATACTGATACAACCAAACGCAATCAAGCCAATTTAATTGCAGGCAAAGATTTTAACAGTAAAAAATCACGTCTAGGCAACAAAAGAGATGGCAGTGAGCGGAGTGGAGCTAAACTCAATACAAGCGGCACATACTTTACTCAAGGCAGCGATGATGGTTCCAGTCATGACAAGTCTGTTTTAAGTGGAAAGCATCTACCACATTCTACTGATGTAGAATTCAAATCATCATTGCGTACTACATCTACTTCTGTAGACGACACTTGTCATACTGGAAATATTTCTTCTGATTCAGTCCACCATAGCAAAAACAGATTGAGTGATGTTAATCATGGACATATCATTAATGCCAAACAAGACTCGTATACCATGCCGGATCATAAATCTAGTGGGAAATCTTCGTTTTCAACTAATATTTCAAAGCACGACTCTGATATTTCCAGAGACTCGACTGTCGAGTATTCCACTGTTTTAAGTAGAACAAAGCGGCCCGCTTCAAGTAAAGAGACTGCTGGTTTAGACGCATTGGGCAAGTCTGTTTCAGTCTCGTCCACACGATTGTCACCAACAGATACTACTAAATTTATCAAAAGGCAATACAAATCTAACAAAGAGATGGATTCTGATCATGAAAGTGATCGGCAGGGTATCAAGGGCATGAGCGAACGTGAGCAATCTCTCGCGATTGGGTTTTTTGGTGATGACGATTCAAATCAAAGTGATAGTAGCCGGTACACCTCAAAAAAAGTGACAGACCATACTGCTGACACGTCGCCTTCGTTACCTTTTACCTCTGTGCCTGCTTTTTCAAACGCAAAGTCTTCGCGACCACTTTCAGCCGGCAAACCATTGATTGGTGATGGTTCTGTGTCAGTACAAGGAGGTTTGACAACACCAAGTAAACCGCCACTGATACCCAAGCCAACACTGACGTCCATACCATCAGCTAGTACTATCACATCTATTTCAACACCAGCTACAATGTCATTAACGCCCATAGCAATCACTCCTGCGGTTACAAAAATCAAGAAAAAGAAAAAGACATGGCTAGGTATTTCTGGATATCAACGTGCTGGAACTCAGTCTAGTGGCAGTGGTGATGATGCCGGCACGAGTGGATCTTGTGGTGGTAACAATCAGCCTGCTTCTGAAAATGGGCTAGTTGCTGTTGATGAGGATATACCAAAATTGGGTCAGAATGACACCAAAACTCTTGCTGTTTCCGTTGCTCCAGATACCAAATCCACCAGTGTTTGTTCTACTGTCGATACAAACAGTGGCTTATCACCAACTACACGTAGTACTGATTTGATTGTAAAAGCTGAGCCTGCCAGTTTAGCAACTTTAAAGCCTCTCAAGACAGACGCTTCGACTATACAACAACCAGTACCAACATCATCAATACCCAACGTATCAGCATCTGCCGAAGTAACAAACACAAATGGTTGTATAAGCGACGTAACAGAACCTGCTAAGCAGTTTGGATCGCTCCCAGGACTTTCGACATCTACCAAAGTTATACCTACAGATAACAGTGATATTACTTTTAAATCGTCATCATTGCACGTACCTGGTTTAGCAGTAGAAAAGACCATTGTTGAACCACAGCAGCAGCCAATAACATTGGCACAAAGAAAGCAGGCTAAACAGAAGTTACGGCAGCAAGCATGGATGGAATCGGAAACTGGGATGAACAAGACGCATGCGGTATCTACAGTACCTGCCACGATCAGTTCAAATCCAGAACGTGCCGCGATCATCAAGGGATTGTACAAGGCACATTGTTTGCCACTTTATACATTGAATTCACAGCTGCGTAACTCACCAACAGAAAATCCTGTAGCGCTACAAGAAATACACTCGATTGAATCTGAAATCTACCTGGTGGATCTCCAGCTGGCGCTTTTTTTAGGACTTAAATCTGGACGAGCACTGCTGGATACATATCCAAACCTATCGCGTCGAGTTGCATCCATGGCGGAAAAGACTGCTTTAGAGCAAAGTCCCGTTTCCGAGTGTATTTATTCATGCATGGCACACTGCTCACCTTCCTCTGTAAAATGGGTCAAGACGATCATTCGAAGTGACGGAAAAACAGCGTTGAAAGTGAGTGATTTGGACATTCATTTGATTGACTTGCATAGCTGCTTGCAGGTTGTTCCTCTTGTAAAGAAGCTTTGTGAAGTATTTGAGTCCAAGTTAAGCGGTGGATTTGTAGACGGAGTGGATACACGGCTAGTTGTAGTGGATATTGTCTTGGGAAAGAATGGAACAACTGTTGGAAGCGGGAGGGCCAAGTTGATGAGTAGTAACGCGGCAAAGGGAAGTAAAGATGGCTCTGTTATGCCATCACAACCGTTGGCTCATGCACATGGTCGGACTGAATCTGACGAACGATTGCACTGTAACGATCATCAAGCACGCTTTGAAACCAAAACCATACCAAGTGGAAGTACGTCTAAATATGTGCATAAACTCAAGCGGTCTACTGGATGATTATAAGAAAGCGACCAAGAAATTAATTAAAGTGTTTATGTATTGAATAGAGTTGATAAGAATGATGAGAATTAGACTAAATTCAGTCCAAAGAGCGCGTTCGATCAATCCGTGAATTTAAAATTCAATTTGACAAATAATATTAGACTTGCTTGTAGTTGTAAGCAATGGGGTTGGGCACTCGTAGAAGAATGAGTGGGATTCCTTCAAGATCCGGTCAAAGGAGTGTCCAGAGTAATCGGACAACTCCCAAAACCACCGAATCTGCAATCACTACCGAGATTGCTGTTGTTGAACAGGTTGAATCGGAAGACTCGAGCACTACTAGTGCAGAGTCTGATGATGTTTCTACTTCGCATATTGTCTTGACTGCTCCTGTAAGAAAACGACTGGGAAACCGACGAGTTTGCACTCGATCGTCCACTGGAACTATCAAAACTACTGCTGGATCCACTCCTAAAAAGTCATCAACTCATACACAGGATATACCAATCCATCATTCTGATACTATACATAATTCAACTCAAACCACTGCATCGCTTTTCAGAAAACTGGTTATTCCTGGTCAATTACTTTCTCAAACTACCTTGCATGCAAGTGCTGGGTCCTCTCTTGACAAAAACGACAGCTTGCTGGATATCAGCGATCACAGCGATACTAGCTGCGACACGGCTGTTGCTTTAGATTCCATCTCTACCATGACCAAGGCAATTTCAAACTCTAATAGAATCACTGGACTGGAAGTCATTGGAGATTCAATTGACATTTCTTGTAAATCTACTACTCGATCTGGCAAGACATTGGATATTAATCCAACACAATCAACTCTTACTCGAACGCCGTATCGTACTCGACCTTTATCTGGTTTGTCACTCACTCAAAGCTCCACTCGTCCATCTCAATCAAGCACTAGACATCATACTCGCTTTCAATCGCAATTTCAGTCCAAACAAACTCACTTGGTGGAAGATATTGCTGGATTTGTGTCGGACGAAAGTGATGTTGATGTTCAGATAAATTCTATAAAAGGCGGCCAGATGGCTTTTACTAGTCCTTGTAAATCAGTATCGACACTTGTGCAGCAACAAGGCGAATTTGAATCTCAGTTGTGGGTTGACAAATACAAACCAAATTCAGAGGTAATTTCTTGAAATAATGTATACATTGTTGAATATCTATTCTTATAGTCGTTGATGGATTGTTTGCAATGATTTAGGCAGAGGTGGCCATTCATAAAAAAAAGCTCAAAGATGTGCGAGATTGGCTTATCCGTGCATTTTCGGGACACAATGGAAATGGCCGTACAAATGGAAAGCTACTTGTCCTGAGCGGTCCTTCTGGTGTCGGAAAAACAGCTGCATTGAATGTACTTGCTTGTGAACTCGATTTTGAAATTGTAGAATGGGAGAATCCTGTTAATATCAATACATTCCAGTCCATTTGGGATCGTCACGATAGTCTGGGTAAGCATTGTTTTGAACTAGATTCAGCTACTAGACACCACCCTTGATTTTTATATTATTAGATTGACTGATGATTGTAATATTTATTTTATATTAGGAGCCGATGGGAAAGTGGAACGATTTACGTCAGATTATGTTCCTGTTTTGCAACGATTTCAAGATTTTTTGACAAGCTCATGCAAAACTCCTGCACTTCATTTCACAACGACATCTGTAAATAGCAAGTCCAAATCCTTGACACAGTCAAATCTACACACACAATCATATAATTCACCCAACATAGCATCAACATCAAAGCGGAAAATTGTGTTAATTGAAGATTGGCCACAACTGGGATCTATGTCATCTCGTACTTCTGTACATACTGCTTTAAGAATGTATTTGGCTTCAAAAAACTCTGCGTATCCTCTTGTGCTTATTATTTCGGATACCTCGGATGTACATCAAAGCGGTAATACTATGTTTAAAGGAATGGGGTTTACAGATGCTCCTATTACTTTGAGAACGCTGATTTCTCCTGATATCTCTTCTCAAGCATCGTACACGCATATAAAGTAAGTACTAAAATGGATCATTTGCACTGTATAGTTATTGCTTAAACGTCTCGAGTAACTGAAAATACATTGAATTTGACCTGGACCATGACTACTGCACGGTTTACATTAGATTTAATCTAGTAGCGCCGACTATTTTAGCCAAAGCTCTTACACGGATTGCCGATATTGAGTTTCGATCCATGTCAAAACGAATTCATCGGCCATCTAAAATGATGATTGAATGGATTAGCAAGTCGAGCAGCGGGGACATTCGCCACGCAATTCATCGCTTACAATTTTTGGCTTTAATTGATCCAAAGAGTATTCCATTGAGTTTGCAGGAAGAGCCACAGAAATATAATAAACGAGGAAGAAATGGTAGGTCGCTTGTATCTGCTGATGATACTAGTGACAGAGCTGTATGTAGCACGCTTGGAGGTGATGGATTTCTTGATGCTGGCCTATCCAAAAGTCCACATGACCGCAGTAATGCACGAGGTAAATCGAGTACTGTTCGTGCCTCGTTAGACCAAGTCGACTGTCGCGACGAAAGCGTATCTATTTTCCAGGCTGTTGGTCGTATTCGATACAATAAACGACTGGATAGTGTTGCTCCTTGTGAGCATCTTCTTGGACCTACTCTGAGTTGTATGAAACGAACTACTTTAGAAGCCGTACCGGAAGTATGTGGATTCAGGATGCAATTTTAACTGTAGCATTGATGGTTGTGTGGTGACTCATGCTTGACCATTTTATGAATTTGTTTTAGGATATTTTGAGTCTTCTCTATGTCGATCCTGATGTGTTTACGCTTTTTTCTGAGCAGAATGTGCCATCAGCCTATACTACTGTTGAAGAATTAGTCTTGGCCACTTCTTATTTGAGCGATGCTGACATCTATACTGGCCGTTGGGAGGTATTGTATTTTCAATTAAATGATATTGATGAGTTGTAGCATGTCTATTTTGTTACAGTTCAACCAGCGTGTATAATAATTTGGTTTTTGGATCATTTACTGGACTATAGAACCGGCGCATCATGGCGCAATATACCATGTCGGTGACAGCTCGCGGTCTGTTATTTGCTCATTCGCCCTCACCTCTTGTATCATCCCTTGAACATGTATCTGCTCATTCATCTGAAAATCAATCTCGAGCAACAGCAAATTCGTTTGCGAAGCGTAATGAATTCAATCAACTACACAAGCCGGAAGCGTGGCAATGCCAAACTAGAGCACGGGAAAACCGCCTTGCAATTCATGCTGGATTGGCTGCTGAGTGGACTAGACAGTATATGAAAATGTCAAGACTAGATTCGTTGGAAGCTTTTGCACAAAACGAAATGGTACTATCTCGTAAGTATATTTTCTTGTTATTGCTAGTATTACATTTTACTAGTAATGAAATAGCTGACGCTGGCACTCTACTAGACCATGTTTCGGAATCGGCTTTGTGGTTGGAAATTGTACCCTTTTTGGGTCTTCTTGGGCGTACAAACAAACATCCTCCAGTTCGGAACTTACCTGGTAGGAATTTTGGTATTAAATTGACACTTTTTGGCTCTAGTCATTGTCTTACAGCAGTATGCTATTTTCTTTTGATTAAACTAGGATATGCAAAATCCGCGCTTGCTAGTGTTTGTGGTTACTCGTTGATTGCTGGAAGCAAACTACTTGATGAAGGATCGTATGATGGTGGGATAGAATACCTTGATGCGATTGAAGATTTGGCACATCCAGGCCATCAAATGGATGGACGCCCGACAGCATCTGCAGCATTCTCTACAGGAACAGGCCATGGTCGACTGGAATGGAAAGACCACCTTGCACTTGCTGATGATGACATTGAAGAGTTTTGATTTGTGGCCATATTCACGTAAAGTGGAGTACTAAATAAGAGCCGCGGTATAATATAATAAACAGTCAGTTTCATGAAATGATTGATGCCAGTTTACTCGACCGTATTGCGACCTTTGGACTTGACAATACTAGACTCGACATGATCTGCCAACCGCTCAACAAACAGCAATGTCGTAGGTATAGAACTACATATTCATTCTTGAGCCTTGCTGAAAATTACTCGGATAGTCAAAATGGCTTGTATGGCATGTAATTCAAGACAGAAAATGTGTATTCAAGTCCATCTCAAATAGGAGAGTATACTGGATATGTAACCATTGTTTACTTGAGAGCAATGGCTGAAAAACAAATACAGATGCTCCACTCCACTTCGATACAGCGGTAAATGAATATTGAAGGGGCTATCACACTGAAAATAAAGAGTATAGAAAAATATTTATATTTCAACGACCCAACCTCGTTATATTTTGAAACCACTCCGATGGCATCAGATAAGCAGTTGTTACAGTTTTTCGGAAATATGAAAATCTCCGTTTGTAGAATTGCAGATTGTTTCAGATTGGCACACACACTAGTTGAGCATCAAGGTCTCGCGTCAGAACAAGCCAACACCAAGATCACCAAGCAGCCGCTGCTATATCGAATGAGAAACGTTGTCCTCTATTGAATCGAGACAAGTAACAGATTGTAGCTCAGATCGTCCAGCAAACTGGTCATTTCAACAAGCCAGATTGTCGCTGTGGTGTAGGAAATACGAGCGATAGATGATCCTGCCATTGAAATCAATAGATGAACAGTCTACCGATATTTGAATAACATCACCAAGGATGATGGCTGATGGCAATCTCTCATTTGTTTTCAGACTCTTTTTCCTCAGCCGTAAATCAGCTTGTATTGGCTTTGCTCTGTTGACTGGAAAGTGCCAATTTGTGAAGCTTAGCTACTGGTCGAAACCAAACACCAATAGGCACAACCAGCCTGTTCAAGAATGCAAAGTGGAAGTCTGATGGCAACTCAATACACAAAGCGAGCCAGTTGATATCAGTATATAATCCCTTCATTCTTCACTATAAACTATATCTCATCAACCATCAAAACACACTATGAAGCACCTCGCATTTATCATATCATCACTTCTTATTGGCAAAGCATGTGCTCTGCCTATATTCCATTCAAATAACGAATCGGCTCACTTGGAAAAGCGTCAGGTGGTCTTTAAACCAAGAGGATTTATTAGTATTCCAGGCGAAAGCATCCAAAGAGTTCGCAACTAGTTATTCTCGGCACTTTCGATTTACATCCATATTCATGTGAAATGGAACGTTTTAATATTTATCCTGCAGCAACTGCTATTATTTGCTTTCAAATCAACAATATTTAAAATAAATTACGTATTTCTACTAGAAATTGAGTACCTTTTCTGTGCTGATTTTGTAGTGGCTCTATTTGCTCTGGAATATGCAATCGTTACATATTCGTTGTTGTTGGAAATGGGTTATTTCTTTTATTGAAACTTGTAATATCAGATACGTTCTAGTTCAACATATCCCAGGAATGCAACTATACATGTCAGTCACGCAATGTTTTTCAGAAATGTTTGTTTTGGAGGAAAGGAAAGTTGGAGATTGAAAAGATGCGAGATATATTGAACCAGAAATGTAAACATTCGCTTTGTATTTTTATACAAGAATGAGTAGAGACCAGTAAACTAACGAGTTCAAAAGGCACATTGTTGCTCAATAAGATTGGCACCAATCATGAAACTGTCCGTTTATTATAAACAGTTGTTATATCATTTGTAAGCTGTTTGCAGCAAAGGGTCGTGCCGTTAAAAGTACTCCTAAATAGTGTCATATCTAGAGTTAATATGCATACATCACATTGAAAAACTATATTGGGCGATCATGTAAAATATTTTTATTCAACAGTCGAAGCCAAAAAAGAAGCAGCAGATGTTATTGGAGTTGCAATTTTCATTTGGACCAGGAAAAGTCCATGTTGGCCTTGATCGTTTAGTTGTAGTAGTAGGTCGACTCACAGTTGTAGTACGCGTTGGTCTTACGGTTGGAGTAATAGTTGCCTGTCGAGTTGGTGATGGGGCTGGGGGAGATGGCGTATTGCACTCTCTGGGTATTGTAAAATCATTGATAAAGTTTCTAGCACCTACTCCAAAACCACGCTTGGCGAAGCCACGCCAGATCTCACATACATTAGCTCCGCCATAATAAGCTTGATCAGAAGCAAGTACAGCATCACGTGCGTTTATGAAAGTTGGATTACAAGGTTGATGCATCAATCCGCCTATCAGATTTTGCAAGAAAATAACATTTCCTGCTTGCTGTTTTGCATTGTGAAGATTGCTCGAAAACCCATACTTTTGAACCAAGTTCCAATATACCTCCCACATGGCGGTAACCCAAATCTCTCCAATGTCATGGACTTCACTTTGGGTTCTGAGATTCGAATATCTTAGCGGATTGACATTCATGTTGGTGGTGTATGGATACATCCGAATACCAGCACGTCGATTGGATGCATATGCACCAGAAATGATATTGCTGGTAGAGGTGTCGGTTGATTTTGCCGTAAGTACTATTGCAAATAGATCGCTCCAGCCTTCTCCCATTCCCCTGGCCTCGGTTGTTCGAAGACACTGCACAGTAGAAGCTCCACCAGTAAGACGCGTAGAAACACCATGACCATACTCATGTAATGAGATCGTGTTGTCAAGCCCACTGTCTCGATTCGGATTAGAACTTGTGAATCTATACATGTACATCACTCCAGGTTGACCATCTGCTGGAGTATAGAATTCGGCATTGTTGATTTTATTCGAGCTCATTACGTTAATCTGGACCGCATCGTTTCCTCTACCACTTTTTCCAAAGTTGCTTACTTGAAAGTTGCCAGCAGCTTCCGTAAACCCATACTGATACATAATATCATGCATCATATTTGCCTCTAAAGTGTATAGATTCAAATCAATCATTCATATTATCAGACATTGAATTACTTGCATCAGCTTTAATCTAAAGCCGAGTTGGTAATTTAAATCAAGCAGATATTACTTACGATAAAAGAGATTGACTGCAGAAGCCTGTATGTTTGTTGCAGATGTAGGCTGGCCTGTTGGATCAAAATTAGTATCGAACACTCCGTTTCTGCCGACACCAGGAGTTAATACATTGGAGCGTCGTGCAACATCTGCATTGTTTCCTTTAGTAATACTTCCAGCTGTCCACCCATTTGGAGATGATGCCTTGTACTCGGGATTATTCACAACCACAAATCCATCAGTAGGATTTGCTCGAGGAAGACCAATAACATTGTATGAAAACTTGTTGCTAAAATCGACTGCGTGGACAATATCTCCAGTCACTGTACTGACCCACACTTGTAACCATGCTGTTAGTGGATCGTCACGTAATTGAAACTTGTATGTATGAACCAAAATGCCATCTTTGCTTTCTATATACTCAAACTCGTATTTAAACTTTGTGTATACAGGAAGATTAAGCTTGGCAGATGCTTTAGACGAGGCTTGCTCAAACGAAATTTTTGTAGTAGGTGGATCAACCGACAATCCATTTTGAATAGAACTGCGTTTAGGTTCAAACGATGCAGAATATGACGTTACTTGTCCATTTTTGACATGCACGGAAGCATGGTGATTGGAAATACGCGCTCCATTAACATGATGTGCACCATATATGTGGACTACACCGCCATGATCCGTAAAGTTATTGTAGACTTGAAACTCGTTATTATCCAATTCAAGTTTTTCAAGAAGATAGTCTATTCCGATCTTGATGCTTTCTTCTGTAGTGGGCGATATCAAAATAGCCGTATTGGATTCAGAAAAACACTCGTATGTGCTTTTGGGAAAATGAAATGGAAGAGCGGATATGGACTCTGAAATAGACTTTGTTGGAACTGCAATAGCAACTGTTGAGATAAGAGCAAAAACAAGAGTAATCGATGATCCAAACATTGTTCAAGTAGATATATAAAAGGTTTAAAAGACTCGATAATTAATGTTTTTAGATGTAAAAACTAACGAATTGGATTTCCAGAAAAATTGTCGTCTTTTATATCTTTAATTTGACCAAGATATTCCAGATTCAATTTATCAGATCACAAGAGATAATCATCTACTTCCCAACCACGATATTCTTACGTTATTACCAAATAGTTGGCAAGGCTATTTCACGAAATCAATCATTATTGGCGTCTGCATTGAATAAAGTGTTGAATGACTTATTCATGATCAATGTAAATGCATGATATATATGGCACTGATGTAAAATTATCATCATTTTTCAATAAAGTACGTGTTATATGCAAAGCCAAGTAGCTGAAAAACGGCTCGATAGTTGAGCTAGTTACCGTTTAGATTACTTGTAAGCATTGGTATAGACTTAGAATACATCCACACTAGTATTGTGATTTCTAATTTATGGTTTGCTACATTTACTATCTAAATTTAATTATCCAAACCTGGTTCTAGGTATGTGATGCCTTGGTTTTGATGCATTATCAGATTGGTAGAAATGTGTCAAGCATTCTGTGCCATTTATGCTTTGTCGAATATCAGACCTCTTGAAATATTTTCAACGCGTAAAAGCAAATGTGCAGAACATGTAAACTCAGGTGGGATTCAAGCAGTTCAATTGTAAAATATACTTTTCAAGTAGTAGACTGTTGAGTATATTTGGAAATTTAAACAATGGTTCAGTTGGCTTAAAGTTGGTCAGATACAGCATGTTTTGGATAGTAGTGACCAACTTTTGAATTTCGTGCTTTGAAAAATCCAATAGTGTGGTTCAAACAGCAGCAGCAACTGTCTATGGCAATAGCCAGAACTGGCAGTAGTAAACCATTTTTTATTGATAAATAGCAGGCAAAAAGTCAAATCATTAGAGTTTTATTTTAGCATTCATATCAAGCATAACTAGCAACCCTGTTTTAGACCTCACCGATCTTCATATCCATAGTAGCTCCTATCAAACCTTGTGAATGCATCACAAACAGCAGTAAAACTAAGCGGAGATTATCATGCTTTTTTGGAGTTTGTTTAATTTCAGCTGATTTTGTTGAACCATCCAATTCATGGTCATTTTCTGAAAGTATTGCAATAAAGGATCATACAATAATCTTGCATTGCCGTAAAACTGGCATCCCAAACCAAAGATATAAATCAGGCAACTCATTTTTCAGTCATTCATGAGTTTATTTGATGTTTTTAAATATTGTATTATAATAACCAAAGATAACAATATTAGGTATTGTGTCTAGTAATTTTTACAAAAAACAGCACTATGAAATAAAATCATTTTAGTATATTTCATAGTCAATCCAACCTAATGATTCAACAAACACATTAGACACCAACACTGCAGTTTTTGGTAGCCTATCTCACTGCTTTATTGATATATTCGCGCAACAACTCAAGTTTCAGTATATTAGGTTTTATGATTGCACGCCACAAAATGCTACATCGAAACAGGTTTTGTGGCGCCTGTTTGATGAAATTTAATATTTAACAACGATCGCCAATCCACTAATCCTTGTAATTCTGCTGTCGTTCGGGTTAATATCAATCCAAGGTGTATATTATTCAATCTGATATTTAAATCCAAAATGCTTTCTCTGCTAGTATTCTCTCTTGGAGTTTCGATTCCACTTTCAGTTTTTGCTGGTACTCCCAATCAAGCAGATTATCCACCCATGGATAAGCTTGCTCCTGCCAACGCTGCTTGGGGTTCCAATGTTTTATCAAATGTGCCATCAATTCCTGTCGGTACTGTTCCATTGACTGTGACGGACTGGTCCAAAGATGTTACTACGTGTCCTCAACAAAATCAATGGGGACTGACATATGACGATGGACCTGGGTATGTATATCAATTTCAAGTATCGTGCCAAGTAGCATGACTAACGTGTTACTGATTTGTTACTGATTTGTTACTGATTTGTTATTTACATTAGCCCATTGACTGACGATCTTCTTGGCGAACTTGCCAAGCGAAAGACAACAGCAACGTTTTTTGTTATTGGATCTCGTGTGCTGGAACGACCAGATGTTTTATTAAGAACATACCAAGCAGGACACCATATCGGCATTCATACATGGAGTCATCCATATCTGTCGACTGTATCAAATGAGCAAATCATTGCTGAAATCACTTATACTATCATGGCAGTCAAGACCGTGATTGGAGTTACGCCTGCGTTTGTGCGTCCTCCCTATGGTGATATTGATGATCGTGTACGTACAGTACTAACCAACTTGGGACTCACGATTGTCGAGTGGAATGTGGATCCACAAGATACCGCAGCACGCGGAGATGTTGCACAACAGTTTGCTACTAAAGCTAATGCTGGTAGTGCAGGTGTCATTTCACTTGAACACGACATGTTTCAAACTACTGAACCACAGGCAGCAGCAGCACTTGATGCTATTATGGCAGGATCGGGAGGTTACAAACCCATGCCAGTTGCTGAATGTCTGGGAAAGAATCCATACGATGAAGGATTTTGGACAAAACTCGGCATCTCCGCTCCAGATGGAGGATCTGTCAATTCGACCACAACATCCTCAAATACCACCATTTCATCTACATCTCAAATTCCCATCAATGGCACGACATCTTCAAATACCACCATTCCATCCACATCCCAAACTTCAATCAATGGTACAATATCCTCAAATACTACCATTCCATCTACACCCCCGACTTCTATCAATGGTACCACAAACTCTACATTGAATGCTACTCGATCCACTATTAATCCTACATCTAGTCCTACCAGCAGAGTTGTTGTTCCCGCTTCATCATTCAACGCTGGATTTTCCAAGCATTCCATCAATGCCGCTGTATATTTAACCTCGGTCATTATGGGTGCTTTGATACTTGTGTAAATATGCAATGGTAATATCCATTGAAGTTTTGATTACAATCGTATTCTTGTGAAATGAAATATTTGTATTTATCTGTGATTTCCTTTTTCAAGTTAATGTCATGTACCTCATTCGATATGTTACCAAAAACCATCAAATTGTATGGTTTTTATTTGTAACTAGGAATTAAAATGCGATTCAAATTCAATAAAAAATAGACGACTTGCATCTTCAGCAAAAGAATTTGATACATTGAACTAGCTTAAATGTGTCGCTTCTTTTCAATATCACGTGCATTCATGTGACTTGTTTAATTTTGATTCTCGAGTTTTAATTTGCCTGCAAACATGTCAAGTTCGAGGAAAGAGCAGCGAACTACTCCACTTTTATGTACGCTATGCAAATCTAATACTCCAGATGCTCCACAAAAAAGAGCCATGGTTAAAATACCGTCAACTCTTGCTCCATCATGCAAGGAATGTTTTTATTTTCATTTGGAAAAAAACGTACACAACACTATTGTCCAAAATGCTCTATTCAAACCTGGTGACCGAGTAGCCATTGCAGCATCAGGTGGAAAAGGTGAATACAACTGTTTTGATTGTGTAATGTTTCAAGTCAATTGAGATTGATTTGTAATGAATTTGATTGTCTAGACTCGACGGTTCTTGCACATGTACTTTGTATATTGAATAAGCGATACAATTACGGTCTGGATTTATGTTTGCTTTCCATTGACGAAGGAATCACTGGATACAGAGACGACTCGCTAGAAGTATGTTTCAAATCATTACGGATCAGCTTGAAAGTAGTATAATGTTACTGAGTATTGAATATACATTTAGACTGTTAAAAGAAATGAGCAGCAGTATGGGATTCCGCTCAAGATTCTATCATATCAAGATCTTTATGGATGGACAATGGATGCAATTGTCAAGCAGATTGGATTGAAAAATAATTGTAATCGTGTTTTTATCTTGGAATCTCAAAGTATGGAATATTGTCTGACCATGTTGCACGATTCTAATTAGGCACATTTTGTGGAGTGTTTCGGCGACAAGCTCTAGATCGCGGAGCTGCCTTGTTGAAAGTTGATCATGTTGTCACAGGCCACAATGCAGATGATATAGCCGAGACAGTTTTGATGAACTGTAGGTTTGGTAACATTGTACAACAATACTTTTTTCCGATGAATTTACCAACCATTAAAAATGATTGTTTTTGTAGTTCTCAGAGGTGATTTGGCAAGATTGCAGCGATGCACGTCGATCAAAACAGCTACAAATGAAGTGATTCCTCGATCCAAGCCATTCAAATACACATATGAAAAGGAAATTGTCATGTATGCTTATTTTAAAAAACTGGACTATTTTTCGACAGAATGCATCTACTCTCCCAATGCGTATCGAGGATATGCACGAGCTTTTCTTAAAGACTTGGAGTCAATCCGATCGAGTGTTATTTTAGATATTATTCATTCGGGAGAGTCGTATCAGCTGAAGCAGCAACCAAAAATCAATGTTGTCGCGAATGGTAGGACGTGTATGCTTTATTTCCTATATAGTCTAGTATTGATGGGATTTGGTATACTAGGTGTCATTGCTGTACGCAACTGTAATCGCTGTGGATATATGTCAAGCAACACACTTTGCAAAGCATGTGTTTTGCTGGAAGGTCTCAATCGCGGGCTTCCAAAGTAAGTTTATTGCACAAGGCATGCAATTGAAATCACATTTACTCAGTCTACTGTAATTAGGCTTGGTATTGGAAACACGGATAAAATTCGACGAATGCATGATAACAAGACGACTATGGAAGATGCTGTCAAGAATGCCACTAGCATCTGATTACAATCGATAGATATTAGTCATGCTTATCACCATCGTACTTGCGTGAAACGAACCACTAAAGTGTCAAACTACACAGTAAACAATCTTTACAAATCTATTAAATATTGTCTTTCAAACTCTTTAATTGGCTGATATTGTCCCAGTGATTGGTATAAAACTACTTGCGAGTTTTAGAATACAAGAGTTTGCACAATGCATGATTATCAAGAAAAGGATCATTTCAGTTCAAAGCCATAATTTGTATTTATTGGACAAGCAATGCAGTCAGTTGCTAATAGAAATGCGCAACAAATATTCACCACTTGTTTTGAAAGACAGTTACTGCAAGATAAACATTTCATTCCACAAGAATACGATTGTAATCAGTTTTATTAAGCTGATTTCTGTGGTATTTCAAGCTGATACGATGAATGATCAAGTAATCGATATATTGGGTCATCAAATACTTTTCAGATGTGATTGACAAGACAGTCTTGACCACATCAGAATAACAAATCTGGCCATTACAAGTGTGAAAATTATAACTTTATATTAATGAAATACAAGTGCTGACATGACAGGAATTGTCGGACTTTGTCCAACATCAACAAGCAAGTGGATGATGTTGACTGCTGACCATACAGGAAAACTGCAACTTGAATCAACAAGTGTTGCTGATTTGAACACTTCAATTCATGAAGATACTTCCATCGACTCCATCATCAACCCTCAAGTAGTCATTCAACATTTACAGGAATTGGGTTATAATCCATCCTCGTTGTCAAATGCTGCCCTCGAAGAATTCGTGGGTGAACTAAAAGCCATGTACCAGCAAGGAATGTTTGATAATAAAGAGCAGCATGAAGGATTAATGAGCAGTTATCAGGATAATCCAGCCGAGTTGAATCAACCAGAAGATTATTACGGTGAGGAGTGTGCAGTAACTGATATAGTTTATACATGACTGATTTTGAAATATTCCAGACTATAAATCCACTACTCATAGCACAGATATGCACCATCATATTCCTACTGCTGTCCCTGAACATGTTATTTCTATTCAAAACAGCAGAGCTCCACTTTCCAAGTCAGTCATTCAGTCTACTTCAGATTCTGGACATTCACATCGGATAATTAAAAATACGTTTCGGCCTTCTACCACGGCAAACCTCAACCCATCCAAACCAGATTCAATTCGTTATGAACCTCGGTTCGATTCTCAAAAACACCAACCAGATTCGAGTTTTAGACTCGCTACAAAAAAACCACAGTCCGTTACAACTCAATTGGAACATCGTTTAGCAGGGTTGGATTTAACAGGTGTAAGATCAACAGTTATCAAGCAAGTTGAAACTGCTCGAGTTGATCGACGAAGCAGACAGTCTACTCACCAATCGAATAGCTCTTCAGAGTTGTCTTCACCCATATCTACCCATTCAGCTACTTCGCCTCGACATATACACACCAAGTATACAGAGGATATACGTGTTGATCAACCTAGTATGCTATCAGCAGATCGTAGCAATCTAGATGAATCTTTTTCACAAGATGAATTGTATATTGGTGATGAGCATTCATGCACTACTACAACAAAAGCATCGTCGGTTGCAAACAGCCAAGGAACACATACGCGTAAGCCTCAATCTGGATTTATACGTACATGGCAACCACGACGATCTATACAGAAACATGATCCTGTAGCAAGGTATCATCAACACCAGGAACAGTGGTCTCAAGACAAATTTTTGAAACGCTGTAATGCGACAAATACTGGTGGAACACACTGTGCGGGCTCAGAAGGTGGTTCACGAGGAATCTTGTCACAGAATCGATGGGGTGGTATGCGAGATCCACCTGTTTCATCTCAGCCTAAACCGTAAGCTACTTGGTATTTTGTAGCTATACTACTTGACTCTAACGTTTTCATTGTACGGATTTGAATCTATATTTCTATAAACTACATCAGAAGACATAATCTTGCTGCTATGCGACCAAGTTATGGTAAGAGTCTTTAATTCCTACATGAAAAAACGAAATATATATAGTACAACTAACTACTATTTTTATTCATCATGTTTTAATAGTGGTTCCGTCTGAAAAAAATCGCCGAGATGTTGTGTGGGAGGTACGCAACAGACTGGCAAATGTTTGTAATCCAACCATTTAATATGAATTTAAAATGAATCAATTTGATTGAAAACGGCTATTCAACCAAGATATTTCTACACACTGGTAGTATAATATAAATTCACATTAACGGATCAATAAAATCCGCCTGATCCATTTGGTCTTTGTTGCTGTAGTTGCTGCTGTAAAAAAGCAATTTGTTGTGGTGTCAGATTTTGTAGATTGATCCCTCCACCAGCAGCATTGATCTGTCCACCCATCCCGAGCTGACTAGCTTGAATCTGAGGTGACTGGCCCATAGCTTGTTGGAGTTGATTGGCCTGTCCAAGTTGCTGTTGAGCCTGCTGGAGTTGATTAGCCTGTCCGAGCTGTTGTTGAGCCTGCTGGAGTTGATTAGCTTGTCCAAGTTGCTGTTGAGCCTGCTGGAGTTGACTAGCTTGTCCGAGCTGTTGTTGTTGATCTACACATACATAAGATTAGTAAACAGTCAAACATTCATTTTCAAACAATTTAAAGGTTTACATTGCATTGCAGCTTGAAACATGGCAGGATTTTGTATAAACTGTTGAATGTTGACACGCTGTTGTGCCTGCTGTTGTTGTTGCATTTGCAGTTGTTGCTGCTGCAACTGGATAGGCAAACCCGATTGTGGTACGTGTTGTGAAGGTTGCTGTGACAATTCAAGACAATTGAACAAATAGAGTTAATTCAATGTCATTCAACATGAACGGTTTCAAACTCGTGTTACCTGACGTTGAAAGCCTTCCAAGATCTTGATGGCATTATCAATAGAAGTCTTGACAAATACCAAACCATACAAATTTCCTTTATGATGTACGACAACGATTCCGTGTGTATTCGCTGCGCTGGTGTTCACGCCATCGGCAGTGTTGGGATTGGGAAAATTGGCTGAAATACCAAATTGTCCTGCACTCAACAATCCAATCAAAATTTGAAACCCTTTTTGCTCACTAGCTAAACCCATAACGGAAAACTGCACTACTGTAAGTTGCTGGTGCAAAATAATTTTCTGGATGGTTTGATCAGTTAGAGAAACGCATGTTTGGAGTACTAAGCGAGCAGGCCATATATGTGTCATGAATTCTTCCATTGGGATTGTGGATCGTAATGGAATTGCAGAAAGAGTACACAAAGAAGATCCTCCAGGTATTGCAGAGATTGTTGGGTGATCTGTAACATTCCATATAAATTGACCACGCCAAATCGCATTGGTAGCATTTGGAACGATGTTTGGAGTCGCATTTGCAAGAACAGTGGATTGTGATTGTTGAAGGGGTTGAGAAACATGTGGAGACTGTTTAGCTCCAACAAGCTGCATAAACATGTTATTTTGGCTTGTGTTGGGTCGCGCTTGATTCATTTGTGAAAACTGTAGTGTTTGCTGCTGTTGAAGATTCTGTTGTTGCTGCTGTAGTGATTGTGTTTGCTGATCTTGCATGAACTGTGAATGATGCATCAAATACTGTTCTGCAAGCTTAGAATTCAGCACTTGCCCTGTATTCTGCTTTATTGCATTTTCCAAATCAGCTTGAAGTTTCTGTTGTAAACTCTGCTGTTGAAGCACCGTGTTTGCTGGTCGTGGATTAGGAGATATTGAAGTAGATACCATGGCTTGATTACGAGCAATATGTTTTTGATGCTGTTGCTGCTGAGATTGTAAAAAAGCGAGATTTTGTTGTTGTGCAAGCTGCTGTTGCGGCTGAGAAATTCCTTGCTGAATTGTGGTATTCCCAACCATTCCCACATTTCCCTGCATCAACATGTGTTGATTAGCCTGTTGCAACTGCTGCAATTGAAGCTGTTGAGCAAGAAATGCTGCCTGTGTTTGCTTCACTTTGTCTGAGAGATTGGTTTGTAGTTGATTGTGTTTACCAGAATTAGTAGTAGATGTTGGCTTGGATCCAGCGACAACTGGAGTATGCAATGGTTCTGACGCTGTTTGAGCCTGTTGTTGAGCCTGTTGTTGAACCTGCTGTTGAGCCTGTTGTTGAACCTGCTGTTGAGCCTGTTGTTGAAGCTGTTGTTGAGCCTGCTGTTGTTTAATCAATTCCGCATCCAAATTAGTCTCGGTTAAAGTTTTGGCATCGCTTTGTGTAGCATCAGCAGCAACATTGGAATTATTTGCAGTGACAGATGGACCAACAACAGTAGATTGGATTGCCATGGGAGTGCTAGCTGTGGATGATGAATTTTCGAGTTTTGGTTTTTTAGATTGTCGTGACGAAGACTCGGATATAAGATTGCCGATTGCAGATGTGCCAGTTGAATCCATATTCTCCTTGACTAAAGTCGGTCGTTTGTTGGATGACGAGAGTCCTGATAATTTGACATAATCGCTTGGTTGGACAGCATAATCCACAGCAGGAACAGCATTGATCTAATAATTAAAAAAAAGATTGGTTTATGTAGTTGATAGATCAAACGTGAATAATATGCATATCTTACCGATTCGACCAAATCTTCAACTTGAGTCAATCCACGAAAGGGCAGAATGGCAGAAAAATGGATTGAATTCTACACAATCATAACACACATCAGCAACTACAAGGACAATATACACTGAACAATTAAAAGAGAAACTACCATTGAAAGCATTTGAGCCAAATCAGTGAATGTTTTTCCTCTGTATAAATTATTGCAGGGTAATCTGCATGGAGATGGATTAATCATGGTTGCAGAGACCAAGACACAATGCTGGTCAGATACACGCTGCTCTTTGGTTTGTTGTGAACTAGACAATAACTAATAAAAATGCAGATTAATTGGATGGAATCTACGCATGAACAAAGCAATAGTACAACCTGCATGGCTACGGCAAGACCTTCTGCAGCTGCATTATGAGTGATTCCACCATGACGATAGTCGATTGCTTTGTATGCTGATAGGAACACTGCGGGGTCGCTGGTGAAGACGACAGTCTGGACAGTAAAAGGCGAGTATGAAGGATAGCTTCTATATACAACAAGACCCAGTCGAACACATTCGGTCTAGTGCACATTATACGCATGTCAGTCTTATCGAATAAAGTCATCAATCACTTTCTACACAAAGATTCAATAACCTGTCCAACAGCTGTTTCTGTGCATTCAGTAAAAGTCTTGACAATGGGCTCAATATATGTAGTGAATATAGAAGAATATCTCTTCATTGCTGCTGAACCATCGACCACAAACACCACATCTTTTATTGGAACTGTCATTCTGAATTGTTTCAGTAACAAGATTCGGCAACTTTACCACCGCCATATTCACGTAAAATGAACACAAAAGTTCATCTTGAATGGATTGCTTCTAAAATCATGAATTCTAGTTTTCTTATTACAAACTAACTGTTTCTTTAATAGAAATTCATCATGAAAACTATTCATTTCTTCATTCAATAATCATATACTTGCCAGATTCATCCATTATCAAGGTTCAACTGTCTTGCATTCTAAAATCAGATACGTCGCGCTTCTCATTCAAGAATCATCTCAGAAATGCAACTTTACATGACAGTCATTCAATATTTTAATATTCATTTTGGATAAAACGGGACTGAACAAGTGTCCAGAGTAAGATATTTACGAAAACTGTTGGTTAGGAAACTACCATGTGTTTTGATCTTTTTAGTATTTCATTTTATGTAGATACAGTTGTGATGGGTAGGCTTGAAACCACTTCATTCACCAACACTGCAAGCATCGCATTCAATTCGATCTGAGAGTGAGGACTGCCAACTGGTGGAATATGCACAAACAAACTTTGTGTGTATTGCTGCTGCAGTGCTGAATGTTTGGTTTTGCTTGCTCGATCCATAGACTGATAAAAGATGAAGCTACATAAAAATCTGCTTGCAGTTAGTTTGGATCTATTCTAGTATGAATGCGTGTATTACCTGCCAGGATCCATTGATTCGTTTACTGTCATCCATCCCTTTGAATGCATCCTGTTTTTAATGGTTGATAAATCCAGTCCTGTTTGTAGTACTTCTTTTCCTCCTGCTACTGCTACACCATTTGGTGGTAGTTGCTCACTGGCAATGTCATTAGTATCATGCAATTCACTATTCACGATATAATGCTTACTTGATGTCTGGCAAGATATAACCAGAGTTATGAGCCTGTCGCTCCAAAGAGATCGTGCCTGGAAGAGCAACTCCTACATGAATCGCATAATGTGGAGGAGTATCTTTCGAGTAGATCTCCTCAATACACTCTAATAACTGTATGAATAAACTTGAACATTGGTACTATTCAATGGATGACTGTTACCTGTAACTTCCTTGTATGCAACTGGCAACTGGTACGTTACAACATCATAGTCACCAATCTTGCGTGGAAGTGTCTTGACTGCTTCAGCTGATGGGTTCACCTGTATTGAAAGTCGGTATTAGTCTAATCAGATTGTGTAGTCAAATGGCATCATTGCATGTTCTTACACTATGAGTTCCAAATGGCTACATTGATAATAAATGTTAATATTCCAAACCAACATTACACTACTTGCAAGTTGAATAACTTACACCATATCCTGTCACCACAATGTACTTTCTTGGAGTTACAGCTTTGCATTCGGTTGTTCCAGTTGCAACCATATTACAAAAAATGATCAATCTCTTCCTGTACTTATAAGATGGGCTAACAAGATGGTTGTTTTACAGCAAATACTAGTCAATATCCAAACAGAATTTAATTCTAAAATCCATTTTCGTGTTCTGTTATTAGCCATAAAACTCGTGAATTTCAAGTTGAATTGCTCAAACATCAACTTACATTTCTTACTCCAAGTCAATCTTGTTCATTATTCAACCATTGATCATTTCCCATTCAATCATTAACTCACATATGGACAACTTGGAAGAAGCTTGCTCAGACTTGAGTTTTCTCAAACGTATGCAAATCTTGACAGTTCTTGTTGGTTTAATCCAATCTATTTTGATCAGGTTTAAACCAACCAGCCAATGCTCACAACCTGCATTGCTTTGTATAAATTTAGAGTTGCTCAAGACTGCTCGATCTATAGATGATAATATCATTCCTAAACTCAATGGTGTCACTACTAGAGCTGATCGCACAGAGGTAATCTATTGCAGTGTATTGAAAGACTCGTCTATTGATCTGCATTCTAACATTGGAATTCATATCCAGTCTTGTCAGATATTTTTTCAAGCCTTGCATGATTCCTACCAACAGCGACACAGGTAAGGACCGCATAATCATACAGAATTGAATATGTAATGCCAACTTGACAAATATCTGGAATTAGGTTGATTCATCAATGCATTGACTACATTGACGATAGAATTGGTAATTATGCACATGGTTTAAATGGATTTTATTTCTTGAACTAACATTTATGTGATGCAGACAAATCCAAAGACATGCCATCCACAATGGATTCAATAGTGCGCCAAAAAATGCGATTAAATCATGTTTTGGTAAACTTCCATCAACTATGCACATGAACTGTTTTAAAACACTAACCAATGTGTTTACGATATATTGTTGCAATGGTTTAGAAATTGCAACTAGAATCAGAATTGACTGTGGAGAGTATTGTCCGATCCAGAACACAGGCAGTCTTTAACAGTAAATGTAGAGGTGTTCCAAAAACTCTAGATAACATTTGGTCTGTATAGTTTCATGATCCAAGAATATGAAATAAATAGCAAGGTTTACCAATCATTGAAGCAACTGGACTGAATTGAACTTTAACATGACACTTGATCCAGTGTCAGTGCATATCACTGGCATCTTACTCTCCTTTCTACAGTTTGGTACAATACTATACAATTCAAATTAGATTCATCTGCACATCTGACATAGAATCCTGTTGATTAAACTAGAAACTACCAATGACTATTTTCATGGTGATGTGGAAGGGTTGTTGGCAAGTATCTTGACTGTATTATGATCCAGTTGTTTATGGATCAACTTCAAAGTGCACTAACTTGCTTGACTATCACTTTAGTTTGGAGAAACTAGAATCATTCATGCTCTAAATGTAAGCGGTTCAAGACTAGACCATTTTGATCAACTTGCTCATTTCAACTGTTGGATTCTTTTAGATCTCAGATTCACAAGATGATCAAATTACTCGGAAGCTTCAAATCACTATCACTGGATATAAACTCATTAGTCCTGAACAAAGGATATATGGCTCTGATGGAGTGATTGACCCACTCAAATTACAATCCGTACTAACCAGTTCCAACGCAACTATAAATGTGAGTCGAATCCTTGTCGGATTTAAAGGATTGGATTCATACCACTGAGAAACATGACTAAACTGGCTTATATTTACCTGAATCTTTAAAATATGTTGGTGCTAGTCGATTGTAGGAATGTTCAAATTCAGAAGGAATACAATCATTATGCCAACTCTTCGTGACATGGCTGTATACGAATCTCTCCAGTATATTCGATCTATCCAACCTACGCCGTCAAAGCATCTCGATCATCAGCTTTTAGCCTTGCTTACCTCATCAATGGATGATCCAGCTACTATGTCACAAACATTTGGATTCATGTATAAACCTTTTACCAATAATCCAAGGGAATCTAAAGTCGAGTTTAAACGAGTCGAGTGTAAAATAGCCAACTTGTTTGATGGTCCCAGCACTGACGAAAACTCTTCCTTGTTAAGTTTTGCTGGCTCAAGTGGATTTGGACATACAAATGGAACGTCATTGCATAGATTGAAGTTGAATGCTCAAAAATATCAAGCTGAAAATGCAAACATATTTACTGATTCCATTGTAGATCTCAAGGTAAACTTTAACCCATGTTTTGAATGTAAACATGGTTGATGCGTTGATATACTAATGACCACGAGTACTGATTCATATATAGAATGCCGTGACAAAGTATGTCGATCGAGAGAATAGGACTCGACCTGAAATGATTCAAAAACGAATGGAAAAGATGCAAGCATCATCACCATTGTACAAGTTTGGGTTACTCCAACATTCAGAATCTGCAAATCTAACTGAATTGAGTCATTTGTATCCACCATTCAATCATGACTCGAGTGCATATTCCCATTCATCTTCCTTTAACCCCACAGACAAAGTGCCCATAACAGATGATATTTTAATTGATATATAAACTCGAGCCTTGCGAAATAAACCATTGCAAAATCTTGAACACATGTCAGATTTATTTATGCTCTTCATATACCAAAGACACTTCACGACGAAGTTTCTCGCACTTGGCAGTGAGCATTTTCACAAATCGCATGGTACCTTGATCTCTATAGACTAAAAATAAAGTATTTTCTTTTGGGAACAAGGATAACAAGGTTTCTTTTTCAAAAACGTAATGCATACCACCACTCCACACAGTATCGTTCCATTCAACATGTTCCTCACCAACTGGACAGGAAAAAACAACATCTAATCCAAGTGGTTCCTGACCTCCATCGTGCATAAGTGTGTAGTCACCAGGTCCAAAACATCTTAACGAGGCTGTTGCAGGAGCTCGTTTCAACTCTAATCCGCTTATAGATTCTAAATACACGGAAAAGACGTTTGATTTAAGCAGTCCTTTAAACTCGTCAATCAGTTGAATATATTCTGGTGCAGGCACTTCCGTGTCGCCCAACACTCTCACGCGTTGTATATTGGCCGGTCCAAGAATACAGTCGAAAGAAGCTTGATCCAATGCATTTTTTAGTAGCATGTATTGATCAGGGTTGAGAAATTGTTGAAGTTCTACAGTCGATTCGTGTGCCATGCGAGACTGAATGGCAGCCATGTTTTTATCAACAAGATAGGTTGGATTCAACCACTTTTTAAGAGCTGGATGAGTGGACAACATGTCAGATGTGGGTGCCTTTGGGATGGTTTGTGGAGGACCATGAAACCATCCACTAATAATGGTAGATACAGCACGAGTATAAAAACAATTAGAAACTGTATGTCAAGCATAAACTTGAATGTAATATACATATTCCTATACACTGGTAAAATGAGTAACAAGATCCTATTACCTGATAGATACTCGATCGCGAGCGCAAAAGACTTGTTGTACCTCATGATGCGAAGTAGGCAATACCTCGAAAAATGCCATAGAGTTCCATTGCGGCACGATTGAACTGACAATCCGTGACGGATTTCCCTGATCATCACTAGCAATTGAATATGGACAGTTCAATTATATAGATCTACAACCCAACATGATTCATACAACTTGGAATGCTTACCAATCAAACAGTTGTAGCATACCCCCATCATCAGCACACCAATCCTCTTCTACCAAGTAAATAATAAATGCAATTCGTCTTCCATCCTCAACACTTCCAATAGCGTCATCGTGACACAACAGATATCCGTTTTCAGGATATCGATGACCACTCAAATCAACGGTTTTGCTCAGTTTCATTCCAGTGATTTCCTCGATAAATTTTACAAACGGTAGTGAATAGATAGTATCTCGTAGTGTAGCTAGCACTGGATCAGATGTGGTTTTCAAATCATTGGATTGATAAAAATGATAAAGATCGTTGGATTTAAGTTCAAAAGGTTGGGCGAGAAGGGCAGAGCGAACTTTTGAAAGAAATGCTGGACAAAAGATGGAGGAGAGTGTTACTGCTCGAAATGGATTAGCATATACTTGAGCAGATGGTTTGTCGCTGACCAATGGATAAGTGGTGGATTGGCCTTGCTGAAATGCGTTACCCATATGAGCAATGCATTCATGGGACTGATACATGGAATTAAATCCAACTGCTGTGAATGCAGAAGCTGCTGAAGAGCAATGTTTCTTTGCTGCCGACTCAATATCATTGGTGATCGCAGTTCTCTTTTCTAAAGTGTTTTCATTACTCATGTTCAAGTTGGAATGAAAATCAATATTTTGAAAGTCGAGTTTTAATTCTCATGCAATTCATTCTTTATACAACTGAGAATCATGGCATGAAGAAGAGTTGGATTATTCACATGCATAATGATATCGGACAATTTACCAGAACAGCAATTCGGTATCAAAAACATTTGGATTTCCAAGAGTCGGAATTGATAAAACGCATAAGCTTTGCATTCACATTAACATTACAGCCGTATTCACGCAATCACTCTTGCAATCACTGCCTCTTTGTAACAAACAATGGTTAAATATTCATTGCGCTTTCTTGATAGAAACCGATTGCTTTCTAATCAACACAGCGTTCATGTATGATGTTCGTAAATTGTAGTTGATTGTTCTTGTTTGCATAGTCATGCATTGTACGATCACAACCATCCAGATATTAGGTTCACAAACTGATTTATATTCTAAAAACTCATGTTCGCGTTCAGGAAAACAAAGATTACACTTGTCAAGAATACAATTAAACATGACTGAATAGTTTGTAGAAAAGAAGATTGAACAAGTGTGAGGATTGAATTTGATGACAAGACACGGACAGTTATACAGCAATAAAATTCAGTCGGAATAAACAGTTCAAAATTTTTAAACAGATTTAATCGACAACTTGATTGTACACGAATGCGATACTGACGAATCGTTACCAACCAAAGATGGATTTTACCATCAAAATGCTTGACAATACACGTGAATGCAGTCAGTTCATTCGACGTTTTTCAAGTTTATACTCGAAAACAACTTGAAATGACAGACACTGGTGCAGATACTGTCATATCTAATATAGACACTTGCTTGCCATTCACTCTTCCTACCACTTTAAACTGTTCCAATAACACTACTTTACCATCCATGACTACCTTACAAACACCTTCAATTCCTCTATTGGAAGCTCCTTCAATTCCTCCTGCCTTGTTCTTTCGATTAAGACTTCCGGATAAATTGTCTACTGTAGTATCTACTAATACTTCTCCAACCTCGGCCAATTCAAATTCAGCTTTCAATAAATCCGTCCATGGTGGAAATGTCAATCACTCGAGTCTTTCTGAATCGCCCCATTTAGCTTCGTCTGCTATGGTAGAATCCCCTGCTGACTTACTTCAGAGCTTTAGGTTTACTTCTCATGATAGACCACTACTGCAGGTGTGTTAATACCCATTCATATCTTGACTATCTAATGCTGGATGAATGCCCGGCAACCGTTAAGGGTTCAGTTAAGCCACATGTGTGTTGGCGCATCTGAACTAAATCTTGTCGAGTTCATTCTCTGTCCATGCCTGTTTTTATACTATTCAAAGTTGCATTCATCTTTATTAGCCATGTTTTATATTGACTAGCTTGTGTAAATGAGTCTTGGTTTTAACTCTGTCCAATGTATTGGTTTATTTAGTCCCCGCTAAGACCCACTCCCAACCATCAAGCAACAATCACTACGGATGGAAACCTTGCTATCAAGACTGCCAATGTGGTATTCTGTCGAAGTGTTCTTTGTCCAGAAAATGGTGTTATTGGAAGGAGCATACTTGATTTTTTTGATTCATCTTATCGCACTAAATATGCCAAATTAATTTCTGCTTCAAAAGCTTCTTTGCAAACGGATGCTGTCAATACAGTCATGGTGTGCGGCTCAGTCGTAAGTCGATGCTTAGTAAAACGTATTCATTTTAAAATATCTGCTGATTGCTCTTGGACTGTACTATAGGTCAGGCTAATTCGGAAAAATGGCTCTACTCTGCCCGCATCACTTTGGCTAAAGGAAAAGAAAAGCTGTACGAGCGGTGGTGTATATATATGGGTGTTTGAGGAAATTGATGAGCTCCAGGCCGAAGTCATGATTTCTAAACCAGATGTATGCATGTTCTGATGTGCAACTCCAATATACGTGTCGTTAATTTTCTAATCATTGGTGCTACACGTGCATTTGAATATTTAGGGAATCATTACTCGAGCACGAGGAGATATTCATACTATGTTTGGATACGACGAATCAGAACTACTTCAAAATAGATTTTCGATTCTGCTGCCGAATATCGATTGTGCTGATGGAAAACTTGATTTTGATCAACTGCATCGTTTCAAATTCTTTGGAGGTCGTAGCAAACGAGGTCTCACATTTCCTGTCATTACCAGAATCATACCTTTGGATAGTCTGCTTTCGCCTGAATCACTAGAACGCCAATTTGCTTCGTTGGGAATTTCTGTTCCTGCTGCTACACAAGCATCTTCAACCCATGCAGTGGCAATCAATACCACACAGATATCACCGACCGACGCAGTGGAAATCAATACTAATTCAGAAACCATTCGAATTATTGCCATGCCGAATCTTGCTGGCGTCATCACCATTTTTCATTCTGGAGTCATACACTCCATCAACAACGTATTTTCAAAGTATCTTTTTGGGCGTAGTGGTAAAGAATTGGTATATGCTGCCAATATTACGGATTTAATACCCAACTTTTGGGCAGTCTTTGAAACACTTCATATTGTTAGTGATACAGATAGTATTCCACTTTCAAGAATGACCACCACTCCTCGCTGCAGCTCTCCAGTCGCATCGTTTTCAGGCTCTCCTGATGGACGGTCTACCTATTTAGAAAAAAACCGTTCGTGGACCGTGTCCTCTGGTGACCTGTCGCTGCCACATTCAATGAGTGCTACTGGTCTGATTGCCAAACATCGCGATGGATCAGAGTTTTTAGTCGATGCACATGCGCGGCCGTTGTTTATTGGGCATGAGCATGTGTTTGCTATTTGGATTACGTATCGTGGATTCCATCGATCATTGATGATGCCTTCTATTCTGGGAAGCACATCGCACAACCAACCTTTTTCGGATTCTCCCGATACTTTGCCAAAGACGTCTCCTATTGCAATGACTCCTAATAACGATACTACGAATTTTTCTGAACCAAAAAAGAATGATGTTGAAGATGCCACAACTGTGGATTCTATCCAGGTACCGACTGAGTCAGTCCCTACAGATAATGTATGCACCACACCACCTGTTTTGCTTCCCACTCCAGCCATGACACCACCTAAAACATCTACTGAGCCAGCTGAGCTCGCGACAATTGATGATTACACAATTGTCAAGAGTATTGGTGAAGGGGCGTATGGGTTTGTTCGTCTTGCATATCGCACTCTTGATCCTGAAAAGACTCCACTAGTGATTAAATATGTGGTAAAAACTCGAGTTCTTTCCTGGTGTCGTCGTGAAAACCTAGGAGGTCGTATTCCAGTTGAAGCAGCAATTCTTTACGAATCTCACCTCCATCCACATCCCAATGTTGTTGATATGATTGAGTGCTTCCAAGATGAATTCTATGTATATATCGTTATGCGACACAGTGGCAATATGGATTTATTCCAATTTATTGAATCTAATCCTACTCTTCCAGAAAGTCTGATTAGACACCTTTTCCGTCAATGCACACTTGCTGTTGAACATCTTCACAAGCATGATATTGTTCATCGCGATATCAAGGACGAAAATGTTGTGATTGATACCACAACGTATATAGCACAATTGATTGATTTTGGGTCTGGAGCATTTTTGGATACAGGAAAGCCATTTACTACCTTTTATGGGACCATGGATTTCGCTGCACCAGAAGTTTTGGAAGGAAACCCATACAATGGAAAGCCTCAGGATATGTGGGCCTTGGGAATTCTGTTATATACACTAATATACAAGGAAAATCCGTTTTACTCAGTCGATGAAATCCTGGCTGATCATGGATTGCGAATTCCGTTTACACTATCTAATGGTAAGATGGTTGACAAGTAAACATGTGATTTCAAGTATGGCTCACTTTTTTTATAGAATCTTTAGATCTTCTAGAATCGTTGCTATCACACGATGTAGAGAAGCGACCTACAATTGAGCAATGTTTGCAGCATCCTTGGTAAGTCCACTGACAAATCAACGTTTGTGGAGTTGAAACCAAGTTGTTTATAATAACCATGTCTGATTCAATCCTATAGGTTTACTAAGGAGTTGGAGCCATATTGATACTTGTACTCTGTAGTGCCGGCACAGTGAGCAACTGGTTTAATTAGTAAATAAAGCCGTGGTTTTGTTTATGAATAGCCAACGTGTATGAATAAATCTAAAGAAATACTTGTTCAAATAGCGAAACATAAAATAGTGGAGCCATATTCAATACACATCCAACATGAAGCGTAACATCAAACCAATAACTCCACGCAGTCTAAATATTCTGATGGATTGATTTCCCAACCTACCCATTTTGAATCTAGCTCAACAATACAAATAAATTAAATTTGGGTTTACTGTTTATAGGGTGTGTTGGTTTGAGTTGTATGATTGATAAGCAAGACATTGAGTAAATGTACATTCAACGCTACGGTAAATCAAGTGTGTTTATATGGTGTTGGCAGCAGTGTCCCATTTTAAAATGGATAGGCGACACTCCATATGCTTATCGAGCTCTGGTTCATTACTGTTTGCGACGATAGGGGTATCTGGATTCAGATCGATGTTTCTTTCCCACGTCTGAACTCGTTCTCCGCTACACATGGCAATCACAGGTGCAAAGGGATGAAATTGCGTTGCACCGATACTGGCATTAGCAGCATTTTTAAACTCACACCAAGGGGTATCAATCTCCAACACATCTGTATGATCTGCAGTAGTTGAAGTAGTAGAATGAGCTGCATGATCCAAAGCAGATATCACATCATAAACGCGAATCGTTCCGCTTTTATCTCCAGCTACAAGATGCATGCCATGTTCAATCACACCAATATCAAACGCTAATCGCTGCTGTGTTTGAGCATCACGATGAAACCTACCAAGAGGGGTGTGACCCATCATTCTTAAATCCCAACAGTCAATTACAGTGGATTGTCTAGATGCAGCAAAAAGAAGAGTGGTGGCTGTTGTAGGTGTAAAATGAATCTGACAGACTCCTGAACGTGTCGAAGGTTTGAGTGTCTGTATTGGGTTGTGAGTCAATGAATCGTAGAGACTGATTGAGCCAGCATAGGTTCCAACACCGTAGAGACCGGATTGATCTGGACTGAATGCAATCGATGATACCAAACCTTTAATCCAACGTTGTATTGTCAGTTCAACTGGAATCAAGATGTTTGCATTGCTCAACTTTACCTTTAGTACCATCGCGTGATTTTTTATTCGGTGTGAGTGGGACAATCTCGCAATCTGTTCCTGGTCGTCCAGTATTGAATATCTGTAGCTGTCCATCAAAACCACAGAATATTCTATCATTTGCCACACATCAGTTTAAACGATGCACCACGAATTTAATCTAGTTTTGACCTACTTTGTACCATCGAGATTAAATGCCAGTGAAATGGGTGCACAGACTTGATCTACATGATCTTTTGTAATATACGATGCTCTCAGCTGTAACCATTTCAAGTTAGTCTACTTTTACTGGCGTGTGGTATTTGATCAATATAACTTGCCTGTCCTGTATAAGCATCCCAGAGTTGTACTGGATGATCTCGCGAACAAGAAACAAAGCACGATGTGGATGGATCTAATCAATGACAGTAAACTGTTTGAATAAAAATAAAAGAATTCATTTTACATCTATCGAGTATTCTATTTACCGCTTGAAGACATAAACGGATACCATTTCATATCGTATACAGGCTCTGCTGATTTGATTTGAAGAGATTCAACCAGATCTACAACTGCATGACATTCCAAAGTTGATAAAATAAGGATATATAGTATAGATATATTTAAATACACAAAACAATATTTAAAAAACCTGAAGTGGTTGTTGGATTTTCATATAGTGCAGAACCAGCATCGAATAATCTCAACGTATTATCAAACGAGTTTGTAAGAATACATTGTCCGTCAGGACTCCTATTGGATAAAAGGGTTTACCAAGACATAAAGACGCAAAGATAATTTTGTTAGCGGAATGATGGATGGTATTGTAATTTTGGAAGCAATACCATTGGAGTGACTTGAAATAATTGGGCTGTAGAGTGGAATCGAATGGATCTGTTGCTCTATTGGTGGTTGTTTTAGAAAATCGAGATCCAGTTGATCCAATAATGCAAGGCAATTTTGATTGTGAATTCATATAATTAGCAAGACAATTTTGAAATTGATTTTTTGAATTTGTGAATTTTTTTGGATTTTTGGATTTTTGTGAATTGTGTATTCTCAACAAGTCCATGAATCAAATTTATATCTAAAGAATGCACTGTCAACCTTTTAAATTGAAGGAATTTAATAGAACGAATACGATTGTAATACGATTGTAATAATATTGAACAAGTTTTATAGTTTCTGAACAACACATTAAACCATTTACACTAGTTTTGAGATGAGTCAAAGCAAATGACATGTCAGGGATTGTTGCTTGTAAAAATAAAATCTAGCGTATACTCATTGATAAATCTACCAATACGGTAGAGTAAGCAGTATTAGAACAAGACAAAGTCAAGGGTGGATACTTTTAAACACTGTTGATCCATATTAAACTCCACGATCATGCAGCATCCATGTGTCAACGATCTCCATTTGTTCGTCTTCAATTTACATAAAATTGCTTATCAGTTGAAATCAATTGTTTTCTTTCAACTCAACCATTGCAATGTCTACTGCCGAACAACCCTCACTTGCCAAGGCTCTCCCCGAGAAATTCAACCACTATCATGACCAGGTATTCACTATGTTTTCTTGGATCGTTCTATAGGGTCCACTTCATGCTGAACATCTGTTTCTTGTGGACTCTGTATTAAACTATAACTACAAACATCTAGTTTAACAAGGAACTAGCCAAGGTTCCTTGTTTGGTCCAGTTTGAGAAACAGACTCATATTCCAAAGACATATCTAGTTGCTGGTGCTGGATCTGTCCTGTTTGTTCTCATCTTTGTCAATATCTGGGGTAACCTGTTGACAGACATGCTGGGTTTCTTATACCCAGCATATGCTTCTTTCAAGGCAATCGAATCCAAGGAAGTAGATGATGATGTGCAATGGTAAGTACTGTAATGGTTTTTAAACATGACTGTCAAGACTGATTGCCAACATCAATGAGTACTGTTATTTACACCCTTGTCCTGATTGCTATTGTGATGACTAAAACATACAACTGGATTCTTCATGGATTGACTTTTAATCCCTGACACTTGACATCAACCACCCTGGTCTCGTTATGCTTGGGCGGTAACAAATAGGCTCACATACTGGTAAGCGCTTGATTGTGGGATTGTCTAAAGATGCATTGTCCACCCTTGTCTCTCAACTCCAATTATTATGCACTGCTGTCCTTGTTCAAACCCCGCTTGACTGCTTTTTTATTTCACATGTCAAATGCCAGCATTGAATTTAACTTTACCCAATCTGATCATTCTACAGGTGTGTCTTTGGTTTCTTCAACGTCCTCGAGTTTTTTTCAGATGTGCTGCTCTACTGGCTTCCGTAAGTTGGATTTACTGATACGATTCACTGATTATACTGAGATCATTGAATTGACTGTTGTATAAACATTAGACTCTACTACACCATGAAGGCTATTGTCATTCTATGGCTTGTGCTTCCCCAATTCAAGGTATTATCCATTGCAATTCAATTTTTGGTTTTGGTTTATTTGTCATTCCCTTTGGCATCTGCTAACATGCAAATGAAATAGGGTGCTGTTATTTTGTACAATGGATTCCTTCGTCCATTCCTTGTTTCAGAAACAAAAAACATTGACAATGCTGGTGAAAGGCTAAAGGTAAGCCAAGGTTTTACATCATTTCAATTTGCTTCAATTCCGCTTACTTTGAATTATTCATCTAGACCAAGATTAGCTCTGTCTTCACTGACGCTCAAAAGGAGATGAAAAGCGACTAAGGGCATTTAGCTTTCTTTTACTTGCTACTGATTCATGAATCCAAACTGAACTTCAATTCTTGTTTCTCTGATCTTGCATTTGGTCCACTATCCTAAAGTACTCGCCTTTTTCAATTTTTTACTATCGAAAATAAATCCCATGAAAGCAAATCAATAAAGTTTCAAAGGACCAAGATTACTGTATTTCATATATTGATTCATTTGAATATTAAAATGCTTTATTCTTCCTTGACTGGCTCAAAATCTCGAAATACTTGATAGTGGTGATTGATGGATGGATGAACGTGAAGTTTGTAGGCTGATCCAAGTGCACCATATTCTCGTCGCTCACCATAAAACACCCGTCCTATTCGTGAATGAACCAATGCCATTGCACACCTGTATTTCAAGAATGTCACATTAGTGAATGGCGTACAAGACCTTCAAAAGCAGTACATACATTGCACATGGTTCTCGTGTTAAATACATGTCAAGTCCAGAACAAAGATATCCTTCCAAATCTGCACGTCCACTCGCAGTCCCGTCTGTATCCATCATTGCATTACCAACAGTGGTTTCATTCGATTTCATATTTTCATCTACCGAATCGTATTTCCGTTTGACTGTGTGCTGCAGTGGGTCCTTGACACGATTGGATTCAAATTCATTCGACTTCAAAGTGGATACAGACCGAGCTGACAAGGCTTCTCGACGAGCACGCTCGGCTACAGCAACAGCTTCAATGCATACCATTGTTGCGTGTGCAAGGGGATGACGGTCATGTCGTCCATCTATACCCACAGCAATCACAGCATTCTTTTTCGGATCAACCATAACTGCTGCTGCTTGATGACATTTAGCATCCACAGATGAACCAGATGGATCTGAACATGTGTCGAGAAGTCGGAATGCATGAGCCATATGGATGGATGCACGCTGCATATACAAATCTAATGATGAAGCAAAACTATTGATAAATTAGTTCATGATGACACAATCACACCCCTGCATGGTAATACAATATTACTTTTCAGTTCTGCTAATATGGAAACTCATAGGCCAATACTGTTTCCAATCATCGAATTGTGCTCGAGTATAGGCAGGCCATTTTGATACCATTTGCTCTTCAATCGGATCAAACGCTACTTCAAACTCTTTTAAAAACAATTCGAGTGAATCAATACAAGCTTCGGCAACTGGTGCAAGAATGACTTGTATTTTCTGTTGTTCTTTCCCATCCATTGACACAGCTTCAGTATCCTTTGCTGGTAGGTCTAATTTTCGGACTCGTTTCAAATGGTGCAATGATGAATCCAATGGAAACCTGGTTGCAAGAGGTCTGAGAAGCTTCCCAACACTGCGAGCATCAATAGTTGTTACATATACTTGAACTGGCTCGAACCCTCTAGTATGAGTATCTGATAAGACTTGCTCGGGTGTTTTCCATTTACGGATTGTTGGGAGTGGAGTAGATTGGCTATTCGTAGGCGTATTCTGCATGGTTTCCCTGCAACAAAAAACGGACTCGTTTTATTCTTTAAACCTTGTAGTGTCTATTTTTAAACATAATATCAGCCATTAAATAGTTGATTTATTCTCCAAAATCCAATGCTAGAATCTAAAAGTGTACAAGTGGATGCAAACACAATCCAATATTGGTTTATTTAAACATTAATACTTTTTGTATTTTCAAATGCGGATCATACAGCCGGTAACACTATACTTTAAAGTACCAAGTAGCTGTAAGCTGGAACAATAGAGTTGATTGACACGTAATCATCTACCAAGTGTGCCAGGATTCAAGCTTTATGTAATCAATATTTTAATATAAATACCTTATCAATCACACTACATTCAACTTGTCAAGCTACAGCATCTATGAGTTATAATACCCTAAACTCTATCAGGATTGAGGATTTTGGGATTGGCATATTTATTGGGCTGACATTCCAAAACACTCTGGACAATATCGCCACGTTATATGGTAACATGTCCATCATTAACGGACTACAGCTCTTGGCATCTGTCATGAACTTGGCGTATACTCTATTTATGGCTATTACGTTCTCAGCCATCCATATCGACTGCCATGCCTACGCGGTTGTGATAACGATAATATACGCAATATTTCAAGTACTTTCCATTGGACTGATTATCACACGTAGTACTGTCCTCATTGCCATGACAACGACAGGATTGGTTATTCGATACACTTTGTATTTTTTGGCTGTAGGACTTACAGTTTTGGGATCCAGTTCTACTTTTTGGACTGTCACTTGGATAAATGCAGATGGGACATGTGCAGCCTCATTTCCACTTATTCTAGGCTCCATAAGCGGAATAGGTTTAGTATGCATTTGTAAGTTTTACAACACTTGTACTTTTATACGAGTTGCTTAATGGATTATTTGGGTTGTATCCAACTCACTGACTTACACTATTCAATATTGTAGATTGCATTATGCTCCTTTCTTTTCTCATTCCAATTCGCAAGGTAATGTTGTATAAACAGATGTACTATTAAAACACAAGTTTATTGATTTACGCGTATATTTTTCAAACCAATAGCATATCGTAAAATTATCAACAGTTGGTGGAACTCAATATCAATTAAAACGACTGGAAAGCACTACGCTTCGAATTAGTCTCAAAATTTCTCTTGCAATTTTATGCTATCTGATTACTGGTATTCTATCTTTTTCCCAAGTCATTAATAGTCATTTTCGTGTATACCAAGTGTCGCAAACATATTACTGTCTTATAGCTGCTACATGGGCTTGCATTCCATCTACGCCCAGTCCCAATACGTCCAAATCCAACCCCGAATCTGGATTGGCTGTATAATATATCTGTTAGTTTTAAATTTTAGAATGTCAAAACTAGAATCTTTTAATCCCAGTAGAAATGAAATAAATATATTTTTACAGTCTGATGGTCGGTTTTGTCAATTTCCAGTGATGCTCCTAAAGATCGCAAGTTAGTTGATTCTTTGAGTGTGTTGCTTTTTTGGGTGTCATGACAGGTTGAAGTTCAGTCTCAGATTACAATACTGCCAAACCATGGTGTCTAGTTTCATGTAAAAAAACATTTTTCATTATCTTGTGAAATCCATCATTCAAGTTGCTACTATTGGGTGTCCATTGACATGACACGAGCCAACGATTCAACACACACAGCGTTCTCACCACTACACATACATGAATGAATAGTTAACTTGCAGGTTTTTAAATGGATTTTATAGAATTGCATTTATGGATATCTCAACTTGATGACATCACCTGATTTTTGAATTTGGGTCACTAAAATTATACCAAAAAAGTTTTTCTTTTCAACCCAATCTAAATCCGATTTTGCATTAAAAGTACAATTGCAATGGGTGCAAGAAGAGCAAGTGATTGATTTGTATAAAGAAATGATCGTATTCTATTGTGTGGTTTAATTTGAGATGCTTACATGATTGCATTCGTTTGCTTTAAAATATATAGAAGAAGAAGAGAACTCATGTGCCTATTCAGGATATCACAAATACTCCAAAGTCATTTGTTATCAAGTCTGGTGAGGTTGGACAGTCGCTAGGCAGGCTTGTGCGAGATGTTCGTCGTACTATGGAACCTAATACTGCAACTCGACTCAAAGTATGCATCGTTTATAAATGCTTCATGTATTCTCAATCACACGTTTAACCCAATTCAATGGCTTGTTATAGGAAAGTCGAGGAAACAGGATCAAAGATTTTGTTCATGTAGCAAGTCAACTGTCCGTCACTCATATGTTGATTTTTTCTCGAAGCAAGACGGGTGAACCTAACCTCCGAATAGGTAGAATTCCTCGTGGACCTACCTTGTCATTCCATATTTCAAGCTACTCGCTTAGCAAAGATGTAGTTTCCTCTCAACCCTCGTCAAAATCCTTTGGAGTCGAGTTTTCAAAATCTCCATTAGTTGTATTGAATAATTTTGCTGGAGATGCTAAACACATTAAACTCATTTCCACCATGGTTCAAAACATGTTTCCGGCGATTCGAGTTCAGCAGGTATTTATCCGATACGGTGTGCATATAACCCGACTCTTAAAGTGTACTCAATGTTTTGTTTTTTTAAATGCCATTAGATGAAAATATCCGATGCTCGACGAGTCGTAATTTTCAATTTAAATTCAGAAACGGGAAGAGTCGAGTTTAGACATTACAAAATTATAGTCAAAACAACTGGCATCAGCAAAAGTGTCAAGACACTTATTCATACCAATGTTCCAGATTTAAAAGGATATAAAGATATTAGCGATTATGTGATACGGTGAGTTGAATGTGCAATTTGAATTTTGGTTTAATTTCTTTGTTGCTAATCGAGCCATCTTTACATGTGCCTTGTTTATATTGCAGAGGTGCGTTTTCCACGGAGAGTGATGTTGAGGATGCTACTGAATCTACCGTAACGCTACCGGACAATTACCAACCCAAAGATAGCATCAAAACAAGTCAGCGTGCTATTAAATTGATTGAACTGGGTCCACGTATGGAGCTTGAATTAGTGAAAATCCAAGGAGGTCTATGTGCGGGAGAAATCATCCACCATTCTTTTGGTATGTAGATTGCATGGATGTATTAGATTTGCATTTTTAACTCTGGTATTTGAGGTTAACTATAACACTGGTTTTGACAATTATAGTTAAAAAGACGTCTGAAGAAATCAAAAAATTGGAAGAAGCGATGGAAATCCGAAATAAAGAAAAGGAACAGCGTCGTGCACAACAGGCAAAGAACGTACAGGCAAAACAGACTGCCAAAAAGGCAATGAAAAGTGCTGGAAATGGTGAGAGTAACGATCAAGATACTGATCAAGACGATGACATGGAGGATCAAGACGATGATATGGAAGATCAAGACGATGTTCATATGGATGATGCGGACGACGAGGAAGATGAATTTGAGCATGACATGGATAGCGACGAGGAAGAATAAACATCATTTTTACCAAGTATCTCCAATTTTATCATCCAAAAAACACTTTATTCTTTTGCAGGAAAACACAACTTTGGTCCCTGCTTGACATATTTTGTATGACTATCGAGACTTGTAAAATTAGCATGCAATAAAAGTCTAAAGCAGATACTTAATACATAGTTGGTACACTACCTTCCAGTTGCCAAGATCTTTTCTCCGTTGAATATTCTTACATGGCTAAAAGCTAGAGATTTTCCAGCCTTGGGACAATCCGCTTCAATACGGAGCATATCATTCAATTTTCCACCCGAAAGATATTGAACAGTTATGTCAGTAGAAACACCAGTGTAGACAGTGCCAGTTTTGGCAGCGATTGCCAGAGAACCTGTTGCGATTGCAATGAGTCAGTCATGCATGTATGGCTGGATTCAACTCTTACCAACTCAAGATCTAGTACATACCCATCACATCAACAATGGTCGCTGTCACTCCGCCATGCAATCCGTCCATCACATTGAGATGAGCTTTTGCAACGGGCATCTGGTAAACTTTGGATTAGTATCACTCATGGTGACCATCCATTGCAATTCACTTGCTTGATATAGTAATAGGTTATGCAACATACCTCACAGACAACACTATCGGCATTCACCTTGACCACATTGAGCTACAGTTGAGCATGTTTAGTTTTATGAATATTCGTTCGAGTTGAAATCATAAAGTTGGCATACATGCTTGAGAGTTGATGCAGTGAAACCATCTACACGCATAAGTTTAACAAGTCCATTGACAGCCTCTACAGCCTTGATGTGTTTCATTGAATCAGGGTGAAATCTGAGTATTACAAGCAAGACATTTGACCTGCCACAATCCATTACCACCAGATCTTGGTGAATATTCATTACAAACTACGCATGTTTTACAACACTTGAACTGTTCAAAATAAACTTGCATTCAACCACTCAAGATTTATTCCTTTGATCGAAGATTGCGACGACCAGCGCCAGCGATTTTACGCTTTTTGAACAATGAGCCTGTCAGAGAAGCATCGTCGGCATTCTGATTAATAGGATCACCCAGTTTAGCAGGTAACACTCCATTATCCCAGTCCTTCAATACTGCCTTTTTTTCTACAAATTTAAATCCCTTTGTATCCAATTCATCATTGTCATCGTCAAAATCAACTGGATTGATAGATCCATACGATTCAGTATTGGAATCTCCTTTCGGATTGTTGGAAGATGGACGGCGTTTGTTGTGGATTGAACTTGGATCAGCATCAGGTATGTGTGGAGTCACTGTAGGTTCTACCGCTACCCACGCTCCATAGGGTCCATGATCAGCATGTTCTGTACATTCATCAACAGTTTCTTCAACCTCGTCGCTTTCTTTTTCTTCGTGTTCAGGTTCAGAATCCGACTTGGCAGGTTGTTGTGGATCTTGAGATTCAACGGCTGGTATTCGATCTGATGGATAGACACTACTATGCATTGATGAACCTATTTCTACATTAGCAGCTGAATCTTGCTTATGCTGTCCATACTTTAAATCTCTTCCGTATTGCTTGAGTGCAGACTATTAGATAACATAGACTAGTCAATACCAAATTCATGTATGATCCTGAGATCAAGGAATTGAAAGTCATACCCGCTCTACTTGCTCCAGCATTCGCTTGTTCTTGGCATCATCTCTGGCTTTAAAGTCCTGCTTCTTATGAACCTCTCTCAAATGCCGAGTAACATTGTTTTTGTGTCTCCAACCTGTCTCATGTGCCTTTCGGCTCTATATTATAAAATAGTCATGGTTGAACAAGAGTCAAATGAGTGGTGAATCAAACTTTAGTATATCGACAAAATAGTGTGTACATACAGCTTGATTATCCTTGATGTATGCTCTGCAATAGTCACAAAAGTATGAGCGACCAGCTTCCCATGGAGCAGACATGACCAAACTGCAGGGAATTCAAGCTATTTCCAGTCGTATTTGTGTAAAATGGAAAATAATGAATATTTGGCTGAAATAAAAATAATCAACTATTCCTTATTTTCCATTAAAGATAAACTTGAATCAACCTTTTTCATTGCAAGAGTTTACAAAACAATCATGTCTAGTAAATCTGGTGGGAATTGACTGTTTAGACACCCTTAGTGTTCCATTTTACGTGAATATACAAGACTAGTTCAGGTTTAGATTTCTTTTTCTCAAACTAAATTGATTCTCGTCAAATCAACACCATGAGCAAGAGGATTGAGATATGGGGCAACAAGGAGACCATGAACATACACAATATCCTGTACCTGAATATCATGTCTTCTCGCTATTTCAAGTCTCTTTATGAAAAGAAAACCTACCATGAAGTCATTGATGAGATTTACTATAATGGTAACTTGATTTCTCCTGTCAAGTGTTTTGGATTCATTGCTCTGGTACAAATAGTCTTGACAGCATCAACCCACCCTAATCCTTACACTTGTTATTGATAGTATCATCACTCGAACCATTTTTCAAAGGAACCAATGCAACCTCGGCATTTTGTCTACTCTACAAGCTATTTACTTTAAAACTAACAGAGAAGCAGTTGGAAGGATTGCTGGACCATCCTGACTCACCCCATATTCGTGCACTAGGGTTTCTGTATTTAAGATACGCAGGTCAACCATCACAGATCTGGGACTGGTTTGAACCTTACTTGGATGATACTGAAGAACTTCCTGTTCGTGGTGGTCCACACCCAAAAACCATGCAAGTGCAAATTAAAATATCAAATGCATACATTTCCCATCATCGTACTAAATCTAATTGGCTTCATATAGGACGATAGGCACGTTTTGTAAAGCATTGTTGACGGAACAAAAGTGGTTTGAAACCATGCTACCTAGAATTCCTATTCCTATAGCTCGTGAGATTGAACAGAAACTAAAAGATCGGGAAAACTCCAAAACTGGACCGCCTGCTGATGTTGAGAGAATGAGCAGAGACAATGATCGCACTGTCTCTAGAAGATCTGTTTCTCCTCCTCCACGACGACGATCTAGGTACTGTATAGCATACCATTTGAGGTTGACGGATAGTTTTAAACTAATCTGATTTGATCGAGTAGAGAATCGTCAAGAGAACCAAGCTCGAGCCGTCGGTTTAGTAAAGATCGTTATAGACATAGTCGAGCTAGGTCGCCTGTTGATCGTAGGAGACGTAGTCGGTCAAGGTCGCCAATTGATCGACATCGATTTGACAGGGACGACTCTCATTCTAAAAGAGACCATGATCGTTCAAGACATAGATCGCATTCAAGATCACCTCGTCGATCTCATGATGACCATTACAGCGATACTTTTGGCTCCTCTCGTGAAAAATCACCACATCAAGACTCAAGGTCAAGTGCACAAGAGTAGGTTTAATCTTTCAGTCTACATTCAGTACTGTTTTAATTTTCAAGTCATTTTAATTGTTTTGGTAATCAAATACTTTATACAATAGACGACTTGCTGCTCTCAAGGATCGATATGGAGATTCCTCAGACTCCATCAAGAAAAAATAAAAATAAAAGAAAGTAGCCATACCATGTCAATACTATTTGACTCACATGCTTTGTAAAAATCAAAACCTGTTTTAAATATTGACCTTCACCTCCTATACATCATAAACTACCATTTACACTAGTTCCAAACGACTCAGCAAGATCCTTTGTTTTGTTTCCATGCACCACCTCGACTGAACAGCACATCAACTTTGGGGCGAAAACCTGTTGTTGTTGGACCTGGAAATGGTGCTACTTTGCCACATTTGGGACCATCAGTATAGAATATCTTTGGTCGGAATTCGTCCTTTTCAAGCATCACACTAAAACACATTAGTGATTTGGTTAGTACGTGCCAAAGACAATATATTAATAATATACTTTTGCAAACTCTTGTCAACTGTCTTGAACAGCCTGGATTCCATTCCAGCAAGACTTTGCAAACAATTGACATAATCACCTTGAATTTCGAAACTTTTCAACAAGTGCATGCTTTCCTTGAATGGTTGCAAATCCCATTCCACAGATTTTTTCACTTTTAAACTTGCCCCACATTCGACCCACAAAGCGATCTGCAAATCGAATTACTGCATCTGCATTGATAAAGTTTACAAACGCGTATCCGACATTACACTAAATATATTGAAATAACATTTCAAAAAGTAATGGGTCACATGTATAAGCAACTTGTTGGGATTTTTTGAACAATCAAACTACGTTTAATAGTTTCGACACTGCTCAGCTCAATTTATAAAAGATGTAGTGTATGTAACGATACCTTGTTTTTGAAATCAATTCGAAGGTATACAAAATCAAAACACCCCTAGTCGTTTACAATGCGTAAAAATGTAAATCTCTATTTTTCAGCAAGTTTTACTGGTGTTTGAAGATCATTGTCTAAATGTGCATCAATCACAAGTCAATATACACAAACATCATATATCATTCTTACCAGGTGCGACTCATTTAACAAATCAATAAACATTTCTTGAGTAAATTTGTTTGGGATATTTTTGACCATGATTGTGCGTCGAGTTTCTTTTCCAATTGCTACCGTGTTGAATCAAACTTACTATTAATACAACGCTTTTGAACCAATTTAAATAATAAAACCCGCTTACCAATATTTTGAACAAAAAGACTCGAGATACATTCTGATGGAATTCGTTGTAGTATTGCACACGAAAGCTCCTTTAAATCATCAAGTGTTTTTTCACTATTGGATGCTTTTTGGCTCGAGAATATCATAATGCCCTTGCTTTTGGTTTTTGTCTCACTTGTTGATATTGGAATGTTTGTTTTAACATGTGATTCGTGCACTTTGGTAAAAGTAGGCGAGCCTTCACGACTGTCGATTTTGAATTCCATAGTAGTACCATCAAAAGTTGGTGAGAATCGAATAGGGCTAGAAAAGGTGCGATCATAGTCCAATGATGGAACAGACTGATTTGATCCATATCTGGTAGATTTAGAGGCTTCGCTTATTTTACTGGCTTGAGGTAAAATTTGAACATCTTGACCATGCTCAAATCTCACTGTATTTTTTGTCTTTCCTACTATTTCAGTTTCCGAATAATCAAAGCAACTGTTTTGAGGGGCGGTTGTATGGTTAGATACTTGGAAACCAGAGGATAGATTCAGTGGAGATGGATACAAAGCACTATTGACGGTTGTCGATATTGGCATGCACCATTTTGCCAGGTGCTTTTCCTCTTCAAAAGAACGTGTAAATTTAGCAACAATATCTGATCCCTGTTCAGCATTGCCGTTCAAGTAGTTTAATTAAACCATGTATTTAGATGAGCGCATGCATGACTTGATTCAAACTGATAGTGTCAAGAACTGTTGAGTAACTTACATGCAAATTAGTGCAACCAAGATTACGAACAGCTGTTGCAGCATCATCGACATTGTCAAACTCGACAAAGCAGCTGAAGGATGGATTATTTTTGTGGAATGGCTGCTCAGTAATGTATAGGACAGGTCCAAAAGCAGCAAAAAAGGACTAGACGGTGTTTTTTCAAAATTTCAAACGAATGGTAAGAATACCAGACAAAAAGCAATATTCAGCGATTAGTCAACAATGAGATTGGTTCAAGATATACAGTAGCTATTGGATCAGCCATGGGATGCACTTTGTATTATAAATCAATCGATTTTCACAACTTACACGAAGGGTAGGTAAATCATACCATGCGGTAGCCATTCCACTAATATGAAGGCGGCCTTGATTGAGAAGCATGGGCCACACTTCGGGATGTGCCGAGGGAGCCAAAAGTTGTGCAATTTGGCCAGCATTGACAAACTGTACATTGTCGAGTGACAGAATATCATTGCTTAAAACCACATCAAAAAATCGTATGGCATTTTTCAAAGATTTGTACATGACTAGAGTGATTGTTGGATGCATTTCTGGACGCAACACATGGCGAATATCTCCATGAACCTGCAGTTTTTGGAACAGCTCTAGCAATGGAATACCGATACCAAACCCAACAAGAAGTAGGTTTCGAGTAGGTGCATAGTCATGTGAGTGCAAAGCATATTTTACTGTACTGTAGCCATTCTCGACATGAGGTAGATCAGACGTCACGATTGGGCCAGTGGAGGGTTGGGCAACAGCTGGGGATACTGTAGTCGCGTAGGCAGCAATGGGATCAGTGACCGTCGCAACAAAGGCTTGGACAGGAGTTGGGAGTGTATTAGAAGAGTGGTGTGATGGTGTTTGAATGACTGTCGTCATCATAGGGAGGGATTGCGTATGGAAAGGAGCAGAGTTTGTCACAAGGGGTATAAACAGCGAGGAAAGTGATTCGTGATACGGTGTTGGGTTTGAGTTGAACGAGCCATCTGGGAGATGATTGTATTCTTGACAATCAGATTGCAGATGAAATTCTCTGTGCGGGGCCTGACGACTATGAGACATGCAAGGATCCAGCTGCATAGCGGGAGTCGGCGCTTGTTGAGAATATTTGCTGGGCTGAGTCAGCGTTTTGTCTTTTTGAGAGCTGGTATGCTTATCGTTGAGACTCTGGAGACACTCTACTGTTGCAATATTACGAGTGTCAGACACTGGATCTATGTCCAATACTTGCAAAGTTTTACAGATTTCTTCAGATCTGTCTCTTGCATGTACTTTCAAGTGGTTTGAGTTTGCTGGCATGTGAAAGGGATGGACTGTTTTTCCTGCCATCAGCTGCGGAGAGACATATCCACCACCACCATATGTGGCTTGGCCAATGGGAGTAACAAAATAATTTTTACCAAGTGAATCATTCTCCCTGGCAGTGAAAGATGGATCCAAGTGACCTTCTGATGCAAGCATTTTCCTTGCCTCGGCAGTATTAGACTGAAATGCTATATCCTGGGTAGTGGTAACAGTGGTGATTGTGGTGTGCTTATTTGTGCATGCAGATGTCTCCCAAGATTGCACAGTAAATTGACTGTCGCCATGTCCGAGTGGCTTGAATGGTATTACCAATGCATTTGACATCTGTCTTGAGCCGAATGAAAGAGGCAGTTTAGAATTCTGGGATGGAGCATGCTGTTCAATATACCTGCAGTTGTGAATACTTGTAGGAATACTTTCAGTGACTGCCGCCTCGAATTGAGATGGGACTGTTTTAAAGACACCAAATTTGTGAGACACTGAGTGAGATCTGGCCTTTGTATCTATTTTTTTGGAGGGTAGAAGAGTACTTTGTATATCGCAAGTAAGTGATGACTGTTGTGTCACAGTGATGCTACGATCTTGCTCAGATGGACAGTACACATCTACTAATTTGGGTGAGGAATACAAGTGATGGGATGGTCCGTGATGATCAAGTGTGAGACAGCGAGTGTCCTCAGCCAGAGCATCCCACAAAGCAGTGTTATTATATGGACTCGTTTTGAGAGACTCAATAGCAGGTAGCTTTTTTCTCGTGGTCATACTTGATCGGTTTGGTACTTTATGCCAGTTGTGGGTATTCAAATAGCAATGATGTTGAGCAGTATGAATACAAAAGGATCGCAAGCAGGTGGTTGCAGCTTAAAAGTTCACCAATAGCCCAAAAACCAACAGTTTGGGAGATGAAAATTGTTTGGATTTGCAAGACAAGTTTAAAGCGTCACTAATTGCAACTTTTTCCAAATGTGGCTTATTGCAGTGTTATTCTGCAGCAACACTTGATATCTACACCCAACAGTCACTGACAATACGTTGTCATTTGAAAAAGTCTAAATGCTACCAAAGCGTGAAATCTGCAGATGAGAATACCGAGTCAACCTCTTGACTCAGTCTGACACAGTCTGACAGTCTGATACTGCATGTTCTATACTTTCTAATCAATTAAAAGTGCATGATAAATACATTATTCGATTCTATTGGTCAAACAATAAACTTTTGTGATGTTGAATAGATTTCAAGGGGTCCTTTGAATGCGTCATTTAATCTCATATTGGAATAATACAATCTACTTGTTACATTTCTTGAATCTTGTTATTCTATAAAAACTTGTTTTGGTTACTAAATTTACTCAATAACCATTAGTTGATTTTTCTCGACTTGCGCTCTAATCTCGAGTTTTTAGAATACTTTCAAAGCTGTCGAATTTAGACACGATCAATTTGTTGATGCTCATTCTGAATAATGACTATTAATCAATGCTTTCAATGAATAGTTTCACTTGTAGTATAATAACACTGACCGTTTTTTATATGGTTTTGAGTGTATAGGTTGATTCAAGTTTATCTTTAATAAAAAACAATGAATATTTGGCCATTTTTATTTCAGCCAAATATTCATTATTTTACACGAATACAGCCAAGTTTATTTTTACATTCGAGACTCTTCATCTACGATTGCTATAATGGACGACTCTACTCAACACCATATTGAAACTGATTCGGTTGATATCCATCAAAAACTAGAATTTGAAGAAACAACCTCTTTATCTAATGCTTCATCAGAACCTGTACATATTCCACTAGTAGAAACAGCAGAATCAACCAAAGATGCTGAATCCAAAGCATCTGATACAATACATAGTGATGAGCTCGAAACTCAACCACAAGAAACTATACAGTCCAGTTCAGTGCAGGAATCTCACTCACAAGCATTAGAGGATGATGAATTTGGAGACTTTGAAGAGTCGTCCGTTGCCATCACTCATGCATCCGAGCCACTTTTCAAAGACACCAAACTTGAACATGATACGAGTGTTGTTCAGGACGAGACTGATGATGACGGGTTTGGAGACTTTGATGATTTTTCCAATGCTCCATCATCTCAGCCTATATCTATACCAACTACTACATCAGTCAAGGCTCCATTCACGCATATATCCCCACTGGACCAATTTGCTGCTGCATCTCAAGACTTGGCTGCTGAAACTCGTATTTCTGATATCCTGGCAAGTTTTGTTTTAAACTGAGATTATCCTCTTTTAGTAGTCATACATTGTACGATCTGAGCTCTCATCTCAATCACTTCACTCATTTTTTCACATTGGATATAGAAATCGAATGGCTTTTCAAGTAGTTCCATTGATGCCGAATTAAATTATACTCTCAAATTGATCCAACATGCATGGGGGAGTGATGATTTAACTTCATATACGGCATCATTATCTACTACCATATCTAGTCTAATGGTTGCAGATATTGACAACAAAAGTTTAAAACCTAATGTGTGCTACCAAGATCAAGACTGGTAAGTTTAGGTTCATTCTGATTGTTTATCCTAATATTCCAAACAGCATATGTCAATTAGATTTGTAATATATTGGCTGCTAATTTTGTGTCGGATAGGGTGAAACTATGGGGCTTGTTAACATCAGATCCAACTAATCCATCCACTACTATGGAACCATTTCGATGGAGAAAGTCGCATATTCGTAAACAGTTTTTGGAGTTTTTTACCCAAGGGCCTCAACACTGTGCAACTAATCTATCTACCACTGAATCCGAGTCTGCTCACACTATAAACAATTTACTGGGTAGCACTAATGGGCTACAGAGTGGTGATGCAAATCAACCTTCTACAAGTGTCGATGAAGGCGGTACAACTGGGACAATGGGTTCTACATCAGCTATTTCCACCACCGCGAATTCAGCTAATTTAGGTACTAATATGACTAGTGGATTTGCTCATCCACCTCCTGGTGTATATCACCAATTGGATCCTCGTGAGGCTGATCTTTTAGAAGCCAAACGATTATGTGACATTACAGAAGGTATGTATAATTAAGTATGTGTGTTATATGTGATGTTACATGGCTTATTTATTACTATTGCTGTTGGACATATGCATGGTTGGAATTAGAGGAAATGCGACATCACAGTACAGGTGAGATACGCGATCTTATCAAGTCACTTATGGATCATCATCTCAAGATGCAAGAACAGGCCAACCATTGGCTGGATTCTAAAGAGCAACTGGTGATGGATGCTGAAATGCACAACAAGATGATTGCTTCGTTGGTTCAATATGCTCAACAGCAACAAGTCACACCAAAAGGTATTTGCTTTACAAATCAAGATTTGACATTATGTGCTGCCTGTGCTGATTTGTTTAATTTGGTCCAGGCGGAGCAGCAGCAACAGCTACCAAGAAAAAGAGCAGATTTGGTCTATCGCTTAAATAAATTTGGATAGACTGTTTTTGCCATGTCTATGCTCAAACCAAATCAGTTTAATAGATTGTTTATTTTGACTTTTTATGTTTTAAATATCTACGATTCATCCAACTCAATGTGAAGTTTTTTAATCATGTTGGCATACTTCACCAAGAGCCTCTGTCCACCAAGCAATGTAGTAACATGTCCTTCGCGACCAAACCGACTTGCTCGACCTGCCATATGAACATAATTGGCATCTGAAGAAGGAACACCAAGTATGAATACATGGCTAACATCAGGTAGATCCAATCCCCTCGCTTCATATTCGGTTGCACAAATGACATGCACCTGGCCATCATGGAATCGCTGAAATGGTACAGATCCACTAGCTGATTCTACTAGCGAATCACTGTCTGACGCATCGTTGAACTCAATTCCTGGTGTACCTATACCTTTATAATTGACTAAATTGAACATTTTATCCGCTTTGACTCCCAGAGCTTTCAGTCTATCCACAAGTTTAGTAACCGACATTGACGCACGACCAAAAACAAACGCTTTGGTGATGTTTTCACGAAGAATAAAATCGGCAACCGTTTCAACCATCAAATCATGATCGTCAGCTAGCACTTCCTGTAAAGGTGCTTTTTGTTCCAACTTGACATCTTTAAAAGTATTTTCTTTGTGGATAAAAGTGTTGGGGATTAATGAAGGCAAAACTGGCGACAAATTTGTGGTTGTTGTCACATTGGAAACTGTGGTGATAGGATCCAGATTTTGTATTCTCTGTGATTGAAGATTCGTATTGAGACTGTGATTTCCAAGCTGATTAGCATTACCAAGCCGATCAACTATAAATGCCTTATGTTTCAACGTAGCAGGAATTCTGGTAGTAGTATTCATCTCCAACATTGTAGCAAAAGGCATCCAACCTTTAGTTTTCATCATATAGTTTTTTATGGTAGAGTTTGATGTTGCAGATGAGATTATAATTTGAAGTGGTCGTGCTTGTGCTGGATCAAATCGAACACTTGACTCGGCAATTCCAGATTCAGACATGGATGCTTTTCCTTTCTTGACATGCTGTGGTCGATGGTATCTTGACAAAGCAGCTGTATGTGAAATATGTTTTTCTCGAGTATCCATCGTGGCTTGCATAGCTTTACGCTGCTCAGAGATCTTTGCAATGAGCGTTTCACCAGACAAGGGATGCACTTGACGTTGAATTTTTTTCTTGATAGGTTCGTATCTTGATGGAGCATTAACAATCCGATCCACTTCATCTACAACAAGCAATTGCAGTCGTGATGTATCATAAGCTTTTTGCTCATGCAACTCAAAAAGTCGTTGAGGAGTTCCGACTAAAATCCGTGGATTGATTCTTTTAAGTTGAGCAGCTTGCTCGGAAGCATCTACACCTGCAATCACACATTGAAAAATAGAAGCTTCTGCATCTGTATTGCCTTGAGTGATGGATGCGGTGAGTCTGCGCATCCATGAAACGATTTGAATAGCAAGTTCACGCGTAGGAACAATCATGAGTGTCGTAAGATACTTGTGTTTCCGTAAAAGGAGTTTTTGAGCCTGTAAACTTTCTGTTTCATTTTTCAAGAGAGATTCCTTGTCATCAGATGTATTGTTGTACGAAGCAAGCTCAGATGGGATAATGGGTTGCTGCAATGCGTTGGTGAAACTGTGGGGACGAGAAGTTTGACGCAACGAAAAAACGGACGGGTGAGGTTTGGTCAACATGGCAAGAACAAGACCCAATGTTTTTCCAGTTCCAGTATTATCTCTTAAAATAGTATGTTTGTGTGACATGATGGCAGGAAAGAGGACTGATTGGGCTTCAGTTGGAGCCAAAGCGTTGAATTCCAATTTAAGTTTATCAATTAACGATTCAGGAATTCCCATTGCACAAAAACTATCCTAGAATTTAAATACATTATTATCACTTTTTAGAATCAAACAAGTTGATGTATTGATAATGATAAGACTTGATCACCTGTTTAGCATTGTTTTCAGTAAAAGATGGCTTATGATCTGTTCCGATTGGACTGAAATGAGTGGATGAAAATAAACGATAGTGTACCAAGAAACCACCCGAATTACAAAAAGCAGATGTAACAGGAATAGAACAGATAGAAGAACATACACCACTGTGTCTAGCCAAGACCCTCTTGAGCTGAATCTGCACTGACATGATTAAAAGTGTCAAAGAATTATCAACACGAAATTTTATTTTATTTCTAGAATAATTCTAAAATGAGCAATTGTATAATATTTTGAATCTGATAAAAGTATTGATGAAATATTGATAAAATATTAGTGAAATCTTAATGAAATGTTGATGAAATGTTGATGAAATATTAGTGAAATATTCCTAAAATATTAATGAAATATTAAGCCATGAATGGATTGATTTACAGTCATTGCTGTTCAATTGTTCCTGAGGACATTGTATTGGACTTGTTTGCTTTGCAAATTTAAAACTTTATCCGACATGCCGACAGCAATGACGGTAGATGGAGTGATTGCCATGGAGACTGACCAGCAGCAAACTATTGCAACTGTTCCTGGACTCATCTATCCTCCACCAGAGATTAGAAGTATGTTTTTATATTTTATCCTTTGGCTGATTTGGCTTGTAAATTAGTGAGCTTTTGTATGCCATCATTTCACTAAACCATACTTGTCGTTATGCGTTGCACTTGTAGATATTGTGGACAAAACTGCAGATTTTGTTGCTCGCAATGGTCCCCAGTTTGAGGAGCGAATTCAAGCCAAAGAACAGTCGAATCCAAAGTTCTCATTCATGACTGTATCCGATCCCTATCATGCCTATTATCAGCACAGAATCAATGAAGCAAGACAAGGACGAAGTATGGAGTTTGTGTTTAACAGCTTGTTGGGTTGTTGCTTTATACTTGTATAGTCTAGCATTTAGTCTTGAATTTGATCAACTAATTTAATCTCAAATTCATTGGTAAACTCCTGATTGTTGATCTAATAGCTGCTGCTGCTTTATCAGCAGAAAAGGCAAAAGTCGATGAACTGCCAGAAATGCCTAAAGTAGTCAAATATATTCCGAAAGAACCTCCTGCCTATTTGTTTTCTGCTACGCTTCCTGCAATCTCTCGTCAGGATCTGTAAGTCATATTATCTGATTACTTGCATAAACTCATATTTACAATCAAATTTAAATACTGTGCAAATGGTTTAGGGATATTATCAAATTGACTGCTCAGTTTTCTGCTCGTAACGGTCGCACATTTCAAACCAGTTTGCTTCAGCGAGAAAGCAAGAATTTCCAGTTTGATTTCATGAGACCTAGCCATTCATTATATGGATACTATAATCGTCTTGTCGAACAGTATGCAAAGGTGATTTCTCCTTCAGAATCTCTCATTGAAACATTGCGGACTCAGGTTAGACATAAACTGCAAATTTTAGATCGTGTGTCTATGCGGGTTGAACATCAAGCATATCTCGCTGAAGAAAGTCGCAAAGCTCAACAAGAGGCTGATGAAGAGCAAAGTAAGTGTACTGATTGTAGTCATTTTGGAGAGACCATGTTTAAAATGTATCGTGCTGTGCTTACCGCATTCTCATGTTGTGGACGGGTTGGAATACAGTTGCGTTTGCTACCATCGATTGGCACGATTTTGTTGTAGTAGACACGATTGAATTTGTTGAAGTTGATGAACGATCGTATCTTCCACCGCCAATGAGTGTGGTTGAATTGGAATCCATGACGCTAGAGCAAAGACGTACTCTTTTATCGTTTGAAAAACCGCCAGAACCTGAAATCTTTGAAACAGTGGTTGAAACAGCAGAGGAACAGGTGGGTTTATATACTGCCATGTGAAACTTGATATGATTGGAGTTTGCTGACTGGTTTTATTGGCAGATGGAGGACGACGATATAGATATGGACATGGAAGATGATGACGAAAATGATAGCGCACTGATGGCTCCTGCTGCTCAACAAGTCACTAAAATTCAGGATACAACACAGCCTACCAATATTCGTACAGACTATATTCCAAAAGGTATATTCTGCCATATGATGATTAGTTATCGATTATATATACCAACAGTTTTGTAAATCTAGTGGGTCGTGCAACACAGGCAGCAGAGCCTATCGAACTGTGTCCTGTTTGCGGAGCCTCGGTCAAGGCATCAGAGATGGCTGAGCATGTGCGTATTGAACTGCTTGATCCAAGATGGAAAGATCAGCGTAATACATACCAATCCAAACAGCGCGATTCCAATTTGGTACCACGTAAGTTTTATCTCATTGATCTGATCAAGTGTTTTGGATGGTTGATCGTTTGGCAGAATATTACGTTTGAGTATACTAACCACTTGTGATTTACTACAACATTGTAACCAGTTGATCCTAATATCCTGTCCAAGATATCCGATTACCGACCAGATATCTTTGGCGGCGGGGATAATCTGGATGTGAACAGGAAGTTGGCAGAGGATACTGAAAAGGCACGAGATGCAGAAAAGAAAAAGGTGATTTGGGACGGTCACTCAAATTCCATTGCAAGCGCATCACAAAAAATGCAGCAATCATCGGTTGAAAATCAAGTTATTGTTATTCAGCAGCAAATGGAACAAAATGCAGCACTGAATGCTATTGGACCCAAACTTCCCGGTAGTGCACCTATGCCATTTACTCCTGGAATGCCATTCCCAGGAATGCCTTTTGGAGCAGTATCCTATCCTGGAATGCCCTTTCCGATGCCGGGTATGCCTCCACCAGGTATGCCGCCAGTCATGCCAGCCATGCCACCGCCGCCATTTGGAGTCGCACCGGGTGCGTTTCCTCCACCACCTGGAATGCCTCCACTTGGATTTGGTATACCTCCCTCTCCGTTTCCATTTCCCGGAGCTATGCCTGTCGGTGTTGCTCCACCATTGCCACCAGGTGTGGTTCCTCTACCTCTAGCTGTTCCTGAATCAGCAACCTCTGCAAAACACGCCATACCTACTGATGAGATGGATCACGCACTTAAAAAAGCCAAAACAGAGGTAATTTCCATCACTATCCAACACGTATCCAATACTAAATTGTCTTTCTAACCTTGTGTATTTTCACTCTAGATCGATTTACAAAAACTCATCACACTATCTATTACCATGCCAACGGGTGAATCTCTCCAAGCCGATCCTGCTGATATGAGAATGACTGTTGCAGCGTTCAAGGAACATATTGCTGGTCTTGTAGGTACACCTGCTAGCAAACAGAAACTGGTCATGGAGGATAATACAGTTTTAAAGAATGCGTTGACGTTGGAGAGCTACGCGTTAGTGAATGGATCAGTTCTGGAACTTTCTACTCGTGGTCGTGGTGGAGGAACTACCAAGAAAACTTAGTTGCTGAATGTGTTTCAAGTACTGATATGGAGTTGAAATCTAAAGGGTATACCAACTATGAGATGGAATACACTGCTTTTTGACTGTATAGATGTTTGTGTGACAGCTTTGGCTCGAGTAGATGCAAGTATTTTTAAAAATGCCACATTGGAATACTTTCTTCACTATCAATCTGAAATAAAAACTAAATGTTCAAGTTGACATGTCACAGCTAAACAATTCAACCCCATCTGTTATAAACCGATTGATATCAAAACCATTTTGAAATAAGTTTAAAAATCATTATAATATCATTGTTGAAACTAAAACGACTGTTACAATTTTAAGGGTGGATGTGGCCATCAATAGCATTACCAATTCAGACACCATCCTTGGGGTATACCAAAAAGAGACATCTTATTGTTCAGTGACTCTAGAATCTCTGGATAGACTTGCAAAAGGCGACAAGGTATCTCGATGTTCAACAGGCTGCCCCTTTCTCTGATCATTATGCGTTTGTACTGTGTTGCCACCACTTAATCCATCTCCCCCCGTGACACGATGGACTCCACCTGGCTCCATCCGACATTCGTTGATAGCGGTTAGGATTTTTTTCCGTGATCCGAGCGCCTTGATCCCCAACTCTTTTAGATCCGCATCTTCAAGTGTTTTGAATGTTTGAAAGTCAATCTCGTGTTCAATGAAATGCGGAAGATACTTTCCATGTCCAATTTGGTCTAGTACTTGGCCAATATCATTAAAGTCTTGATTGGATTTGGTATCCGTTCCAAGTAGAGTATCTACAATTTGAAGATCAAATGTGATGGATAGGTCGTCGTCGTGCTGGCTATCTGGTGATGTTTGAGACTGGGAATCGCGTGGAACAAAGGCTTCGTGACCACGATACGATGGCTTTCCCATTGAAAGATCCTGCTGTTGCATTACTGCAGAAGATGACATGCTTTTACCAAGATGAGTGTTACTTCCCCATCTATATGAAATGCTAGCCATATTATTTCCAGCAGCTTCTACTGAAGAAGGCGAGCCTATTTGAGCAGGCAATGTTCCTCCAGACATCATATTAGCACCAGTGGATACTGCATTAGTTCTATTTGAAAGTTGTCCATAAGATGATCCTTCAGTAATCATCATTCCCGATCCAATTAAACTAGATATAGAAGTAGAAGGGTTATCAACTAGTGACAAAAGATCAGGCATAGTAAGCGATTGTCGGTTGAGATGGGTGTGCCGTAGAAAATCAGAGGAATCGGAGAGCATCCGTACAGAAGAAATCTGTGTGTTTTTTTGTGGATTTGTGTTGGAATAGTTACGAGGTCGGCCAATAGCAGAAGGCTGTGGCTTGACCTCGGAGCCAGATCGTTTAAGTCCTGGCGGCATATTGGGAGCATCATCAAACAGCTGACGTAAATTGGGAACAGAACCAGATGATCCCTGCTTGGTAGCAAATAAACTAAAGTTGGATGCTACGGTAGAAATTTGTGAATCTGGAGCTGTAGTGGAGGGTGCAATTAATTTTCTATTAAAGTGCTGGAATGTATCATATGTAGCGGATGGTGGGGCAAGGTTGGCAAAAGAGCCAGACCGAGCAACATTACTGAGAGGAACCTGCTTCCATTAAAAGTGGATCAAGACAGTAAAGCACATGAATGGTTAACTACAGGCTTGGTCCAACCCTTGAAAGCATTCATATTGGAAATAAATCAAACTTACTTGTTTTCGTGACATAAAACCAATAATATTCTTTTTAGCATCATCTAAGCGTAGAGATGGGAGTGAGGAGTGGATTAAAAAGACGGTCAATTCTGGTACTATATCTGCTTTTAATACATGCGGGTAGTATATATTGACAAGAACTCCTTCATCCTTGAGTTGATTGACCAAGGCACTGAATTCTTGTGATGAAATGGCTTGATGTGCTGCATTGCTGAATGGCAAGTCAAAATCAAATATGGATGGAGTGCTGGCATTAAGGCGTGCTTTGGCCACTTCGAGCTGCGAAATTGGGCCTTCGATTGTAATGACATCCGTGCCAGCCTCTCTATCTGGAAACGCAATACGGACTTTGGTACTGTGTTCAATGTCAAGAACCACACGACCTTGATATCCAGCCAGCAGGCCATGCAACTGTCGTGGCACTTCAATGTCAATTTTTGTTTCAATAAGATCGAGTGCCTTGATGGAGTCGCAAATGGTCAGCTTGAGATCTTTAAGACTCTCACCATTTTTGGCGGGTGTGCGTGCAATGACATTATCCTCGATTTCATAGTGACCTCCTAGCGCAGAATATTCTTCTGCACTGGAAAATTTGACATAGACACCATACTTTTTCATAATCTTTTGGATATTCTTACCACCAACACCAATAATGCGCTTGTGATACATTTCAGGGATATAAAAAGACACTTCAGCGGGAAGTTCGTCTTGTAGCATTTTCAAGCCCATATATGCACGAGAGGGTACAGGAGAGTACAGATCAATCAACATGTTGTAGTCATTATAATTGTCCTGAAACACGATGCGACAATTGGCAGCCTTGATGATCTTGTTGACTTTGCCATTCTTTTTTCCGTTGATAAAATCTCGGTGCTCAATGGCAAGTTCGACTTGAAATTTGGTATCACGAATTGAGTTTTTGATCATGTCTAAACACAAGAGTTCTTGGTATGCCTGTTTGACTTGACTTTGAAGTCCATAGACTTCAATAAATTGTCGCTGCATAACAATATCAGCACCAGAATCGCGAGATATTCTAAGAATATGTGGCTGGAGATCATTTAGATATTGTTGAGAAATTTGAGTAGACTCGATGTTTTGTAGCTGAATGCAGGATATATAGTATTCACAAACCTAAATCATAGAGTGTTGGCATGATTAGAAAGCGACTTGAAAATGTACAATTGATGCATTATCAAGCAATGCAACGACTATAAATGAATGTATATGCTTACCAACTGCATTATTGCACGGATCGCTCGCTCCATATATATTGGAAGCTCTGCATAAAACGTAAGGACATTGCTATTGCTTCCAAGAGGTGGAAACGAGATATAAGTTGCATTGTCATGAATGATTTTTCGGACTTGTTGTTTTTTGTTCATAAAAAGCCAATCGATTTTTCTTGGAAGACAGGGTACAGGTTTTGTCAAAACTTTTGGTCGCTGTTTTAATGAAATAGAAAATTCAAGTTTAGATATATTGCAATGACTGGTTGTAAACATGGTGATCATTTGATTTAAAGTAGTGAAAAATACAACTTGCCTTTGCATCTATTGCAGCAAATAAAAGATCTCTAGCACGAGCAATACCATCGTTTGAGCCAGTGATAAATATTGTTGTATAGTATGGATCTCTACCATGAGCCGGCTCTGGATGTCCTGGACGTAATGATTGGGTTGTCAAAAGGGTGGGCAGATATATTGAGGTTAGGGTTTCGTGCATAATGAGATTGAGATAGCTGCGCTGTAGCCCTGCCACAATAGGATGCATTTCGCAATCCAACTCAATCGACGTGCAGGATAACCCAAACTAACCGCGATAAATAGACAGAAAAGTGCACAAGAAATGGTTAGTGAGTAGCAGGTTTGAATGGTGAGTTTTACTAGACCATACATTTCACAAAGTAGCCTTACCAATTCATCCAATAAAAGCAAGCATCGCATGCGTGAGCGATCGACAGCATCCCGTTGACCCACTATTTCAATAGTAGTGACAGAAGCATTATAGTCTGATGGAGGAGCATGCGGTGCTATTGGGACACAAGAGATACGAGTACGAGTAGCATTCATGAGTTCGTCCAATTTTAAATTTACGATACTTTTCAATTCACCATGATGTTGAAGTACCACAGAGCGAGATGCTTTAAGCGAAACAAAATCCTATACAAAGCACCACGAATGATAATACATATTAGAATTGGACAGTAAATTCAAGCTCCATGAAATTTAGGAGAGTCCAAGCAATGGATTGAAACAAGTTAGACTTGAGTTGTTTCAAGAGTGTTGATACCACATGACCGTCAGTAGTCATTTAGCAGACAAGACTAGTGTTCGTATGATAATAAGCAACCCGAGCCATCCCATCATATCGATGCTCTCCATTTGCTTCAAACAACTGTCACGGGTACGTTTTTGACACTGTGCCCGTGGTAGTCAAGACATTTGGAATGACAATCATGACCTGTTATAGTCTTGGATACCAGAGTAGAACATTGTAGAATGCACTACTTGGAATCTTCAAGAGTAATTGTAGTGGCTGGTAGCCACTACATCAGTCATCAATTCTACAACAGTCTGCATTACACCACTCCAGTCATTGATTCTACTCCAACAATCGATTCTATTCCAGCAATCGATCCTATTTCATAACTATATGGAATTACCTGAGTAGGATTGCTACGCAGTAGGCCTGCTCTACAAGCCACAATTTGTAGGTATGGCCCAACAATACACACATGTACTGTAAACTCATGTCTTGTTAAATTGCCGAGACCTTGATGTACTCCCAGTCCTTGTGATTGCTGCTGCTCAGCAATGGTATAAGATACCTGACATTTATAGACCTGCATGACTTCGTCACATTGGGTTCTTAACTGGTCTAGCACTTGCTGTTGTACAGACGTATGTGTGCCCGCGCTCGCATACACTGCAACGACATACTGTTGTGTGATGCTGCCAATGCTATTATGAGTCTGTGTGGTGCTATTATTTGCCGTATCGGTGTTCTGATTGATGCTGCCGTGTCTGAGGCTAACACCTATACCGCTTCCTTGTGTATATAATTGTGTATTTGGTGGTGATGGTCCTGATTGTGAATGAGCAAAGTGAGGGTCGTTCATTATAGAGGTTTGCTCAAAGGCTGCTGATATAATTTTGATTGATAGCCCTGATGAATGAGGTCTGCAGTGGCAGCCAAGGTTGGATCAAATAAAAGACTGACAACTATATTTGCTGCAATTGATTGATCAGTAAGCTTTCTTTGTTAAAATGTAATTTGGTCAGTGATTAAATAGATGAACAACCAAAACCAGCCAGCTGGGTCGATACTTACCGACTGCTGTTTGTCAGTATAAAGTGCGGCCCTATTGATTACTTGCTGGCCTAAATTTTTTCCTACACTACTGAGTTTCCTTGCCAATATATTATTAGGAGGAAATGTGCTGTGGATCCACAACCTGCAACGAATTTTGGTTTAGCTGGTCGTGTTTTCCTACTGCAAAAACACGGCTTTCGATTGTTTTTTTATTCAAGGGAAAGTGTGTGGAGTCAATTTTTGGCCGAATTTACGTTTATTTTTTGCCAAAAATTGCTTTGTATTGACTTGCTGTGGATGGTATTATCAGTTATATCATCAATACTATTCCATGTACCTTTTATTCGTTGTGATGTCAGTCTGGATATTGTTTCTTGCTGAGCTTCACGTCTTTTGGAAAACAAACTGTGCTAAATATACGCTGATTTCCATTCAATATCATCTGTTTTGTCATTATATGCCATCTTGCATTATGAAATTTCTGAATTCATATCAATAATGTACTAGTGATTATATCCACCCCATCACAGTCACTCTACACAGGCTCAACGGTTTGCCGTATTTACTCTATCCGCATCGCGTAGTCTAAAGCTGCCCCACCCCCAAATAGTTCAGTGATTGGCCCACTACCCATTCGTTGGTACTAAACAGTCTGCCAACTCAATTCAACTTGGCCGTTTGTTAATGGAACCTCATTATCTTGCCATTATCTTGCGGCCAAATTTTGGCATTCGTGGATATGTATGCGGCTATTCTCTAATCTGCCTCATTCATGAATAGAAATCAGTTTGCAATATCAATTGGATCGAGACGTTCCACATCACAGCTATTGACAATGGAAATAAGAGTGGAGGGATGAGTGGGAAATTGTCAACCACCTCATCATCAATGCGCATCATGTGTTTAAATCGGTACTTGCATAAAATTCATTCAGCACCATTCTTGTGTGCGGTCAAGTTGGGCAATGTTTTGCAAATATTGGTAGATTGTCTGCTGATTTGAATGACAAAAGCATCCATCGATCGTGTCTCGTGTATCAACGACAATCTAACCTGTTGGCACGACCAGTTTTCTCAACAATCTGCTGATCATGTCGATTGATTCTAGAATATCATTCGTTTGATCTAGCAATAACTGCTTTTTGATCTTATTTTGACACCTTTGACGCTTCATTCATATAGGTTACATGAATCTGGAGCAATTGTGCGATCCTACGAATGGGTAATTCATGTTTTAAAATGTTGAAACAGCCTGCTTGATGTATCAGAATATTTTCAAAGCATGTCAAAGTATCACAGCCATATTCACGCCAAATGAAATGATCAAGGGTGTCAGTACTAAACGGCCAGGCTTACGAAGTGATGGGTATCAGTTTCTACCAAATTTACTGGGCAACGCTGTCTTTTGAACTCCAAGGTTTATACTGGTTTATGTTCATTTTTATACAAAAATACAGAGCGAATGTTGAATGCAGCCTTCATATTGCAGCACCAGTCAATCCCACTTGTTCAGTCTTTAACTCTTCTTTTTTATCCACCAAATACTACAGTACTGGTGATTGACATGTACAGTTGCATTCTGCAATCACTATTGAACTAGAGCGCAGGCATGATATTTAGGCTGCAACAGAGCGTCTATAAAAGCAATTCATTTCTAGTAAAAAACAGCAAATATTTGGCCATTTTTTATTCGAGTAAAATGGGCAATTCAAGATAAATGTTTTGCGTATTCACGTCGAGTTTTATCCTTTAACAACAACTCATTCCAGCAACCGTATTATGACCCGAGGAAACCAGAGAGACTTGGCTCGTGAAAAGAGTGCCAAGAAAACTGCTTCAAAAGGTGAACGCAAGGACAATATTCCTCCTGCCAAGCGAAAGGAACAGTAAGTCAATACCATTCATTTGAAAGCATCAATATAAGTGATAAAGTAGCTGTCTAGCCAATCTATTCATACTATGGCACATGCAGACAGTTGAAGTGTTCATATCACTGCTCTTGGAGTCTTTTATTTTAACTCTTGGTATGAATGAACTGACTTTTCTACTACAAACTATTCGATACATGTCACGCTATGCCACCGTATCTGAAACATCCATCTGCCAGTGATGCCGCTGCTTTGCAAGCCAAACTTGCAGCAAAAAAGGCTGCTGCCGAACAGTCTGCTGATAAAAAATAATCAAGTCTTTTAGATGGCTTCAAGGATTCTTGACTCTTGCCATTCATTTATCCAACTGTTGACACTTTGAACACCAGCTCCAAATACAAGCGCTGACTCTTTTAACTCTGTGCATTTTCTATTTGATAGATTGGTGATTGGATTTGAGTGAAAAAGACTGAATCGTATATCCATTATTTTGATCAACCCTATCGTTATTTAACATTGCAAGTGACGTTATGATGGTACTGTGTAAACCAAGTTGTACGATTCAACTCTTGTAAACAACTTTTAAAGCCTTGGTATGCTTTATTCTCCAGTTACCAAGCTGTTTGTTGCTGTGTAAATAGATTGATACTCATTTTAAAGTCAACATGTAGTCTCGTCAGGTTGATACATGATCAAAATGATATTTGTTTTCAACACATGTAACCAACTGAGTAGATTGCCAATATTTAAAATGAATTTGGCTTATGGAATCCAAATCAGCGAATAGTTTATTCATGGCATTTGTAATCTTTAGTTGATATACCAGGCTTGAATGATGACAATCATTTGGGCATATCCAGTTTTAAAATATACGCTTATTTATTTAGATTCAGTTTTCTTCACTACCCATTGCCTAGTGTCAAATACTGTACAACACTTGTGTAGTTTGTCCATCTGAATTGGATGGCGATATTCACTACAATCCAGATATTAGATTCGACTATTCTCATTTGTCTTGAATCTTGAATACGTTCGCGCTCTAGCTCAAATGATGGTCAGAAAAGCAACTGCTGTTTCCATACCGATCACAAAAAAGACCCACCAACCACTTGCAACAATGCTGATCAGTAAATTTAACGAGACTGGCAGTTTATTATACACCAACACTTTAATATTCCAGTGATGTGGATACGACAATGGAGCCCGACTATTTCTACAACCATGATAAAAAAACAAAAGTTATATGATTGTATTTTACCTAAATCAAGATTCTAGAATTATAAAATGACTGACATGCTTATTCAATGCCATGATGAGATGTTGAACCCATGCATTTGTTTAGTTATTGGAATCATTGACGCTCGTTCAAGCCAGTATAATATCCAGTATAATACCAAGCCATCATCAATTTAGATTGAATGTCTTCTTTGTTGGTAGATTCAAGTGATTCTTTTGATGGTGCAATACCACATGATGGACAGGCATGATGCGAGGGTTTTGATTGAGGTAACAGATTGGGTTTAAATCCTGGAAACTGAGTTGAACATGGAGATGCATGAATGGGAGTTTCTGTTGATGTCGACCTATTTAAAGTAGTTTCTATTTCAGTTGAGATTGCAGTTTGGTTTAAAGCAGACGAAGTTGTAATTGTTGGTTTGGATCGTTTAGGAAGATGTAAATCCTAGTTGAACAATATCAAATCTAGTCATTAGTCTTGCATTCTTTGATACCAATTTAAACTGTAAAAATGTTACATACTGTTACATCGACTGTCGTTCGCTTCCTATTATAAGAATAGTCAATCGGTTTAGTCAATATGTGGAATTCAATAATGATTCAGTTACAATAATATCGAACCTTGTACTATGGCTCGACTCTTTTGTATCGTCACCAGGTCGATCAGGTAAAATGCCATTGCGTTCCATATTCTAAAAGATGGTTTATAGTGAGAAGAGCAATCAAGTACAATCGCACTGTATAGAATCTACTCACAAGATACTGTTTCACTGCTGAATCCCAAGCCTTGATCAGTAGAGAATCGTCCCATGGATTGTCGTTTTGGTCCTAAACCAACCCATCAACAACAGTTGGAATCAACAACAACCAACTCATATCAATCCAATCTACTTACATTGTTGGCAAGAGAGATACTAACCCACTGCGATTCTCCAGTGTGAACAGGATCGGATTCTTCAATACAATCCGTTTCAGTCTGTTGTTCATCTTGACTTGGATGGTCGCTAAGCTCACCATCTTCTTGATCCATTTCGTCTTCTTCTATCTGTTCTAAACAGTCGGATCGATCATCCACTTTGTCAATAAACGTTTCCTTTTCGTCACTATTCAATAAACCTTGCATTGTCAACTCGACGTTTAAGATGTGAGGTTGAATCCAGTTGAACAGGAAACTCAAGCAATGGAGTTGAAAATAACAAAACTGTTCATAAAACCATTGCAATACGTTGTTTTCACATTGACCCAATGGTCGAATGAAACTGTTTTACTATCATATTTTAAACAGGTTTTATTCAGTCGAGATATGAACTGGTCGTAATAAAACGAAATATTAAAAGAAACTGAAGAGTCGAATCACTAAACCAGTTGATACTTGAATAGAAATCTAAATATTCAAGATTTGGTATTATACTTGAAATGTATTCAACTCGACCGTTTTGGTTCAGATAAACTATCGAATCATGATTTAAAATTCCAACATTCCATTCAAATAAGTCAAAAATATATTCCAAGTTTTGAAATAGCAAGACTTCAATACCACAATTGCCATAGTTGTTGCATTGCTGGCGAGTAAAATGATGCGTAGCCAGAACAGGTAAGCATTTAGTTGAGTACGCCCGATTTGGCCAAAGCCATGATGGTACCAACAAACGTCATAATCTAATGATAATCAATACATTGAGTAAACCATACAACAGATGAAATAGTATCATGTAAATCAGTTATTACGAACCATTTTAGACTTGACTTCGACAATATCTTCGGGAAGAACAAAAATGGTAGCACCGAGTTTTCGAGCAATCGAGATGGCATACTTGGCATTCATTTTGGCACTCTCGTCCGTAGCACCGTTTGTCACCAATTCAGAGTTCACAATTCCCTTTTTAATGGCTTGGAGAAGATCCAGTAAAAAGATACCATTGTGTAACGATGGGTCTTTGAAGCTCGACATGGTAGATGACTTGCCAGATGCCTTGACAGCATCATTGGCCCATTTGACAATATCACTATCAGTGATGTCGTGACCCGCTTTGGAAAGAGATTTGAGAGTTTGCACAACATGTTCACGCATGAGTTGCCAAACAAGACCTAAACAATACATTATTGGTTAGTTGAGCTGTGTTTAAATCATTGGGTGTGTTGATACAACTTACCCAGTGTGAGGGTTTTGTTGCCATCAACGATATCAGATCCTTGAATACCAACTAGTGAAAACTTGAGGGATTTTCCCAATACAACAACGTAGTTTGTGTTTTCTACTTTTTTAAACTTGCTTGCAACGGGTGCAGGGCGATTTACTTTTTTCCAATCAACAAGACCTGGATGAACCTTGTCCATAGCTTGAAGCAACACCAGTCCATCACATAGATCATCAAACAGGTTGTTGACAAAGGGTTCAACACCAAGACTGTTGAGCCAAAGTGCAAAAGCACGAGCTTCACGGTCTCCTTCCGATTTGAACAGCCAGTCATCAAGTTGGGCCATTTCAGCCTCTGTAAGCTTTTCCAGACCCGGTCGGGTATTGAACAAATGGGCTACAAAAGCAAAATTGAGTTTTTGGTTTCCTTCAACCATGGTTTTGGCAGTAAGATACTTGCGACAACCAATCTTATCAGCATTCACAAGGATTTGTTCAGCACGTTGCAAGAGATCTGGTGTTTGCAGTGGGGAACGTGAACAACATTCGGGTGCAAGTTGGTTCAAGAGAACCGTGTAGTTTTCTCCATCCTTGACATCACTGGTAAAGTTGTTGACCTTGCGAGCATGACCAGCTTTTTTGAGATGGTAGTTGAACCAACGAAGAAGAATTTGTTCTGCTGGAAGTTTAAGGAAATCCTCAAGCAGTTCGCCATTCTCCAACAAACGAAACAGCTCAGGATGAACTTTGATGTCAATAAAGGCTTGTAAACCAATCTTGATGATCTGCCAGATCAGACCGAGAATAAGATGCTCACGACCTTCCATAATGTCTTGAGAGCCAATGTTGACAACACTGCATCCAATAGCTTTGGCAGAATTGACAACAACATTGTTGTTTTCAGTCATTTGAAACGTGTTGAGTTTTTTACCCACATTGAGTACACGCTCATCAATGGTGCCTGACTGAGAGTCATTGATCAGCTTGGCAAGAATCAGACCATCTAGAATGCGTTGTAAAATAAGAAAAATAGGGTATAAAAAGTCAGTAATTGAATCAACCTAATCTATTCTGTATGGCATGAATGCACATGGCATCACGACTGAATAAAAGCTTGCCTTTGCATTCAGAAAACACTTGCATAGAACGGGGATCGATGGGAAGACGCGACTTGACATCTTTATCATTGGCAAGTTGCTGGTTAATGTGAACAGTAAACGACTCTTTTTCGTCCACATTGATGGTGTGCGTTGTGTTTTCCATGTGTCCATGAAGAACGATTTTTTTGTCGTCACGCTCAGTAGTACCACCTTTTTCTTCACGAACCTTGGACACGGCCTATGACGAATAAGTGAACAAATAAAGGGTTACATCAACAGGATAGAATACATGAACAATGCAAGTCAATATACCTTGAGGAAACCATCAAATGATACTAGACCATCCTTGTCAGTCAAACTGAGTTGAGTAAGTTTGGCAGTTACGGCCTGGAAACTTTCGCCTGTTTTGGTGGAAATGGCGGATAGGTCGCTAGTATGAACGCGGTCTGAATCAATAGCCAGGGTTAGATATACAATTTAAAACAAATGAATGCAACAAAACAGATGAATGCAACGAGAGTGATGGATAGTCATTACAAGGTATAGTCAGACAGTAATAAGATACGCCACGATTCAGAGGATGGCATGAAGAAATGAGAAGTTAAATGATATCAACGTACCTTGATTATCCTTGTCCACGGCAGCAAACTGTTGATGAAAGGCAGCGATTTCCGAAGGAGTAAAGAAAGGGAATTTTGCAGCAAGAGCAGTAGTGTTAATTCCCATGTTGCTATGTGCGTACTGGGTAGGAATCAAGGTTGGATCAGCTGTGGGTAGATGTTTATGAGAAAGAGCAACTGCAGGAATTACAGAAGGCAATGGTGCAGCGAATGAATGAGGTTGACTGAGTTGTTGCGGTTTGTATTGGAGCGGAGTTTGATTACTAAAGTTTACTCGTCAGAATTATTGCAGATAATGACCGATAATTGAACATGAAATTAACAGTATCAGATAATCGTCACTCATGAATGATTCAATGTTGGATTTCATTCCTCAACTACTTACATGGATAAACGACCACTGTTGGTAGTAGATCGACGCTGACTAAGCCAATCCTCTTCCTTTTCGTCTCTCCAAGAAGCAGCAGCAGCCATCTGAGCAGCATTGAGAACAGGCTGTTTTGTAGATTCAACTGGTTTAACTGGTCCAACTGGTTTAACACTAGATGGAGTAGGTTTAACGAATGCAGTTTGTGATCTCTTTAAAACAGGAAACTGAGGAGTTCCATAACCACCACTTGTAACGAGAGAAGGCATCGACTGCTTCAAGGTTGATGTATGAGTAGAACTCGATACCAAATATGCAGATGATTGAATGATTGGTGTAGCAGCCATTGGACGCACAGTGGAAGTGACTGACTTGCGAGTCTGTAACCAGTCATGTCCGGACTGTTCTCTCCAACTGTCATTACTGGATTGAATGGGTTCATGCTGTGAAGATGGCAGCGTAGGTCCTGGATTGGAATGAATTGTATTGGCAGTATTGGGCTCAGTATCCCAATCGTCCTCATCAAGAGAACTGCTCAACGTTTTGACTTGAGCTGCGAGTGAGTCGGAACTAAAGTCTCTGAAACCTGACATGGTCAGCACAAGGATCGATGAGTTACTGTTCGTGTAGAATAGAACGCTTTTGTTGTAGGCTCTTGGAATAAGCAATGTTTAACACTTCTAATTGATTGCTTTTTTAATTCTCGATAATTGTTGAATTTAATTGCAAAAAGTCGAAACTATTAAAACCTTTACAATATTGTTGAATGAGTAAATGTGTTGAAACTAATTGTTTTTGTATTGTTTTACGAGATTGACTTGTTGATTGCACTGGATTGACGTGAAGATTGCTATAAATAGCGAGTTGACATGAATAGTGAATCAAGTTGTGTTTTATTCAAAATCAGCCAGTTGACTACGATCCACTGTATGCACGTAGTAACTTCCTCCTTCTACCATCCACGATACGCTGTCCTTTGCAAAATGATACTATTCATGTTTGGGTTTAGTAACTGGCACTATTCTAATCCTTAATAGCAATCACAATTACCTCTTTTACTGTAAATATCGATTCAATTGCATTACTTCGTCTTAAACTTGGACGTCGATCTACTGGAACAAAACTTCTTAGCGACACAACTTTGGCACTCTCCTTTAGATCCAGAAATTTGGCTATTATTCCCAGATTAAGTTCTGCATCAAAAGCATAACTACATGTATCATTACAGTGTGAATTGAACACGTATGCAACATCTAGTCATACATTCACATGGAAACTCACTTGTTGACAAAAATAACATCCGCTCGGCTGATCACTTCATGGATCTCGGCATCATCTAGGAAATTACCTTGCTTTACAACAATCCTTCCACATGGTTTGGCATAGTATCTAATATAAAACTGATGTTGGTTTCCGTGTAAAGCGTGCATGGTATAATAGGTTGCAACATGAATACCACTCACCTCATACGAGATAAAAACTCTTGTTTTTGTTTTCGTGCTAGTTCACTGGGAGTTTCCATGATTTCAATACCATAGCACTCGCACAAACATTCTGCAGCAACTTGCAGAATCACATTCCCAATACCACTCCCCTAAATGAATTCAGTATCATATTCAAGAACCGTTTAAAACCTACAAAACACTCATGTATGTAAACCAAATCAAGCCAGTTTACCATATCTAAAAAAGTGTGATGGGGTTGAATATCTGCATGCTTGATGATATCTCGCACAAATGAATGCTTGATTTCACCATAAACATTGTTGGAAAATCCTATAGACAAAAGATCAATACATGCGAGTGCAGCTACTGCCAAAATTTTCATCAGTCCGTGTTTAAAATACAGTAAACTTGCCTTCATATTGATTCAATAAATGTGAAATGGGTGCAACAGACCGACCGTACGCTTGCTCAAGTATATGTGTTGTCAGTTCACACGAGGCGGGTGGACCTCTAATTTCATCTTGTTCAAATACGCCTTTGTCTTTCAATCGAATCATGACTCTATTGTAATCAGCAATAGCAGATTCAAGAGCATTTGGATCTCGCCTGTGACACGCTTTAATGATGTGGCGAATAATCCCGCTTTTAGAATCTCCAAAAAGAGACTTGTGTTCCTGACTGATGCAATACTGTGCAATCATTTGAGTTGTAGAGTATATGTCTTGAATAGGGTTGTGTTCATTTTGAGTGGATCGAGAGGGAACAGCAAGTCCATATCTAAAAATACAGTCAGAAATTACAATATTCTTGTAGCTTACATTCAAACACATTTCTTACACTTCATGTGCACCGTCGCCAGGGTACTCCAACGTAATGGTTTTCATTTTTTCCAATGCAGCACCAGCTTCATCTCCGACTAAATAACATATGAATTACATTTGATATCAGCCATTTATGGGCGGATAGTATTGAAACAAGTCATGGCAGTTGAAAACATACAACATGAAAATCGCTTTAGATTTTGATTTACGAGATGAATAGATTCGATAGCTGGAAGCAATGCATCTTTAGAGAGATCTCGACGATCCTTGCGACCCTTGTGTTTCTTCTTTTTACGCACATCTACACACATCGATCCAGACTCACTCTCGGCAAGTCTTTTTTGCGACTTTTCATTTGAATAGGGATCCTTTTGAAGTGCAGAGTCTAGACGGATTAACAATTGGGGTTTAAAAAATTAAAAATTGATTTATATACAAAACATGGTGGTCTGATAAACTGTCAATCAAATGAGATTAGCCAGTACAGCGTATACAATGATATGTATAGTAAAATTGAAACTAAATAAACATTTACGCAAAATGGAACATTGAATAAGGATATAGTATAAGCCAGTCTCATGGCATGATGGGGATTAATGTTTGTATAAAACAACGAAACGAATGCACACACTAAAGTTTTAATCCATTCCAGTTGTTCAACTCTGTTTTCTTCAACATTGGATGATTGGTATGAAAACAACAGTTGCGTTTTTGGTTGAGCGCGAGTGTATCTGAGATTAGAATAAAAGAGTTGAATACAAGATCTGGATTGCAATGAGAGGGAAATTACAGTTCAAAACCATAAATATTGACTGTAAGATAGCAATCTATTCTACACGACTATGACAGTAAACTACCTCTTATTGTACGACTTTGTTTAATCTCGATGGAAGAATCGAGAGTTGGAATGCTCTTTGTAGTGGATTCTTTAGGGGAATGTTTTTGTATTTTAGTGAGTGACGACTCTTTTGAAACAAACTGTTTTGTTGGCTTGCCAGAGTGAGGTTTGGACAAAGTAGGTAGCAAGACAGAAACCTTTCGAGCAGACACCGAGTCTCGTTTATTAGTTGAAGCAGTGACAGTGGACTGCAAGGTTTTAGTGTGATCCGAATGATGTAGCTTAGACTCGAGACCATCCAAGTTAGAGTTGGAAGGATTTTGATCTTTAAGATTAGATCCAGATGAGATGGAATGAGTTGAAGTAGGAAGTGGTGGTTGCTGAATAATGGTATTGGAAAGATTAGTGTGCTGAGTGGTTACAGACAAAGGCAGTGATGAGGAGTGTTTAGAGTTTTGAGAATGAATCATGTCATCTATATCAGACAATACTGTTAGTAAAGTAATGAGATTAACAACAGTAAGAGACTGAATATTACCATCACAAGTGATTGGATAATTAGGAAAAGCAATTGAATGAGCATTGATAGACAAGTAAACGAATCTCTGAGTGGGAGCAGGATGAAGAGTGTTCATTATAAGAATGTAAAAATGAATTAAAAGACAAGTTTATGATTTCTATTCACAAAACTTGAATGAAATTACAGATTTTTTGTAACAGTTTTTGAGATTAAATGAATTAAAAGAGTTTAATATTGTATTGAATATCAAGTAATAATTGTATAAAACAAGAATTCAACTTGAATGGATTAGAATAGGAATAGGAAAGCATAATGAATTTGAATTATAAGCAGATCAAAGCATATTCTTTTCAGTCCCTTCAACCTCCCCAAACTGTCATTCAACTCTCAACTCGAGTCTAGTCTGTCATGCATTCTCCCGTCGCTTTACTCGTTTGTACTGCTCTTGTGATGGCTTCTGTTTCTGCTAATGACTTTGTGTTGGATTCTTCCAATTCAGTTCTAGACTCGGTCATGTCTGCTCCCTTGCTGATGTGGTCTAGTGACAAGTATGTTCTCTACTGTTCTAAACACTCTCTGCATGAATTATCTTGGTTTACTCTACAACTGTTTACCAAGAATGAATGGCTTGTTTGGAATGTTGGTGACTCGCTGGTCTGCTTGTTGCTCATACAGTTCATCTCGTCAATATTCTTCCCATTTGAACTCTCCAACTCATCTTGAACTTGTTTATTGCTCTTCATTTTGTATTTGAAAATGCATTTAAACTCACCATTGTTGTATACTATTCTAGTATGATGCAGTTGCCTGCCTCCACTTTTGTTTCCAGTCCGCAGCACTTTACAAAAAGTATTCTTGAAAACTTTGACTGCAGTCATTCTGCTAGTGTTGTTGTGCACTGGCCTGGTGTAAGTATGACTTCATCTACTATTATAGATCCATATTCATTACATTTCAACTTTAATCTAAATCATCTTTTTTATAGCTTAAAGGTTCTGATATGGTCAATTTTGCTAAAGCCATGCCATTTCTGGGAGTAAGTCCATCTTTAGTGTACTACTCTAGCTTCATACACTTATCCTTTTAATTATTCTAGTCCGAATATGATGGTGCAGGTCAAACTACTCATATCCCACACTTTGTTGTACCCGAAAATGCTCCTTTTAAAGCCATTCAAGATGCAATCAAGCTTAAATGCGCTGACACGGTTCAAATGATCCCCGTTGGAAAAGGTATGCTTTACTTTTATATTACCTGTTTGACCCATCACGCATTCATTATGTTTTCATCCTATTCTAGCTGCTATTTCAAAACCAGAGGGTAAAAAACAAGCCATTTTTTTAATGGAAATGGATAACCTCAAGGATTCTACTCCACTCGACAAGTACGATGCAATTCAGCGTGACGATGAGTACCTCAAGACTGCTCTTTCTTCCATCAAAAAAATTTTCCCCGATTATCTCGTCTTTCTTACTTCCTCTGACATCCCTCAGCCTGAATCTAGCCTTTACAAGCGTAACCAACCCATAGCCAGTAACTCCTCCATCCCATACAGTCAGCGACCTATTTTCCAGCGATATGTGTTCTTCAATCCTGCTCTTTTCATGGGCATTTTTGTTAGTTTGATCTTGCTGGCTATTGTCTTGTGTGGTGTGCGTATTCTTACAAGTCTCTCAACTCCCACTCGCTTCGAAACTCGGGAAAAAGACAAATAAATGAACCCATTTCAATGATTCATTTCAATTTAAATTTAAAATCGTGATAAAAGTATAATACGCATCAGATTCATCCCAATCAAACAACACATCAACGCTTATAGCGTTGAACTATGCTGAGACTCGGTCTCATCAATCGTAACATCCCTCGTATACTCTTCTTCACCCAATTCATCTTCATCCCCATTTATCTTGCGCTCTGCTTGATGAACACCATCCGTTGCAATACTACATTCTGGATCCAACCTAAAATTCGTGTTTTACAAAGGTTGGTTTGATGTCATACAAAACCAATTCCATGTCCACCCACCTTAACGCTTTGTTGAAATAGTCCAATGCAGTGATATACTCTGCCATGTGCATAAAATGCTGTCCAAGACTAACATACATGGATACAGGATATGGTTCGGTAGAAAATTTGGCCAAACTATCAAAACAACCTACGCATGAGTCCATAAACATCACACTTGATTTTAAACTTCTACTTACAATTCTTGAATAGGTGTTTCTACATGATGTTTTTCGTACAAGACACATATGGCACCAAGTGCTTCAGCACATGTGGGTCGAATGGTCAATGCCCGTTGAATACATTCAACCGCCTGTTGATTGAAAAAAGTAATGTTAGATTGTTCAACGCCTTGTTTAAACTAGTTGGAAAACCAACACGTTTGCAACGTACTCTTTCAACTTGATTTTCATGCGTTGGGGTGTCAATCAATGCAAGAGCAACAAGTGACAATGCTCGTGAACAGTTTGGCATCAATCTCAATGCCTCTTCTGCAAACATAATAGCCTCGCTCATTCTCTTGCTTGAAATGTAACAATGAACTAACCCTAGAGCAAAAAAATTGAGCATTTATAGGTGGTAATAAACAAACCATGCAAGCATGATCGTGTCAAGCCCATTCTAGTAATGTCATGTACCTTCATACGTCATAATATCTCGCGAAATACGATGTGCAGTTCGGTATACTCCAATGGCTTCATCATACAATCCCTGATTGATCAAAATATTCCCTATTGATCAAGTCAAGTCACAGATTTAAAATGTAGTATCATGACTAACAACTGACACCAACACTGTGTCATGCACCACTCACCTTGCGCATGGTAGGCTGGAAGATGTCGCGAATTGCACATGATGGCCTTGATGGGTTTCAAAAATACTCGATCGAATTAACCAACAGTATCATCAAGCATTGATTGTGATACTAACACGCACCTTTTTTGTATACTCGAGTGCTTTACCGAGGTGATTGTTTATCTGGCTATATCGAGCAATAATCACCCATGGCTCGGGAAGTTGATCTGAAATGTGAAAACACTCTGTAGCCATTCTAAAGGTTTCATCAAAAAACTATACGAGTCAAAACACAGTCAAAATAAAACACGATACCTTTTAATAGATGCAACGTTGTTTTGGATCATGTACATGCCTGAAACTCGATCAAAATGCTGCAATACGCAATGATCTACTTTATGTATCTATACACATTCATTCGTTATAAAAACTGAATAAATCAAATAGACTGCACCAAAAATACATTTTCAAAACCAGGTAGAACTTGTTTGCTCAAGTATAAATCATGTGTGTACCTTGGTGACAAGTGACTCGACAGCATCCATGTTACAGCTATCAATCGCACTGGACAACATACCCAACAAAAGCGTAGGGTTATTATCAAGTCTTTGCTCCATGCTAGCATATGCTTGAAATGCCTCTAAATATTGCAACATCAAATCAGTTACGGGACTATCCAAGATTCACTGCATGGATCAAACATGACGTTTGCTCATTTAAATATGTAATGCTTGCCTTTGTATTCAAATCGTTTTGTAGCTGCATGGGCTTTGATATACTCTCGAATTAAAGGGTTTGGTGATAGCATACTTTCAAACTCTGAAAATGGGACCATTTGATCCAATAATGCTATAGCCGACTCGACTGCATCTGGATATAAACTTGATGTTGTAAAATATCAGCAAGCCCATTCATCAGATTAGTAGATTCGGGTTTGATCATTTCAGTAAACATGAATGTACATACCTCAACAAGTACTTGTGACCATCTATAGCATTTTTTATTTCGCCATGAATTTCGTAGATATGAGTAAGTTGTTTCCATGCATGCACACTACGTTTATCTACTGGTATCCACTCAAGCTGATATAGAAATGATTCCAAAATGGTATTTTAGTTTATACGAGTGTTGACATCAAATGAATCAAACTCGAGATGAATTACCAATTGTTTTGCTTGATGCAACTCTTCCACTTCGATGCATGCATTGGCATATTTTAAATGAAATTCGTATTCCAAATCTTCATGCACACCATTCGGATTACGACAACGAAGTAGATCTTGTGCAGCATTCTCGAAATAAATCTATTCAATAATCAACACGTTTTTAGTCAAATCAATGAAAACAAGTCAATGATGGATTACTCACAAGTGCTCGTTTGTGTTCGTTTGCTTGAGCCAAACAATGACCTAACAGCATGTTGACTTTCCATGAAAGCGATGCAGTAAATAAATGAGGTAGAAGTTGTGTCTTGAGTGTTGTAGAGAGTAAACTGGCCTAACCATCAACTCAATACATTGAGTATGAATTCAAACCAATAACTTGAAATGCTAACAAGTCGGAAACATACATGAATGTGTGCTGATGCGTACAATCCTTTACTTGCAAGTGTGCGAGCATTTCTGTACGCTTGAATCAACTCTTCTCTCTGTGTCATCAGATTCAAAATCAACTACAAACGATGGCAAGTTGAATTATCTAAAAAAAGTTGCAATCGTTCATGTCATGAATTTATAATAATATTCATATAATATGTCCTGGTCTATATCAAACATTTGTGTATTCCAATCCATTCAAGTCAATCCTATTGTGTATAAATGATCTTGTTTTCTAATAAATTTGAGGTTTTGGTAAATGTCTTTAAAGTCATCATGTTACTGTATTGCTAATAAAAAATAATCATCAAATACATGAAAGATTGAGTCTACAAGATAAATGGAATGAACTATCATGAAGATTCAACTCGAGATTTGATCCAGAATACCAAAACGAGATCAGATTGTTAATTTAGCAAAAACTACAGCACTCAGTATTCCCGTGTGGTCCCCCACCACAGTACTGACTGAGCCATCACAAGCTTGACTTCGGAGATCGAACGGGATCCGGTATTTTCTTGTGTGTATGGCCGTAGATGTTGATTGAAACCAATTATACGGTAATATTCGTTAGGTGTGTTTGTCAAATACATTGTGGTTTGGTGTCAGCACTCGTGAATCAATACTGCATGACATTCTCATCACCAATGGTCATCTGTTTTATGTTGGATCTGAACATTGACAACTACACGTTTGGTGATTGACAATCATATGAACAACCAGATGATTCCATGACACCGCATATCAAACTTGATGTTCAATACTCCAATCATGTCGATAATAGTTGAATATTGTGTAGTTGCTGTTGAAATGCCATTGTTCTTTTAATAATAATATTCAAGAAATAAAGTCTAGTGCTGGATTGTTGAATATTCAACTCTTCAAGCTTTACTTTTATTTGATTAGCCATCTCAAGAACAATGTCACTCCAAGATCAAACTAAAGAATTAACAATCGACTTGCCCACCTGTAATTACAACGTATTCAGTCATCAATGTTTGAACTATTCTGGCGAGGCTTTTGATTCGAGTCGTCTGAAACTTTTTCAAAATGGAAACCAGAAATCTGTGTCGATCACCTTGACAATCAACCAGTGCCTATTAAACCTCATTTTATTGAAGAGCTGGAAAGACCATTCTACTGTTGCTCACTTGGTCCAACTTACAAGACTGTCACTCCTCGTTTTGACACTACTCCTGTTGACAAATTCCACTTGCCTGATGGGTTGATAGATCTGCTTTTGATAAAGACTATTTCGTTTCTTCTGAAGCAACTGACACAACTCTTGATCCATGCTGTCCTCTTACTCGACTGAATGGTCTTGTTTTAAACGACCTACATCCACTCATCAAATCCAAGAGTGATGCTAGTCAAGGTATTGCTAATGTAATACCAAGAGCGCAAATGGATGTGGATATCCTGCTTTGGATCCCATGGTGCACTATACTTTAGTCTGACTTGTTTCCGTTGTTTGGATCTGCCAATGATGGGTATTTGAAATACTTTGAACCCAAGACTCTATTGGTAGGGATGAGATAGTCTAGCAAAACAACAATACCATTCGAATGCGCCAACAAGACAAGTACCAAACCATCATGACCAGTACCAGCAGAGGAATGAGACTTTTGATGAAATGTGTTGCAACTCGAAATGTCGGATCTTGAATGTGGTTTGATTGGAGATGTTTTGGAATATGAATTTTAGCTTTTGATTTTGCTGGACTATTTCGGCATTCGCAGTGCCAAACCAAGAGAATATTTCGACTTTCTTCACTCGTCTAATAATTTACTTTTGTACTGTCTTTTTCAAGAGACTGAAGTTGATACAATACAATTTGAGCTGATCAGCCAATTTGGATATATTGGCACTTTTCAGGAGAAACAACTTGCTTTCCAAACATGACTGTCCAATATTGCTTTTAAAGTCCAGTGTGATTCTCCACCTATATTCTTGTTGGATGAGATTCAAGAGTTGTGTCAATGCACCAATGTTCAATCAATGTTTCAACAGGATCAAGCAGTTTATCATTCATTCATGTCTCTACTTGTTACTCAATTGACTGGAAAACAAACCCCATTTGCATGTGTACAGGAACAAACAACGACAGTATCATATCAATTACAGAAAATTTCAAACCCATTTCAAAGATCCGCTCACTCGGTATTCTTGATGCAGAAACGGACTAGACTTTATTTTGGACACAAATGACTGAATATTTGAACTTTAAACAAACAGAAAAGACGACTTGTTCCTCTAGTTCATTAATTGCTTGTCTGGTATATGCTTCATATCAAATTCCAAGGTTACTTTTTGCGCATTTCGCTTGATTGGATCATGATCGCAATCAGTAGTTTAAAAATACGAGGAATTGACTGTAGTATACCATGTAGAAATGACGAGTTTTTTGAGTGACCATGGATTGAATGTGAAGGATATGTGTCTCATTCCTATGTCTTGCAGTGTTGATTGGAAAGTTGAAGGTGTGAATTATATTGTTTCCAGTACAACGATTCAATAGAATCTCGTTCAATTGTCTCTTGTGTTTCCTTGTTCGGATGATTGTTGTTTTCATTTCATCTAGTATGGGAACAAAAACTCGCAGTACGAGTAAAAACGTATTTATGGTAGAGCCAGAATCGGAATTCAAGACGAGTGTTTTTTGTTGGTCAAGGGTATCAATATTGAACGCTTGTTCCATTCATATGACCAACTTTATCCAAACGATGTTTACGATATTGGAATTTGCTACGACACACTAGTTGCTTGCAGTTTAGCTGTCAAATACTATTTACAAAGTCTTTAGTAATCATAATCTTGCCCCTTTATCAGGAATCATTCGAGTCGATTCAAGTCAGTGCTTATAACATCGTGAAACAGTATCAGACTGATTTTCAGAGTGAATGTATTTACCAGACAAAAAGGCTTTAACGAGTTGTATTGATTTCCCAAAAGCTGATCCATAAGAAACACAATGTCCATTACGATATAATTTACCAGCCATGCCAAATGTCACGCAAGTGAACATTATGGTACAATATAAGCTTTGATATATCCCAGGAGAAAATTAGAGAATCAACTAGTCATTTCAAAAGATAAGAGTGCTCTTGACGATCAACAGTTGTTTTGGCTTTATTGAGCAAAGTAACCAAAAACAATACACAAAAGCAGTATTCTTGAATGGAAGCAGATGCTGTAATGGAATGGAATGATCCTAAAGTTGTTTGAATTGGCTGAAATCAAATTCATCGACACATCATTAATCCTAATTCGGTTCTTCAAATCTTAAACCATGTTTTGCCATAAAATCCTTCAATCGTTGTCTGACATTATATACTTTTCTGCTTGCCTTTTCATACTCTTGTTTCAATTGGTCTTCAGTGTTTGGATTGTGCCTTGACTCGGATATCTCTTCTCCCATTGCTAACGCTAACTTTTGATTGATTCCAAGAGCTATATACTCATGATGTTTTTTATGGTTTTCCTTTCGTACCTTTTTAAACGCTACAAGTCTTTGCTTTATACGATCAAGGGTTATCTGATCTCTTCGGCTTAATTCAGTCACTTGATTTGAACTAGTATTGGCAGAATCGTTTCCATCTGTTTGTTGTTGCTGGTCTTGATTGAAAGTGCTTGGATTGGGCTCATGAGTTGAACCAGACACTTGGCTAAAGGTGATTGGACTGGGCTGATCAATTGGTTGTCTCCGACTTCGTTTGGAAGTGCTCGGACCAACTACATCGATTGGTTGTCGCTGATCTTGATTGGAAGTACTTGGACCGGATCGATCAATCGGTTGTTGCCAGTATTCTCTGTAATTTTTTGAATTGATTGCATCAATCAAATCTCGCCAGTCTTCCGGAATGCCTGGATCGGGTTTATCGATTATGGCTTTCCAATCTTGTTCGGAAATACTTGGACCCAGTTCATCAATTGGTCGTTTTCGACCTCGCCTGGAAGTACTTGGATCAACTATATCTATTGGTTGTTACTGGTCTTGGTTGGGAGTACTTGAGCTGGCTGCATTAATTATTTCTTGCCAGTCTTGGTCAGAAAGGTTTAAATCAAGTTCATCCATTATCTCTTGCCAGTTTTGATCGAAAGTGTTTGAATTGGGTTCATCAGTTGAGCCAGATGCTTGACTGGAAGTGCCTGATGCTTGGAGTGAGCCATCGTTATTAGTCGGTATCAGTATTGCATTAACGGTTGCTGCAGTCAATACAAGTAAAATATCAACCAATTTCATCAGACTGGTCAATAGGTTTAAACAATAGTACAAAAGTAGTGTTGAGATTGGTATCGATTATGAAATTGAACCTACTCGATTGTATGTATGGTTTGTATAGCAAACCAACCCTTCTAGATTAACCAATTATACAGGGTTATTTGACTGTTTGTAATGAACCAATATCAAACCATAGTATGATGCTCCCTATCCATAATATCATATTGATCAATTGGATGATCATGTCGATTGGATGATGCTTTTACGACCCTTTTATCAGGTATATTGAAAAGCACCCTTCAGGAGTGTTGTGTGGCCGCAAACGCTTTGATTTACAACCGTATCTATCCTGTAATGACTTTGATTTGGGATATACAATGGTCGCATATTCAGTTGGTTGATACTACACATTGACTGCATTGCGTGTTTGATATACAACAACCATCATATGACACACAATCAGACTATAGTGTTGAATCTACACTTTGTACACTCTTAGTAATCATACATTGTACAATAATCAAGTTTGAACCCACATTCATATGTTGTGTTTGACTGTCAATATTGTCAATACAACTCTATACATTTGTTGTATTTTGAATCACGGATACGATCGCAATCTAATTCAACAACAACCATGACACATGTCAGTAATGCAACTGTTGTTTGCATGCCAATCACCACCAATAATACCACTGTATTGTCAACCAGTCCATGACACTGATTGTCTATCACACACCAACACTGTTATTTAGTGGTTCATTTACATCAATATGGCTGCAAGTTGTCGTTATATCACGTATTCTTGACATGGTTTTGATATTGCACATCCAGTTCCATCACATTGTTGCTGACCCATCATTGTAACGTTGTATGTTCCCACAACTAGTAAAGTGACACTCGAGTTGTTTACTGTGATCAATATATACAACCCAGTGCGACTACACATACTGGATCCAGTCTGTTGGTTGTTTCAGTTGATCTTGATCCACTTTTGATGTTCTGTCCGATTGACAATACAAATGTGTCGAGCTGAACCCAAACTACACGACTCGACTGTTTGTGTCAATTGGGTCGTGACTGAGCTATGCGATCATGATGTGTATTCAATCCATACCATGTATTACTAATACAATAGTATGCGTGATCATCGTGTACCAAACAACTACGATACACACTGGATTGATCCAATACATGCACGGCTTGAACATATCACATAATCAAACATGAACACACCACATTAAAAATACGTATAGTAGCAGCTTGTCACTAATGAATTGTATTCAGTCGAGTTTATTGAGAGTCGTTGTGTGACTATTTGATCAGCTGTAGTTAATTGTTAACACCAAGAGTCCCGATGTGCATCATACCAACTATAAAATAATCATGACCACCATCCATTCAACAAATAACCAGTTTTATTACTATATCTATTCAGCCCTCAAATTTCTCATAATTAAGCTTTGACTGCTTACTACCACGACGAATACTACCACGAAAAGTACTACCAAGTCGCAACGATCTCCCGAGAGTAGATGTGTCACCTGAACTTGAAGTACTTGGTTGTTCAGGCAATCTAACACTATGCATCAAATTCATGATCAGTATATCAATCGACATATTCACACATCAATATCAAACACTTACTGTGATAATGGCCAGAGCACTCCATGACCGTTTGAAATAATAGGATATCCGCTAGTCATGACTTCGCATCCACATCCAGGACCAAATCCAACGCGTTCATTTTGTCGATCAAATGTCACTGTAAGCCGGTCTATAAATGATGTACCAAGAATTGCTTTGTCATTTGGACCAACTTCTACAGTAAATCTAACTATAATTCAACATTATATTAGTCAGGTTAATCAAACAACACATTACATACAATTGTCAAATACTTGCAATCTTCAGAATCATATCTCTGTATATAGCTTCTAGAACCCAATTTGATCGTTACAACTGAATCTTGATTGTCAACAGTTACGGGGGTTTGAGCATGCATTTTAATTGTAATTGTCGGCATCCTGTCCCAATCGACATTATATTTGGATTTGGGCATGAAACGATTCCTCTGTAATTTCCTTTTAATTATTTTTTTGTCAAATCGGTGGTCCCTAAACATACTACTTGTGATAGTGATCGCATTACTATCAAGGATAGCATTGATCAAAGCTGTTACGACTGTTTGAGGAAAACGCATATGTAAAAAGCATGTATGTAGATATGAATACAGAGTACGTCCATTTTCCACAACTTCCTGGAATTCCTCGGGCAAATCCACTGGTTTGTCATTGATTAGTACACTCTTGATGTTGACAGTAAAATGATCGTTCGATGGTGAGTTTATCCATGCAACACTGTTTCCATCCGTTTCGCATCTTGGAGTTATATCCGTGTTTCCTATATTGATGAAACTTTCTGGATGCATGTCATACGGACATAGTTGAATACTAATCTCGTTTTTAGGAATGACACCATAATTGTACAAAGCATCCATCGCAGGAACTCGTGAATCATGACTTGACAGCAAAGGATAGCCAAATCCAAATACACCTTGATCAATTATTTCACCAATACCAACTATATCTGCCGACTTTTTTTCAATTTCTATTACTGGTAAATTGACGCCAGTTATTTCGGTACCCGGAATCGTCACAACGGCTGTGGATGTAACTCCATTATACTCATCGCCTTTGTACTTTATAGTAACGAGTTCCCCACCTGGAATACTTTGTATAGCCAAACCTAGATCGTTGCTTGAACTAGAAAGTGGTATGACTATATCAGAGATATCTGAATCGACTAGTAAATTCAACTATTTTAAACAAGTGTGAGATTGATTCAACGTGGTACAAATTGATATCAAACTACAATGCATGACATGATACATACATCAACTCCATTAGCATTGAGTTTTATCTTGAAACATTTTCTAACATTACCACCATTCAATTGAACGGGTGATCGTTTTGATAGCCTATTGTTTGATTGACTGTCAATTCCAGTTGGTGAATCTAATGCAAGTCGAACTGCAGCAACCGCTTGTAACGCAAGTAGAACGCATTCTAGAGTAATCAACATTGCATCGAGTAGTGTAACGAAAAGCTTTAAATCCGGTAGATGATTGCCGTTTTATAACGACGGCAGCTTCAAGGGCGACAATCAGCACTTTTCAAATGAATGACCACAGAAAACAAAAAGTACGCCGTGTAGGGTGAATAAAGCTGGAAACACCATATAGGGTGGATTAATATACAAGCACCACTGTTAATATGAAAAATCAACTTCGGTAGTATGCTACGTTGATCTCTCCAATTACGGTCATGTATCCAGTGATTAGGTAGTGTCAAATTGTCACTCTGATTATGGATAGTTATCATCACATCTACAATCCATTACTACAGCATATACAGTCACTGTATACCAAATATTTGACTGATTGTTCAATTGGTCATGTATTTGATCACTCGGACACAACAGCATCAAACAGCCTGTTGCTGCAGTATTTCAAAACCATGACTTTTCCATTGGTATGACTGCACAGTAATTTTAGGTTAATGTAGACTGTATACATCAAACACTGCTGATTGTGTCACAACATGATCAACATCAAACTCGGTAAGCTGTTGCTGCTACACCGAATAAGTGACGTTGTACTATAATTGAATTGGAGATTGGCAGGTCGTTCAACAAACTGGCCGTGTCAACAGGTCAGATTGTCATCGTGATACATGAACCACAATGGATGATCATGTCATTCAAATCAACACACAATCTACTGGTATATGCAATACAACACCACCAATACAATACAAATCAAACCCGATCACAAATGTGGTGTTGAATCCAATGCATGCGAGTACTTTTTAAACACATGATACACACTGATGGTGATGGTTGCTGATAGTCACATTGCAGTGTACATGTCCAATAGTGTCCACTGTCATGTCGATTGTTGCTATCCGTGACATCCAACTAGATCACAATCAATGTCTAACAAATACAACACAGTAAACTAGCCACGAATATCCAAGAGTATGTCAATTGATGTGATCCAACAAAACAGCAGAGTATTGACTGCTTTGTTAAAGTGCATTCAATCAAGACACTCCAGTATCTCGAGTAGAAATACCAGATTTGTTCACCTTTGTGCTGAATCCACAACAAATCGCACAGATTAGAAACAAAGTTTGAACAAATCGAAATAGCTCAAATTTACAGCTGAAACCAAAATGGTATACAATCGCATTCATGTAGAGTTGAACACTATCTTGCAGTAATTGACTGTTGGTTTGGAATAAACAATGCTGAATATTGGTTGTAGTTTTGTACTTGACATTGACGGTTGAGTCAATATACATTATGAATTATTATAAACAGTGTCGATGATATGATGCTCACAAACTATGATTTTGAACTGAAATAGTCTTGAACCGGCGTTTGTCGTTTCTATTGTATTCTGAATCACGGATACAATCGCAATCTGGCTCAACAACAATCATGACACATGTCAATAATGCAACTGTTGTTTTCATGCCAATCACCACCAACAATATCACTGTATTGTCAATCAGTTCATGACACTGACTGTTTATCACACACCGACACTGTTATTTGGTGGTCTATTCAAGTCAATATGGCTGTAATATCAATCAACTATTAGTATCTACTCGACTATCATCAACTCAATAAATGAAATGATCTCATGAAAACAGGCTGTAATCGTACAAGCATATGCTGTTGGTGCTACAAGTTTATTGGTAAACTCATGTATGGTGGTCTCAGTGATGATGCCAGAGTTGTGTTTGTTACCATTGGTATGCTACCAGCACAAACTCGACTCATCGAACAGTCAGTATTCTGTGATTGGTCCAACTCAAGTATCAGCACCACATGGCTGACAACCCATTGTTGTCAGTTACATCGAGTGTTTGTCCAAATAGATTGATTCAAATGGATTGCATATAACCGACTAATCCAGCATTCATACATTGTCAAACAACCATAATGCACAATACCACCAAGTGTGCAATTACACTCGCACTGATCAGTCATTGCACAGTATGCATCAGTCAATGTCCAACATATGTGTGTCTGCAACTAAATTGCAGTCCATGACACATCCACACGATCCAACATGACAAATCATGTATCATGAGTCCAAGATTGATCAAAAACCTGATCATGGTAAACACAGCATGTTGTTGCATATCAGAGTCGATATATCGAGTGACAGTTGCACACTTGCTGATGGTGCACAGCGTATCAGTCACAATACATGCACGGTATTGCATTGCAGTCATTGGATGATAACTGGTTGCAATGTGATACCGATCGACATACATCAGCATGGTATGATGTGACCATAATCATGGTGGAATGTGTTGGAGTTGACATTGTGAGTTGACAATCAATACACCATGCACATGACTGGAACATATGCATTCGAATGTGGTTTGGTTGATGTCCAGTTGATCATGCAATCGCATCGGTGCAACGAGTGAGTGAGCTAATGGTGATCTGAACCCATTTCAACAACAAGAAATTGACAGTCATGTATTTGCATGCATTCAATATGTGTCGCACACCGTTGTTGACTGTTGACTGTGTATGCAGGTCAAGTTACCACCAACCACCAACCAGATCCAGTGCATACATGATCATTAATAGAATGACTGCCAAGAATATTCGTGTCTGAAAGTTGACTGTGAGTTGGTGGTTTGCAAGAACCGGGCACAACCAACATGCTATTGCATACAGCAACCTGATTATATTCCAGTCACATGGTGTGATACAGTGGTTGTGGAATACAACATTCAGGTATTTGTAGTGTTGAACACGACGAATCTGTTGTTTGTGTAGCATCATATCAATTGGTAATTTGGAATGAAAGTATTGACTAACGCTTTGCAAGTATTAATGACTGAATCAAAAAGCATAGTGGTTTCAAACAATCGCTTGCAGCATGTCAAGCGATATCATATCGACACGATACACACATGCATGTCAGCATCATCAATGTGTACAACTATGCAATATACAATCAACTGTATTGTGTTGGAAATACAAGTGTCAATGTACAATATGATATCATGCCAACAAGACTGTGTACAATGATCAGATATAATATCAAATGGTAATTGTATCGTATCATATTTTATTCAAATAAAAATACAATCGAGTCAGTCGAAACCAATACAGATTAGCATTCGGATCAATCGAATGAATCTTCATTTTTAGGTCGATTTCAGCGTGATCCAAGGTTATTTCCATTATTAGAGGATTACTCTGATTTTGACTGTTGGCTTAGTTGAAGAGTGAGAGATTCGTAAATCTTTTCAACAAAATCACGATTTGATTCCAGAAATTCCACATAAGAATTCAGTGATGTTCCACTCGGGCCATTCTGGAACAGGCGCTCTGCGAGATTTTCTCTGCTATAATTCAATTGCGAAGTAGCGTAATAAAGGCTGTTACCGATTCTCTCACACTTTTTTGCAATCCGTTTGAGTTCTCTTAGCGCTTTCTTAAGCTTCAATTTAGAATTTTCAAGCTCTTCTTGATACATTGGATCATTCTCGTCTTGATAAGGTTTATGTAACAGTTTCTCTTTTTGTTCAGTTAGTTGTTCCACCAATTTTCCTTGGTCAAGCCTTTCAAAATTGGCCACGTCATACGGTTTGTTGATATCATCATATCTTTGATCCATTAGTAGATATTCTTCAATCAAATTCGCATCATTCTCTGAAAATTGACTGATATCAACTAAACCCGTAGCTTCTTCATGAGAAATTTTCCGATACTCAGATTCAGTACTTGTAATTTCAGTGGGTTGAGCTGTTGAAGTGCTAGTTTCAGCACTTGTAGCTGCACTGGGATTGACTGGGATGGCTGTAGTAACCGAGCAGATGGCCAGGATTGATGCCAATATTGTGACTGCGAGTTTCATTGTATTGGCTTGGTTGAGCAAGTTGTAATTATTGGTATTCAACAAGCAAGGCTGGATTGTATTTATATCCATTATTGGATGGATAATATTAAAAGCATATTGGATGACCGTTTTAGGGATTGGCTTTATTATCAGGGTTGGTGATGATTTGCTACCAATCTCAAACTTTAAAGGGTTACTCCTTATATGATCACCCGCAATATTGATTAAACCACTGTTTGACTATACATTCGAGTATCATATGGTTGATTGTGTTTTACACCCTTATCCACCCTAAAAGGGTCAGTGTGTTGAAATATGAACAGATATGTACATGTTTAAACAAGACTATATGCAACTGAGCTGACATTCAGTTGTTGGATGATCATCAATATGTGTTGTGGTTGACATGTTCAACATGTCGTGGTTTGGTGATACTCTGCATTCAACTCGACACGATCAGTCATCACTGCATATTGTCCAGTAATTCAATCAATCAACTGAATCAATACAATGCAGTTCATGTTGCAATCACAATGTCACATTGATGATCAGTGACTTGCAACTGTTGTGTTGGCATTGCATGTTGGGTATTACTATATCAATATCGATTGTCACTATAGTTGTATCAATCACACATCATGATCATATGTCATGATTGACTCGTATTCTGGATTGATGCACTCATTCCACTCCACTCCATCACTCGAACACAAACATCGTATGGCTTGTTGATTGCTAATACTCATATTGATCGAATACACACTACATGACACATGTCAGGTTAGCGTATACATTCCACTATATATCACATCATGTTGCTGATACCACGCATTGTGATTCAACAGTCAATCTGTATTCGAGTTCAACTACAATTGTTCGTGTCAATCATAATATACACGACCAATTGTAGTCGAGTTGATCCGACTGAATAGAGTCCGAGCCATCATGTTCATATCAAACCATTGTAAACCATGACAAGTCTATTGCACAACTCCACTCGTGTTGATTACAACATGCTATTCAGAAATGTATCATATTGTCCTGTAATGACTGTACATGATTGTACATGATTGTTTGGAACCAGTAGCTCCGTTGATTGATATCCACAATATGATCCAGTAGTCGTCCAGATTGTGTGTTGTATTTGGTGTGTTGGGTGATGATATCAACCTGTAGTCAAGGTTTGACTATCTGAACATGTCGGTGACTTTTTACCAACTGTGTGCAACTCGATGTCCAATATCGAGTCATGTCATTGGTCAATTGATTGGTTCAATTCATCAGTGGGTTTGCTGGATCCATGTGGTGTGCAGCACTTTCAAGAGTATGTTGAATCTGTTGCAGTATTGGAACTTTGTAAACGGATCAACATACTAACCTGACCATGACTGTGGTGGTTATTGCAGTCGAGTCGTAAAGCTTATTCTGACAATCATTGATGGTTTGGACAATCGTTTGAATAATCGTTTGGATGTCAGGTTATGGTATCCTGATTGACAACTCGACTCGGATACAACTTTGATTTGAACAATTACTGATCAATGGATTGGACAATGGACTAGCAACCAATCAACACATTGACAGATTTGGCATTCCAAATGGAAACAACGACAATCCAGTTGTAATCCATATTGAGCCTTGAATTCAAACAGTCGTGAATCAAATCATTAATAAACTACAAAAACAGTCCAATATGCCAACTCGCATTTATCCACAACTCGATACGTGATGTTCAAATGTCTAATATTCAGACTGTGCTGATTGCAATTGTGGTTGTGGTTGTGGTTGTGTGTAAATATCAATCCAATACTCGATTCAATACTTGATTCAACTTGAGCATGTCCAGTTTTGTAGTAATCCATTTGATCACATTGACAGAATCAAGCAATGATCTGATTCAACAACACCGAATGATGCATCCATATCACTTGTATCAATCAATTGTACACAATCAGTCAATATAATCAACAATCACTGTCATGATTGACATGATTGATTCGATACATTCAATTTATTCGATCCATTTAATTGCATAGATCTGACTGGCATTGCAACTCATTGTTGTAAAATCACAACCTCACAATCCATCACCAAAGACCAAGATTATACTTCTGTTCATATATGTCCTTGTTATATGCCGCTGTGATTTGAGTTCGGTCACTTGTCAATTCATCTCGATAGTGTTTGGCTTCAGCTGGTGATTGAACACCTTGAATATACTGCGTGGCATCATTCCACAGTTCAGGCGGTATGGGTGTCTTGTCAAGACTCGAGTTGTACCATTGTGGTTGTTGTGGAGCCACATGTGCAGTCGAAACAATCCGACAAGATGGATTCACTACAAAAAATGTCAGAATCTTGCAGTGTCCTGGTTGAGTTGGATCTGCAAGTTCAAATGATTGTTCCTTGTGCTGGTATCGATTGGGATAAACTACACATCGACCATTTGATACTTCAAGCGATCCTATATACTGATTCTGTAGTGATTCTCGATCAATACCATACACATCTTTCCAATACATATCTGATACCCTTTGATAAAAACAATCAACAGCCTCGCGGAAATCGAGTTTGGGTGTGGTGATATTTTCCACGTCGTAGTAATACAGTCCAGTTGCAACAATCGATTCGTTAGTTGGACCTTCAATGTGCCAGTTTCCCTCGTCATATTTAGGTTTGGATGGTGTCAGTTGAATGTTGGTGAGTTTGACAATGACTTGCAGATTACGACCACGCAGTGACACTGGCTTTGCTGATTCATATTTGGATTGGAAATGTTCCGGAAGTGTTGGTACATACACGGGACGAATGACTCGAGTGTCTGGTTCCATATCATCATGATCTGACTGGCTTGACGGTTCATATCCCTTTGTGCCATTGCGAATATTAATATACTTGAACATTGGATCCATCGTTCTGAACAGACTTTCAAACATCGGGACAAAACATTTGAATATTTTGGCAATGCATTTATACATGTCTCGATGCCATATCGGATTCAGATTGTTGATGTATGAGTTGATGGTCACACTGCCATCCTGTTCGACACGGAATTCACTCGGAAGCCATTGGAACTTGCATGATATAAACTTGGGACTGCTGTCAATGATGGGCGTATCTGAAACAAGTCGAGTCGATAACAATATATCGCATGGTACCATTGTGGTGTATTTGAGTCGTATACTCAGTGGTACAATCATCGTTTGTCCATATACAACACTGTACATTGATGCATCAATCAGATTGTGCACCATTTGACCAGTGTTGTGATTTGATCCATGTTCAATATCCGATACATTTGTCATCAATCGCGTATGTACATTGTCAGGTATGCCATTGTCCAGTATATACGTCAGTTCAACAGGTCCTGGTACAATCGTGCCCAATCCATCACTGCCATTACAAACAAGCTGTTTGACAAAAACCTCGAGTTGTTCCAATGCAAGATTAAATGTTGATGGTGATATATTCTGACCGAGTGAGTCAGCCCTCCATTGCTCCACAATATGCTGGTTTGTGATATCGATCCACCACATGGGTTTGCAAAGTATAGATTGCAGATACTGGATATACCGCATCTCGACAAGTGTGCGTACCTGTTTATATGGATATCCGGCCATTCCAGATTTCATATCAATTTCGGCATTGTCATCGTATGGCTGAATGCTCGAACTAGCAGTCTGAACCCGATGCTGGAAACACACTTCAATGATCTGCTCAGCAACCATTTTGTCTCTGTAGTGAGTAGTATCCGATTGTACAATAGCCGTTAGATTTTCAAATATCCCGCCTTGTTCCAACTCGGTACGTATTGAACTGTCTGGATGATTGTCGGCAAAATCAACAAGTGTTTTGAGTAGTTTTACAATACCATTATAACCATACAGATTTATATCTCTACGTGAATAAATAGTGTTGAGTTGGTTCACAATTCCATATTCTTGGAACGCCTTGATCATCTCGGCCTTGTTTGTAGATTTCTGAATCATGTCGTTGACATATCCAAACAGGCGAAAAGAGTAACCCATGCGGAGATCACACATCGATATCGTCAATTGCTCAAAAACCAGCGATCGTACAAGCGATACAGGAAAGTCGTGCATTTTGGATGCAACTGATCCCGCCATGCTGATTATGCGTGTTTTTAGTTCAAAGTTGTCGCTGTGTTTGATACACAAGTCGTTCAGTGTTTGAATCAAATCCGATCTTATCAACTCGGCTGAAATCATTTCACAATCTGTAGCATTGCATAAACTATCAATAGTATCAATACTTTCACAAATCACTGCTTGATCGACACTCCTGTATTCATGTCATGTCAATCCAACCATGTCAAATTTACCAATTGGTGATGACTGAACACACATTCATGCATAACACCACATACCTGAGCGTATTGACCAGTGCTGGAATGATGCCACATTTCATTGCTTTTACTCGGTCATGACGATGAATATTCCGATACATGACTCGAAGATTTTCGATAAAACCAACAGCAACTGAACCATCGGATGATTCCAGTCGTGAAACGAGTCTTGACAACACGATGCCAAGCTAATGATATTGTTCAATGTCAAGTATACAATCAGATCAACAAAACATGGCATGACACTGTACAAACTGATCCAATATTGTATCATTGTAAACATACATTTTGATCGTCAATCTCACTGCAAACGGTCGAAAACAGGTCAATCGACAATCTGAGCATTTCTTGATCAGAATCGTGAACAATAATCTCAACCATTGGCTTGATGTCAAATTTACACTCCTCTCTCCAGCGTCTACAATTGAACAACTTTGTGCATGTTTTTATCGCCTATATGCATATTGACACTAGATAAGTTGAATGACAATCATTTGATCAATACCAATCATGACTTGCCGCTATTTTGACTTGACAGTTTGGTGATTGCATGAGTTGTGAGAGTTGGTTGTTTAATCGTTGTGATACTTTGAAATCATCATCACTGTATACCATATTCGCAAACACTGTAGTAAACTCCATTACTTCGATCTACACAACACATGTTGATTAGTTTAGTCATGAACAGCAATCCATTATTGTTACAATATATGAATACCTGTAAACTGGGTCGATTATACTCCAAATGCTCAGCTGCGATATCTTCCAGTCCAATACTCTGTAAGCGAGGCACTATAACTTTAAAGTCTGTCACTTCAAACCAACACAAAGTTAATAATGGTTTGAACTCATCAATAATACAATGACTATTAAACTTACTGTAATTCTGTTCTTTCAACTCCAGTAGCAATACAAGCAGTCTGTCCCATGTTTGTTCAGCCTTATATAGTTGATCATCCGTTGTTAACAGTTTCAAATCTTCCAGGTGTTTGATAAACTCTTTCATGATATCATCCAACTTCATGTTTGATAAAATTAGTAAAGTTGAATTTTGATCAAATTTTGATTTGATAGTTTCATTCATGCGAATGTCCAACAATTGCCAAGAATTGTTCATGTTTGGATTGTTGTAAAACACACAAGCGAGTTGTTCCATTTTAGTATTGTTTTGATCAGTTTTTTGTAACAAAATTGGATTGTTATCAAACATGCATTTAGAAATACTGTAAATTAATATTCTGAATGTGATCGTTGTAGATTTGGTTTAATAAACAAGTTAGTTTACTACAACACATGGTAATGAATTACTAAACATCATCATAAATCGGATGGACTGGACTGGACTGGAATGAAATCAATGACAATTGCATTACAAATAGTATGTGGTGATTAAACCATCGAGTATTTCCAAATACAAACTTGGATGAAAAGTCTTGCCACAATACTGATCAACTGTATTACTGTTTACACTGTGGTATTATTGATGTATTGGAATATTTGGTGTTCAGATACACAATGATAATGGTAGTACAACTCATGGCAGTTGTACAAACCAAATGTGATTAAAGCCAATAATAATGTCAGACAAGATTGGATAATGAAGTAGCGTGTAAATCATCAACATTGACCAAGATTGATTGAAATGGTGAGATTGGGTTGGATAGTGATGAACAGTCAGTGTCATGAACACTGTTATTCAGTGGTCCATTTTACACGAATACGACACTACCAATACCATGCTGCATATATTACATTGTAAACTGTCATAAAACAACACTAATTGACCAATATCAAACCAGTCGATGTCGCAATCTACATCCGACTTTCAACAAGTGTATTGCTCCGTTTGTTGTACGATGCACGACATGATCAGTTGGTGGTATCATGCAACTGACAAGTGATTGCAAGTATGACTGATAGTCACAACCAACACTGGTTGTTATCATGTCATTGATGTATATGGAACAAGCCATGCCAATGTATCAATCAACAATCCAGTAACTGTTGATGTAATACCAAACACAGTATACAATCAATGATATGGTTGTTGATCCATTCACAATACTCGACAAACATCAACATCAAAAAGTTTAAATTTATTCAAAATCAAATTCATCGACACATCATTAATCCTAATTCGGTTCTTCAAATCTTAAACCATGTTTTGCCATAAGATCCTTCAATCGTTGTCTGACATTATACACTTTTCTGCTTGCCTTTTCATATTCTTGTTTCAATTGGTCTTCAGTGTTTGGATTGTGCCTTGACTCGGATATCTCTTCTCCCATTGCTAACGCTAACTTTTGATTGATTCCAAGAGCTATATACTCATGATGTTTTTTATGGTTTTCCTTTCGTACCTTTTTAAACGCTACAAGTCTTTGCTTTATACGATCAAGGGTTATCTGATCTCTTCGGCTTAATTCAGTCACTTGATTTGAACTAGTATTGGCAGAATCGTTTCCATCTGTTTGTTGTTGCTGGCCTTGATTGAAAGTGCTTGGGTTGGGCTCATGAGTTGAACCAGACACTTGGCTAAAGGTGATTGGACTGGGCTGATCAATTGGTTGTCTCCGACTTCGTTTGGAAGTGCTCGGACCAACTACATCGATTGGTTGTCGCTGATCTTGTCTGGAAGTACTTGGACCAGATCGATCAATCGGTTGTTGCCAGTATTCTCTGTAATTTTTTGAATTGATTGCATCAATCAAATCTCGCCAGTCTTCCGGAATGCCTGGATCGGGTTTATCGATTATGGCTTTCCAATCTTGTTCGGAAATACTTGGACCCAGTTCATCAATTGGTCGTTTTCGACCTCGCCTGGAAGTACTTGGATCAACTACATTTATTGGTTGTTGCTGGTCTTGGTTGGGAGTACTTGAGCTGGCTGCATTAATTATTTCTTGCCAGTCTTGGTCAGAAAGGTTTAAATCAAGTTCATCCATTATCTCTTGCCAGTTTTGATCGAAGTATCTGAATTGGGTTCATCAGTTGAGCCAGATGCTTGACTGGAAGTGCCTGATGCTTGGAGTGAGCCATCGTTATTAGTCGGTATCAGTATTGCATTAACGGTTGCTGCAGTCAATACAAGTAAAATATCAACCAATTTCATCAGACTGGTCAATAGGTTTAAACAATAGTACAAAAGTAGTGTTGAGATTGGTATCGATTATGAAATTGAACCTACTCGATTGTATGTATGGTTTGTATAGCAAACCAACCCTTCTAGATTAACCAATTATACAGGGTTATTTGACTGTTTGTAATGAACCAATATCAAACCATAGTATGATGCTCCCTATCCATAATATCATATTGATCAATTGGATGATCATGTCGATTGGATGATGCTTTTACGACCCTTTGATCAGATATGTTGAAAAGCACCCTTCAGGAGTGTTGTGTGGCCGCAAACGCTTTGATTTACAACCGTATCCATCATGCAATGACTTTGATTTGGGATATACAATGGTCGCATATTCAGTTGGTTGATACTACACATTGACTGCATTGCGTGTTTGATATACAACAATCATCATATGACACACAATCAGACTATAGTGTTGAATCTACACTTTGTACACTCTTAGTAATCATGCATTGTACGATCACCAGTTCTGAACCCACATTCATGTATTGTGTTTGACTGTCAATATTGTCAATACAACTCTATACATTTGTTGTATTCTGAATCACGGATACGATCGCAATCTAATTCAACAACAATCATGA